AGCTCCTAGAGCTGGAGAAGGAGACGGGGTAATTCTCCAGTTGTCACGTTGTGAACTAAACTATTTTGACCAATCAAAAGACAAGAAATAGAGTTGATAAGAGGCCATCTCCATCTCCAGCTACCTAGCCAACACGCTCTTAAGGACAAAAATTCGCTTAAGTACGATGTACTTTCCGGGGTTTTGTTCTCAAACCGCAGAAAAGGACCAAAATAGACTTGGCGTTTGTATTGAGTGTAATCACGCCCGGGTAAGTACGAGGTGTCATTTGTAACAAGTTCATAGACTGTGTGAGAGGTGTTACGTCTGGATCCACATAATGAAATCAAGTCAATGTGCGATTTTTGACCTAGAAGCAAGGACAAAAACCGAAATGTGATATGTTATATATGACACTTTTCAATCTGCATTTTTATCATGATGGACAACAGAGGACAGTGTGCAAGCCCCTCCCTTGTAGAACGAATCAAGGGCTTTCTGGTCATTGCAATAGTACTGTGTATCTCGCAAAATCAATACCAGCATAAGCCTCTAACTTTTGGTCCTTTCATTTGTCCTTAATCTGGGGCCTATTGGGGTTAGGAGACGTAATAAGCACGGATTCGTATATTCTTGCAGCGATCTATTCACTGAAGCTGGTCATTTGGTTTAATTGTGTGGCCTAGAACCAAAAATTGCATGAGGTTGCTGCATGTGGAAGCCCCCAAATAAACTTGGATTTAGTATTAAACAAACATATGTTTGATTATCCGTGGGGAGCATAGAACGAGCCACCGCATAAAGCGAGCCACCCGTTCAATACAAAAACCAAGATGGCCTCCCCGAAGGAGGTATTTGCGCGCGCATTTTGCAGTGCGTTTTACATCGGAACCAGCGCTAAGCTCACGTATGCCGTGAACCAAGATCACGGCCTCTTCGCCCCCACTTTCAGATTTCAATTTTCTTCACTGGAAGCGGAGATATGGGCTCTCCATTATGGCCCAAATTGGCCCGCTTTGTCTGAGCCAAGCGACGAGTGATGTGTGACACATAACGAATGCCTTAATACATGATGTGTAACACACCACGACCACATACAAAACGTGAGTTATAGTGGGAGTGGCTCGCTTTGTGCTCGCGAGCGTAGCGTCGAAATCATGTCTGCATACAATTATCAAGATAATGAAAAGCGGCTCTTCATACGCTCCCCACGGATATCACCGCTGGAGGACCGTGTCTCACAACTCTGGCAGAACGGATACCTCACACAAAATCCTTAAGCTATCCCAGCCTACGCATAACTCTCGTTGTAGTTTCATCAGCCTTCTATCCTCAAAACGCGAATAAATCGTAGAAATTGAGCATACTCAAGGCCGCTCAGAGAAGCAACGTCTTCACGAGCCTAGAAGATGGAGTTTCTGTCTACACTGTTTGTGCGATCACAACGGGCGGCATCGCCTGGTCCTTCAACTTGTGATTATCTCCTTTGCCGACGTTGTCTCCGCGCTGGCGCAGAGCTCTTCTTGTTAGTGTTACGCCAGATTCGATGGGTACTGCCGCCGCTCCAAGACCGTTGGTTACCCTCGAAAACCGCGGCTGAGCAGGGAACACGCACGCCCACGTCGCTCTTGAGATCTTGAGACACTGAGCATCTGGCCGGAGCGATGCACCTGGCTCCATCGAACGACCAAAGCTCCGAGTGACAGTCGGCGGAGGCAATGTCGCCTCTGCGAGGGCACACGTGGCCGAATAGTCCGTGCTCGTTTCCGCCGCAGACTGGCCCACGCGTTGCTGGGATGAAGAATGTTGCGTCATGGCGCACGCTGACATGATGGGAACCGGTCAGTGCAGTGCTGTCAGCCATGGTGGGATACGCTTTGTAGTTGTTGTTGCTGGAGACTTGCGCTTGAAGTGGCAAGTTGGAAAGTGAGGGGTTGTCGTAGTAAATATCAATGGTCAGTTGTAACGGATGCAACGGATGCTGGCAACATTGATGGAGCGGCAAGGGACAGCCCCAATGGGTTAAATGATTGGGCAAGTGCGTGAGTTTTATCAGCTTGACGGTTAATGTGACTAACCTGAGATGCAGTCTTGTTATCGTTTCGAGTCGCTTACAACTGGGAAATGTTCAGCCCATGAAAGTAGCTGCTCGAATGATGCCTCTGAAATCGTAACGAGCTGCCACTGATTCCCATATCTTCCGATTAAAAAATGCTTGATAAATTGCTTTTGTTCTGCCCAAGTTACATGTATCCTATTCGTCTAGACTAACTAGTTTTGTTGTCATGTAGCCCCTACGATGACGCGCATGCCGTAGAATAGTTGGATATTGAGGAAGGCTTGCCAGCCCCGAACCTGAAGAGCAAGCACTGACCCATTAGTTCTGGTAAGGACCGCGACAAAAATGAGGACATAGATTGCCGTTTAAGAAGCTACTGAAGTCTGTTAGTTTGACTAACCTCTATTCAAGTACCAGTAAGTAGTCTCCACAAGAAAAAAAACCGATGGTACAACGACTTGCAAGTCGTATTTCAAAGCACTAATTATTCAGCCCACCCGTCAAGCTATGCAACGGATGCCGCCAAACACCACTTCGTGCTTTATAACATATTTGATCCTGGCCGAATCACACCTCATGACGTGATTCGCTTGCGCCTGTAGCTGTTGACACTCATTGCACTTCTCGAGACAGCAATCAACCCTTTTACCAACTGAAAGATGCCTCGAAACGACAAGAAAACTGCATCTCAGGTTAGTCACGTTAACCACCTAGCTGATAAAACGCACGTAACCAACCATTTTACTTTTAGAGGCTGTTCCTGGCTGCTTTCCGAATCCATTCAACTTAACGGTTGATCATATAAACCGAATACGGTCAACCACCATTGCATCCGCTTATGTCGATAGCTATCCGATCCGCACTGTTGGAAGCCCTTTCGCATCTTGCGGTCAAGCGCTGGGTACATTGTGCACAGAACAGCTACGAAAGTGAACAAAACATGCTCAATGTATCCACCATATGCCAAAATGGCGAGCTTCTATTGGTCGTGGCGAGCGTAGAGCACGCTCAAAACCTGCTACATGGTAATACCTTGCAAGTCTGCTAAGGCAGCATACTTCGGCTCCAGCCACCCATCTTCGACACGTCGCGATAAACGCGGAGGAAGAAATCGCCCTGTTCCTAACTGACGTAGTGAGGAGGAACTGGGCGAATTCTTCCTAGTGCTTGACATTAGCGCATCATTAGATTTCTTTTTTTTAGCCCACCTAACAAGCTTGTTACGATTGTCTTTCTAACAACACCAGGGAGCTTGCATGCTCAATAGCCCGTAATGACACGCACTACACACGGTTCCTCTTGTACGAAACAGGACAATATATGATATTCATGCCAACGTCTTCTTCTTCCTTTACATGCGCACGCTCTTCAATGTTCGCGCCAGCCGTGGGTCATCTTCGCCATTTTGTCAGCCTCCGCTTTGCTCTGTACTGCCGCTCCATTCCTGCCGCTTTCATCGGTAGCCTCCGTCGTAGCCTCTGTCCATTCTTCTGTAATCTCCGGTGTAACCTCATCACGCGGACAGCTTCTTCTGTAGCATCCGTCGTAGCATCTACCGCTTCTTCTGTAGTCTCCGGTGTAGCCACACTATGAGGAGCGCTTCTTCTGTAGCCTCTTGAGTAGCCACTGCATCAGCCACAATACAGCGGTAGACCCGGCTGTAGCCGGCTTCGTAGGAACCGATGAGGTTGTGCGCTGACTCCGCAATCGATCTGCCAATCGGGCCACACGCGAGAGCTCATAGCGTCGTCTGGGTCGGATCACCAGGTCTGGTAATCAACATCGCAACGTAGAATCAATATACCACTAGTACAATGTTACAGAGCAAAGTACACGCTCTCGCTTACCTGTAGATCACAATGGCGCTCATCATGATCGTCTTCGGCCATGGTCCTTGGCCACTTGGGCGCGCTCGATGGGCCCCAACAAAGCTTGCATTGCGACGTCTTAAACAGCGCAGTTTCGGAATGAAGGAAAGTACGAGTGGCTGACACGCGGCGGTTTTAGGCTTCCACCCGAATTTTCAAACCTGTTGGTGGTTTATACTCGTCCGTCTATTACCGCGGAATAAACCCCGTTTATCTTCCCATCGCTAATCTAACAGGAAGATGTGCACAATACTGGCTATACAAACATCCATATGCGAAGACGAAAGAGAGGACAAGTTTGTTGGATATTATGTCCTGTGACAATGCTTATTCTGTAGGATACAGAATACGGGGTTAGAGGGCTAAAGTAACTGGCTGTTGGAAATCGTGATAAGCGCAGAACCCTGAGCATGCAGCGGATGCCTGGCGGTACCCGCGCCGCAATCGAAGGCATAGGAGACCCGCGACGCAGCATGTCACCGCTTTGAAGACCTCAAGCATCTTGGTTCAATTCAGGTTAACGGCGGGGGTCGGTCATTTTTCAATATCGCTGCGGTGCTCAAATGCCTCGAATTTTACTTAGGTTTGCCTCTCAATCACACTTGAATCTAGGCTGAAGACTTGTCTTCGTCGCCATCACCCACCTGTAAGGTCGTAAACATTTTAAAAAATGTTTTAAAAAACATACACTTTCAAATATTGTATCTTAAGCCTTCTAGATTTAAAGTTGTACAACCCAAATATTAGTACTAAAGTACTATTAGACGTATTACAAAATTACAACTAATGCTGAAACTACTATCATTACCTTCAGCAAGTTAACCTATGGACCCGCGGCGCGCCGGCGCGTGTGGCCCCTGACGGCAACCAGCGTCTGACACCTTCACCGTTAAATCCCCACCTGAACTCCTCTTCAATCTGATAACCACTAATATGAAGTCGCGCTTCGATATGAAGATGTCGCGCCCACTTCGGTCTCCTCGTCTGTCATCAGCTTGCCAGAGGGTGGGGGAGGTGAGCTCCCTCCTTCGTTCCAGCGTAGATCCCCGTCAGTCTTCATTTCTCCGCTCAGAAAGGAGATGCCTACTATGGAGGAGCTCACGGATGCTGCGGCGGAGGGCGACCTCGTGGCAGTTCAAAAGCTGGTGGGGCAGGTCTCCGTCGATGGAAAGGAGGAGGCGTTGAGGAGAGCTGCTGAGAACGGGCACCTGGCGGTCGTGACGCACCTCATCAAAGAGTGCGCGATCGAGGTGGATGCCAGGGACGGCAACGAAGACACAGCGCTGATGCTGGCTGCAAACAATGGGCACGTGGACGTCGTCGAGTATTTGGCCGAGCAATGTGGTGCCGACGCTAACGCCGTCAACAGTTGGGGGGAGACGGCGTTCCGAAGGACTGTGGAGAACGGCCACGTTGAGGTTGTGCGGTACCTTGTTAAACAATGCGGCGCTGCCGTGGATAGTCGTGGAGACTCAGCGCTCATGTTGGCTGCTAAAGAAGATCATGTAGGCGTCGTGCGATTTCTTGTCGAGCAGTGCGGCGCGGACGTGAATGCCAAGGACAGTTACGGAGCCACAGCTTTGAGCTTGGCCGCTGAAAGTGGCCACATTGCTGTCGTACAGTATCTTGCTGAGCAATGTGGCGCTGACGTGAATATCAGGAACGACTATGGCGAGACGGGGTTTCTATCGGCGGCGAAACGAGGTCATATCGATATCGTACGGCATCTTGCTGAGCAATGCAGCGCTAACGTTAATGCCAAGAGCGACCGTGACATGACAGCTTTGATGTGGGCCGCTGGAAGTGGGCACATTGATGTCGTACGGTATCTGGTTGAGCACTGTGGCGCTAACGCTAACGCTAACGCGAAGGACAACGAAGGAGATACGGCGCTGATTCATGCTGGCGGATTTGGATACTCGGATATCGTGCGGTACCTTGCGGAGCAATGTGGCGTTGATGCGAACGCCACGGACGAGTTGGGGTACACAGCGTTGATATGGGCTGCTGAGAATGGTCACGTTGATGTCGTGCGGTGTCTTGGTGGGCGGTGTGGAGTGGACGTGAATGCCAAGACTGATGACGGATACACAGCGCTTATGAAGGCCGCTGTACGTGGCTACATAGAGATTGTCCGATACCTCACTGAGCACTGCGCCGTGGATGTGAATGAGAAGTTGGACGGCAAATACACAGCGCTGATGCTCGCTGCTGAGACTGGCGAAGCGACTGTTGTGGAGTACCTAGCTGGCCAAGGTGCAGATCTGAATGCCCACGACGACTGCGGCTACACAGCATTGATGAAGGCCGCTGAAAACGGTCACGAGGGTATTGTCGAGTGTCTGGCTGTACAGTACCGCGCGGGTGTGAACGCTAAGAGTTTCAGTGGATCGACCGCTCTCCGACTTGCTGCTGAACGCGGATACGAGGAAATCCAGAGAGTGCTCATGCCACTTGTTCTACCTGACAGCACTGATAGAACGACACTTCCCAAAGTTGTGGTTGAACTGCCGCCAAACTGCTCCATTGACCCGTCGGAAGTCGAGCTCACTCTCTACAGTCAAAACGGCCGCATCGGGGGCGACTTCCAGGCCAAGTGGCTCGATGCTGACGCGGTCGTGAAGTTTTTCATTCCAGACGCCTCCCATTCATCGTTCGGTGATGAAGTGCGTATGTGGCAACAACTCCGCCACCCCAACGTCCTCAAAATGTACGGCGCATGTGATGCAGGCCATCACCTGCTGTTCTTCGTGTGTGAATACGCGTGTCAGGGCTCACTTTTGGAGCATGTCAAGTCGTCGTCAGTGGAGACACAGACGATGTGGAAGTACCTGTACGAGGCCGCGCTAGGACTCGAGTATCTTCACGAGCGAGGGCTTGTTCATGGCGACTTACGATGCAGTAACATTTTGATCGGCAGCGATGGCATGGCGAACCTATCGAACTTTGGACTGAGTGGATCTATCAAGGCTTCCACTGCAGTGTCGGATAGTATTGTTCGGTCGATGCGCTGGCAGGCTCCAGAGGTTGTGGAAGGAGCGCCCCCAATGTTTGAGTCGGATGTGTATTCACTGGGAATGTGTATTCTGGAGTCTGTGACAAGAGAGGAACCATGGGGCGAAGCGACCGAAGAGCAGACGAAGATGGAGAAATTGAACTGGGCTACAGACGACGAGTTGTACGCTGAGTTTAGACCTTACTGTCCACAGGGCGACGCACACGAATTAGTGTGGGAAATGTGCTGCCAAGACCCTCACAAACGCGCAAGTCTGTCGTCGGTCGTCTACAAACTTGAGCGTTTGGCTGCCAAGGAGAATTCCGGTGCCTCCCAACCGGAGCAGGAACCGCTTTGCTCTTTTGAAGAATATGCACTCGGCAAAGTTCAAGAAGCGTGGCTGAGGCTGGAGACGTACATGCAGAAGTGCGACAACAGCGAATACTGCGCGACATTTGACCAACTCAAATCCCTACACGAACGCTTGCGAGTGTCGACCCACCGTCCAGCCTTACTAGAGCGATTCCACGCGCTTGTCACCGAGTTTTACCAAACGGTCAAGATGTCGCCTGATCAAGCTCTGATGATGCGCTTGTCGTCAACGCGCGCCACCAGCAACAGTTTGCACGCGCTTCAGTGGCGCATCGAGTCACTCATGGCATCACTAGGTGGAGCAGTGGAGGGTATCTCGGATACGATGGAATCAGGATGGCAGCAACAACGCCCAGACGAGACCAAACTGCTTGTGTCGGGCGTCTCCGATATGTTTCTTCTGCTGCAGAAGTTGAAGACGACGGAGGAACGGGCGGCGTATCTGAAGACGTTAAAGGCCGAGATAGAAACCCCTCTAGACAAATACAGATTCGGACCCTCACCAGAGAAGCAAGGCTATTGCGATGTTTCGTCGCGAAGTCGACATTTGGTTTGGCTTCAGCCACCCTCACGTCATTCGGCTCTTTGGCGCCTGTCACGTCGGACGGCCGTTCTTCGTATGTGAATACGCTACCAACGGGACGTTGGTCAGCTACTTGCGAGAGCATCCCGACGAATTATGGTCGAAGCTGCACGAGGCTGCGCTGGGCGTCCAGTACCTCCACGCACGCGACGTGGTGCACAGCGACCTGAAGGGAAACAACATCGTGGTTGGGAGCGACTTCAAATCGAAGGTGACGGACTTCGGTCTCAGCTCTGCCGCTAGCAGCGAAGACATGGCGCAGATTTCAGGTGCGTGGCACTGGGTCGCTCCCGAGTGTTTTTCAGACAGCAAGGCAGAAGAAGCCCAAGAGCAAAAGAGACCATCCTTTGCGTCAGATGTCTATTCTCTGGGTATGTGCATCGTGGAATCCCTGCGGGTCGTGGAGGCAGTGAAGGCTGGGAAGGACCCACGCCGTTGCCTGCCATGGCGTGTTGCGGACAGGAACGTGGTGAGATACCATGCTACGCATGCTACCCGCGCGCCCAATATGCAGCGACAGCCAATGGAAGTTGGTTGAACGAATGTGTGTTCTGGACCCGAAGCAACGGATTAAGATTTCGACGGTGGTTGACGAGCTGGCCAGATTGGCGAACCCTGGCATCAACATCCAAGCGATGGCCGAGCCTGACGCCTTGCCAGCAGATGCCATGAATCAAGCTTCTGTCCCCGACATGCTTGCTGCAGCTCAGGAGGAGCTGGGTTGGTTGCAAGGCGACACGGATCAACATGTTTACGTGTTTTCGTTGTACAAGGCATTGTGGAAGCGACTTGAGTGCGTGCATGAACAGATCGCTGATAATAAGCGCGAGGGCTGTCACGCATCGTTCTACTCGCTAGTTGCTGAGGCGCGCGCGTCCACGGCGGCACTTCAAGAGAGGAAGCGAGGAACCATGGCGGTAGCGGAGACCACGATGCGGTATTACGCGTCGGATCGAGCCTTGACAAAGTTCTGCGAAGCACAGTTTGTACACGGAGACGGAGGGGACTAGCATTAGGTTGACGTTCGATTCATTGGCGGGGTGAGCGATTTGCTTGTTGAGGTTATGAGCGAAGTTGACAAACGTGCCAAGACCGGTGGTTTGCCTCCGTCAAATACTTGGATGTCTGTACCCGGACATGTCATAACGGATGAACAGGTTGTTGTTGGCATTCGTCTCATAAGATTGGCCGTCGGATTGAATGAATTTAACGATCATTAACTCCCTAGTTGCGCCGCAGCAACGAGAACGACGAGGACACGCATATGGTTTAAGCCAGTATGTTCTAGTTTCGTTAGTCTTCTATCCTCAAAAGCGAATGTATCACAGATTTATGAGCATACTCATTCTACCACCAGCTTCATTGATCCGATCAGCTCAATTCCACCTACTCCTGCGTCGGTAGCGCCACCTGATAAGGTGGGAGTGTGACCACTACTGGCGGGGTACTGGGCTCCTTCAACTCGTGTTTGTCTCTTTGGTCGTCGCTGTTTCCACGGTGACGCAGAGATCTCATTGCTCTAGTGGAGTCGGTGAATACGATCGCTCCTCCTGCATCGTCTTCGACCCTCGAAAACTGCTGCTGGGCGGGGAACACGCACGCCCACGTCGCTCTTGCCACCTTGAGACACTGGGCATCAGTCGGAGCAACGCACCTGGCTCCATCGAACGACCCAAGCTCCGAGTGGCAGCAACGTCACCTCTGCGAGGGCACGCGTTTCCAAACGGGCCATGCTCGTTGCCGGCGCATATCGGTCCACGCGCTGCTGGGATGAAGAATGTTGCGTCGTGGAGCACGCTGACAGGTACGGGGGTCGCGAGTGCACTGAAGTTGTTGTTCTTCTTGTTGGGTGTATGGAGGCTTGAGCTCGACGTGCGAAATAGCAAAGTGAGTCGTGGTTTGGTTCGGATCGGATCGGATGCCCACACAGCGGATGAAAAGTTGTTGGTAATAGTCTTCGTTTCATAACATTGACTCTTGCGTGAATGGATCTTGAAACGATTGAAGCTTGGGCTTTCCTTTTCGTTTCAACGTCGTTTTACAATTGGAAAAATTCCACTGTCACGTCGTAAATGATCAACTACGAAGTAACTTGCTAGAGTAGCTGGTTGTTTGGTGCGTCGGGGATCGTAACGAGCGCAGAACCAGAGGATGCAACGGACGCCTTGCGTTGTTTGGGCCCCCGCGCTGCAATCGTCGGGATAGCAGACCCGCGGCGTAGAACGTCTCGGTCACTAGCGCTCACATCTCCGCCGCGCTGAAGAGCTTGGACATCTTGCTTCAACTCATTCACGGCTCGTAGTAGCTCCTCATTCTGCAACGCCAACTGCAGCACCATGCCTTGAAGGACCATGGAATTATCGGAGCGCTCTCGAGAGACACCGTAGCTGTTTCTTGGACTCGACCTTGCGTATCGGTTTGAGTGTGGAGTGTGCCTCAATCTATTCCAACGCTCTCCAGCGAGACCCCTGTCGTCTTCTTCATCATCATCGCCACTCTCCTCTTGCTTGAGCGTATCTTTTGACGGCGAGGTATCAACATCAGCGGGTAGTACCGAGCTCTGCATCTCTGGTGCCTTCCTCCACTTCGTCATCATCTTCAGTCGAAGGGGTAGAATCGTTAGAACCTTGGTGGTGAACACTCTACCATACTCAACAGCTTCGCGCTTCAGATCCAAGTGCAAGGGGGCTGCTTCCAGTCCGTCGTCATCCTCCCCCTCGTTGTTTCTCTTTTCCCGCTGGGACGCTCGAAGTCGCTGTCGATCGACGTCGAGTTCTCGCTTGGCCTTCAAATATCCTTCGTATACCACAACCAGAAACAAATTGGCGGCTACGAACACGTTGAACAGCAAGAAGCAGGCGAGCAGCAGAGTGCGCAGAGTTGACGTGCCGGCAGCATCGTGGCCGATTTCCCCGTAAGACGCAGCTGAAAACCCCAGCAGCGCAGATAAACCGGATGATCCTGACGCAGCTCCTGTCCCAGTCTGGAGTAGAATCGCCACGAGCGAACGTACAGCCTCCGGTAGACTCTGAAAGAGCGACGACTGTGCTCCTAGCACCACCAGACACGCGCTAGCGTACCCCATCACCACCAGCGCCATCACAATCAGCAACACGAACAACTGCGGCGCTGCGCAAACCACAGCGCGAGCGAGCAAATCCACCGGTCGAGATACGCGCAGCATCAGCAACAACTCGATCCAAGCGAGACAGATGCTAGCACCTAGCGCAAGCTGCGAGGCCCGGAACGTCTCGACGTATGGCCGCAAAGGCACAAACTTGTCCGAGTCTAGCGGTAACTCAGAAGGTCGTTTTACCATCGCTACCAAGCGCAGCAACCACGCACAAGTGAAGCAGAGCAACCCGAAAAGTCTCACTCCGCTGCCATGACGCTGGTGCAGAGGACTGGGTCTCGTCTTGCTCCTGGATCTGGATTTATAAAGACTTGACCGCTGCCAAATCGCTTGGTACTGCCACTGTCGCGAGCGAGAACGCGCCAGTGCGAGCACTTCATCCAGGAAAAAGTACGCGTAAAATATAATGACGATGATGTGGCACGCCGAAGAGAACCAGTGATCTGCGTCCAGCAGGAAGCTGCTCTTGAGCGGCGCCACTCCCGCACTAAGTGAAGCGATCGCCCCGCCCGAAGCCGGTAATTCCACCATAAATCGTAGTGCAACGATGTGTCGTAGCATTGCATTAAACAAACTCAAGTCCACCATGACTGCTCGAGACTGTCCGTCGATATACCCGTTCACGCTGAGTGCATTTAAAATGCTGATGGCTTGGTCTTCGTTCGAGCGCGGGAGTACAACTGAGTACGCTGGAGCTGGTAGCGAGTATTGCGCACTTGATACGGACATGGTCGAGAAGAATGCAGACCGCTCGGTATCTGTATCTGTGTCATTGAGTCCTTCGAAGGTGTATACATCTGAATTGTCCACTTGAATAGGATCGCTTGCTTCGTAGCTTGATGAAAAGTCTCCGTCACTTGATCCGTAGCAGTAGTAAGCGCCATCGTCTGTGCTGGATTCTGTCCAGGAGAAGAACGGCGTCACTCGTGATGAACAGTTGAACGTGTCCACGCGGAGCTGGCCGATGCGAATGCCACCAACGATACGATTAGAACTGAGTGTGGACGACCCAGCTGCTGAGTCACTCGAATAAGCGATGGAGATGAATGGTCCTTTCAACCAGTCATAGTACTCCTGAGCATTCGATATCTCTGCAAAAGTTTTCGAGGCTCCGGATCCTGACACAGCGAACACAGTTTCAAGATACCTTACTGAAAGACGAGACAAACGGCCAGTTAGCATACTTCTTTCACCACCTCTTGCGCAGCATCACACTTACTGGTAGTAGCACGCATGAAGCGGTACAGACGATCATAAGCGTATCCGTTGAGCGTGCTGAATGTGAAGATGCCGAGGAAAATAATTTGCAGTACAATAGCATGCAGCTTCGAGCGAGAATTTAACGTCCGCCGCCGTCGCACGAGAGCCACCACGTGTCTTCGACAGAGTTTGTGCAGCTGAGCCACTCGTTGCCCTCTTGTGCTATGCCGCCGCCACCTATCGAACCATCACCACTACAACGTTAGTTCTTCACCCGAGACAGACAAAGGTAGAGTTGGGACTCTCTTGTCTTACCATCTTTGAAGCGAGACCGCAGCCGCAATACTCGAGATCTTGGTCAGTTCGTCCAATGACTGCACCGCTTCAACACTAACGCGTGCTCTGCGATGAGAGGGAGTCGAGGCTGACAAGTTCGCGGAATGCCGATGGTGCCAAGAATCCGACGCCTGATTGTCCTGCTGCAGCTTGAGGTCATCACGATCACCACCATGAGCCACCTCGCCGCTGCTTATCGTCTCCGTTTCGTCCGTGTCGTCGGCAGGATCAAGGCGCTCCCGCTGCGACGGGAAACCAGTGCCTCTCCGCCGTCGGGCGGCACCTCCGTCTCCCATTCCATACACACGGAACGATACACGAGCCCAGCACCGTCACAGTACCCGGATCGCTTCACGCTTGGAAGGGTCAGCCGCGTTACTGATCTATAGTAAATAGCCCGAAAACGACATCGGCCAAAGTTAGCTCTGGTAAATCGGCATACCAAATCAACCAAATCAACAGCACAGCAGTCAAAGCAAACACTTCCGCCTATAGGAAATATATAGTGAGACTGGTGCTGCATAGCCAGCCAGCAGCAGTCCCTTAATACCATCTATCCGAGAGAAAACCCGTCTCCGCCGATCTTGCGGGTCGTCGTTCCCTTTAGTCCGCGGGGGACAGGAACGACGCGAGGGTGCCGAAGAACATCAGGATGATGGAGAGTCCGGCCAGTCCTGCGTTGAGCACGATCTCGCGCTTCGAGAGGCGGTGCGAGAACAGCTTGAGGTAGCAGACGCACGGCAGGAAGACCGACACGAGCATCGCGAAGAAGGCGCCGAGGAACGACGTCACGCGGGCGAAGTGGGGCACGAACAGCGCGCAGCACAGCGCGCCCATGCCGAGCGTCGTGCGGATGAAGGCGCGGTAGAACACCAGCGTCTTGCTCGGCTTGTTACGCGCCGCAGCGCGCTTCTGGCTCGGAGACAGCATGAACTCCTCGAGCGCCAGCGCGACGGGGTGCAGCGTGATGGCGATCTTGCTCATCGGGTTGAGCGCGATGGTCCAGACCACCATCTGCGTGAGCACGCCGGGGTACGACGCGATGAGGTTGAGCGTGATCTCCTTCTGGGTGGCTTCGCCGTACATGAGGTAGCCCGCGAGCTCGATGGCGCCGTAGACCAGCCCCACGATGAAGTACGACAGGTTGAGCACGCGCGGGTAGTCCTCCTTGTTGGCCATGGAGCTGCAGATGGATGGGAACACCGAGTGGCCGCCGAACGCCACCATCGTGAGGCCAATCGCCAGCGGGATCCGGTCCAAGTCGCCGATCATCTGCACCGGCTGCGGGTGCAGCAGGCTGCCCGAGACGTAGTCCGGCGCGCTCGTGTCCGTGGCGAATCCCACGAAGAAGATCGCGTAGAGGCAGAAGAAGGACGACAAAATGCCCAGAATGCTGAAGTACGACAGCATCGACATGTGCGTCGTCCACATGGACGGCATGATGAGCAGGAACGCCATGATGGTCAGCTGTGTCTCCGTGAACGACGGGATCAGCGCCGCCAGCGTGTCACCAACTAAAATCCACAACCACAAAAATCCAAAATCCAGATTAGCCTCCCAGACTCAATAAAAATAATCCACCATCCACACCATGCATCGAACGTACTCAGCACGTAGAACATGGCGCACGCCGTGAAGAGCTCCGAGAAGAAGGTGACGCCAATGACGACGCGGCCCCTAGTGCCGAAGGCCGCCTCGCCGATGTCCGGGTACGTGGTCATGCCCTCCTGGTAGTCCAGACACTTGCCCAGCAGCTTGGCCGTGTGGTTGGTCACGAGCGTGAAGAAGAGGAAGAGCGGCCCGCCGATGAGCCAGCCGCTGGAGCGCAGCGAGAAGGGGCTGGACAGCACGCCCACGCCCAGCAGCACGTTGATGGCGTTGAACACGGCGTCCTTGTAGCTGCTGGTGCCGTGCGCGTGGGCCGCGGCGCCGCTGCTGCTGGCGGGGGACCACGGCACCTCTGGCTGCTGGCTCTGCGCCTGCAGCAGCCGCTGGCGCTCCGTGTACGGGCTGCTGTTGAACGAGCCCACGCGCCCGGGCGTGCGCGCCACGGACACGGGCGACGCCATGCTGTTGTCATCATGGTTTTATCCGCGGATTAGTCGGATTATCCGTTAAAAAGCAGCAGTGACAAATCGTACCGAGCGTCGAGCCCCTCTTCGAAGGTGGAGGGCCACGCGGGCGCCGCCTCCTGGCCGAGGAGACGCGCGCGCGCCACGGAGGGCGAGTACGAAGGCAGCAGCGGCTGGTGCTCACCGCCTGCAGAGCCCATGACGACACACGGAGGGTGGAGGCGTTAATTGATCTGGCGGCTGGCCGGTCGGCGTGGTCTCCACACTCAAAATAGATCAAGCGGTGATGGGGCCCGCTGATTGGTTGGCGCAGCGTGTTTACAACGGCTTGGACGCCATCGAAGTTTTCGATGAGACGCGAGGGTATTGCACCGGCCTCGACTCAAGGCCCTCGAGAAGGTCAAGTTCCCGTCAGGCAGAGCGCAGTCCGGCTCGCTGCTGTGATGCAAGTGTTTGGCATGGAATTTGAGATTCAACGAAGCAGCATGACTTCCTATAATAACGAATACAGTATCCCCTTTCAGACGCCGCTCAATTTGATCCCGAACAACGCGACTCGCTTGCAAGTGTATTATTATGGGGCCCAATGCTTGGTGGTGTCCTAGCAATCACAGCGAGTTCATTCCGGGTAAATGGGAGATGAGCTTGACAATTTTCCAGGGGCACAGCGGCTGACCAAGTTTTGTCTACCCCACGCCAGGGTGCGTGATAGTCCGGGCTTGTTGCTGTTGGTCCCGCGTTGACTCAACGCCGTTGAGCATTCTACGGACCGCTGGAATGCTGGCCGGCCGGACCTTGCGCTACGACAAGCTCGGGTTGTTCATGGGGACTCCCCATTTTCTTTGCGTACTCCCCATAGGGGAGTACGCAAAGAAAATGCTGTGCCAAGGCAAACAGTTAAATTATCATGGACCATCAGTATAGCTCATTCGAAACCTGCTCGGATTGGGGTAGCAATGCGGGCAAAACCAAGCAAGATCACTCGGCTGCATGCTCGGCCCACATATTGAAGTAGTGCTGGGTGTGCATTTCTGTCTCGCACGCGGCCCAGTAGTCGCTGCTCGCGTCGATCTTAGTATCGTCCACTTCGGTGAACTTCATCATGTGAGGATTTTCTGCTTGACTTTACCGAATCTGAGAGAAGTACTACTGTAGGATGTCGTAGTGAGGCGGTGGTTCCAACCACTTACAGTGAGAGACTTTAATGGTGTAAGTAGTGGGCTGCATTGTAAAATTGGCAAGGAAAAAAACTGATATGATGAAGTTGGTTTTGATATTTACTACAGTAGAGGACTGCAAACATACAGCACTGGGTCGTGCCTGTCGATCTTCCTAGCTAACTTACTTGGAAGCGGCGATGCTGTGGCGCGAGGCGACCGACTCCTTGCCCTGGAGGTCGAACTCGTCGTCATCGCCGTTGGTACTGCTCGACATGCTGAAGTTCATCTTCTTCATGGTGAAGTAGAAGGCGAAGAAGTTGACGACGCTGACGGCGCCCACCGTGAAGAACATGTACTCGAGGTTGCCGTCGTTCAGGTCGTCGGACGGCAGGTAGGGCGAGAACATGACCGTGAAGACCGACGTCATGACGCTACCCACGGACGTCATGAAGAGGTTGACGCTCTGCGACGTGCTCTTGAGGCCGAGCGGCACGGTCGAGTAGAACACGTCGTAGGCCGTCACGTTGATGAGGCACTCGGCCAGCGCGATGAAAACGTAGTTGGGGATGGCGGCGGCCCACGAGATGTCGTTCATGGGCTGGCTGCTGCCGCCGTCTAGGATCGGGTCTCCGTTGGCGTCCTGCAGAGCGCCGGCGTTGCGGCGAATGACCTCGAAGATGCCCGACCAGAAGATGCCGACGGCGGCGACGATGAGGCCGGCGCACACGCGGCCGAAGTGGCTCGGAGCCCGGCCGAAGCGCTTCTCGTACAGCGGGTACACGACCGAGTCGAGGATGGGGATGCAGATGACGATGAAGATGGGGTCGAACACGCCCAGCATGGCGCCGGGGATCTGCGAGCTGTCCGGGTCGCTGCGGTCGAGGCGCAGGTCGCACTGCTGCGTGATGGACTGGAAGTTGGCGTCCGTCTGGTCGTACGCGCACTGCCAGATGATGGTGTAGGCCGCGAAGGGCAGCGTGCTCACGAGCTTCTTGTAGCCCTCGACGTGGTTGTCGTTGAACTCGCCGCCCAGGCTCTCCTTGTGCTGGTCCATGAAGGACTGGTCGTGGGCGCCATACACCCAGCACACCACTCCGGCCAGCACCATGAGCGCAGCAACGTAGGACAGAGCCTCACCGGCACGCCCGGAGTCGGCACTGAAAGCGGACGCGATGTTCACGACCAGCGAGAACAGCAGCAGCAACGCGCCAGTGACCACGACCGCGCCGTTGCGGGACGCGCGCGCGCTCTGCTTGAGCAACCGCAGGAACGTCGAGATGGTGCGGTCCTTGGGCGGCATGTGCACGTAGCGCGGCGAGCCGATGACGAAGAAGACGATGGCCACCACCATCACGCCCGCGCAGATCATATAGGTCGCGAAGTAGCCGTACTCCTTGGGGATCTGAGCCGAGCCGTCCACGCAGAGCACCGACAGGTAGCCGTACGAGAAGGCGGCGCCGAAGTTGATGCAGAAGTAGAAGTAGGAGAAGTACGTGGTCTTCTGGTGCACCTCGCTCGGGTCGTTCGGGTCGAACTGGTCCGCGCCGAACGTGATGACGTTGGACTTGATGGCGCCCGTGCCGACGCCGATGCCCACGAAGAGGCCGATGACGAAGATGGGGTTCACGATGGCCTTCTCCGTCATGATGTCCGGGTGCGCGGCGATGGCCACGAGGAAGTCGCCGATGCAGTACCAGATGCCGAAGGTCAGGATCGTGCGGAAGCGGCCCCACTTCTCGTCAGCCAGGTACGCGCCGAACAGCGGCGTGATGTAGCAGATGGACGTCCACGTGCTCTTGAGCGCGCTGGCCGACACGAGGCTCCAGCCGATCTTCTGCATGAAGTTCTTGAGCCCCTGGTTGATGCCGTAGTAGCTCAAACGCTCCGACAGCTCCATCATGAGGATGAAGACGCACACTTGGAACAGAACGCTCTTGTACTTGCGGGGACGCTCATCCCAGACGCTCGCGTACGCGGCGCCCGGGGACTCGAGGGCCGGCGACTTGATCTTGGACGTCGGCATCGCAGACGAAATTGAAAAGTGAGAGCTGCTGAGAGCGAGCGAGCGGGTGGGGACAGACGGCAACAGACGCAGGAGCGACCGAGCGGGATCGGAGACACCCGTGCACTGTCCTTGACGCGGTACAGTCGCCAACGTCGCGAAAAGAACGCATCCTCCATGTCCGGTTTGCACGCAACTGAGACGAAGAACCTGCACGCGGTGATGGCCAGCGTATCATCGTGACACGCTTGACAAGCCGGCGGAAGTCGAAATGAGTCCATTAGAGCTGTGTACTGTAGGAACTCCACGCACGGCAGACGTTGAAAAGCAGCGTGAAAGCTTAGCAACATATCCTACCCCCGAACTCGACGCACAACCTGTCGAGCGGTACATGTACAGTTACAAACACGGGCTCACGATACGGCGCATGGCCACGCAGTTTTAATCGCGCGGACCTTGCACGCTTGATTAATGGCGACCGGGCCATGCACTCAGCTAGAGGTGACGCGATGAGCTTGAGGGCGTGGATTGGACCAGCGCACAACACTCGGGCTCATTTGGACAGTGGAAACGCTGAAGACTTTACGTGAAGCCTCTCGGCGCCATTGATGTCCGGGAAGCAACAAGCAGGCCGAGATGGACGGCATCTTTCGAATCAGCCGAGTCTACGGTCCAAGGACTTCAGCACGAGATGAAGGGGTTTTAACGTGTGGGTGATTCAGTACATTTTGTATGCTTGCTGATTGAGATTAATGGATTAAAGGCAACGAAGACGGCGTATCCACATTCGTCCACAGGCGTGGCACTGGAGATGAGCTCTCGTCGAGTGACTGCAGATGCTGATGGGCGCTGAGCGGGGTCAATGCTGCAATGCGCTCCGGATATCTCGACCGTTTCGGCTTGGGCTCGCCAGGAGCTTTGCCTGCAGCTCTTGCACTAGGCTGCGCTGCCTCGCTTCAACGAAGCAAGGTCTGTGTGTACGTACACTTGCTCCGTTGCACGAGCGCCCGCACCATCGGAACTGCGTTTGAACACCCGCGTCAAAATTCGCTGCCGGAACGCGGTCAAATGTGCTGAGGATGGCTGATAGGCGTCTGGTTGCAGGCTGCAACTTGCAGCTGGGATGATGCTTGCTAAGCGTTCCACTCACCTTTAACGCAAGCTGTTGCGCAACTGCAGAGGATCTCGATTAGTATGCGCCGAGCGCGTGAAAGCTAAAGCCGGCGCGGGTGAATCCTGCATCCACTTTATACGCGAAACTAAGATGCATGCTCCTGGAACTCGCTGTACCGTGCAAGTACTATTGTGAAGCTACCACGTTCTTCAGTTGATTGGTTCCATTTGCCTTCACTACATTGCTGTGACTTCCAAGGTTAGACTCGAGCCGATTGCAGCTCAGCTGGCAGCATCCAAAGTGAATAACATCTCAGACTACAGTAACGACTGCTGGTCTGATACCTGCACAGCTACATGATTGAGGATTGAGTTGAGGCCGATAACGACTTGAAAACGAAGAGTTGATCACCTTCGCCGATCGTGCGGCCGCCACAAAAAACTATTTTTATTTTTTTATTTTTTAAAAGAAAAAAAGAAAAAAGAAAAAGCTGAAACTTTTAAGCAATTCTGTGAGATCAAGGTGGTGGCAGGAAGGACCAAGCTTACTGGAGTGAAGTGGAATCTAGCCCGAAGTGCGAAACACTCGACACGACACTTCCAGGTGAACCTGAGCAAGCAGTACATCACACTTATTGCTTTTCATCCAACGCTCATGTATTCCTATCTTTCACCGTAATAATGCCTAGCTCTAGTTCGGCTTGCGGGCGCGCGCTCTAAAGCGGGAGAGTGACGAGAGGAAACGATCGTGTCTAGTGTACGCCATCAGTGCACGGGCAAATGCTTCGGCGTCGTCCGCAACGTACCGGTGTAGCCGTTCTCACACGTCACATACAAATCTGAATTAAGGTCAGCTCTATTTTCCAGAAAATCTATTCCGTTCTAAAAATATTCTAAGATCTGCCGCCAATCATTTGCAGAAAATGACTCGCGCACCGAACATCCTCGTCACGGGAACGCCCGGCACGGGCAAGACGTCCATGTGCCAGCAGCTAGCGGTGCGTTCTGTCTTCACCCCGTAGCTCACCATGTCCGCCTGCGTCTTGCGTATCTAGTCACCCCTTTCTCACCTTCAACCGATCCCTACAACCTGTAAAATTCCTTTAGGAGCGATGCCAAGTGCTGTCCCACCTGAACGTCGGCGACTTGGTACGTGAATATCTCGGCTTCTACTGCGAGTTCGGGGCCCGTTCAAGGCTTCCCAAGTAGCTGAGACACAGCAGAATCTGACTGCAATGTGGCGTCGCTGTAGGTGAAGGAGCGCGGGCTGCACAGCGGTCGCGACGAGGAGTTCGACTGCTTCGTGCTGGACGAAGACAAGGTCTGCGACGAGATGGAGGACATGATGGCCGAGGGCGGCAAGGTCGTGGACTTCCACACGTGCGACTTCTTCCCGGAGCGCTGGTTCGACCTGGTCGTGGTGCTGCGCGTGGACAACACGACGCTCTTCGACCGCCTGCAGAAGCGCGGCTACTCGGAGAAGAAGGTGGCGGAGAACGTCGAGTGCGAGATCATGGAGGTCGTGCTGCAGGAGGCGCGCGAGAGCTACGCGCCCGAGATCGTGCAGGAGCTGCCCAGTCGTACGGTGGAGGACATGGAGAGCAACATCGAGCGGATCCTCACGTGGGTGCAGCACTGGACGGCGCAGCACGCGGACGACTAAGCGAAGCAGGCGAAAGGGAAGGAAGCACCATGCTTTGTAAATGTATAGATTGCCTTTGAGGTCATTTGGTGGTGCTAGTTACTGCTGCTGTTGACGCGCGGAATGGATCTATCTACATATCTGTCTCTAGGAGAAGCCGCCGCAGCGAATCGAGTCTTTGAATGATGGGCGGCCTCGGGCTGAATCGGATGAAGGAGTGATGGGCGACTGAGGTGCACCAGAGCTGGTGCTCCTGCCGAAGCCATGCGCTGAAGTCGGAGAGAGGGCTCGAGGTGCAGACAGCTCACAGCTCTTAAACTGGTCGACGAGTGCCCGCTGAGACGTGCTCTCCAGCACCAGACTCTCCACAGCGCGACGTGGCGCCTTCCTCTTCTGCCGTCGGCGTGAAACACATCGAATTAGTTTACAGTTTATCTCTATACTAGACGCAATGTGAGGAAATTAACCTTGGCAGGGACTTTGATTGGTGACATAGGCAACGACCACGCTGGCTCTGGACTCGAGACTCCGCTCACACGCTGGTAGCAAAGCAAATTCAAGGTTCAGAATGGGCGAGTACAAAATCCCAACGAAGCCATGGTACGCACCCGCTCTTGAGGAGACAGATCCACCGCCCGAGCTGCAATGGCGTCACTGTCGGCGCGAGCGTAGTCGTCTGGCATGAGGTGAGTGATGTGGGTCACTTTGTCAGCCAGTTGACCTCGCTTTTCCCTCAAAAATCGTCGTTCATCTACAGATTGTGCTGAACGAATTTTCGCTGGGTCTACAGGCCCAAGCTCCTTGCCGTGCTCTGCGAGCTGAAGACGTAGAGATTCTCGAATGAACGGGGCATTGGCGGGGTCCTCCACATAACCCGGGGCTGGGCGTTTCCACCAGTCTGCGAGCTGGTGAACCTTGGGGATATCTCGCAACCGCTCGATCTCGGGTGGTTCGAACTTGAGACTCTCCAAGCGTTTGTCGTGTTGCCTTCGAGCAAATAGCGCCGACTTGGTTGGCGCGCCGCTGCAAGTCGCTCGTGGATGCCAGTGCTGCGGTGGGAGGTCCAGCTCTTGTTGCCTTGGACTGCGCACGAAAGCGCCACTACGACGATAGGAGTCCCGAAAGACTTTCTCCGTGCGCGCATGCCGCTTATCGCAAGTCAACGGTGGCTCGATGGCCAGCGCTAGAGCGTGACGGTCTTGCTTCCGCGCCTCCAACAAGTCGCTGCGTTTTGTAAAATTTGGCTAGATGACAACATTGCCATGAACCGCATTAGCACATACTGTAAGTACACACTAGGGATAGCAAGCGCGCACCGTTCGCAGCCAGTCCGGCGGAATCTTGACGTCCAGAGTGGCCATGATGAAGCAGGCAAACTGCGCTAGACGCGACTATCTGCGCACTTGAGCGGTTCAAACCAGCGGGATTGACAATGGAATGGGCTCATCTGCACAGACAGGTGAGCGACACCAGCTCCGCGTCTTAGCTTTACGTTTGCTATCAAGTTACAGACAAGTTCGCGAGGAAGCGAGCCGTAAAAATAGTTGGACTAAAAGAAGTGTACCCGATCACAACTAATTTGATTGTAAATTGCCTTGACTTATCGATCCGTGAGAATGAGGTATCGAATGCCAACTTTCTGCAGGTCTGCTGACTTCGCCTCGTGTCGAGAAGGACTTTCCCTTCACCGTTTCATGTACCAGGGCATTTCTTTCTCAACTTGAGGAACTTTTCGAAGTGGGTCATGATCTCCTTGGTCGGACCATGGGCCACCATTATGTGGTAAACGCGAGCGTCCTCGTCGCTCAAAATCTTCAAGCGCTGCAAAACTTAGGCGTCAGGTCTGTTGGTCTTGGCCCAAACCTTCAGATGCATATCCATGTCAGTTGCCGTCCTCGGGAAAAACTCTTCGTACCCATTTTTAAAGACTCTCTTGTCATACTTCTCCACATATCGCACGTAGGTCTTGAAGGCTCTGCTTGTTTCAGGCGCTGGAACCCCATCCAGCCCTAAATTGACCCAGACAGTCGGAGGAGGGACTCTATCGTCCACCCAGCTCCTCAGCTGCACTCCTTCGGCCTTGTACAAAAACTTCTGGTAGTACTTGAAATCTGGGCTGGTCTTCATCGCGCTTTCCGTTAATCCATCGAGCTTTAGCGCCTGTTTGACGGCGTCTTCGGGTGTCTCTGATAGTGCCCAATACGTTGTTTTCGCCCACATTTTCGCTTTCGCTGAGAGTTACGAAAAGACCCCTCTCTCTTCTGTGTCAGTCGCTTTGACCGCCCGCAATACTCTTGCGCGACTCGGTTCGCCACGAAGGTCGGTGGGAAAGTAGTGACGACTGGGTTTTGCGGCAATTAGTGACGCGAGAGCAATGGCGAACAGCAGTGCCACCAGCGAAAAGTGCTGTAGACGCATGGATCAGCCAACCGGAAGAGTCTTGGTGCTTGATCTGCAGGAGTGAAATGAGAAGTGGACATGGTACGGAATGGTACCGGCGACGACTTACAGATCTGCAGGGGCTGAACTTCCGATTAGAGCTACGAATCAACAGATGAAAATGGGCAAAGCGCTGGCATCTTCACCCCGACGATCTATAATATAACCTGGATAATGGACATGGATCCGGAAAAATATAGAAGGTGAAAGTGTGTGCGTGCTTCATGATTCATGAATCTTGTCTACTTGATGGCTTTGACTGTACTTGCATTTATTTAATAAATACCGCTGTATTGTAGATCCAACAGTTTTTAAAGTTTATTTCGATGTAGCACCCCAACGATCATGGTGTATGGTGGCTGATTGGTGTTGAGTTCCTCTAAAATGGCCACGCTTTCTCCAGTTTTCCCTGGAAGTTGGCGTCGCTCATTGGGACCTTCGCCTTGCCAAAGTCTGTCGTGTTCAGAGTAATGCGTGCTTCGTCGGTGAGTTGCTCCCACATGATGAGAGGCTGCGTGTCGCCCAGTATTTTGAAGAGCTAAAAGTTGGGCGGGCCCGCAACTTGAGCCAGAACTCGACGGAGACGGGGAGTCGTTTCGTAGACGTCGTCGGGGCCAGCGGTCCTGTAGTCGTTGTCGCCCTCCGAAGTCGAGATACCGATCATCTTTGGTGTCTCCAGAGCGGGGTTGTCGATCCAGACGACGATACTTGCCCAGTCGTGGTGTCTTGACGCCCAGCGGCTCCAGAAACCCTTGGGGAAGTACCAGGCGTACATGATGGCCCAGTCATCCTTGTACCAAACCGCTCGGCCGTACACTTGCGACCCCGTGGCGCCAGCTTCCTTACACCCTGAAGTACCCCCAGTGCCTTTGAGACCGCCACTCGTCTCCCCAGCACTGTTTACAGCAGGAAATGGAACGCATCCACTCTCCACGAAAAGCAGCGGCTGAAACTTGACTGCAGCCTTCTCCGAGACGGTGACAGGGTTGGGTTGGGCAAATGGTTGCACGGCGTCGTGATCGATGGTACCAGCTCCGACGGCAGTGGTGAAAGCAACAAAAATGGCTAATAAGACCGTGGTTTTCATCGTCGTTGTGATGTTTCCAGAGAAATCTGCTGCCGATGTACCCCGTGAAGTACGTAGCTCGGGTCTAGTGTAAGAATGAGTTGGATCTCTAGGCACCGGTAAGCCTTTTGTGTACGCATTTGCTGCGGGTTCTGATTAGTTGCAGCTCGTCTGTACGAATCAAAGTGCCAACCGCTACCAATATGTAAAAGGAGTTGCTGGGAAACATGGAGCTCTGCCGTAACCAGCACTGGTGTCCAGATGAACAAGTGTATAAACTAGTAATGGCCCGAGAAGACGCAATACTTTAGTACAAGTACCTGAGAAACTAGACTTTACTAAAACAATTAGTGCTCCCATGAACTAACTCATCGGAACAGAAGCGATGAAGGATTATGAGGTACCTACCAGTATACACAAATCATCGCTATTTCACGGAATAATAACTCTCGCTCAACGATTTCGCGCTACTTTTCAAGTTTGCTCGGTGCTGTCCATGAATTCATGTTACTGTACAAGACTGAAGTTTTCGAATAGATAACGTTCGTATTTGTCGATCGAATAGGTTTCATGATCTAGGTAGCTGACTTCGAGAATAGCCATACTAGTATAGCAGCATCCTCACGGCGAATTTTCGCCCCGGTTGCTAGAGGGGCATTGCTTCGGAAAATGTTGTATCTTAGCTTCTCAGCACCACCCCCAAGTATCCTATACACACTCATACTTTTACCAAATTGGTTTCAAAAATATATGCACGAAGTGGCGGGTTTGCATCAGATTTTATTAAAATGACCGGGCTTGGAGTTTAATATGGAAAACGGTATAGGCAGCACGGGGACCGATGCCACGAGCAAGCGCAGCGAGCACTGGTAGACAGCGCGCGTGTCCCCAACGTTGCACACATGCTGATCAACTAGAACTTGCATGTCCGAGTCATCCGTCGCCGCCATAAATGAAGACAGGAAAGAGGCTTGACATATCAGCAAGGGATCTCGCGCCGCATCTGGTAGTTCCGTCGTAGCTTTCGACCTCTTTCAACCGTAAATCAATGTATAGTCATTTGCTTAGTCCTGGTTTCCATGCTACAGTAGTAAATAAACACTTTCCGAATCATTATAAGTGGCTTTGGCGTTGCCACCGTTGGCCGCTGAATCGATTGCAACAAATTTCCGGGTGGACATCGTTAAATATCCCCCACAGTACCAGACTAAATCGTGCTCGAGCATTCAGCAAGCCAATATATTAGTAAAATTGTAACTCATGGCGAAAAATTCAGTCACATTACATTCAACAACCACCGGTATGCACATTTGCTCTTACATTACATTAATTTAAAGCTCATTGAAGCAGCGACACCAGCAGTGTGCCCCCCCAACACGTAAGTGCTTTTCACAATAACACGAACTCACTGTAAGTGATTTAAAAGAGCTTCAAGATGAACGACTACACGTCTCACTCCACATACATGTTCGCCAGATTCACTATACAGTAACAAACATTTAGCAAACGCTAGTGTTAGCTATACATTTGGCGTTTGTGTGAACATGCAAGACCAAAAGTTGGTGTCAGAATTACACATTGCTACTTTAACTTGCACAGGAAATAGCATGCGATTTTGGAGAGCAACGACGTCTTACTTCCTGCGCAAATGACAATACTTCGTCTATTTATCAAGGTTGTCAGAATAATATACCAAATGTCAGGGCAAAAAGAGAATTCTCCACGTTTTCTTCACAGCTACAGAGCATACATCCTGGCTATTGTCTCCACTAGATGGCACGTCTGGCCTAGTCACCGCTTTCTGTATCATGCCAATCTTCGTAATCGGTTGCCCCCGCTGCTGCAGAACTGTGTGTAGCAAGCGATTTATAGATTTCTTCAGTCAACGATTGCAGCAACTAATATGCCAACTAATTCTAGTGCTGCCTTCTTGCTTCCGCATGAGTGGTTCGTAATAGTTAGCGGTAGCATAGTATAGCCTTTGGATTTAGACTTAGTTTGCCAAGGATCCATCAGTGTACTGACCGATACCTTGAATTAGGTTATCTATGAATAACCTAATCCAAATAACTCTTCAGTATGTTGTTTCGTACGTTAGCGGAGACTTTTTACGGAGCTGCCTGACCTCTCATATGTTTTTTACGGCGGGCTCCACTGTCATTTGCCTCCGTTACCACATTTAACCGGAGTTCAGCCACCCGTTGAAAAGGGTTCCACGGTCCATGTGCATAAATCGTCGGTCGTCAACTCTTACATTAAACTTCAACGATTAACGCAATCGTTTGTTTGCTGATACAAACGGGGCGATCTTCGGTTCGATAAAAAGTTGTCCTCAGTTTAATAACTTGTTATACCTTCGAACAAGGTAACATTTGAAGGGTCGCGTTTGAGCGCCGTTCAACATGAGTTCGTGTGTTTTTAAAAAGAGGTAAAAGTCGATCGAAATCGCCCCGGGCAGGCTATGATAGTTCCTTTGCCCTACCCCATTCTCAATTGTAATACAGGGGTTCATAAATTGGAGTAAACAGTACCTGTAAAAAGGGTAAAAAGTCTTTATGTGACTTGACAACCTCCTCCCGCCATAGGCGCCTGTCAGCAGTGGCCCATGGGTGAACTTCTATATCGTTTCACTTCAAGGATCAAAGCTCTGGATGAGGTCGTCTTCGTGGGTACAGACGCCAGAGTATGCACAAGTAGGCTAGCACTCGCGAATGCCGCGCTAACAATCAATCTCAGTTCTCAATTTGCAGCACAGAACTCAAGTAGCTTGGCACATTGAAAATTTTCAATTAAACCCGACTTGGTTCACCCGTGGGCCAACTTCAACATCATGAGCCGCTCCAAGGACGACGACAAGGAGCGCTATCTGACCTACTCGATCGTCGTGCGGCAGGCGGACGAGGGGAAGGGCATCAAGGAAGAAGTCGTGACGAAGAAGATGGCGAAGTTCATCGATGGCGGCCCCAAGGAGTTTTTAGAGTGGACGTACCACTTTTTCCAGCTCGCCAAGCTGAAGGAGTGGGGCCCCGAGGACAAGTTCCGCAACACCAAGATCCTGCTCGAGGGTGATCTGCTGGACGCGTTCAACCACAACGAAGCAAGCGTAAACGACGGCGACGTGCGCATGGGGGACGACGACTTCACCAAGGCACTGTATCAAGCCTCAATCGTGGTGATTCCGGTTGACTACGGCGAGAAAATCCAAGAAGACCTGTGGGAAATCCGCAAAGTCCGCAGCGAGACGCTCGCGGAATTCAGCAAGCGCTTGCGGACCTTGGTTCGGATGGAGCAAGTGATGGCAATGCTAACGGGGCAGACAGCTATGCCGGAGGACGCGCTTTGTCGCCTCTACAAAGGTGGCCTTCCGTATGAGTGGCAGTCGAAGTACGACACCAGCGGCCAAGTAAGTGTACACCACGGTCTCGTCACTTTTCCCGTATTTTGAGCGCATCGAGCAAGGCGAGCTGCGCCAGCACGGAAGAAACAACGGGAACGGGAACAAGAAGCATTTCCGGCCAGACAATAATCGTGGACAAGGACGGCGCGGTGGCCGGGGCTACCATGGCAACAACAGCAATCGGCAGCAGCAGCAGCGCCGTGAAGGCAACCGTGGACGCGGGAACAGCAGCAGTCGCAACGACAGCCAGAACAAGTGGTGCTCATTTCATCGTACAACAACGCACAATACGCAGGAGTGCCGCTCGCTGCACAACCAGCAGCAGCAAGAAGAACACCATCAGGCTGATGCTCAACGAGGCTTCAGTAGCACTCGTGGCCGTGGCGGTCGCAATAGAGGTGGCCGTCGCAACGATTTCACCCGCGTTGAGCAGCGCAATCAGCAGGACGCAAGCTCAAGTGATGACGAATATCTGTTTGTGGAGCTCAATACTGCAGAAGAGAAGTCGGCTCCACCCATGCGAGCGATGATAAAACTGGAGCACGGGCGCGAAAAATATTTGGCCTTGTTGGATAGTGGCTGCTCTCGAAGTCTCATCAACGAGAGGTTCCTGCAAGTCGCAAGAAACCAGAAAATGCGATGGAGAACTCTACCGTGTTTTTTGATTTGGTGAAAGGAAGTGCCTCGAGTGACGGATCCCTCGAGATTCGATTCCGCATTCCGAAACGCAAGCGCGAGTCGGTGATCATTCACCGCTTTGAAGTGCTTTCTTCTGTGCGATATGACATGGTGATTGGTCGTGATCTGTTGGCTGCTCTCGGGGTTGTGCTGGACTTCAAGAACGGGCGTGTGCTTTGGGATGGCAGCGAGATGAAAATCGAGACAGGAGCAACTCGACCTGGACTCGTAGAGGTACCTGAGCCGGACCAAGTGCTCGAAAACGACGACGAAATGCTGGTAGGAGAAGCAACGGCGCTCACACCAGTCGATCTCATGCCGCAGCACATTGATCAGGCCCTGCAGCACTGCTATCTCAAGCTTCTCGAAGAATACTACGACAGGTACAGCGGACGACTCGGCCGCATTCGCCTTCCTGACTACATCTTGCCTCTGAGTGCAGATTATCAGCCTTTCTACACGAAGCCCTACACGATTCCTCGCAGTCAAGAACACGCAGCACGCGACGAAATTCAGTCTGCTCCAGTTGGACGTGATCGAGCAGATATACGATTCGGAATCGGCTGCACCAGCATTTTTTCTTGTGAAACCCGATGGATCGCTACGACTCCTGGTTGATTTCCGCAGGCTGAATCGCTATCTGCATAGCTCACCGTATTTCGTGCCCAAAATCCGTGAAATTCTTCTCCGCCTGGATAAAGCGAAGTGCATGAGCACGTTCGACGCGAACATGGGCTATTTTGCACGTCGACTAGCGAGAGAAAGCCGTGCAGCGACTGCATTCTGCTTGCCGTTCGGTAAGTTCCAATTCAAACGGCTCCCGATGGGAATATCTACTGCTCCCGACGAATACCAAGCATACATGGAGCGCATTGTTGGAGATTTACCTTTCGTGATTGTTTACCTGGACGACGTGCTAGTGTTCTCGGAGAATGAAGAGGACCATATCGAGCATCTTCGCATTGTGTTTGAGCGTTTCCGCCAGTTCGACGTCACGCTCATCGCGAAGAAGTGCCATATCCTTCGTGAAGAAGTCGATTACTTAGGGTTCACGCTGACTCGGGACGGAATCCAGCCCCAAAAGAAGAAGATCGAAGCCATCCAGCACATTGCAGAGCCCCGCACGAAGAAAGAGCTCCGCCGCTTTTAGGAATGATTTCCTACTACCGCGAAATGGTACCAAACAAGTCGGCGCTGACGGCCCAGCTCAACAAACTCACCTCGAAGAACGCGCCATTCACCTGGCCCAGAACATGCAGCAGCGTTCCAAGAGATCAAGAATGCTCTAGCTCGGAATGTGTGGCTTGCGTTCCCCGACTACAGCAGGACCTTTCACGTGTTTGCTGATGCAAGTGGCAGACAAATAGGTGGGGTCATCATTCAGGGCAAGAGGATTCTCGCTTGCTTCTCGCGATCAATGACAGAGACCCAGCAAACATATTCTACAATGGAGTGGGAACTTTTGTCAATCGTCGAGCTGCTGAAGGAGTACCGCGCGATGCTACTCGGATTTCCTGTTGTAATTCACACGGACCACAAGAATCTTCTCTTTCCGCAAGAAAACTCTCTGCTGGAAACTCCTGCGGGAAGAGTATCGCCTCACTGTTAAGTACGTCCCTGGAGCGCTGAACGTGGGCGCAGATGCATTCTCTCGACTCCACTACGACTACGTGAAACAGACGATAGAGGAGGAGCTCCTGCGCATCGAGGAAGAAGAAATAGCCATCGACGGCGCGGTGATCAAGCGTCATCAGGCAGAAGACCCCACGACGAAGGAGATTCTAAACCGGTTGGTGTGCCGTGGAGCTGATCCTGATTATTCTCTCCGCCCGACTTTAGGCAACGTATTGCTGTACTACAAAAAGCGTGTTGGCATCCCACCGTCTCTCCGCCATAGCCTCATCGAGCTATATCATGACTACCTTCTTCACCCCGGTGCGGAAAAGCAATTTCGCAGCATGGCTACATTTTGGTGGCCCGAGATGGAGAAGGAGACCCTGGACTACGTCAAGGCCTGCGTGGATTGCAAACGAGCAAAACTACATGGGGTAAGCAGAAATACGGCCGCATTCCACCTACGCCAGCGACCAACAACGACAAGCCTTTTGACGTCGTGCATGTTGATCTTGTCGGTCCCTTTGACGGTGATTACTACTGCGTGACTATGATCGAGAGGCAGTTCCGCTGGCTGGAGCTGCTAATGCAGAAGGGCAAGACGTCGAAGACCTCTGCGCTAAGCTTCGAGAGAGCGTGGCTGTGCCGCTACCCGCGCCCAAGATTTGTTATCCATGACCTTGGCCCTGAATTCACTGGAGACGAGTTCCAGTTACTGCTGAGTACCATGGCTATCAAGGACAAGCCAATTACTTCGAAGAATCCCCAGGCCAACGCGATCTGTGAGCGCGTTCATCTCGAGATCATGAATATCTTGCGGGCCCGACCGGATTTGCACGACCAACTCGAAGTCGCTTTTGATTATGCAGCGTACGCAATTCGGGCTAGCTACCATTCGATTCTCCGGGCTTCGCCGGCTCAGCTACTCTTCGGTGAGGACATGATCACGAGGCAATTGCATTTTGCCAATTGGAGCTATTTGTCAAAGCAAAGGTTTGCAGCTATCCTGCAGGACAACGAGCGCGAGAACATGAAGCGGCTCGAGCATTTCTACTGCGTGGGAGATCACGTCATGCTTCGTATTCCAGCGCGCGAGCGTAAGAAGACGTACCAGGTTGCAAAAGGACCATTCATCGTGAAGGAAGTGTTCAACAATGGCACTGTCCTCCTGGACACCGGAACGACGGAGTATCGAGCGAACATCCGCCGCATTTTCCCGTGTTGATTGCCATCTCGGCATGGGGGAGAATGACAACCTCCTTCCGCACCCAGTCGCCACGGGCGCCTGTCAGCAGTGGCGCATGGGTGAACTTCTGTATCGTTTCACTTCAAGGATCAAAGCTCTGGATGAGGTCGTCTTCGTGGGTACAGACGCCAGAGTATGCACAAGTAGGCTAGCACTCGCGAATGCCGCGCTAACAATCAATCTCAGTTCTCAATTTGCAGCACAGAACTCAAGTAGCTTGGCAGACTGGCTCGTTCTTTTGGGCAAAACCAATGGCCGATGCGGTTCCGATATTTTTGTCGCTGTCGACATCCCATCACGGTTATTCTTTGGCGCTTAAATCATTCTTGTTGGTTTGGGTACATTAAGAAGATGCGTTCGATTCCCGCTTTATCTGACTTCTCAATATATGTGAACTAGGATGCTGCTTACTCGACAACAGTGCGGAACACCACACCGGTGCGGTATGCTAGATGTAATTGTACATGCCGAAGCTTGAATCAGTTTGTATGCCTGTTGATGAAGTCGCCTAGATGTCTGGAATGTTGAAGACGCCGGACAGGTGAGTTGAATTTGGTCTTAAAAAACGCCGATAGTTGGAGCTGAATGAGCTCTTGATCGTTGATAGCGCTGTTTCAAGGGGTTCCGGTTCTCCGTTCTCGAAACAAAGTGTGTTTCTCTCCGTCCATTGGCGAGGAAGTGCCGCGCACCTCACTAAATTGCATAAGCAGAGCACTGGTTCTCTGCAGTGGTACCATGTTGCCCGAATTTGCTGCTTGTGAGGGAGCACCATGGTCGTTCAACTGATGTCTCCTACGAAAAAGATACTCCAGTCCTTCCGGAGGGCTTCCCAAATTTCGTTTGAGTGCTGGCACTCGAGAAAAAAGATATTGCGTAGTTTCGATTGCTGTGCAGCCGTAGTATGGACACTGATGAACATTTGCCTTATCTGGCGCGCTAGAAACCAAAAGCACGAACTGCAATTTATGACAAGCTGAGAGAAGAAATCATTCTTCACCGCTGCAGGCCACCCAGCAAGCATGCAGCGATACCGGACAAAACTCGAAACCCGAGGGAGGGTGCTTGATGATCACGGAAGTCCCAGCCACAAGCGTTACACAGAGCGGCAGATGAATCCGTTCGCATTCGCCAGTACTTCTTGGCGGCGTCTGTACATCAACGATAGAGGGTCTGGGTGAAGAGGCTACCTTTGTGAGATTGGAGCACCTAACGCGAACTCATGTGGTCGCCGGCGAAGAGAATTTGGTACTCGAACACCCTATCATTGCGTATGTCTGCCGATTGTTTCAACTCCATCACCGCAACAATTGCCGAGGTACTCCTCGGCTTGATAGCCAAGCCGATAAATGGACTCAACGTGCGGTTCGTTTTGGAAGGGCCATCACGTTGCGAATGGAAACTACGAAACAAGACAATTCTCCTTGCTGCAGGCCCACATGGACCTATTGTGACGCTGATCACGAAGCATCTCGGGGAAAACCTGGAGAGTGTCTTTGAGTTGGGACTTGAGTAATGTAGACGTATGAATTGTTAACGAAGTCCCGGCTTCTGTGTCAGCCTGGTATCTGGTACCCCTAAAGGGAAGTATTGTCTGTTGGTATCCTCTACTGCTGTATCAGGCTCCCCCAGCGTTTACATCGTCAACAAAGTATGCTTCGCAGAACTTTGTTAACGCTCGACCCAAGGCGTAAAACCGCATCGTGGTCTCTGCTAGCGCCATAATGCCGCGTTCCCGGACTTGAAGCTTTGTCGTGGCTGCGTGAGCATCGACCACAAGCAAGTGGAACGAAGTGCAGCAGTCTTCGATCGTAATGACAGTGATCTGTTCATGCACGCGCTCAAGCCTTTCCCACAATGAAGAGCACAGCGAAATCACTTGGTCAGTGTTGCCTTGCAATGTCTCCGTCCCCTGCCGAGCTCCAGGGGTAGAGACTGCATCCGTGACATCGTCTGGTAATGTCGAGCAAGAACATCGCTTGGCACTAGATACCAGGACTCGCCAGCTCGCCAACCACCTTCGAGGTCTTTTGCGTTTTACTCCGTTGGGCGGGACCCTCATTGGGCTTTCGACGACAGGTTTGGCCAGCCTAGCCAGCTCATGTCGGGCTGCAGCAATCATGTCGGGGACAGAAACTCGATTCGTGACATCCGCTGACAAGGTGTCGGGCTCGGCCATTGCTTGGGTATTGACGCCGGAGTTCGCCAGTCTGGCCAGCTCGTCCACCACAGTCGATATTTTAATCCGCTGCTTCGGGTCCAGCGCGCACATTCGCACGACCAATTCCCATTGACTGTTGCTGCACTTAGGCCGCGCCGGTAGTGTGCCGTGGGTGGCATGGTATCTCACGACGTTTCTGTCAGCAACGCGCCACGGCAGGCAACCGCGAGAGTCTTTGCCAGTGTTTACTGCCTCCACGACCCGAAGGGCTTCCACGACGCACATTCCCACGTCCCCCCCCGCGTCGAGCATTTAGCGCGGCTCTACTGGCAATGCAGGACTCTTGCCGATGAATGTGGCGTCATCACATGGACGCACCATTATCGCTCTTTCAATAAAACCGCGGATGCACTAGCGAACTTAGCGATGGACACCAAGGTCAGTCGCCAGGTGGGAAGCGCTGACACTGGGATACCATCGGGCTGCTGGGATGACTCGCTCCGGCACACACAGATGGATCTGAATGAGTGGCAAACTGACATGGATGTCTTGTCACAACGCACGCCCAGGACCGGCCATCCTTAAGAAGAAGAGGCTGCTGTAGACAGCTAACGACGTGTATGGGCGTTAGCTGCGGATGTTGGTGATCGCTAGGACTACGCACTAAATGAACACAATATACCTCACCTGCAAAATGAAATGACGCACATGCCCAGCGAATTGACATCTGATGCGAATGTTGGGCCCGCTTGCTGTGGTATTTCTCCTGCCTTGCCGTCCGGGAAACACTCGGGAGCCACCCAGTGCCACGCACCTGAAATCTGCGCAATGTCTTCGCTGCTAGCGGCAGAGCTGAGACCAAAGTCCGTCACTTTTGCTTTGATATCCAAGACATACTGCTGTTGTCTATGAGCCTACAACAGCTATCGAGAAAAACCTGCAACACAAAATCATTTCAGGGTTTGACGTACTTAAGTACTCGATAGTAGTGTTGGCATTGTGCAATTTCCATATTTTTCGTAATAGTTGTTTCGTTTTGCTGGCCCTGCCACTCTTACCAAAATTTCCCGGAGTTACTGTGCAGTAGCTTCGGAGAATTCACACAACACCGAAGTAAATTTGGGGTTGTGTGACTACAGTAATGTGCGTCGATAAGGGACCTCTGATATGAATAGGAGTGTAAAGGCTATTAAGGCGAACAAGTGGAAAAAGAAAGAACAATGTATTGATTTAGTTAAGAATAAATGACACACTGCTTTTACTAATGTGCGTGGAGTGCAACCAGCACTTCTGAATCGTAGAAGCTGACACATTATCCCACGCAGTCTCGCATCACTTCATGGCAGTTAGTAAGTCAACTGTATGTCTAGGGATGCCCAACTTCTTGGCTAGCACCGTAGCATAGAAGACGATCATTGCACCGCTGAGGCAAATGCCCTCCGCCTCTGCAAGCATGATGAACTCGACGATGTTTTGATCGATCTGTAGCTGGAACGGAGACGGCTTGTTCTTGCGCTGAGCACTTTCGTGAGGCTGGCGCAACAGCGCGATACGCCCCGAGATGATGCGGTCGATGGTGGTTTTCCCAGGGGGCCTTAGCAGACCGAACTCGACTTTGGCCCAAAGGGCCAGGTCTTCATACTTGACAGCGGGGGAGCTCTCAGCCTTCTTGATCAGACGCAGCTTCTGCTGCTGGGTGAGGCGAGTTCTAGTCTTGGAGGAGGAGCTCATGAGGTGGGTGGATGGGTAGGGCGCTGGTGTTGTGGCAGATTCCGTTGTGCTTGGAGATCGCGCCGAGCGGGTTGGAGGGAAGGAGTTATGTTCGCGCCCGAATTCAAATGGTAGCTTCAATCACTGATTGGCTAGATCTGACCTCACTAGCCAATCACAAGTCGCGCTCGTTGCGAAACCAGCCAATAGTGCCAGGATCCTGTCGAAAGTTAACTCAAATCAATGTTAGCTGTGTTCTTGACTGACAGATGTATATAATGTATGTAAGGATATTAGTTACCGCACGTCCCTATTGACGCACACTAGCGCTCTGGGCATCCGCTACGCGGGCGCTTTGGCCACGGGTTGCTGGAATAGCATAGCTTAAAAGTATATGCATCATTTTGATTTCCATAACAATAATGTGCGGATACAGTTGACACATATTCGTTGCTATAACTTCGTGCTTTAGTAGCAAATGAGTAGGACTACATTTTCCTATTAAGCTAATTACCAAATGTCGCTCACGATGCAAAGTTGAGTACCTAAACATCGAGTGAGCTGAATATCGTTGCCGTTGTATTATTGATCACCCGTTTCTGCGAGGCGAGCTACATTTGTCACGGACATGCCTTACTACAGTGTAGTGACTTGCGTGTTTACTTACTTTGAAGTAATAACTAAAGTATTGAAACTATGATTGGGTGTGGTTTATACTGCGTTGCAAACTGGTAGCTGTCGTCGATACCGTACTCTAGTGTTGTTACTGCGTTAGCACTGAAGACTGCAACTTTGCCAGCATGAATTTACGCACTGCACCGTGCTACATGTAGTAATGCTGGTTTGCGCGATAACAGTTCAAATAGACATAGCAAATTTAGCTCAACTCAGTACGGATCGGTAGCGACTGTGCGTCTTCGATGGTTAGGTTGTTGTGTATCGTGTATATGCATATGAAGCGTTTGGCGGGACCCCGGGGTCCCCGCTTGCCCCACCAGCTGTCATAAGCAACCGGTATATTCGGTAAATTCAAGTGCTGCATGATTGTATCGATGCTATGTATCTCTGGTAGTATCGACTATCGAGTTACACAGAGCTGCAGAGTTCGCAACTTTGCGTACCCGACGCCGCTGCTGCTGTAGTAGGCGCTAGCTTCTAGCAGTCAGCTTGAATCTTCTTGGTCGTATCTTCATCAAGACGCTTAACAGAACGAACGAATGCAGCAGCTTTGTGGTCACGACAATTTCAATACTTAAGTATCACGTTTGCGCCGAGGAACCTCTGCACCTCCAGTTCGCCCAGACTTCATACTGGATGCTAGATGCTTGAAGGTGAAATGAGCTCTAGCTAAACTCGAAAAATTATCACACGCTTGTCACAACATATATATTATCACTGCCCCGCCAATAAAAATAAATAACTCCGGTCGCCATCGGTACATGATGCGGGACCCCGGGGTCCGGCCAATAACTTCATATATATATTGCTCTAACGACAATGTCTACTGAGGCGAGGCCGAGAAACCTTTGTCGCCCAGGGGGGTTCGTATAGCGCAGCCCAAGACTGTTTCTCAGGGGTAGACCCAGAGAATCGACTTGAGAGTCAACAGCAAGAAGATAGACTCAGAGATTCGCAGCCGCAAAGCTTTAAACCCTGAGAATCACACTCCTTGGTCGGCGTGGGTACCTTGTGTAATCCCTGTCGGCTCGTTTGTCTTCGACGGAACGGCACTCCACCGGTTGAAAATGTAGCCTCGAAGAAGTGCGGGAGCGCATGTCTACTTCAGAACGCACCTCCACACCAAAAGGCAAACCCAGAGAATCAGATCCCCTGAAACCCAGAATATCACGAATTCAGGGTCCAGGATTTCAGTCAACTCTGGGACTTGGAACTCAGAAGACATCTTACCCAAATGCCCTCCTAGCTCGATAAAACCAACAAATACAGAGTATACAAACACTACAACTAGCCGTCACTTATTCTTTTGGACCCTTGGACGGTGGGTCACACACACACTAGGCTCACTCGAGTCTGAAATTCAGGGACCTAGCTCCCCTGAGACTCACACAAACGCGCACCACCTCCAATAAAGGAGGAAAATACAATCACTATCAGTTACCTTTCCCTTCACACAAGCAGTCAATACAAAATCCTGGAGGCGACCACCTAGCACCCCAGAATACCCTCTGGAATAATATGAAATGGGCTACCACGAGCACAGCAAGTGACCCAACTAGGATATGGAATAGATGGATCACCCCAGGAAGCTCAAGGTCGTCGCTGGTCACCACCTAACTGGACTTGAGTTTGATGGAGTCCACACAGACGGCTGTCCTTCGCCGTTGATGTGCCCTTAGCGTCCCGCGGTCGTAGTCTCGGGTCCTCCGGATTTCCGTCGGCAGGCTTGGCCGAAGTCACTTGCGCAGTACAGGGTAAAAGGAACTCTGTTTGGTTTTTATCAGCTACTTCTCTCTCTCTCTCTCTTCTTCTTCTTCTTCGGGCAAATATCTTCTGTTCACTATGCTTGGGGTCACAATGTCTTGTCTTGAGTATACCTTGGGATCAGCGGTCCAATCTTGCGATCGGCTTGCGAATCCATTGTCGTACGGCGTCGAAAGTGTCAATTGTGGGTCCTTAGACTTGGTTTAGTATGGTGCAGGACTCCCTCTCGACTCTTCGAAAGTATCCAGTCTGTGCATCCATGTCGGTTCTTCAAGGTCACGCATCATTTTGATTGCAGACTGGCTTCGAACTGGCTCGAATACCTGAAAACCAGGTGACACCCAGGGTCATCTTCTGAAATCCTGGGAATTCTGAGGAATATTGGGGAACTGTGGGGATTCTTGGGTGTTGGCTCGGGAAACACTTAAGTTCAGTATAGAGAATCTGGATTTATGGTCCTAAACCAGATAATCATCTTTGGAACTCTGGGTCACCTGCACTCAGGGAGGTGAACTCTGGGTCATCGTGCGGCACTCTAGGTTTCCGTGCGGCACTCTGGGTAACAAGTCTGCTGCAGTGCAGACTCGTGTGTATCTCCTCAAAGCCACACTTTTAGTGGGTTTAGCGGCCTCCTGCGCATGATCATGGTAGTAGTGGGATGATTCTCAGGGTAATTTGATCCTCTGGGGCACTCTGAGCCACAGCAAGATGAGGCGTACTCTGGGATACATTCTTCAGAGACACTTTCCGCCAGACTTTAGGCACTCATCGTAAGGGAAATTCCGCGGCTGGACTGAGTGTTCTCTTAAATTCTGGGCGTGCACTCCCAGGATTCACACTTCCAGCCAGTTGGGCCCATCTGCGGTCAGACGCTGGATTCATCCCGAGAAATCACTTCTCTCCCACAGTCGCCATCCATGTCACACGGGTACAGCCGCGCCGTATCCCAGTCATCCACCAATCAGCATCCGATACAAACTCCAGGTCACAGAGGTGACGGCACATCGTTGGCAATTTTCTGGGGACCGCCTCGTGTCACTACACTAAGCTGCATTATGTGCATGCTGCAGTAGTTTACGGTACACGTATCTAGGGTAGCAGCGCGCATCTATTTTGAAAGCTGCATGCGTTGCCAGTGTCACTACTATTGTACGCTTTGCCTACTCTGCATCTTTCATCTGGATTTATAACGCGTTATTGCTCTTGGTGCATGGCGTACAGAACTTAGTAACAGTAATTCGAAATTGCGCACGACCATGCTGTTGTGCGCTGCGCGCAATTCGAGCAGCATTTTCTAAAATTGTTTTGTTGAAGCGCGAGAGTTAGGGCACCTGGGATATGATCGATTTTGATTTGAGTTGGAGTGCATTGTTGTCACTTGGCTGATGCGACTATCGTTCCTATGGAAGCGAGTGTCGGACTGCAGCAAGATCCTGCCATTAATCAGCTTAATAAAAACATAAAAAGTCGTAAGTATGACACCTCAATGCGCGCGCTGGTGATGCACCTGGGTTTACTTAATTCGACCAACTACTACGTAGTAGTAACTTAAGTTGAGCACGCGACTACTCAAATTGGTGTATTATAATGCTTGATTCCTGCAAATGAATACAGCAAGATTGCCAGCTACACCACGCCGCGTGCTGTTTATCAGTTAATCTATGTGCAGCGTTAGGTGGTCAAAATGCGTCGTTCGCACACATTCTTGGTGTATTAGAAGATGAACACCTAATAAGCACCAGTCTACCCCTAATTCCGTACTGTAATCCATCGACTGCCCTGAAGGTACCAGTTATCCCAACAGGCGGAACTCCCGAAACCGTAAAGTAGTTTATTTATGTAGATGTATGCATGTACTCACTGTAGCAGTGTCCGCTGCCGCTGCACTCCGCTGCTCACTCCCGTACGCCACGCGCCCTCCCGCTCGTTGCCTCCACCGCGCGCCAACTTTCAAAATGGGGGATGTGATAATCACACCCGTTATAGTCCGACCGGTAAGTCCGAATTTTAGAGTGATTGTGGCTATTGTTGTAATTTCGTCGACAGTTAAAAAGCCAGTTCCAGTCGACTTGATGAGTGAATAATGTATGCAATAAGGCCGCGGTAGCGTAGTCTAATTGACAGGTCTAGACTGTAGGGGCGGAAAGCATGACGCGATGACCGACAGACAGGATTCTCGGTTAGAGGACGGAGATTACTGTACCCCAGATTTTGTTTTTGAAATTACGGCATATATTCACTTGCGTAGGTAGCTTGGTACAGCTACAAGAAATGGAGCTCCGTCTCCAGGCTGCGCGTAAGCAACGCTACGCTGCGGAGTGTCTGCGGCTTCATAAGGGGCAAAAGCAGCCCCCCCCCCCCGATTTCGGATCATTTTGGCGAAAGAAAACTAAAACTTGCACCAGTATCTGTTGTTATTATCCATCGCAGTCTACAGTGCATGTAGAACGCTTTGTCGTATCGTTCGATCCCGCAAGCTGATCCTAACTTGGTTACATTACAATCGACGCTACTTACTATTATTTTATGATTCCTCTCTATTAGCCAACTTTGTACTAATACGTGGTAACAACATGCTAGCTAAGTATTCACACGAAAGCGAATTCGTAAGCTTGCATGTTGCCCAAAAGTATAGTATCAAACTCTACACCTTTTCAACTTCAAAACTGCAAATTGTAAGTTCAAAACAGCAAAAGGTAAGTTCAAAACTGCACGAGCAGAGACCAGGCCAGCTTCGTACTTTTATACACAGCTCATTGGTTGGCACGCAGCATAGCTAGCCAATAGGCAAATTGTACTCTATAATCGTATACGATGATAGATATCATTCAGTTTGTAATATACATTTATAGAGTATTGTTGTTTTGATCTTACCTTTTGCTGTTTTGAACTTACAATTTGCAGTTTTGAAGTTGAAAAGGTGTACTAATCAAAAAGTAATAGTACTACAAGTAAGCACAAGGCACCGGTTGTCAACACGCAATTTATATGAAACCGACAACTTGATCACTGTCTTCTACATCCTGCAGGACGTGTGCCACGACAAGACCCAACATATCCTTTCTTCGCTGGGACTTTCTAAAACGGCCACGCCTTCTTCAGCTTCTTCTCGAAAGTGTCGTCGTTAATCGGCACGTAAGCGAGGCCGAAGTCCGTCGTGTTGAGTGCCAGTCGCGCTGCCTCGGGCAGTTGCTCCCACATGATCAGAGGCTGGGAGTCGCCGGTCCTAGAGCTGTAATACAGCTTCGGCTGCCCTGCCTCCCGACTGGTCGAGCGAAACAGGAGCGTCGTCGTGCCGTCCAGAATGGCATAGTCCGGGGCTGGTGTCTTCGTTTCGTAGTCGTCATCGCTCGTGGAGGTCGAAATGCCCAGGATCTTGGGTGCCGCGAAGTCCGGATTGTCGATCCACACGACAGCGCTAGACCAGTCGAAGCGCCTGGACGCTACCCCCACGAAGAACCCCTTGGGGAAGTACCAGGCGTACATGATGGCCCAGACATCCTTGTACCACATGGCTCGGCCGTACACTTGCGAGCCCAGTGGAGCGCTATCGCATGCGGAATTTCCCGAGTTCCCCTTCAGTCCTCCGCTGGTCTCGCCAGCAGCGTTGACCGCGGGGAAGGAGACGCATCCGTCCTCAATAAGCAACTGCGGCTTGAACTTGACTGCCGCCTTCTCCGAGATGGTCACGGGATCCGGCTGAGGAAATGGCTCCACCTTGTCATGGTCGATCTTGCCGGCGTCCACTGCGATGAACGCAGCCGCGAGGATAACGAGGAAGCCTCGGACGTTCATGACTCACGCGGATGGTTGTGCAGCACGGGGGGAAATCGAAACTGAGCTCATCCTGGAGCCTGAGCACACGAGCAGCCTCAACTCAATGTGTGCAGAAGTGGGTTCCAAGATAACCAATGCGATGTGGTGAACAGCGGACGGGTTCCGATGCCTTCATAAATGTATGCATTGTCAAAGCCCACCTGATCCCCTCCCTATCGTGAAAATGGTTTCGCAGGTGTCGGCGCTTCCTCTACACCAAGCGGGAGGATTTATGCTGATTTTGACCCCGACTCAAGAGTGTCGGCGCTTTCTGCACTTCCATGTGGAGATATAGGGCATGGCTACACAGCGATGTCTTACCCTCCTGGTGAGTGCCAAGTCGGCAACGAAACGAGTAGAATAATTTACAACACTGGCAACGCAATAAATATTGTGAAAGGGTGTCTTGTTAAACTTCTACGAAGTTTTGTTGACAATGTGCCGGTGTACGTGTATTTGCCGAGAAATGTTTTTGTCTGGTTGACTGACCATCCTCATAGCGCAGACTTTGATGGCAGGGTATGAAAACTGTGCCGTACTGGTAGGCCCTACCGCGGACGCCCTACGGTAGGGCGTCCGCCTCCGCGTTACGTCATTCTCAGGTGGAGGAGAATCGCTTCTCGATGCCTCTTCACAGGCATTCTACATGTACAGCAACCCGATCATTCTTTTGGATAAATTAAAAATTAAAAGTTTTACTTTGGGAGTGTCCGTGCGCCCAAGCATGCTGGAAATACCTTATCAGCTGCTGGAGTAGACGAAGGTGTGATAACCAGCAGCTTCTTCGGTATACGGCGAATTGCGCGTCTCGAGTATCACCACCGTTTACAACAGACTTGCGTCGTCGATTTAGCAGCGCGTTTCCCGACGACTACGCGCATGGTGGGTTATGAGCACAGTCTGCATGACAGTCCTATGGACCCAACGAAACCAAGTGGTTCACAATGGGAGCCAGCTTACCATTGCAAGCAGCGTCGCAGCCATTCCAACAGGCTGGACTCCGGCAACTACAAGCTCTAGCGCGTAGGGAACGCAGAAATCCGAGGACAATAGTTCAAGGCACAAGATTACTTATCTGCTTGGATCTCTTCCAGCGGACACCAAGGCGAGCCACGTACAGCCACCGGGATCATCTCAGCCTGAGATCCTCAGGTACCTAACCTTACCGTGGTTTACTTATTATTTTGTTTTAAAAAACAAAATAATATGTAAACCACGGTAAGTGCATTAATAAATTCATCTTGTGATGAATTTATTAATGCAGCGACCTCAGCTAAATTGGCCTAAACTTCAGGCAACAGTCCGCTCGGATGACATATTCTGGCCACGATCTTTTCACGCTGTTAGAAAGTCTTGACTCGAGTGTACCGCTGCTCGCAGATAACCTCACCAGCGAATTGTTCATTCATGCCCATCAACAGAATCAAACTTCTGCTTCGCCCTCGTGGACTAGAAAGTGAGCTTCGCAGAACTTGGTCAACGCTCGATCCAAGGCGTGAAAGCGCATCGTGGTCTCAGCTAACGCCATGATATTGTGCTCTCGGCCGCAAAGCTTTGCTGTGGCCGCGTGGGCGTGGGCTACAGTCGAGTAGAACGAAGCAGAGCAGTCCTCACTCTTCCCGCCGGCGATCTGTTCGTGCACACGCTTAAGTCGTTTCCACAACGAAGCGCACAGCGAAATCACTTGGTCGTGTTGGTCGGTGTCGCCTTGTAGTCGAGTCATCTCCTTCTGAGCTGCAGCAATCATGACGGGGACGGAAGCCTGATTCGAGGCATCCATCGCTTGACTCTTGATACCAGGGTTCGCCAGTCTGGCCAGCTCGTCCACCACAGTCGAGATCTTGATCCGCTCCTTCGGATTCAACTTACACATCCGCTCAACCAATTTCCATTGACTGTCGCTGCACAGAGGCCGCGCCGGTAAGTTGCCTTGCTTAGCATTGTGTATCACCACGATTCTGTCAGTAACGCGCCATGGCAGACAACTGCGCGAGTCTTTGCCAGCTTGTACCGCCTCCACCAGCCGCAGTGCTTCCACGATGCACATACCCAGCGAATAGATATCCGACGCAAAGGATGGTCTTGCCTGCTGCCCTGCCTTGTCGTCTGGAAAGCACTCGGGGGCCACCCAAAGCCACGCACCGGAAATCTGAGCCGTGTCTTCACTGCTAACGGCGGAGCTGAGACCGAAGTCCGTCACCTTCGCTTTGAGGTCGCTCCCTATCACGATGTTATTCCCTTTTAGATCTCCGTGGACCACGTCGCGTGCGTGGAGGTATTGGACACCCAGCGCAGCCTCGTGCAGCTTCGACCACAGCTCATCGGTATGGCTGCGCAAGTAGCTGACCAACGTTCCGTTCGTAGCGTACTCGCACACGAAGAACGGTCGCCCGACGTGACAGGCACCGAAGAGTCGAATGACGTGAGGGTGGCTGAAGCCAAACCAAATGTCGACTTCGCGACGGAACATCGCAATAGCCTTGCTTCTCTGATCAGGGTCCGAATCGGCTTCAGACACGTACGGGTCCTCCGATGCCGATAAACTCGACCATGATGTCGAAGCATCCGCTCTGCCACTCGACCCTGGCAACGTTACACGCTTCACCACCACCTCCGAGTCCAGCCACGTGGCTCGATTCACGCTCCCGAAGCCTCCTTCGCCCAGACAATTCCACTCGTCCACGATCAACTCGTACCATGGGATGAACCATTCTGGTATGAGTTCCGCCCAATCTTCCGTCTCCAACTTGCTGGTGATATCCTCGTACGCCTTCTTCATCATCTTTAGTACCTCAGGTGTGTATTTCCCGAGAGGGTTTCCCATCTCCGCCTTCAACGTCTTGAGAAATGCAGCCCGTTCCTCCGTCGTCTTCAACTTTTGCAGCAAAAGAAAAGTGTCAGATAGTCCTGACACGAGTAGCTTGGTCTCGTCATCGCGCTGTTGCCGCCATCGTGATTCCTTCTCGGGGGGTGCGTCCTCACTCACTCCATCCAATGACGCCATAAGGGACTCGACACGCCACTAAAACGCGTACAGGCTGTTGGTGGTGGCACGCGTTGACGACAAGTGCATCATTAGAGCTTGATCTGGTGGCATCCGAACCGCTTGGTTAAACTCGGTGAGAAGCGCGTGAAATCGCCCTAGCAGTGCTGGGCGGTCAGCTGACACTCGCAGACGTTCGTGTAGCTTCTCTAGTTGGTCGAACGCTTTGCAGTATTGGACGTTGTCGCACGTTTGCATGTACTTCTCCAGCCTCAGCCACGCTTCGCCAACTCGATCGGACTTATACCCTCCCATGGAAAAACCGGGTTCATTCTCCGGTTGGGTGCAGTTCGAATACTCCTCGGTAGCCAAACGCTCGAGCTTGGAGACGATTGACGACAGACTTGCGCGTTGCCAAGGGTCTTGGCTGCACATTTTCCAGACTACTTTGCCTGCGTCAGCGCGAGGACAGGAAGGCGCAATTTCACTCGCAGTGTAAGTCAAGGAGTAGTCAGGAGAGTTGAGCGCACAGGTACTGTAGGAGCGTGGCCGCCAAGCCAACTTCTCAATCCTCGCCCACTCTCCGCTCTCTCCGCCCCACGGCATCTCTTTGTTCGCGGCTTCCATGATGCACATTCCCAGAGAATACACATCCGATTCGAACGAAGGTGACGCTCCTTCTAGAACCTCTGGCGCCTGCCAGCGCATGGAGCCCACGACACTGCCTGACGCTGCACTGGGACGCTTGATCAAGCCACTCAGTCCAAAATTCGACAGCTTCGCCATGCCATCGCTGCCGATCAAGATGCTGCTGCATCGCAGATCGCCATGGACTATTCCTCGTTCGTGGAGATACTCCAGCCCTAGTGCAGCCTCGTAGAGGTACTTCCACATCGTCGGTTTCTCCTCTGCTGAGGACTTGACATGCTCGAGGAGTGAGCCCTGACTCGCGTACTCGCACACGAAGAACAGCAGGTGAGGACCAGCATTGCAGGCGCCGTATATTTTGAGGACGTTGGGGTGGCGGAGCTGCTGCCACACACGCACTTCGTCCTCAAATGGAGTGTGCGACGCATCTGGAATGAATAGCTTCACGACCGCGTCGGCATCGAGCCACTTGGCCTGGAAGTCGCCCCCGATATGAACGTTCTGGCTGTAGTGAGTGAGCTCGAGTTCCGACGGATGAATGGAGCAGCTCGACGGAAGGGGGGCTCCATGTAGAGTAGCATCGGCACTTGCTGCTGTATCAGTGACCCGGGATCGAATAAATGGCAGGAGGACTTGTTGGATTTCCTCATGCCCACTTTCAGCAGCAAGCCGGAGAGCTGTTGTTCCATTAGCGCTCGTAGCATTCACATCCGCGTTGTATTGCTCGACCAGACATTGGACGACGGCAATGTGTCCGTGCTGAGCGGCCTTCATCAAAGCTGTATACCCGTCGTTGTCGTAGGCATTCAGATCAGCACCTTGACCAGCCAGATACTGAACGACATGCCGGTGGTTATGCTCAGCAGCCACCATCAAGGCAGTGTAGTTGTCCTTGTGTCTGGCATTCACATCAACGCCACAGTGTTCGTCAAGGTATCGCACGACATCGACGTGGCCATATCGCGCCGCCTTCATGAGCGCAGTGACTCCGTCATTATCCTTGGCGTTCACGTCAGCGCCACAGTGCTCAGCAAGGTACCGTACGACATCGACCTCGTTATTGAAAGCCGCCCATATTAACGGCGTGGCTCCGTCGTTATCGTGAGCGTTCGCGTCAGCGTTACATTGCTCAGAAAGGTACCGCACGACATCAATGAAACCTCTTCTAGCGGCCCAAATCAAAGCTGTGTCTCCGTGATTGTTCTTGACATTCATATCAGCGCCACATTGCCCAGCAAGATATCGCACAACAGCTTCAGCTACGTGACCTTCTCGAGCAGCCCAAATCAACGCTGTGTCTCCACCCTCGGTCTTGATACTCACGTCAGCACCACACTGCTCAACAAGAAACCGGACGACATCAATGCGGCCATTTTCAGCTGCCCATATCACTGCTGTGTATCCACATTCGCCTTTCACGTCGGCGCCATATAGTTCAGTAAGATACCGCACGACGTCCAAGTGTTGAGCTTCAGCAGCGTAGATCACTGCGTTGTATTCGGCGTGAAACTCGGCCTTCACGTCCGTGCCACATTGTTCAATCAGATACCGCAGAACATCCAGGTGGCCCTTGCTAGCGGTCCGAGTAAATGCTGTGTAACCGATATTGTCTTTCCCATTCACGTCCGCGCCGCATTGCTCAACCAGGTACCGCACGACGTACGCTCAGCCGCCTCTCTAAATGCAGTGTGCCCGAAATTGTTCCTGGCGTTAGCGTCGGCCCCATACTGCTCAGCGAGACACCGTACGACGTCCACGTGGCCACACTGAGCGGCCAGCATCAACGCTGTATATCCGTCAGTAGTTCTGGCCTCCACGTCAGCTCCAGGTTGCCCGGCAAGGAATGACACAACCTCCGCGTGACCATTTTCAGCAGCATATAGCAAAGCGGTGTACTCGCCATTGTTCTTGGCATTCACGTTAGCGCCACATTGCGCGTGGAGGTACCGAACGACATCCACGTGGCCATATCGAGTGGCCTCACTGAGCGCAGTGTTCCCGTCATTATCGCTGGCGTTCACGTCAGCTCCGCAATGCTCAGCAAGGTAACGGACGACGTCCACGTTGCCGTATCGAGCGGCTTCGAGCAGCGCCGTCTCTCCGTTCTTGTCCTCGGTATTCGCGTCAACTCCGCACCGTTCAGTCAGGTACTGCACCACGACCACGTGGCCGTTCACTGCAGCCCGCATCAAGGTTGTGCCACCGTCATTGTCCTTGGCGTCCACGTCCGCGCCGCAGTCCTCCACGAGGCACCGCACGACGTCCATGTGGCCGCTGAACGCAGCCCATATCAACGCCGTCTCTGCGTTGTCGTCCTTGGTGTTCGCCTGCACCCCACAGTGCTCGATGGGGAACTTGGTGACCTCTATGTGGCCATTCTCAGCGGCTCTCCTCCCTCCCGTAGCTTGAGACCTGCCCCACCAGCCCCTGGACGCTCGCGAGGGCGCCCTCCGCTGCAGCTTTGGTGATCGCCTCCGTCTCCGTCTGCATCTGCTGAGGGTGCGTCGAGAATGAAGACTGATGCGATCCGGACGGACGGGGGGCTTCTCATCAGGTGAGCCATCGCTCGCCAGAACCCTCTGGCAATCTACAGGCAGACGAGGAGGTTAACGCGGCTGCCCCCGGGGCCACACTTCGATATGGGGACGGACTCAGACAGACGCGCGCCCAGCGGCGAAGCTGGCGGACAATGAGGTTGCCCTCATGGGCTGCGTCCCCCAAATTGCCACAAGTAAGTGTGATTTTAGGATCTGGCAGTTCAGAGTTCGAGCTGAATCTGGTATTAATACAGCATTAATAATACTACCGTAGTACATGTGCTTAAGGGAATTACTTTTTTTTGGAACACCTAGGCTGTGCTCATGAGAACTTTTTACGGGTGCCGTGTTTGGCGGCTTCGATGGTAACGCGGACGCGCTGATGGTCGCGTAGGTGCTGGTTGTGCCGGGCTTGGAGCTGCTGCTGTCGGTCGGATGAGCTGCCACGAGCTGCTGGAGTTTGCCGTCCACGCCAAGTCGTGTAAGCGAACGATACGAAGTATGAGCTAAGCTGGCCGTCTGTCTGCTCATGACTCAGAGTCTGGGGGTGGATCGCTCCCTCTTGCCAGTCTTCGTTTCGACGCGCAGTGAGCAGCAGATGGAGACGGAGGAGCTTAGGAACGCCGCGCGAGAGGGCACCCCCGCGAGTTCAGGGGTTCGCGGCGCGGGTCTCGCACGGTGACAGGGAGGACGCGATGAGGGATGCTTCTTCGAATGCCCACCTGCAGGTTGTGATGTACCTTGTCGAGGAATGGGCGGTTGAAGCGGATCCCATCATCCTCCCAGACCCACACGTCGAAGTTGTCTCTACATTCCCAGAGGCTGGTGAGAATGGCCACCTGGATGTGGTGCGGTATCTGGCCGAGCAATGTCGTGTTGGCATCACCGAGTACGGTAACGATAAAACACTATTCGGAGCTGCACGGAATGGCCACGTCGATATCGTGCGGTACTTGGTTGAGCATTGTGGCGCTGACGTCAATGCAGTAGATAATGTGTTGACACTTGCTGCTGAGAATTGTCATGTGGGTATAGAACGATGCCTTGGTGAGCAAGGTGGCACTGACGTTAACGCTGTGAGTCGTTACGACGGGACAGCACTCAGCAAAGCGGCTGAAAGGGGTCACATGGATGTTGTGCGCTGTCTGGTCAAGCACTGCGGTGTTGATATGAACAGCAAGGACGATTCCGGGCTCACAACATGGACACGAGTTGCTCAGAAGGGTCTCGTTGATGTCGTACAGTGTCTTGTCGAAGAATTCGGCGCTGACGTGGACGCCAAGGACGATCCCGGATGCACAGCAGTGATACGGGGTGCTGAGGGAGGCCACATTGATGTCGTACGGTGTCTTGTGGAGAAGTACGGTGCTGGTGTGAAGGCGAGGAGCAATGACGGAGACACGGCAGTAATACGAGGTGCTGGAAGTGGTCACATTGATATCGTACGGTATCTTTCGAAGCGATGCGATGCTGACGTGAACGCCAAGAACAATGACGGAAACACTGCGCTGATTGAGGCAGCTAAAGGGGGCTGTGTGGATGTCGTCCGATACCTTCATCGCCGATGCGGTTGATTTGAATTCCAAGAACAATGGCGGATGTACGGCTTTGCTGGTGGCTGCCGATTGTTATCAGACGGATATTGTGCAGTACCTCACTGGGCGGCGCAGCGTCGACGTGAACAGTAAGTGGAGTGATGGAGCAACAGCAATGATAGTGGCCGCTCAAAAGGGTATTTGAATATCGTGCGGAGCCTCGCAGAGCGAGGTAGTGCTGACGTCAATGTCAGAAACAATGACGGGTATACAGCACTAATTCGGGCTGCTGAAGATGATCGATCGCACGGATATCGTCGAGTACCTTGGAGGCCGATGTGCAGGTGTGAATGCCAAGGATAATCACGGATACACAGCGTTGATGAAGGCCGCTCAGCGCGGGAATATTGCCATCGTCCAATGCCTGGTCGAGCAACACCATGCAGACGTGAACGCTGTAAGTACCAACGGAACTACCACTCTTCGACTTGCTGCTGAGCGGGGGTATTATGAAATCCAGCGAGTCCTCATGCCGTTTGATCGACCCGATCTTACCAATTCTACTCGAGATGGAGCTTCCCTTCTACTGAGCTACTCCATTCATCCATCTGAAATCGAGCTCACCCACTACAGTCAAGACCGCCAGATCGGGGGCGACTTCCAGGCCAAGTGGCTCGATGCTGACGCGGTCGTGAAAGTGTTCATTCAAGATGCGTCACACACTCCATTTGAGGACGAAGTGCGTGTGTGGCAGCAGCTCCGCCACCCCAACGTCCTCAAAATATACGGCGCCTGCAATGCTGGTCCTCACCTGCTGTTCTTCGTGTGCGAGTACGCGAGTCAGGGCTCACTCCTCGAGCATGTCAAGTCCTCAGCAGAGGAGAAACCGACGATGTGGAAGTACCTCTACGAGGCTGCACTAGGGCTGGAGTATCTCCACGAACGAGGAATAGTCCATGGCGATCTGCGATGCAGCAGCATCTTGATCGGCAGCGATGGCATGGCGAAGCTGTCGAATTTTGGACTGAGTGGCTTGATCAAGCGTCCCAGTGCAGCGTCGGGTAATGTCGTTGGGTTCATGCGCTGGCAGGCTCAAGAGGTTATGGAAGGGGTTCCACCATCGTTCGAGTCGGACGTGTATTCTCTGGGAATGTGCATTCTGGAAGCTGTGACCAAAGAGATGCCCTGGGGCAGCAAAAGCACTGATGTGATGGGGTACAAAAGCAACTGGACCCCGGAAGATGAATCTACTAAAAAAGGTTATGCTGCCGACATTGCTAATGGTTTCCCTAATGGTTGCTACGCAATTCTTTACTATTCACCTGGCTGTCTCGTTGGTGATGCTCGCGAACTACTGTAGTGTGGAAAATGTGCTCTCGAGATCTTCGTAAACGCATTTCTCTGTCTTCTGTCGTAAAAAAACTTGAGCGTTTGACTACCGGGGAGTATTCGAGCTTCGAGCAAGCTGAGCACGAAGCGGTTATCTCCTTTGAAGAGTACTGTACGAGTCCGGTAGAGCTCAAGAAGCGTGGTTGGGGCTGGAGAAGTATATGCAGATGTGCGACATCGTCGAATACTGCAAAGCCTTCGACCAACTAAAACGGCTACATGAACGTCTACGAGTATCACCCCACCGCCCAGCACGCTAAAGGGGTTCCACGCGCTTCTAATTGAGTTTAACCAAGCGGTTCGGATATCGCCTGATCAAGCTCTAATGATGTGCTTGTCGTCAACGCGTGCCACCACCAACAACAGGTACGCGTTTCAGTGGCGCATCGAGTCCCTCATGGTATCACTAGGTGGAGCAGTGGAGGGTACGACCGTTGAGAGGGGGTCAGGATGGCGCCCTGACGAGACCAAGATGTGTGTGTCAGGGCCATCCGATATTTTTCTTCTGCTGCAAAAGTTGAAGACGACGGAGGAACGGGCTGCATTTCTCAAGACTTTGAAGGTCGAGATGGAAAACCCTCTCGAGAAATACACGCCAGATGAACAAAAGATGATGAAAAAGACGTACGAGGTTATCACCAGCAAGTTGGAGGCGGAAGACTGGTCGGCACTCATACCAGAATGGTTCATCCCATGGTACGAGCTGATTATCGACGAGGGAAATCGTCTGGGCGAAGGAGGCTTCGGGAGCGTGAATCGAGCCACGTGGCTGGACTCGGAGGTGGTGGTGAAGCGTGTAATGTTGCCAGGGTCGAGTGGCAGAGCGGATGCTTCGACATCATGGTCGAGTTTATCGGCATCGGAGGACCCGTACGCGTCTGAAGCCGATTCGGACCCTGATCAGAGAAGCAAGGCTATTGCGATGTTCCGTCGCGAAGTCGACATTTGGTTTGGCTTCAGCCACCCTCACGTCATTCGGCTCTTTGGCGCCTGTGACGTCGGACGGCCGTTCTTCGTATGAGAATTCGCCACCAACGGGACGTTGGTCAGCTACTTGCGAGAGCATCCCGACGAATTATGGTCGAAGCTGCACGAGGCTGCGCTGGGCGTCCAGTACGCGACGTGGTGCACGGCGACCTGAAGGGAAACAACATCGTGGTTGGGAGCGACTTCAAATCGAAGGTGACGGACTTCGGTCTCAGCTCTGCCGCTAGCAGCGAAGACATGGCTCAGATTTTAGGCGCGTGGCACTGGCTGGCCCCAGAGTGCTTTCCAAACTGCAAGGCAGGAGAACCCCAACAGCAAAAGAGGCCATCTTTCGCATCGGATGTCTATTCTCTAGGTTTGTGCTTCGTGGAAGCACTGCGGGTGCCGTGAAGGCTGGCAAAGACGGTCGTAGTTGCCTGCCTTGGCGTGTTGCCATGCTATGCATGGTACGCTGCCCACGCGGCCAAAGTGCAGTGGCAGTCAATGGAAGTTGGTGGAAGGAATGTGTAAGTTGGATCCGAAGCAGCGGCTTAAAATCTCGACGGTGGTGGACGAGCTGGCCAGAGTGGCGAACTCCAGCGTCAAAACCCAAACGATGGCCAAGGCCGACACTTCGCCAGCGGATACCACGAATGAGGTTACTGTCCCCGTCATGATTTCTGCAGCACGACAGGAGCTGGCAAGACTGGCCAAACCTGGCATCGAAAACTCAACGAGGGCCCAGCCCAACGGATTGAAAAACAAAAGTTCTCTACCAAGGTGGTTGACGAGCTGGCGGGCCCTGATGTTCGCAGCCAAGACGTTGTCCTGCTCGACGCTGCCGGCGGATGTGATGAATGAAGTTCATAACCCTGGAGCTCAGCAGGGGACTGACCCATTGCAAGGGGTGTCGTGCCAAAGGCTTCAGCAAGAATGAGGAGCAATGAGGAGCTCTTGTCCTCCATTTCCAGTGCTGGACTTCACAGGGTGGGGAAACGACATGTGTTCATGTGAGGCAGGCGAACTTGCCGCCTCCTTTCCAACAGGGAACAACCAGAGTGCAATGGCCAGGACAAACAATGAATAGTATTCATGCATGAAGTTACATTATTTTTGATGCAGGGCGCCACTCGAGTCGCGCTCACAACCCCCCAACTACTACAGCACTCTACCACGAAAGATCCTTGGACGCACCCGCTACTGCGGACGCCGGGATCTCCTCCTTGCTGGAGCAGCCACCGCTGCTGCCACAGCTGCCCTTCTCAGCCGCGGGGTCCTGCACCGCCACACGGAAGAGACGGTTGCCGAACTTCTTGTACAGCGGCATGATGCCTCCGCCAGCGAGCAGACGCTCCTCGAAGAGCGACATGTTGAAGCGGAAGGTCTCGCCGCCCACCTCAATGGTGCGGCCGGTCATGTTCACCGTGATGTCAGCGTTCTCCTTGGCCAGCTCGTAGAAGCGGTCGTCGTCGAGCTGGATGCCCAGCAGACTGAAGTTCTGGTAATTGCGCGAGAAGATGTAGCCGAACGAGCGGGCGATCAGAGCCTGCACGCCAGCTCCCTTCATGGCCGTCACGGCCTGCTCACGCGAGGAGCCGCAGCCGAAGCCGTGGCCAGCCACAACCACATTCTGGCCCTGCTTCACCTTGTCACGGAAGTCCGGGTTCGTGTGCAGGAACGCGACCTTGCCCAGAGCCTCCATGTCGTTCTCGCACAGGAACTCACCAGGCAGAATGGCGTCCGTGTCGATGTTGTCACCGAAGACCTGGACGCGGCCCTTGATGGAGCCCGAGAACGTCTCGAGCGAGGCAGCGGCCTCAGCGTCCGCGTTACCGGCCTCCTCACCAGCAACAGGAAGCTCCGGAGCGACCTCAGCGATCGTGATAGGCACCGACGGCTGCTTGGGCACAGCCGAGTTGAACTTCTCGACGTCGATGAGCTTGAGGAACGGCGTAGGGTCCGTCACCTCCATCGTGAAACTGGAAGCAGCCACCGTGATGGCCGACGCAAGGTTGGCGATGGAGCCCTTGCCCATGCGGTTGCGGTAGTTGCGGTTCTGCGAGCTGAGCCACACCTCGTTCTCGCCGGCAACGTCAGCGGCGATACCCAGGCAGAAACTGCAGCCGGGGGCGCCCACAACGAAGCCAGCCTTCTCGTACACGTCGATGAGGCCGTGTTTCTTGAGGTTGTCCACGATGATCTGACTGCCAGGGGTCACGCGACGCTGGCCGTGGGCGACGGGCTTCATTCCCTGCTTGAGGCAAGCCTCGAGCACCAGGGCACCGAGCACCAGGTCTTCCTCAGCAGTGGTACATGCGCCGATGAAGCATCCGTCGAGCTTCATGCCGACAACCTCCGACACGGGCTTGACGTTGTCCGGGGACGGGAACAGAGCCACCTGCGGCTCGAGGTTGTCCAGGTTGATCTGGAACTTCTCCGCGTACTGAGCGTCCTCGTCAGCGCGGAAGTAGAGGGCGTCGTTGTTGTGGTCCGGGCGCTTGGAGATGTACGCGGCGGTGCGCTCGTCGGCGGGGAAGACACCGGCGATACCGCCGAACTCGGCCGTCATGTTACTGATAGCGAAGCGGGCATCGCACGACAGCGCCGAGATGTTGCCACCCCACTCCACGCAGCGGCCGATGGCCACGGTGTTGCACTTGAGCTGGCCCAGCGTGTACAGCATCACGTCCTTGCCGCCCATGCCCGTGGGGGGCGTGCCCATGAACTCGATGAGCACCGTCTCGGGCACCTTGATCCACGTCTCGCCCGTCACGAGGGGCATGACGACGTCCGCAGCGCCCAGGCCAATAGCGAAGGCGCCCAAGCCGCCGGTACTGCACGAGTGCGAGTCGGCGCCCACCACGATCTGGCCGGGCTGCGCGCGCTGGCGGTAGAACTCGGTGTGCAGGATGGTGGTGTTGGGCGGCTGGAAGTTGGTGAGCTCGGCCTCCTTGGCGAAGTCCTCGGACGCCTTGATCATCATCTGCTGGCGCGGCTGGTGGTTCACGCGCGGGTCCACGGTGTGGTCCACGGCCAGCCAGAAGCGGTCGTTGCGCCAGATGCGCGGGCGGCCCATGTCCTGGTACGTCTTGTCCATCGACTTCCACGTGATCTCGCAGGCCAGCGTCCACTGCGCCTTGACGCACAGCATCTGGCCGGGCGCGACCTCGGGCTTGGTGAGGCCCACGGCCCAGTGGGTCAGGATCTTCTCCGGCAGCGTCAGCGGCCGGCGCGCGGGGGCGGGAGTAGCAGCGGGGGCGGTCGCCATCGTCTCTTCACTTCTCGTCGTCTTGAGCTCGAGCGCGCGAGTGCGGAAATGAGGAGGTGAGGTGCGCTGTTCCGGGGGTGAGGGCAGAGGAAAGGACGAGAACTGGCGAACGGCATGATGTGACGGGAGGCAGGGATTAAGGTAGACGGGTTGATTTGTATAGTGCTGACTTGTGATGCTGAGTAGAGGGAGATACAGTAGGATCAGGATAAAGAGGAAATGAATGCGCAAACACTATCAGCCCAAACACGTTAAACGAGCAAACCCGTCTGAGTTGGTGTGGCTCACAACTTCCATGTGACGAGCCGGGTTGGGATCGTGGCGAGCAGAGCTGGCTTCGCCCCATGCGGCCACGCGGCTGCGAAATTACACTCTTGGTCAGCATTACCATCGCCGCACGCCAGCTCTCCGTCTTGCAGGCATTCGCGTTGCAGCCAAACTACATGTACACTGGAAGTGGCACGATGGAGCACCGAGTTCCGGTGCACCACTTTCAGCCGTTTGCGCAATTTGCGACCTTCGCGCAACCTGCTCTCGCGCCACATTCGCGTCACTTTACAACAGTGAACCTCTGACGCGCCGCCGTGACGTCGCTGCCCCCATCCCCATTATCCGTCAGTCATCGCCAAGCTCAATAGCGCTCCACACTCCCGCTCCGCCGGCCACGCGCTCACCCTGCTCCTCTCCTCCTCCCTCCCCTCCATGATAAACGCCCTGCGCAGATCCGCGCTCTCCGCCATGCGCGGCAGCAGCAGCAGCCGCGGCAACGCCGTCGGCCGTCGCGCCGCCTCCACCTTCGGCGTCGTGTTTGACGTGGACGGCGTGCTGCTACGCGGCAAAACGCCGATCCCGGGAGCGCGCGAGGTGCTGCTGGAGCTGCAGGCGACCGATACTCCGTTCGCCATCATGACCAACGGCGGCGGCTACCCGGAAGACAAGAAGGCGCAGCAGATCGAGCAGATCCTGGGTGGCGGCGTGTCCATCCCGAACGAGCGCATGTGCATGAGCCACACGCCCATGCGCGCGTTGGCCGACAAGCACGGCGAGGAGCTGGTGCTGGCCGTGGGCAAGGACTGCGCCGAGCTGCGGGAGGTCATGGCCAACTACGGCTTCAAGCACGTCGTCACAGTGGACCAGCTGCACCAGCACTTCCCCACCATGTACCCGGACGTGAAGGTGCCCAGGCCGCTGGCGCACAACGGGCGCTTCAATTCGCAGCCTTTCGCCGCCGTCTTCGTGCTCATTGACCCCATTTACTGGGGGCGCGAGCTGCAGATCGTCATGGACGTCTTGTGCTCGCCCGACGGACTGCTGGGCCAGCGCACGGTGGAGGGAGATGGCAACGGCGAGCGCCAGCACATCCCGCTCTACTCGGCGTGCTCGGACTTCCAGTACGTGGGCGAGTTCCACCTGCCGCGCTACGGCGCCGGAGCGTTCCACGCCGTGCTGGAGGACCTCTTCACTCGCACGACGGGCCACAAGCTGGAGAAGACGCTGTTCGGCAAGCCCCAGCGCACGTCGTTCGAGTTCGCTGAGACGCTCATCGACGCACAGCACGAGGACGTGGAGCGGATTTACATGGTGGGAGACAACCCGAAGACGGACATTCGCGGCGCCAATGAGGCTGGTGGCAGGTGGAAGTCGGTGCTCACGCTGACGGGCATGCACAACGGACCGGAAAACCACGAAGAGCACCCGGCGTATGAGGTCGTGGACGACGTGGCACAGGCGCTGGCCTTCATCAAAGAGGATTTCGCGAAGCTGCAGGCGCAGAAGTCGAAGAAGTAAATAAGCGTGAGTGGCGGAAGTGAAGAATAGAAGGCTGTGGTTGGTGTCGATTGGGTTTTATGTCCTATTTTTTTTATTTTTTTAGGCGGCAGGTGGATCTTGTATCGCACTGATGAGCTTGTATATTGCCTGTTGTAGTGTTGATGCTTGAATGCCCAAGTTTATCAGATCACTCACAGATTTTTCCACTCGCAAGTTCCAACAGTGTGAAGACACCGTCTGGTATTTTCTCTTTGAGCAGCCATTACCGTCCCTGTTCGGAATGCAATCGCTGCGCGCTGCTCCTCGTGCTACGAACCTTCTCAGCCGCTAGGATCATGCTAGCTAGCGTATTGCCACTACCGGTAGACTGTAGATTGTTTGTCGGGACAGCGCGTAGCTGATCCACGGATCGAACTTGAGGAGGAGGTTCAGACTAGTCTATTCAACTTATGTTATGAGATTGTCTGCACTAACCCAAGCTTGCCGAAGTGCCCCCCCCCCCCCCCCCCCCCCCGTGAAATCATAGCAGTTTTGAAGAGATCTTTAGACGATTCATCGCTGAATCTGCTTGGTCTTCACTCGTTTGGCGAAAGTCGCTGGCACCCTTTACGCGGATTCGACGATCTTGGTCAGACGAACTCCCCAAAAAGGTTATGTCTGTGTAGTGATCATACTGGTGTTCTAGGTTGAGATCTCTTTGTCACAGTATTTTTTTCAAGTTGCAAATTCCATGAAGTCAGCTTTGGGGACATATTGTGGTTTTCAACTATTTTGCCGCCCGATTTGACGTGTTATCTCGGAGTCCGACTTATATAAAATGGAGCTCCCACATGATCGGTTAGTCCAATTTAGCTATATCTGACCTGAGTTAGTAGCATAAGGCTCAAAGGGCAAGTTGGACATACCTCCCCACCTCTCATGACGCATTAGAACTGCAAGACATTGGGGACAATAGTACACTGTATATAGCCGCTTCATAGCACTATGGCCATCTAAATCACCTGTGTGAACATCTACGGCCGCTACAACTTCATGCCACGCCGATCTGAGAGGGCTCCAGACATGTTTTCGCGGCGGTCCCTTTTGCCGGCGAAAAGCGGCATTTCTGGCCCCTGTTTCGCAACTCGCAGCCCCCAGACGCAAATCGGGCCAGATATAGTTTGCTTCCCTCAGCCCTTCCTGCTAAATCTGAGCCCTCCAGCAAATCGGGCCCGATATATCGGATCTTGGACCACCCGATTTGCCAAAACGGATGAAAGCCACAATACGTGTAACCAGAACACATTATCCTCAGACTCACCCTTGGCCCAAGTCTCGAGCTCCTAGACCGAAACATTCAGTCTACGGTGTACGATGTCGTATTTGTTTAATTCTGTGTCAGCTCGTGAATATCCAGGCGATGCCAGGCCTATTAGACTGGGTCACGCGGGATTAACTTCACACGGTTTTAAGTTGTGTGTGAAGTTCGCTGCGTTTGACAAATACTCTTGCCGGATTTGTATGATTATGATTTTATAGGAAAAGGATTTCCAAAACCTGTGTTCAGCAATCGATGATTGTGCTCAAAATCGCAGCCTGACATGCCGTTGAGTGACCTGGCACAGCTTCAGTCTACAAGTTGCTGCCTCCGAGCAAGCGCAAGTATGAGAGCCAACTATCCAGCCGAGCTAGAGTATCTCACCCCACCAAGTTACGAAAACCTGGACTTTAAAGACGAATTCCTGTGGACTGAATAGGAGTCACTACCGGAGATTACTCCATCCCCACCCAAGAAAGCGCGCCAGCACTACAGCCACGCTTCCAAGTCGAAAAAGCCAAAGAAAGAGAAGATCCGCACGTACACCCGGCGCCAGGTTAGTAAACAAAATTTCCTGTTTAGCCGTTTTATTCGAGAAAGTAAAACATTTACCATGTTTTCGTTCACTAAAGACGGAGATCAGGGCGTTGAAGAACGAAATGAAGCGGCTGAACCAGCAAATGGACTCGTATGGCGAACGAGGGCACGTGATGAGAGAGCGCGCGAGATTAATCCAGCAGCAACGCTCAAACAAAGAACTGCTCGAGGCACTTCAGGTGCAGCGCTTATCGTTAGCCACCACGGGGTCTATGGTTCACAGTTCATCGTACGTCCAATGAAGAGGTGACATATTGAGTTGCAGGCGTGCAGTAACCTTTTCTTGTGACTTTCTACTGTAGAACAACAAAATGACAGCCCCGTTCGATGCGCTTACACGCCTCGGCACGAATTTCCGTGAACGACAGCGTACGCTACTGGAGATGCGGCACGATCGCCTGCAGTTTGCTCGCCAGTTCATGCTCCGACAATTGCACTGCCTGGGTATGGACGAGTATTGCGACCGGAAGAAGTTCAAAACAGACCACGGCGACCTCATGTGGCTGAACTTTGAAATTGTCCCGCTGCCTGAGGCGCAGAGCATCAAGGCGACGGTCCAGGCGCTCCAACACTTTGTGCACAACATTGAGATCAACATTTCCGATGCGACTGGCGATGTCACGGTCCGCGAGAACGACAACGCGATGCCAGACAGCGCTGTAGCCCAGCATCGCCTTGTCACGAAAATCGACAACTTGGAGGTCGAGTCGAACCACGTGGCATTCGGGGAATACTATCCAGCGACTCCAGGTCTGCAAGAACAAGCGTTGATGATCTGCGATGTCGTGGAAGAAGACAAACTGTTCCCGTACCGTCATTCGGAACGACTGCGCCAGGACGTGATTACCATTATTTCGCTGGTATCGCACCAGGGTGAGGACGGCAAACCCATTATCGTGATGGCTCGCTGGCTGTGCCAACGTATTCTCAAGTCTGTCATTCCCGTGCCTCAGTTTGCGGTGAATCGCATTCGCGATAATGCCGAAAAGGGGGCCCAGGCCATGCTCTCATGCTGCTTCAACTCATCCACCATGTCGAGCTCTTAACGTTGTATAGTAAAGAAGCTAAACTCGCTCGCGTTCTATTGTTACTTGGACAACACCGACCAGAAAGCATCCTGCGAGAGCTGCACGTTCGACACGGTCCTCATGCGGCGCTTACCCTGCTTCTGCTTGGCCAACAGCTTTTTCTTACGCGTGCTATCTCCACCACCGACGGTCTTGCCGGACTTGATGAGCACATCCTTACGGTACGGAGCAATCCGCTCCTTGGCGAAGATTTTGCCACCAAGCGCAGCCTGGATTGAAATCTCGAACTGCTGTCGGTCGATAACGCGCTTCAGTTTCTGACACAGAGCGCGGCCGTCCGGCGTAGCTCTGCTGCGGTGGCATACGAAGGACAGCGCGTCCAGAACTTTTCCGTTGATCAACAGGTCCACCTTCACGATGTCCGACTTCTGCGGCTCGATCTCGCGGTAGTTCAGCGTCGCTATAGGGAACAAGTCACGCAGCATTAGTACGTGGTAAGGTGAAGATTATGATGCTACAACCATTAACTTACCGTAGCCGGACGAAATCGTCTTGAGCTCGTTGTAGAAGTTGGTGACGACCTCTTGCCACGGCACATCGATGGTCACGATAACGCGCTCGTCCTCAAGATAGACGAGGTTAGTCTGCACACCACGTTTTTCCTTCGCCAGCGCCAGCACTGGTCCCAGGTACGACGATGGCGTGATGATCGAGGCCTCCACCATCGGCTCCAAGATTTCGTAGTACTTGGTCGACTCAGGGAACGCACCAGGAGTCTCCACTGTGAACTTCTCACCCTTCGGGTCGATCACAGTGTACGGTACCATAGGCGCGGTAACCATGACCTGCATACCCTGTTCGTCCGATAGTCGCTGGTGGAAAACTTCCATGTGCAACAGACCCAGGAAACCGCAGCGGAATCCCATACCAAGTGCACCACTGGTTTCCTGCTGAGCCGTGACGCTAGCGTCGTTCAACGTCAGCTTCTCAATAGCTACTCGCAGCTCGTCGAAGCTGCAGTCATCAGTGGGGTACATACTCGCAAACACCATGCTGCGAGCCTCCTGGAAGCCTGGAAGAGCCTTCAGATCCGCCGACGCAGCTCCTTCACGGAAGAACGTATCTCCAACCTTTGCTTCCGTAGTGGACTTCATGCCTGCAATGATGTAGCCGACCTGACCAGCATACAACCCCTTGGTCTTGTAGCGTCCGGGCAGCAACAAACCCGTCTCCTGGACGTCGTGCTTAGTCTTCTGGTGCGCACTGTAGATCTTGTCTCCAGGGAAAATCGCGCCGTCCACCACCTTCACGAGGCACACTGTTCCGCGGTAGTCATCGTAGTACGAGTCCACCAGCAGACACCTCAATGGTGCATTGGGGTCGCACTCCACAGGCGGCGGCAGTCTGTCCACCACAGCCGGAAGCACGTCCTGAATGCCCTTCCCGCTCTTCGCCGACGTCAGCAGCACCTCATCCGGGTCCACGTCCAGCAGCGACGACAGACTCAAAATGCTGTCGTCCACCTCGGCGTGGGGCATGTCGATCTTGGTCAGCATCGGCACCACGTGCAGATTCCTCTCCTTTGCGGCGTAGTACGTCGCGAGCGTCTGTGCCTGGATGCCCTGCGAGCAGTCCACCAGTAGCAACACCCCTTCACAGGCAGACAGCGACCGGTTCACCTCGTAGCTGAAGTCCACGTGCCCCGGAGTGTCCACCAGGTTGAGCATGAAGGTCTCGCCGGTCTTGGGGTCTCGGTGCACCATGGACGCCGTCTGGGCCTTGACGGTGATGCCGCGCTCCCTCTCCACTTTCAAGTTGTCGAGGAACTGGGCGCTCTCGCGCTCCTTGCGCGAGATATTGCCGCTGGACTCGAGCAGGCGGTCTGCGAGCGTCTACAGGTCCAAAATAGCCGTTAATTCCGTGGTTTTATTTTCACCTCGCACATACAGAGTCATTTATGAAATAAGAATTTGCAGCGTTTTAGCTTGGACAACGCACCGATTTGCCGTGGTCGATATGCGCTACGATGCTAAAGTTGCGGATGCGTTCAGGCTTGAATTCCTCGAGCCGCTCGGACATGTACGGCCCCACAGTAGCGGGCGTAAGCGCCGCGTCTTCCTTGACCTCTCTAGAGACCGTGGCCAGACAACGCGCGCGGACGGCGGGCGCGCGCAGCGCGCGTTGCAGCTCCCGACGACGTAGCGCCAGCATCCCGGTCAACGTGTTGAACCTTGTTGTGTGGCTGTGCTGCTTACGTTGCATCCAGTGTAACAACACACTAAATGCAGCACAGTTAAAGCAACACAAAGCGGCTATGTTGCACAACATGCAACTTGAACCTGCTTACGGTGCACTAACGGTTTTACACAGACGTGAGGATGGGCAAATTCCGACGCTCCGGACCTCAATTGAGCCCGTGACACTCGAAAATGGAGCAGCTCGAGGACCTCGAGGCCGACGTCTTGGCGATGAACCCGGAGCTCGGGTGCGTGTTCGACGACCCCGACCATGACGATCACGCGCTTCTGGCCACGGAGGTGCTAGACTTGCCCGATTTGGAGCTGCTGCTGCCGTCGGGCGAGCTGGGCGACGAACTGTTGACGTCGCTGCTGCCGGACGACGAATTGGACGAGAATTCCGTCGATGCAATGGGATCAGAGGAGGAGAAGGAAGGTCTAACGGTATCAATTGATGATCCTTCTACGTTGACGTCCGAGGTCAAGGAGACGGAGCTCGCAGCGCGAGAACTCAAATTCCTCGAGGCGCAGAGAGACTTTCTGCAGTACAAAGCGGACGCGAAGGTTGTTGATGTGGAGAGTGAGAATGAGCAACAACGGGCGATAAAGCAGGAGGTTAAGAAGGAGAAGAGCAGGCTGGAGGAGGCCAGAGCACAACAGAACATGCTGGTCGACGTTATCAAGCTGCACCAACAGAGCGCTGGCGACCTGCACCGACTGATGATCCAGGCGTCGCCGCTGATGCACTACGTGAGTTGCGGCTGTTGAATGTTGGAATGAAGGCGTTAGTGTATTGACGAGAGTTGTGTATGTCTTGAATGCAGAGGATGACGCTGATGACACCGATGGAGTCGTACATCCGACTAAGCAAGGATCCAGCCGAGCGCCGCAGCAAGCTGCTCGAGATCCGGGACGAGAAGCTGGACGTCGTGCGCCAGTTTGTCACGGCGCAGACTCGCGGCATTGACCCGACGCGTGGGTTCTTCTACGTTGACACTTTCGAGCGCTTCGGCAAGTTTTACACCGTGGACTTCAGCGTCTCTCTCGTGAACGGCATGACCGTGGCCGAGGTGGCGGAGGTGATACAAGACCAATTCGTCGTGCCGCGCGACGGCGTCTCGCGGTTGCTCGGCTGTGTCACGAACCGCACGTACTACGACGCCATGGTCGACACTTTCCTACACGCGCGGACCGTGGAGCGCGTGGACCTGCCCGAGCGCTCGTGCGACGGCCGCAGTTTCCTGGTGCAGGAGTCCAACGCCGTCTTCTTCTTGAAGAAATTCGCCGCCGGCGAAGTCGATGAGTCCGACGGCGGCGGGCAGTCAGGCGAGCAGGGCGATCTCACCGTCATGATGAGCGACTTTGTAGACGTGGACGAGCTGCACCCGTACCATACACACAGCCGAGTGCGCAAGGACATTTCCGTGGGCATCACGCTGCGGCGCCACGTCGGGTCCGATGGTGCCGAGGGCGTCGTCATGCGCCGCTTCTCCTTCGTCAAACACCATCTCGGCCGGCGGGTTTCCAGGTCAGAAGTGGTGAACACCATCTCGACGCGGGTGCTACTTTGGGGGCAAGCGGTGCGACTCTGCATCGCGGAGCGCAGGCGGCAGAAGCGAGACGCCCCCAAGCGCATCTGGAACACCCACACGTTCCCGCAGCCGCACCATCGGAAGGAGGGCGTGACGCCAGCGCCACCACGACCCGACACGGCGTGTGCCGGTGCTCATCAGCTCATGTAGTAATTTAAGTTCGTCGTCTTGGAGGGGTGCAAGTTGCAGCCTGCATGCAACAAGGGCAGCAGGTTGAACATGTTCGTTTCGGTGAGCATCCTTCGTATTCGTGCTTGTCAATGAAAAAGAAGCGTTCCACTCTTACTCAACTTCACTCAGCTCGAATCAAGGAAGTGGTATGTAGGGACTGGATGGCGGCGGCAACGCGGCCTGGGAAGCACATCCGCATCGTCGAGCTTATAGGGGGGGAATGCGCACACGCATGCGTCGAATACAAAGTAGATAGATATACGGAGGTTGTCGGGAACTGCGGGCGCGCGTGCCATAATATCCCGAGCGCCACGCGCCCCGCTATCTCGAGATAAGCCTGCCGATGTACAAGCAATGCTGCAAGTTTACCATTCTGGTGGCATGGTTGGTCAAGAGCTCGCCCCTGCCAAACTGCACGCGCTTGCAGCCGATCTAGTCGCGCCGCGCATGTGACGCGTCTGCAGTTGCAGTGCAGACTGCAGCGCAACCGATATTGGGGAAGAATCCGCGTTGCAGCCATTCGGGGGCGGCACGCGTTAGCAGATCCCGCCACCGCTCTCGGCGCTCGAACCGCTCAATTGGAGCCGGAGCGAAGATGGCTTCGGGACCGCGGGCGCGGTGGGTGGTGGCGGTGTTTGCTGTCAGTGGGTACCCGTTTCCAGCTCAAATCGCCCGCTCCGAGTGCTCTCGAGTCGGAGCGGAGCTCTGAGCTGAAGCCTCCGGGAAGCAGACCCTTGTAGGCGAAGCCTATTGTCGCGTTTCCACGGGGCCATACGTTGGCAGCCCGAGGATACACTTGCCAGCGCAAAGTGTACATGACTTATCGGAGATTCCGAGTTGAATGGCGCGCGTCGAGTCAGCTCGGCTCGGCGGGACTTCAGTCAAGCTTGTCATGCAGTGGTGACACAACAAGTCCAACGGTTTGACTGGAGGAGGACGTGTTTCTGTTTGTGGGGCCACTTCAAATCGGGTGTATCCTCTCGCTGTGAGTAACCAGGCGCAGACTACTGCGCCCGCCCGCGGCCTCCGGCGCGTCTTGCAGGCAAGACCTTCCCATCAAGCGCGGCCGTGGGCAGCGCAGGTATGTATCCGTCCCATCGAGGGGCAGGATCACGAGGATTCCACAGCCGTGACACCCGAAATACTGGCCACGCCCGTTCACCAACACACACCTCCTCGAGATGGCAAATGATCTCCTCGTTAGTTAGCAACGTTACGCAGTGGTGCAAACCCCATCTCATCGACCGAGCGCTGCCATTTCGGTGGCGGCGCCATGTTCGACTGGCCGTGACGTCGAGCCGCGCCATGAAGATGGCTCCTTCGCTTTGCAACAGCGGACTGAAGGTCTCCACCGGAAGCTGCCGGTCCATTCTGATAAGTCGGGCGAGATCCGGAAGCTTCAAGATGAGCAGCGAGTGCTCCAAGCTGCGTCTCACCGCTGGAAAAGCATCCGCTTTACCGGAACGAGCTCTCGTTGACGTTGCAGCTTGGGCGCACACCACCATCGTGATCAGTTTCCTTTCGCGTCCTCCGCCTCTCGGGTGTTCGGGTGTATCTTATTGCCAGATCAAGCCATGCTTCGAGGAGGACACATCGAATCCCCGCAATTCGGTGAGGAATCGCTCGGATACACTTCGCCCGTGCAGAGACTGCCGCCGCTAGTCAAGAAACGCAGGAGCCCCCGTCGCGTCACACTTTGGGGCAACCGCCAGGCTAGCAATCCCCGACCGGATCTCGGCCACGCCGCTCGTGTCGCAGCGAGAGACTGGCGGGTAGCCATCCAGTCACCCCAAAGGGCTGCACGCGCGCGATGCCCGTGGCGCTCGACCTCGCCGCCGGAGCCGCCTAATCCCGGGCTGCCAGCCAGTGGAAAGCCGCCAAAGCGATCCTAGCTCGGCCTCTCCGTGCACCAGTGCACCCATCCATCCAACACGTTGGCCGAGGCCCGCGCGGGTTTCTGCCGGCGGCAGCGTGGCAAGGTCGTGTGCTACGGCCGCCGCCGCCAGAAGCGCGCCTCGCGGCCCGTCGGCGGATTCCAACGAGGCAGCAAGCCTCTCGCCCGATCGTCGCCGGCGCGGCGACTGCACCGTGACAACGTTGATGGAGCGTTGAGCCGTGATCGCGCTAGAGCCGAGTGGCCACTGTCGTGACAAGTTAGTTGACACCTGTGGGCTTCGCGGTGCAACCTGCCTGTCAGACCCGATAGTATCCGTTTCGTAGCTCTTCACACGCACAGAGATGTATTGAGACAATGCCTACATAAACAGATACCCCGTCGAACACGGTAGTACATTTTTCGCGTCGGGGGCCAGCTGGCCATGTCAGGGTGCTAGGACGACTGCGGACGGCGAGCACGCACGCCCCACGTTGTGGACGTGCCGCTCCTTATGCGCGAAGGCGTTGGATCTTGCCTCATCTTATCTTCCACCAGCGGCCGGCGTCCACGCGCGCTTGATGAAACGCCCCCGAAAGGCCATTTCGTGAACACGCGCGATGCTTGTCACGCTTGACGACGTCAAGGTGACGCGCGCGGCCATCTACCGGCGGAGTCGCAACGCGCCGTAGTTGTGCTGCCGATTGCCATTGCCATGCGGCCACAAGTAGCCCCTGGTATCGAACATGTAGCGGCGAGGGGCGAATATCCGCGGCCGGCCGGCTGGAGTGCGCGGCGGGTTCCACGGCCACGGTCACTGCAAGTCACCTCTCGTTGCAGTGGCCTCCCACTTGGCCTGTCCCTGCGAGCCTGCTGGCGCGGCAGCAATTGCAATGCCCGGAGGAGAGACGGGCGGCTTGGATCCGCTTGGGCTCGCCTGCTCTGCTTGTCAGTCAGGCGGGCAGAGACCGTGGCGGGCCATCAAGCGAGGCCCTCGCTGGCTGGCTTTGGCCCGCCTCCCCCATTGCCATTTCAGAATTCGACGTCTAGTGAACAAGTTCCGAGGACGAACGCAAAGCCCCGACCACTTTTCAGTCAACAACATGGTGGCCACTTCCTCGACGACGCAGCCCGCCCAGACGGCGCTGGGCCTCGCCAACTCGCCCGCCGCCTCGGGTCTCAACAAGTGCAGGTACAAGACCGGCAAGTGCACCAACGTGCGCTCCAGCAAGCGCAACGGCCAGCCGCACCAGCTGTGCCTGTACCACCGCGACAAGGCCAACAAGATCCAGCGCAAGTTCGACCGCCAGAAGCGTCAGGTGGCGCGCTCCAAGAAGGCGCGCGACGCGCACGGCGGCCTTGAGTCTCCTTCCTCCATCTCGATGCTCGACATGGCCGCGCTCGCCGGCCTGTCCCCCATGCCCGAGCACGCCGTGTCCCCCGCCAACTCGACGTACTCGACGTGCTCGTCCACCATGTCCTTCTCGTCCGTCGCCTCGGACGACGTGCCCATGTACACGCCCGACTCGATCGACTGCAGCCTCAACGAGAGCGTGTGGACCGACCTGCCCGTGGTCGCGGCCTCGTACCTGGGCGAGTTCACCGACATGCCGCTGCCCTCGAGCTGCCACCAGAGCTACTTATCCTCGGACGAGATCGACTTCCTGTGCTCCGCTATTCTCGAGTAAAGCGACAAGTCTGAGCGATAGAGATGAAAGGCGTCTCCCTCCAAGAAATATGAGGGAGGAGGCTCAGAAAAGCATCGCTCAGATGGACCCGGTGGCAAGTGCTGCTGTCGGCTTCTCCCGAGCGAGCGCGGAATGGCACATTAGGATAATTAGAGCATTGTGGTAGTAGCGTGGTAGACTAAGTGAGTGCGTGTGTATAAAGTCAATGGACAAGTAAGTATCTATCAACAACTGGTTTTGCAAACAAAAAATCTTCAACCAGACGTAATGTGTACCAAAGGCTCAGCGTGGTGGCGCTTCAAGTGCACTCAGCTAGTGTCGCCAAGTGAGGGGGTTCACGAGTATGAAGTCGTGGGGTCTGTGCATTATAAAAACTATGATCGATAGATAGGCAGCGGATGAAGGAAGGTCTTCCTTCCCGATTTGGAATGCAAGCGCGACGGACATAGCACAATTGGGACCGCGCCACTAGACTGTGGAAACGTCGCGGAGGTTTCGAGACAATTGGGGGTGGCAGCGAAAGCTAGGTGCTTTATTGCTGCAAGGAAGGCGTCTTGTGTGCGTACGTGGGTGTCCGAGTGCAAGTGCAAGTGTCAGCTCTGCTCACAAAAGGGTGGAGCTTCCGGGTGTGCAGCAGCCGCGACGGTGACGCCAATGAGCCACGGCACCCGCCGTCTTTATCCTCCGTCGACCCACCACAAGGAAGAAACCACAGGCTCCGTCCGTCGCTCGCCATCACCAGGACCGGACCAAAGCGCTCAGTGGGGGCCAGGCACTGTAGATGCCGTTGCACCGGTCCACGCCGTCTCCGGCGCCTCGGCACTTGACCCCAACGCCGCCGCCCGGGACGACCAATGAGGCCATGGCCGAGGCCACCGCAGCGGCGTCGATCCTGAGCGCCAACCAGTTCAAGCTGCTGTACCTCATCAGCCTCTACGCCGTGGCGTCCAACTCGACCCGACAGAACGAGCGCTGGATCCGACACGTCCCGCTGCTGGTGCTCATGTTCGAGGGCATCCTGTGCGACGCCTTCGACTTTGACTACGCGCCGGCGTCCATGCGCTTGTCCTTCAAGGGCAAGACGCTGCGACGCTGGATCAACTTCTCTCGGGAGGGCAAGGCAGCGATCGACGATCTCTGGGCCCTGCGGCTCATCAACGGACTCAAACTCTCAAGCGACGACTTCCAGCCCATTACAGCGTACCAGGTCTCCATTAAGGGTCAATTGGCGTTGCGGCTGCTGCCTCGGTACTTCCAGGAGACCGTGGACGCCTTCCTGTATCCACCGGCGCCGCTGGAACGGCGGCTGCTTGTTGTACGGTATGATGGTCAGCATTTTGTCCTGCGGTCAGGGGGCTACAGCAAGCCCAGCAGTATCACGGAGAGCGATGATGTGTCGTATGTATCGAGTCCGTTCCTGCCGCGATGTCTGCGCTCGCGATCCGGCGGGTATTACAAAGTCCAGGAGCGCAGCAACGCCGATAGAGCCCAAGAGTGCGCGTTAGGGGCGACTAGCATCACCAAGAAGACGTCGGAGGCCGTCACGTTGGGAGACGTGTACGCGCTCATCGGCGAGTGGGTGCCCTTCGGCACCAACCAGATCGTGGCGTTAAACGAGCGCATGGGCGTGCTCGACCGATGTCAGGGTGGAATCCTCACCAGTTGTGTAGATAGCAACCCCACCGACGCGCAGTTCCGAGTGCCCGTGGGTCAAACTCAAGTGCGAGTGCTGGACTACGACTTCGTGCGCTTCACGAACTTTGAGGCTGAAAGTCACTTCCCAGAGACGCCCGGGATCGTACAGGTCGAGAACTTCGGGATGCACCTCAACAGCGACGGCTCGCTCATCTACGGCATCAAAGTGGAGGCGGTCATGGACCGGTTGGGCGACGACGTGGCTATCGACCACCTGTCTCGACTGCTGGTAGACGTACACCAGGACTCCTCCATGCTCGTCAACGACCTGCTTTCAAGGTACCAACTCAGTCTGCTGGAGATGCTCTATCTGGGGGACTCCTTCCAGCGGAACAAGTACAATTGCATCCTCAGCAAGCAGATTCATCCGAAACTTCCAGCTCAAGCGTATGTAAGTGACCCAAGGTATGCCAACGAGCTGGCTCAAGTGCTCGGGGATATCCATACAAGCCACGATTTAACCCCTGACGATGTCCTGGTAGTGGGGAAGGCTGGGTGCCTATTCTCCGGGCCCAATGTGTTCCGATACGAGCATGTTTTCACGGCGTATGTGGGTTTGGTATGTCGAGACATCTTCATCAAGAACTTCTTCGCGCGAACTTTCGTGCTGGATGCGACGCTGAAGGAAATCCGCCAGCTAATCCACAAGGTACATCGAGAACCCGCGACGGTCCTCCAAGTGCGTGAGAAACTCTCTGCAGTATCGAAAGACACGATTCTGCTGGCCGAGACGCTCGAGTATCTCTTAGACTCGCTGGAAAACGTCGAGCTCTCGCCTGCCGGCTCCTGGGGCGACCGAGATGATTTAGACGAGAGCGGGGACGACTCAGTCGACAGCGTCAGGAGGAGGACATTCGGAGGACCCGAGTCGGACGTGGACTCACGGTTGTTCCAAGTGCTGGCACTGCCACAGCTGAAGGCGCAGACCATCATGCGGTGCCACGACTCCATCAAGTTAATGGAGAACACAATGCTACAGCTCGAGCAGCTACAGATGATCGCCGAGTCCACCGCAACGAATCTGCTTGAAGTGGCGTGCTCGCGTGTGAATCTTAATACTCAAGCTCTGATGAAGGCCATGGCTATGCAGACGCGCATGTGCATCACGTTGAACGCCATGCAATACTTTGTCGGTGGAATGTTTGTGTTTGACGTGATTGACCGACTGACTGGAGGCACGTGGAATGGGCATGTCCCCAAGTGGGCGATGGACTCCATCATAGATCCGATACTGCACCACCCGCTGCTCTGGTGGGCGATCAACCTGCTCATACTTGCGGCTTTCGTGACGGGACTCGCACTACTATCAGCGTGGACTGTGCGGTGCTCGCTCGGGTGGTGTGAGGCGTCTTTCGAGGTGAATCGCAGGATCGCGCTCGACAAACTCGACACCTTCCTGGCAGCGCGGAACGTACAGAGTAGTTTCGCTCTACGAAAGGTGGCTACAGCACCAGGGAGGAAGGCCAACCGGTTTCGGATGATAAAGTGGACGGAGACCGATTCTACCCTCTGGGGTGGCGTTCTACCCGAAGTTGAGCTCACTTTTGACGACCGACACGGATTTCTGTTGTTTGTACTGCTGCGCTTCGACGGCAAGCGCTACCCGCACATGCTAGAGGACGAGTGCTACCAAAAGTTCCTGGAGATCTTCACACGCGCGGAGATTTTTCGAGAAGACCCGCTCCGGTGGAGAGAGGAGTAGTCGACAGTCGGACAAAACTACGGGCTCCGTTGGAGTGCGAACCCCTGGCAAGGCTTTCGTCACAATGCCTACAACATCGCTACGAGTGATTGCGGCAGTGTTGATAGCGTGCAAGAACTATGGCCGCAGGAGCCAGGCTCACACTGAAAGCGAACCGCAACAGGACCCTATCGTTTGGAAAGAACGAAGGTAGCGCACGACGTATAGAGAGTTGCTACCATACTATTTAAGCTGCGATGTCGAGACCTGTCGAGGATTTCGATCAATTGCGCGGCAAAATACAACGCCCACGAGGTGAACCCCAGTCTACATATTTTGCCTCCACCTCACCAATATCTTACTGGACCAGTAACTTGATTTCAAAATGATGATGCTCAGTTCCCTTTGCGTGAAAGGTTTTGGTGGGAACAAGGCCGAAGATGATGCTCGAAAATGGCCGATAACACCGCGGCGGGCGCGGGCATTTGTCACTGCAAAAGTTGTAACCTTGACCGCAAGTAGAACCACGATGGAAAGCCGCTCGACCACGCTGCAACCTCAGGCACCCCCTGAATCGCAATGCAGTGACACTGTTGGATCTTCGGATGAGACCATGCCATCGGAGCCCCTAGCCGATCCTACAGTACTGCGCTGTCGTCCAAAAGAGCCCGACGGACGGCGAAGATGCGTGAGTGCAGCTTCAAGCCGAAGAAGGCCAAGATCCGGACGTGCGCCCGGCGCAAGGTACACATGAATTCTGGGATCGGCAGTGTTCGTCCTTGTACAGAAGCTTCAAAGTGCCATGCTAACGTTTTTATGATGTTACTGGGCAGGCGGAGATCGAGGAGCTGACAGCAGAGATCCAATGTCTGAAGCGGCAAATGGCCGGCCATGACCATCAAGCAGAGGTGCAGAGAAACAAGGAGGCGTTGATGCAACGCGAGCTCTCAAACCAAGCGCTTCGTGCCGCCCTTCGAGCTCAGCGTCTTTCGTTTGCCAGTGCCGTCTCGATGCTCTCTCAATTCTGCGTACGACATAGCACTGTCTCGGATATGTGAGGTCTCTACTCTAACTTTCTTGCTCTCTTTGTCCAGCGCGAGGAAGTGACCGGTCCATTCGATCTGCCCACACGACTTGGCAGGAACCCGTATGAGCGTGAGGTTGCGCTGCTGAGGATGAAGCGGGACCGACTCGCTTGTTCATGCTTCAACGCCAGCAGTTCCTCTCTACGGCGGACTTCTGCGACCGGAAACGGTCAGTCGCTACCAATGGGGACATGGTGTCGATGCACTTTGAGATTACCCCGTTGCACGAAGCTCGCAGCGTCAAGGCCATCTTCGACGCGCTGCAGACCTTCGTGTACAACATCGAGATCAGCATCTCCGAGGCCGTCGGGGACATCACAGTGCGTGAAAATGACGACGCCAAGCCCGACAGCCCCGTGGCGCAGCACCGGCTTCACACCCTGATCCAAAACGTGGTGCAGATCGAAGCCAACAATGTCGCGTTTGCAGCGTACGACCCGGCGGGTCAAGGCGGACGCGAGCTGGGGTTGTCAGTTTGTGACGCAGTGGATGAAGACGATTTGTTTCCGTATCGACTGCTGGAACGCATGCGTCAAGACATGACGATGATCATCCAGCTTGAGTCGAGCGAGGACGAGAGCGGGATGCCGTTTGTCGCACTGACTCGGTGGTGGTGCCTACGCATCCGGAAATCGGGCATTTATGTGCCACCGTTCGCGGTGGAGCGTATTATATGAAGCGTAGACAAGGTTGCCGAAGCTATGCTGTCGACGGCGACGCAGGCTACCGCCGTGAGCTGCTGAAGTACCTTCGCTAGAGGTTCGAGATCTTGCGGTTAACAGTGCAATAACAACCGGTTTTCTTTGCGCTACAACTGTAAAGCCCCTTCCACAATACATTATTCTCGCGCGACTGCAGCGTTCCCAGCGCACTCATCGATAAGTTAATGCATACTGTTGATGCCGGGGTGAGACAGCCAAAACAAACGTTAATAGCTGGCCGTCAACAAACGAAGCTTGTCGACCTTCACACAAGCGCTGCGTCGGCAACAACACACGCTCTGCGGTGTCGGAAGCCTATTCTCGCTTCAACGACGGCCCTAGCGCTGCTGGAAACCCCTGCTGGAAGCCCCTTTTTGCAGCGATCTCCACGCCCAACTAGCGAAAACTTCAATGGTAATCCGTGCGTCATCATGCCGATGATGTCGGCACGCCCATCTCCTTCATCGCCCAATCAGCGTGCAGCTGCCCGTGTCGCGACGGACGAGAGCTCAGTCAGCAAACAGAAGACAAATGAGCAGGAGGCCGCAGAACCCCAAGTACGACATCGCCAGCCTGCTTGGCGTCGATAGCGACCGCGCTCCGAGCGCTGAGGGTCAGCAACTACCAGGACTCGCATTTGTTCTGCAGCAGGGGGGCTGCACTCCAACATTCCCAGCTGAAAACGCACAGTCTTCACCCCAGTGCCATCCGAATGGAATGGAGGTGGAGCTGCCGCCAAAGCAGACAAGCGCCACAAAGCGACGAGCGTCCGAGTGCGAGGACGATAATAACGCAGCAACAACAGCAGAAGCAGCGGCGCCAACAAGCAAAAAGTGTCGAGGCAAGGGGCGCAAACCCACGTACCTCGTCCGAAAGGTGGGTGAGACGCATTTGAGTGGTTAGTACGTGGCCAACGTATTGACTGGTTGTGTGCTATGTTATGCTGTGCTGTGTTGTTGTAGGAAGAAAAGTGCGAGCTGCTGGAGCACATCAAGGAGCTGGAGAGCCAGGTGTCGTTCCTCAAAAACCGCACCAACATTGTGGCCTGGCAGGAGAAGGACCGGCAGCAGATCGAGACGGAGATCAACAACAACGTGCTGCGTAACTCGGTCAAGCAGCACCAGCTGCAGGTGCTGTCGGCGCAGTCGGCACGCATTCCGTCAACAATCGCTGCCCGCTCGACGCGTACATTCACCTGGGCCGCGAATGGGTCCAGCGAACGGAGACGCTCTGTCGCTTCCGCGCGCAGCAGTGTCGAGACGCCGTGGAGCTGGTGGAGAGGCGCACGCAGTTCATGACGGAGGCCCGCGAGTACACTGAGAACGCGCAGTTCGTGGACGAGGCGGGGGATTTTTGCTCCATCCGCTTTGACATCTCGCCGCTCGAGGGGCTGAAGACGGTGGACGGGGCCTTCGACTTCATCCAGTTCCACATCAAGCACATGGACACCAAGCCCATGAACTCCAAGTACACGTGCACGAGCGAGCTCGGCCCCGACAACAGCATCATGCACCGCCGGCTGATCATCTCGGAGGTCGAAACTGTGGCGACCGAGACCAACTTCGTCATGTTCTCCGAAAAGTGGCCCGGTGCAAGTCACCACCAGGACAGGTGCGGAGACGCAGCAGCGGACAAAGGCGTCATGGTTATGAACTACGTGGACGAGGACGACCTGTACCCGTATCGCCCCGACAACTGCGTGCGTCTGGACATCAGCGGGGTCATGGCACTGAAATTGTACCGCAAGGTTGTTAAGACCCCCAAGGGGGAGGACAAGGAGGTGCCCGCCGTCGTGCTCACGCTGCAGAACAGGGATCCCGAAAAATAAATACGCCCGGAAATATATTTGTATTTTCGGAATCAATATTTTATTGTAGGTATACCTCCTTGGTTTATCCGGTATTTATTCCAGCTTAGATCAAAACTTCTAGATTTTATTTCTGCGGTTGAATATATCCTTCATGATTGAGAAGTTTTTTCCCCTAATTTTCATTGTGTTAACGCCATCAAATTTTCCCTTTATGCTAAAATGATGTTGTTCAGCAACCTTAACACGGATGTGGCGACCGTGGGCAGTGTTTGTAAGAACCCATGAAGGTAACACGATTGCAGCAATTTACTGAATAATTTACTGCGTCAGCACGGGGTCTTCAGATTATTTATTTCTTCTCTCCTTGGTATACAAACAAATACGTATTTCGTTAACTTGAGAAAATAGATATATATCGTAATTTCGGCATGCCTGCTGCAGAAGCTGCGGCGCACCGAGTTGCCCGTGCCGACTCACGTGCTTCAGATGATGCGCGATCGGATCAACGACCCGGGCAACGCCATCCTGCGGGCGGTCAAGGACGCGCGGACGCCCGTGGAGCTCGAGCCCAAGGACATCAAGGTGCTCATTGTCTAGCGGGAGGGGAGCGTTGAAGCTGCGCAATCGAGAATTAATGGGGAGAGGGCGATGGATGAGCTCTGGTGAGCTGGTGCTGGTGGTTGCAGTCCTTTCGCCCCCAAGCAGCACGACCGTCATCCGCGCCGATTGTGCGTCCACAAAGCCAGTGCTCTGGCATCATCATGGCAGTGCGAACGCAACCGCGGGGCATCACCTTGATGTGAAGATGGCTGCGAGAGCGATGGCCTTGACCGCAGGAAGCGCTTCGGTGGTGTACACTGCAACACGCGGATGGGCGTCAGGATCTACTATCATATTGGACGGGCCCTTTTATAATCCATATGTAGCCATGTATTTATCTTTCAATCATAGTTGTTAAAACGGATTTCAAGTACTCAGATCAGCCAATGACATTTCGTTTCCTGTGTTATGCGATACAGACTATTTGATTAACGAGGGGGCCGCGAATCTGCTTCAAGTGGGGCGTGACCGTCATCAACTTGTAGCATGATGCTCTCGAACCCTTTTTCTACGAATACCCCGTAGTATCGCATATTGATCCTTCATTGATTTTCTATCGCTTTTGACCTCTAATAACCGATGCGCGAAAAACGAGGCATCACCTGTTGATGCCAACGATCGAACAAGCTCCCACCTCTAAAGTCTCCATCGTAAAGCATAGCGGCGGTACCTCGCCGAATCAGCCTCTATCGCCCATAGCTCGACTTTTCAAATTGCTCGGCGACAGACAGACCCCCACACAGCTTCAACACTTGCGATGGACCCACCCACTGGCTCGGCGTCGCCGACACTGCCGTCCGCGCGCTCGCTGCTGTATCGGTCCCCGGACGTGTCGGCCGACTGCAGTCGCCCGCTGCCTCGATTGAACCCGCTGCCGCTGCGGTCGCCCACGCCGGCGGACGTCAGCGACAAGACGCTGCTGGTGTTCCTGCACCCGGACCGGGCGACGGCCGCCTCCGGGCTGCAGGCGAGGAGATCGATCTCGCCCCGCTCCGTCACAGCCCCTCAGCAGCAGGAAGACCCTGCAGCGAAGACGATAAGCCGCAAGAGGAATTCGCGCGACTTTGACGACCACCGAACCAGCTCCGACGATGGAACCGGAGGCGAGACCCCGCGCGGACGCAAGCGCAGCACTCCCGGATGCAAGGGCAGGAAACCCACGTACCTCGTTCGGAAGGTAATAGTGCTACATTCATTCATTAGCTATTGTGGTGGTGGAAATGTGAAAGTGATGAGAGTGGCGATGATGTTGTTGTAGGAGGAGAAGGGCGAGCTGGAGGAGCAGATCAAGAAGCTCGAGGCGCAACTCGAGTACCTGAAACACACGGCTTCGACCGAGTGTTTCGCCAGAGCGGTTGTAAGACGGACAGACCACAAGTTTTTCGAGCAGGAGATGCACAACCATCTTCTGCGAGAAGCCGTCCGCAACCAGCACTTTCAGCTCTTCAGCGCGCAGTCGGCACTTTCGGAGCTCACGGTGAGAAATTTCACTCAGACGAGATATGGTGATGTTGTGCTGATGTCATCGTGTCCCAACTTTTGCAGTACTCAATCCAGCAGAACCAGTGTCCCATCAACACCTTCATCCACTTGGGGTGCGATATCCAGCAACGACACAAGGTCTTGGAGAACATGAATGCGCAAAAGTTACGGGACGCCAAGCAGCTCATGGATAAGCGCATGCAGTTCTTGAGAGACCCAGCCGAACAGCGTCGGGAGACCGCTCAGTTCCCGACGGACTCAGGCGCCTTGTGCTCGGTGATTTTTGACGTGACGCCACTCGATGGAAACACGGAAATTGAAGACGTCGTTCGCGCCTACGGTGCCGCCTCGCGCTATGTAAAAAGCATGGGCATGATGGTGCCACCATTCACAGGGGACGATGCGGGTGTGGTCCATGGACGTCTGCAAATCGACACCTCGCCGGAGATGCCCACGGAGTCGAGCTTTGTGGTCTTTTCGGAGCTGCAGAAGCCGACATTTGCTGAGGACAGAGATCACAGCGACAAGTGCGTTGACCCGGTTGGCATGCTCGTGCTGGACTCGGTGGATGAAGATGAACTGCACCCTTATCGTCCAAGTGAGTTCTTACGGGAGGATGTCAACGCAGTTATCACGATCACAAGGGGCTCTCGGCGTCAAAACGGATACAAAGACAACGACCCCGACAAGCGCGTGCCGTGCCTCATTTTGACGCGCTGGGTGTTGCTGACGCTACGTCCGGATCAGAAGGGGAATGCACCCTCAGGTGCCATGGACTTCCTGCTCCAAACCTGCATTAACATGGGCAACGAGATGCTTCACGCCATCCAGGAAGCTGCGACTTGTGCGAAACTTACTAAAGCTCGCGGAGTTCGCCAACCCTGGAGACTGGGACGTACATGCACATCAACCTCTAGCGGCACTGCGGATGTCCCCAGCTAATGGAGGACGGTACCGGTAGTAATAGTATAGCAAGATAGCACGACATGACCTCAGACTTCGGCCTAAAGAAATGTTAGTACTGTAGCGCGAGTTCTGGGCTGTATGGACTTGTGTTATCGTTGAGCTCTCTCTCTCTCAACCAAAACTCGATCGTCCAGAGTTTTTTCTTGCATTAAACGTGGTTAATATCTTCGGCTAATTGGCGGAAGAAGGCTCCCGAAATTAGGTGGCGGGGGCAGCATCGCCGCCATTGCTGGAGGTGCCATGCTTGTTGGCAAGTCTCCAGACGGCACGATTGGGTCCCGAGGGGTCAAAGCGTAGCGCACATTGTTCAGCATCGCCTCGCCCACCTGCTCAATCCCATTCCGAATACGTTGTGTAGCTTCGAACGGCAGATGGATCGATGACTTGCGGATACGCAGCAGCGACCAGCGCGTCAGAATCACCACCCGCTCCATCTCGATTGGGCCAGCGTATCCTACGGGTCGAGACTTCGGTCTCGTACAGGTCGATACCAGCATGAGCACCGTCACATCTTGTCGGATCCTCCGCCCTGGAATGTACGGGTACAGCTCGTCCTCGTTCACGAAGTCAATTGCAAGTACGCCAAGCTCGTCACCATGGCCGGTGGCCCCCAGATCTTCCCACTCGTTCGGCAACTCAACCCCTAGCGCTGCAGGACCATTTCGTTCATGGTACTCACTAAACATGGCGTTATTTGTCTCCATCTCCGCCACGTTGGCAACATTCGTAACCAGCCTCTGCTGCGAGACAGAAGGGTCCCAGTGGTCGTCGTTTTCCCTGATCGTGATATCTCCCAGCAGTTCTGACAAACTGATCTCCAAATTGTACGAAAAGTTCAGCAACACATCAAAAACTGTCCGCGCCGAGCGGATCCCGGCAAACGGCGTAACATCGAAGCCCATGTAGCAAAAATCTCCGTGCGCGTTCTCAAACTTCTGGTTGTCGGAGAAGGGGGTCGACGGGTCCATGAATCTCCGTCTTGCCACTAGAAACTGCAGCGCGTCGTGCAGTTTCTTCTTCTTCATCGATAGCAGCGTTGCGTGGCGCTCCACGGGGTCTTTCCCCAGCTGGATGAACGTCTCGAACGGACTGTGCTCTTGTACGCGCATGTACTGCGCGATCATGGACTGCGTGTTGGCAAACGCCAGTCTCTGGGAGTGAATAACTTGGCGGATCCCCCTGTTCTCCTCCTCCCGGCGGCGCATCCTCTCTCTATCCTCGAGCGCGTCGTTTTGCCGCCGGTACTGTTGCATTTCCTTCTGCAACTTCTCGTACTCCTTGGAGAGCACGGCCAGCTCCTCTTTGCGCATGTAGTAGGTGCGTTTCCGCTGCTTCTTGGGCTTCGGCTCCGTATCTTTCTCGTCAGTTTTGGCAGCTTTTTGCCTCTTTGTCTTTGCTTTAACTTTAGGTGGAGCTGCTTCCTCCTCTTCTTCTTCCGCGGCGTCGCTCTTGCCCGCGGGGGACGACGTTAGCGACGAGGCCGCAGTTGCCGTCGTCGTCAGGTCGTCCTTCCAGGGCGCCGAGGCGCGCGGAGGCGCCACCGACTGCATGAGCGATAGCAGCGCGTGTGCGGAGGCTGGTGAAGTGGGCGCGGGGGGCTCGCGGTCCGAGAAGGGCGGCGCGCGGAGCATGTCGCGAGGGCTGAAGGCGGTCAATCGTGCAATGTTTCTGGGAAAGGCTGGACCTGGCTATTGGAACGGTTAGGTGGTGTACGGTTTAGTAGCAAAGAAAACGATGGGTAATTGACTATAGTGCTCGATATTAATAACTGAAAGATGGAGAGAGCCGAAAGAGGCTCTATAACTGTGCAGAATTGATTACGCCCGATTACTTTGAGAATGGATTTCTAAACCGGACCAAACTCTTGTTGCCGTCTGACTGCACCGCAGAAGGTATGTTGATGTAAGTTGTAGTTGCGCTGAGCTTGACCTGGACATTTGCGTCACGTGAGTTATTGCTCGTGTATCTGTATCTGACTGTTGGTGAGGGTGATCTTGCAATGAGAATGGACAACTGCAGTTTGCGTGGTACACTTCAAGCGCTGGTGATCAGTGTGAAAACCTGAACTTCTCTGAGTCATGCGTGATTGATTGACTCTTATGCAGCGAGCACCAGCAAGTCGCAGAGACTGATGTTGGTACTCATCTATGACGGCACCTCCACCTTTTTTACTGCGCATATTGACCTTACCACACAATTTACAACTCAAAACATGGAGCGATATTTTATTTGAATTTTTATCTACAGCAATACGCCTGTGCAGCTATGTAGCTACCTACACATTCCGTCTCATTAACGGAGTTAATCTCCCATTCACCGAGTGTCGAATGGCGGTGAACATGGCTTGGCCGACCTGCTCCATGCCGTCGCGGATGTGCGCGGCAATGTCGTCGTCCAGTGGGAACGGAGGCTTCCGAAGTCGCAGGCAGGTCCACCGAAGCGCCACCACAATGTCGTCCTGTCCGTCGCTGCTGCCACTTACCGCAGACCCGCATTCACTGGCGGTACCACTGGGAGAACCGACAGGATAATTGGTAGGGGTGGCGCTGGGCCGACGCGGATACCTCGCTACCATCACGTGGAAAGTGATATCTTGCCTCACACGTTCATTCACATGGTACGGGTATAACGCATCGTCATGAACGTAGTTGCACACTGCAATGCCCACTTCATCGCTGACAGCTCTGTCCGTGCGAGGCCCCGAGCCGTCGCCCCAGTACTGCGTGAAGGTCACGTTGTTCGTGTCGACCTTGACGTTTGGAGTGATCGTCGTCACAAGGCGATGCTGGGCCACTGAAGTATCCCAGTCTTCGTCGTCATTCTCGCGGATCGTGATGTCGCCGATAAGGTCCGAGATGCTGATCTCCAAATTGTACGAAAACTTGAGCACGCCCTCGAACGCCTGCCTGACACTTTGCGCCTTGGGCAGCGGCTTGATATCAAAGCGCGCTAAGCACACGTCCCCATTGTCCGACTGGAAACGTTGGAGGTCGGTAAAGTCCGTGTCCATGGCCATGTATCGCGAGCGCTCAGCTAGAAAGTAGACCGCCTCCTGCAGTCGCTGCTGCTTCATCGCCAACAGCGTGCTGTATCGATCTCGTGGATCTGTGCCCAGTCGAATGATCGGCTCGTAGCGACTGTGGTCCCCAGCTCGCTACAAAGTGCATAGATCTCGTTAGTGTCATTATCAATACACGCCCCACCCTTGGGGTACAATAGCCAGCCCAGTTACCAGAAACTCGGAGATTATGGACTGTGTGTTGGCGAAGATTATCCGCTGGCCTCGGATGGAGTCGCGCAGCTGCTGATTCCGCCTCAATTGCATCTCAACGTCGTCCTGTCCGTCCTGGCCGCGCCCGCGTCGCTTGAGGTGCTGCAACTGGATGGTCAGACCCTGCAGCTTCTTCTCCAGCATCTCCTTCTCCTCCTACAGTAGAGTACCCACTTCATCAGGCCCAACCCCCACCTCGCTCAATGCAACTGAGACTGCAAAACTGTACCTTGCGTCGGTAGTACGTCCGGGCCCGCAGCGCCGGGTTCAGTTCTTTGTGGCGTCTGCCCCTCGCTGGCTTGGACGACTGTGCGTGTGCGGCGCCCGAGAGCTGCAGCGGCGGCGCGGACCACACCGAGTTGCTGCTGCTGGGCAGCGTCGACTGCAGGTTGGGGATGTTGGGCGGCGCCTGGAACGGAGAGGGGCCCTGCATGCTGCCCGCGAAGCAGGCAGGGGAAGCCGCGCAAGCTAAGGTTAAGTTGAGGTCTCAGCTCGAGTGAGCTTCGCTTCGGTCACACCAGGCGTCAACACTGATAGGGATAGGGGCGCACTTCAGAAAAAGCTGAAGTTGTTGTGCTGGACGAGCGCAATGGTTCCTGGACACCAAGGCAAAGGAACTTGTTGTCTCTTGATGCCACTGTATTTTTACTGCCAATATTTGATGGAGTTCGGGTCGGAAGGCAGCCTCTAGATATTGCAATGTAATTCATCCCATTGAGGTGCTGATTGATAACGCGATATAAATCTGCAAAAAGCACCGGTACGAAATCAAATTGTAAGCTTACAGACGTTTGATCTCCATGACTTGCACCACCCTTTTGTACGCCTTATATTGCTGCTTGTGGAGTGACCTGGCCATTGACCGAGTGGTGGATGGCCGTGAACATGTCCTGCCCGACTTGCTCCATGCCGTCGCGGATGTGTGAGGCTGTGACATCGTCCAGCGGGAAAGCGGGTTTTCGAGCGCGCAGGCACGTCCACCGAGTTGCCACCACCATGTTCTCTTCTGTATTGCCACTCACAGTGGCGGGGGAACCGACTGTGTCGGTGTCGTCGCTGAATGCACCAAGTAAGTTTCGCGGATACTTCGCTATGACAACGAAGAACGTGATATCTTGGCGCACTCGCTCTGCTTCATGGTACGGGTAGAGCTTGTCCTCGTCGACGTAATTGCAGACTGCGATGCCCACTTCGTCGCCCACTGCTCTGTCGGGTTGCGGCCCCGAGCCATCTCCCCAGTACTGCGTAAAGGTGACGTTGTTTGTGTCCACCTGCACGCCATGGTTGACCGTCGTAACCAGTCGATGCTGCGCCACGGAGCTATCCCAGTCTTCTTGGTCGTTCTCACGGATCGTAATGTCACCAACCAGATCAGAAATGCTGATCTCCAGGTTGTACGAGAACTTGAGCACCCCTTCAAAGGCTTGCATCACATCTCGAGCTGCAGGTAGCGGCTTGATATCAAACCGCACCAAGCAGACGTCCCCGTTGTCTGACTGGAAGCGCTGGAGGTCCGTGTACTCCGTGTCCATTTTCATGTGCCGAGAACGCTCCGAAAGGAAGTAAACTGCTTCTTGAAGACGCTGCTGTTTCATGGCCAAAAGGGTCTCGTATCTTTCTCGCGGGTCTGTCCCCAGTCGAATAACGGGCTCATACAGACTATGGTCCTTAGCTCTCTAAATTCACATCACAGCACTCAATGTCAGTCGATCAAAAGACAAAAAAAGCATACCAGGGCTACGACAGTACCAGAAACTCCGAGATGTAGGACTGCGTGTTGGCGAAAATGATGCGTTGGCCTTGGATCGAGTCGCGCAGCTCTTGGTTCCGCTTCATCTTGACTTTGAGGGCGTCTCGGCGTATTTCGACCACATCACGACGTGCCAGTCGCTGCAGCTGCAGATTCAAAGCCAGCACCTTCCGCTCCAGGTCCTCCTTCTCCTCCTGTAATAAAATAAAAATACGTTAGCCACAATAAAATATTATTTTAATAATAATTGGAGAAGCTCGTTAAAACGAGCTTCTCCAATTTTGAGTTGTGCTTACCTTGCGTCGATAGTACGTCCGTGTCTGTAGCGGGGTGCTGGGCTCCTTCTTCCTCGGTTTCGAGGCCTTTTTGGTCTTCGATGCACCGGAAACTTGCTCTGACGGAGCAGCCCAAGGCCGGTTATCGCTGTGAGGGGGTGACGACCCACGGATCGGCCTTGCGGACGCTGTAGCACGCGACGAGGAGACTTGCATGCGGCAGATGGAGCGGGTCTCGCTGGTTAATGGAGACCTCGGGCGGACTGATGAGTACATGACGGTACTTCAAGTACCTCAAGTACCTCCTGACAAGAATTTCAAGGAACAGTACTTCAAGTACCTCCTGACAAGTATTTCAAGGAACAGAAACAAGTCTAATGATATACAAAAACCTTCCAACAAGAATAATCGAGTTGCCTCAAAAACTACAACATGTCCTACTTACAGTTAACTGCCGTCTGCCCCAGCGTGTCGAGCTGCCGCCACCATTGCGGCACATATGTACTCGATCCCGTTCTGAATACGCGTCACTGCATACTCAGGTACACTAATGCTAGAGTGTCGGATACGAAGACACCACCACCTCGCGAACACAATAACCGGAGAGCCATCTTTCCGGGTTTGCCAGTTCACCATAGTGATGACCGTGACGTCTTGCCTCACGCGTGCTGCACTGTACGGGAACGCTTCGTCCTCGTCAACGGCGTCGCTGATGGAGAAGCCGACCTCTCGTTGGCCTGGCCCCGCCGGGATGTACGCGTTGAAGGCCACGTTGTTGGTGTCCATCTGCACCACGTCCCCGATGGAGGTGACGAGACGGTGCTGCGCCACGGAGCTGCTCCGTTGAGGGTCGTCGTTCTCGCGGATGGTGATGTCGCCCAGCACTTCGGACATGCAGATCTCGATGTTGTACACGAAGTACTCAAGCGCGTCGACGATGGCCTTGACGCTGGCCGCGCCCGGCAACGGGATCACTTCGAAGCGCTCCGAGCACAAGTCCCCGTTCAAGGCCTGGAACTTCTTCTTGTCGCAGAACTCGGTACTGGTGTCCATGAACCGCTGACGCTCGCGCATGAAGTCGTAGGCGCGTTGAATCCGCTCGCGCTTCATTCGCAGCAGCTCCATGTGACGGGCGTACGGGTCTTTCGGTAGGTGCGTGAGCGTATCGAACGGCCCCGTGTGCTTCTCCCGCTGTCAATCGAGTCAAATAAACTTTAGTTTTCAATTTGCTTCATGGGCTTTGTCCGCCACAACTTACCAAAACTTGCGAAACCAGCGACAGCGAGCTTGCAAAGGCCAAACGTTGGGTGTGGAGGACCTCACGCAGAGCTCGGTTGGACTCTAGGCGTTGGCGCAGCTCCTCTCGCCCCCTCAGCACTTCGTTGCGCTTTGCATAGAGCTCGATCTCGGCTTTCAGACGCGCCATCTCGCCCATCAAGTCCTCGATCTCAGCCTGGAATTAAGAGCACACAGCGTCAAACACCCACGATTTGAGCTGAAGTGCCCATGACCTGACCGCACTTTTCGTCTGCAGTACGTGCGGATCTTTTCCTTCTTCTGCGGTTGCCTCTGGTTCTTCTCGGACGCACGCGGGGCCGATACTTTCTTAGGCTTCTTCGTACGGGGTGGCGTAGTGGCGCGAGTCACCGACAGAAGACGCGCCGGGGGCGTTCCATCGCCTCGAGCAGGCGCACCCTTCACACAGTTCTCTCGACTTGGCATTCGTTCCCCAATGCCTGCAGCTTGGTGTGCTACTCGATTGCGGCAAGCAAAGCAGAATCCCCGGTGTCGAGCATCATCAACCGTGCACCGGGAAGTACCTCCAACATGGCTACACAGCACTTGACTCGCTTTCAAAGTGACGAGCACCGAGGAAACATAATCATTGAAGTTGGTCCTGATGCGGTAGCGACAAGCACAGTCTCCGCAAAGATTAACGTTGCAGTGCAACTTGCACCACTAAGCTGCACCACCTTCCAGTAAGGTGCTTGTCGTTGAATGGCTTCTATAGTATACGGTTGAGTGAAGCGGAAGGGTAGTCGGCACGCTCTGCGGCCGCGAGCATGGAGGCGGAGACGCTGTCGAGTCCGTTGGAAATCCGCTGCGCGATCGCCCTTGGCACGTGGATGTGGGATTTCCGTAACCTTAACGACCACCATCGCGAGAACACGATAAGCGGCCTGCCCTCCTTATCCTGTTGCCTGGACACCATAATGATCACCGTGACGTCCTGGCGGACGCGGGTCTCGGGTTTGTACGGGTACAGCTCGTCCTCATCGATCACGTCGTTGATAGAGAAGCCGACCTCCTCTTCGCCAGACCCCGGCGGTCGGTACTCCGCGAACGCCGCGTTGTTTGTATCCATCTGCACCATGTTAGCGACTGTGGTCACGAAGCGATGTTGGGCCACGGGGCACGTGGTGGACAGCCGCGGCTCGTCGTTCTCGCGAATGGTGATGTCTCCGTCCACCTCCGACATGCTGATCTCCATGTTGGACACGAACGCTTCCACGGCATCGAACACGCGCTTGACACTGCGCGCTTGGGGTAGCGGCACGATCTCGAATCGCTCGGAGCAAAAGTCCCCGTTGGTGGCTGTGAACTTCTTCTGCTCGGTGAAGTCCAGCGTCACATCCATGAATTTGAGCATTTCCCTCATAAACTCGTAGGCGCACGATAAGCGCTGCTTCCTCATCTCCAGCAACTCTGCTTCTCGCTTAACCGGGTCTTTACTTAACCGGGTTGGCGTATCGAAAGGGCCGGTGCTCTTCTCGCGCTTTAAAAGCGGAAAATGAAAACACAATCCAAGGTTAGGAGAGTGTTAAATTAGTGCGAAAAAAATTGCGGTTACCACCACTCAGGAACGTACGAAATGGTGTGCAACAATTGACGCCGCACCGGCAAATGCTCGACGTTGGGCGTGCAGCACGTCGCGCAACACCTTATTGGTGTGCTGCCGCAGTCTCAGCGCCTCACGCGGCCGCAGAATATCGGCGCGCTCCTCGAGGTCCTTTATCCTGGCCTCCAACTGCTTCTTTTCCTCCTCGAGCTGGTCCATTTCATGCTGCAGCAAGTTTTGCAACAACAAGTCGGTTAGATGACACTTGAACGCTTTGAGAATTACCCGTTGGACACTTGCCTTGCGTCGGTAGTAGGTGGGGACTTTCTTGCGTTTGTGTTGGCCATTACTGCGCTTGCGGCTTGTTGCTGCCTCCCCACTCTTCTGGCGCTTATGAGGGGATGCCTCGTCGCTGGAGGAGGACGCGGGGCTCGCGGGGCGTGTCGTCTCAGCCATTGCGTACCGTGTCGAAGGTACTGTACAGAATGTACTCTCACTTCCGACACCTGTCAAATCTAGTATCCTTAACAATTTGATATCATCTTTAGCAGGTTTCACAATAAATCGACGCCAAGCATTGAGCGGCTCTCAATCAACGGCAAGCCGCCGCCGTCGCGCACGAAGCTTGCGAGGCTTACGAAGATTCTGAGTGCAGCACAAGGGACGCAGAAACGTGTCTCTTGGGTGCGGAGGTATAGGGGGATGGGGGTGCTGGCAGGTAGGCATCGTCTTCGCCGCAAGAACGGATAGAAGGGCTTTAGGTAGTAGACAGAGGAGCAGTTAGCCCGCGCCGTGGGCCCCTCGGCCTAGCGGCAAGTAGTGGGGTGAAGTGAGAACATAGGAGTAGAAACGACAGAGGAAGAACTGGTAGATGGAGCCGTGAGAAAGCGCTGGCGTAGATAGTAAACCAGCGTCTATAGCTTCCTACTAGTGCTGCAGCGCAGATAGCATTCAGCGAGTGTGGATGAGCTCAACCACAACAGCTCACTCACAACTTCGTCTCATAGTTAATTTATCGCTTGCGCTTACATTTTATTGGGGTGCTATGGCCGCTGGGGCTCACACCGATGAGCCGGTGATCAACGAACGGAGCGGCGACGTTGGTCGCCACGCCAACTTGGTGCTGGTGCGCTCATACATTAGAGAACCTAAAGTTCTCTATTGTAATACCTGCTAACTAATTATGTGTGCATGAAAAATACACACCAGCTGGGGCAGTACTACCTGTCGGTCAACGTGAGCAGCATCTAAGCGTGATGTGGCCCACACATTTGGAGTTTCACGACTATCACCCTGTTTTGACTCTGGCGCCTGTGCTTGCACCATCCGCTCACCCTGTTCTGATATGAAAACCCAGAGATTGCACGTGATTGCGACCAGAGAGCACCGTGTTCTGACACACGGTGCGTAATGCGCATATACACATTGTGTGACCTGGAATTAATCTGCGCTTCAAAAAAGAAGAAAAGCAAGCGAACTTTGTCCGAATCAATCTATAAAGGTCCCTTGCCATATAAAAATCGTAAACTGGGGTAGTCATATCTACTAGAAACGAGAGGTCATTTTATTTAACAGGTGGTTAAGTACGCTCAGGGCAACGTTTTGAAACGTTTTCTGTTTACCTGCGCGCCCATCTCGCGGTCTCGTAACCCTCTCTCTGCCCTTATCCGAGGCGATATGGGTGCAAGGTGTTGCCACTTCCGAAAGCACCGCCCGTGAACAATGGCGCCCGACAAGCTCATGCAGCCCTTGCCGTCGCTCCTCCGGCCGCCTCAGTCGTGCATGTCTCGCCCAAGAGTGCAAGTGGCGCCGGCTCCGCCCGCCCGCGAGGTCGAGGCCAGGCACCTCGCCTCCAGAGCCAACGAGGCTCCGCAGCAACAACAAGAAGAAGACTTTTTCCTCAGCGGGTTAAGCAAAACGCAACGCAAACCAGCGCCATCCGCCACGGTTAGTCCAGTGCTAACCATTTTTGCATTCGCAAAAAATTCCACGTATTCACTTAACTGTTTTGGTTTTACCTTAACCTGCAGCACGAGTTGCGGCAACTCCGCGCCGACGCCGCGGCAATGGAGACGCAACTGGCTTCGCTGTGTGCGAAATGGCAAGAGCACCTGCCCGACCCCTCCGTTAGAGAGTCGGCCTGTGTTGCCGCCAAGGCCAAGTGGGTGTCCTCCCAAGCCGAAATGGTGAACCGTTCGCTCAAGGACCAAGTGTTGCAGCAGCAACTGTACCTCGCGTCGTTGCAACACCTCATAACCCAGTCGCCGTTCCTGGCCCCGTCAAGAAGCAAGGAGCTCTTCGAGGGGATGCACTCGTTCTCGGCGCTCCCCAATTCTCTAACCACGACCCAACGCACCGACCACCTCATTGCCCAGTGCGAAATGGGGGTGCGCCTCGTGCCCGCGCTGATGGGGAGGTTCGCGCGGCAACATTTGCCAAATGCAACATTCTCTAACCCCTTCTCCCACACGAGCGTCATGGCGGACGGCAACTTCACCTACGTGTCCAACATCCTGCTCTGCCGCATCCCGCACCGATCCATGGAATTTGCCGTGGGGGCCGCGATGCACTACTTCCAGAACCTCTCAACGGAGCTAAACAGCCACTTGGGGGTGCACTGCGACCTCGAGGTGTTGCAGGATTTGGGCCACGGTCGAGCTTACACCCAGATGCGATACCGCAACGGACCCAGTTTTTCCTCCAGCAGCAACACGACGCTCGCCGCGCGCGTCACGCCCGACTCGGCCGTGGTGGTGGCGGATTTCGTTGATGAGGACGTGTGCTACCCCATCGACCGGACGTCCGAAAACCGCGCGGGGCTGGACTCGTGTCTCTCGTACGTGCTAAAATGTTGCGGGGTCGTTGAAGTTGCCGACTTCGAAGTGCTGGATGTTGCCTTAATCTTTGCGATCTGACGGCGATTTTTTTTAATTTTTGGTGCAGGCTCCTCATGACGCCGGAGAGAGACCCGATGAATGGTCAGGAGCACGTCCTCGTGCAGAGATTATCTGTGAACCGGTACAACCTCCCGCCCACTTCGTCCAGGCTGCACGACGAGATCCGGTCCTCGCTGCCCTGGTTCAACGGAGACCTGTTAATGGAGGTCATTTGTCGCCAACTCGAGCAAAACGGACAACCGAGAGCCCTTTAACCGTAGAAAGCGACGACGGGGGATCCACTGATATATATATATACAAGGATAGAAGAGGTTGAGCGAGGTAGAGCGAGATAGATTTTTTTTATGGAAACGTACGTGTGTGTGTGTGTGGCAAACGAAGCCTCGTGCGGGGGGGTTAACGAAGGAATTGACAACATGAAACAACAAACCAAAGTCGTTAAATTATTCTCTATCTGCTGTGATGGTTGATACTACATTCTCTCTTTCTTTTCAACATTTACCGGACTACATCGAGTGCATCAGATTACTTACTTATCTTTCACTATGCACTTGGCGCAATGGGGGGAGTGCTTGAAGCTGGTTCGACCTCAGCCGACTCTTGTTTCACTGGACTGGTCTTCTGCTTCTTGATGCTTCGATCCTCGTCCTCCTCCGTGTCTTCATCGTCTACCACTTTCTTGTCCTCCGCTTCAGACCGAACGCTTTCACTTCCAGCGACGGACGAGTGGTCGTCGTTGTTGCTCATGTTCATATAGGCGTCACTGAGCATGGCCATGTGGAAGTCGCCGTTGAAATACGACAGCAGCTTGTTGAGCTCACGGTGGATCACCGGCGAGTTGGGCGGCAGGTTGTACCGATGCACGCGCAGTCGGCGCATCAGCACGATCGGCTCCTGCGTCTCCGGGTCCTTCACGCGCGCGATGGTCAGGATCATGCAGATGTCGATGCGGAGCCCCGACTTTGGCGTCGGAGGCACCAACGGCACACCATCGCTGCCCACTTGCACCTCTTGCGTCTCTTTCCGATCCGAGCCTTCATCGTCGTCCTCGTCCACGAAGTCCGTCACGAGCACAGCCAAGTCATCGCTCACGAGTCTCCCACTCCACGCGCGGTTCGTGTGGGCGCCCCGCATCTCTCCATCCTGCCGCTCCACGCGCGCGTAATATGTCGACGGCCCCATCTCAACCTCGTGCTACGTGGACGTAAGGGAACCCCGTTAGTACATCCGCTAACATGCAGAAACAACACCACACAGGGGGCATGTTTGGACACAACAGTACCGTCGGTACCTTGACTTCGAGCAGCACGCCAAGACGGCGTTCCAGCTCGATCGAGGTATTCTTGAGGTTGTCCACGATGGTCTGGTAGATACGCGGTATCGAGGCGCTGGCCGGCACTTTGCAGACGAAGACGTTGGACACGAGCGTGCCGCAGACGCTGCCCGCTTTGTTCCTGTCGTTCTCCACTCGAGAGTTCAATGGCGGGGATATCGTAGTAGCGGCCGTACTAGTCCGCGAGAACGGGAGCACGGGCGACGTGAGCGGCACGAACTCGCGCGTGAAGTTCTCGACGATCTCCGGCGCCAGACGCACGCCCAACTCGAAGCGCGCTTGCAGCTGCTCCCTACGACTCGCAGGGTCGGAGCCCACGAGGTGCAGGTAGCCGTGCATGCGGTCGAAGAGCTCTTGGCACACTGCCGAGCGGGACCACAGCGGCGCCTCCGTGAGCTTCTGCTGCAGCGCCGAGAAGTAGAGCTGTTGCTGCAGCAGCTCGTCCTTTAGACGCAGATTGAGCTGCTCCACGTGACTCGTGACTGTCTTCTGCTTGGCCGCCGTGCAGGCCGCGAGCAGCACGTTGTGCTCGGGCAGCGCCGCTCGCCACTTGGCACAGAGAGCGGTGAACTGCTCGTCGAGCTTCTGCGCCTCCACGCGCAGCTCCTTGACCTCATGCTGCCAATCGGTAACAACAAAACAACAATCAGCCACAGCAACAACAGTCAGTGGAGTCTCAATGGCCAACATGTGGACAATGAAGTACACGCACGCACCGCGGCGGGGATCGCGGCCTTGCGCGTGGGCGTGCCGGACGCGCTGCGCGCGCCTCCTCGACTGGTCTTCCTGGTGCTGGCGCCGGCCGTGGCGAGCGCCAAGAAGGCCGCGTGCTCCGCGCGTCCCTGCCGACTTGCCATACGTAGCGCTTCCGGACGAAAGGAAGGTCTGGATGTCCGTCCGCCGCCGGGTCTCACTTGGCGGACGCTACAGTCGAGCGGCGAAACAGACAACAACAGCGGGTGCGGCCTGCTGGCAACCGGCGAGTTAATTCACGCGCACGGGTATCGGCTGGAAGTGCGCGCCGCCACGAGCAGCAAGCAGCAGGTACTCTAAGGCGCGGATGATGATGCGGGAGCCGGCCGTGTCAGCCAACACAGACAGAAACCGACCGATGAAGGCTTTCGTCTCGTTGTCTGTGTAGCCACCCGATTTCATCATGGAGTAAAGTACGATAACAACCTGCGATTTGTACAACAGCAACCACACCAGCAACCACTTTTGTGTACAGAACCGATCCTGTACTACTCAGTTCTGTACTCAAAAGTGGTTGCTTTTCTGTGCGGTTTATTACACCGCATATCGCGAGTTCGTGTCACGGTCCACCAACACCAAAACCAATGCTGTATCCCAAAAGGACGCAGGCATTGTCTACAGGTGGCGGCGAGCTGAGCCGCGAACAGGACGGTGCCAACCACGTGCCGACATGCCTATTGACCTCTAAGAATGATTAATGTCTACTTCAAAATAACTCGCGCAAGTTAATACGAAGTCGTGGATTCAAAACAACTCGCGCGAGTTAATATGAAGTAGTGGATTCAAAACAACTCGCGCGAGTTAATATGAGCAGTGGATTCAAAACTGCTCGAGTTAGTTTGATTCATAACAGCTACATGCGTCAAGCTCGAAAGTTGCTAAACGATCAGGTTGGTGAAGTGAGAAAATGGGCTTAGATATTTCAACGAAGCTGTGTGACTGGGTAAAATACCGTCAACATTCAATCCTGTAAAAACATGCAAGAATGGTACCAACAATGCTCATTACCCCAGAGTGTGTTGGAATCGAATAAGAACGAGGGACATCGGGTGTACAGAGAGTATAGTCAACTAACTGCACAAGTAAATAGCAATGAACTAAACAGACATCGTTCTTAGCGAGTTAGATTGTGGACTATAATTTCGTGGACCACTACCGCAGACTCGCGTCCTCGAGGCATGTGGACTGTTGGTGAGGCTACACCAGTACATCGTAATGGTAGTGGTAGATAGCCGTCTAACGCCCAACAAATTCAAATTCCAAATTTGATCTATAACGTCGGCTACGATGTAACTGCACAACGAGCAATAACGTTCATGAGGGGGCTAACAAGTCTGTTTTAGTGAAGTTATTGTGGGAAGCTCGTATTGAAGAGGTAGGATATACTACTTGAGCAAGCGTTTTTGACTGGAAAGTCACACGACTTACAGTTAGCTCAAATGCCACTCACAGCAAGGGTGTGCGCCTTTAATATTTACCCGTCGGTCACTATATAGCTACAATTCCCAGCGAATTTTCGCATCGTAGTGCACACATACATATTGCTCCAAATTCAGACGTTGTAGTTGCACCTCAACGCGCCTAGGAATAGTAGTTATAGAGAGGTTGGTTGAGTCCTAACGCCTTTATTTAAAAGTATGCAGTGCGAAATGGTTCGTGGTTTGAAACCCCAATGCGGACCATTGTGCTGATTGTCACTAACATCGAGGCAGTGAGCGTTATGGCTATGGATACTCGTTACTAGTGTAAGTGAACTCTATATACCTTATTTCCAAAACAAAATACTTAAGTACTTAAGTACTTAGTATGCTGGTTGGCTCGCTGAAATTCTTAAGCCTGATAAATTTCCCTGAGTATTTTTGAGGGTTATACGTTGCCACTTGAAATATGCCAGAAGACCCATTATATACTTTAGCATGCAAGGTATCCACGCTAGCTGAGTAGTATAACGGACGCTTAGGTGGTTCAGCACGAGGCGCTAGAATACGAGGTGATACCTTCCGAACTACTCTCTATATATTATCGAATCTCTGAGTAGAGCTGCAAGTTCTGTATAAATGCTCCACACAGATAAAATAAAAAAATGCGTCGTAACCATACACAACCACTACCATCACAACAGAGGAAACGGCTATCCGGTGGCTTAGAGGCAGGAACTGGTGCGAACCTTACTAAAATGTTTTACTCAATCGGCATATACTCACATGTAAGGGACAATCTGGGTATGTTGTGATACATTGCGGTGCCTGGCATCCTAAGACAAACTAAATGTATGCATTTGTTCACACGGATTGCTTTGTGGCAACCGTGCTTGGGTTGAACTCCGAAATGCTCACGTATAATTACCCTTTACTAAACTCACAGTACAGTATACTCTAGTACGTACCATTTCAATTTAAAACAGTATAATTGGCCTCATATCAGCTCCGTACCTCGCATGACGCCACATTATAACAACTCCTAATAGCTGCCTATACGCATGCGCAACCGGAGTATTCTACACGTATTAATACAACTTACTTTATGATGTCGCGCGAGTAATTTAATTCAAATTAACTCGTGCGGGTTATTCTGAAGCATCTGGACCATTTTAACGCGCGCGAGTTATTTTGAATTTGAACCAGGCAAAGCTATACTGAGCTCAAGTACATGTACATGTAGTTTGTGTAGCGGCCATTCGCAGGCGCCCGGCTTACCTGGAGAAAGGGCAGTAGAAAGGACAGGTTGCTAGTGATCGAAAAAGTGGTTGTTGACGATCACTTTCCAGCTCTTTTGGTTGTTCTCGTCTTTTTTAGGTTGCCATTGTCCCAAAGAAGGTTGTTTATGGTCCAAAGTTGGTACACTGGCGACCCGGACTCTTCATCATGTAGCGCCGTAGAGGTGGCGCGCGGAGGCTTACTGTTTCCAGAGAAGGGAGCTCCGTCGCCCGATGGGAAGCACGCGGCCAATCCGCGCGCCGCGCGCGCCAAAAGCTTTGATGCGTGGAGGGCTGGAGGACGGTGGAAAATCGGCAGGCACTCAGCAACCGAGGAATTAAATAATACAAGTAGATTGGGGCTATTTGTCCAAACGTAAGTAGATCATGGGGACTACTTAGAAGTAGACTGGGAGACGTTGATTAAACGTATTTTAATTATCACCCTGCTACGCGCTGCGCGCGGCCCTCCAGACCCTAAAGGCTCGCTGTGCTCGCTTGGACAGAACCCTAACAAGCCCGCTGCGGCTCGCACGCGTCGCCTCCGCTTGCTAGAAGGGCAATGCTAGGTCCTGGTTTTGCATCCGCGTGCTTCGCACACGGGCTGACCAACCACAGGCGTGGGCTCGCTTCGCTCGCTGTGCGCTGATGGTCTGATCTACTTACGTTTGGACAAATAGCCCCAATCTACTTGTATTATTTAATTCCTCCTCAGCAATCCCAGCGCCGTTGATGCGCGCGGCCCCGGGGTCTCTGCACCGCGCTCTCACGCGTGATTCAGCGCAGAAAACACGCTCGTCACCTTACGACGTCTGGGGGGCGGTGGGTCGACCAGCGGAGACCGTGAACGGATGTCTTCCACGGTCTCCGTTGACCTCTTAGTCGGTCGATTCGCTTCGATTCGTTTCGATCTCTTCCAGCGCGAAGACGCTCGCACCGACGCCGTCACCGGCCCAGTCATTACACGCAGCTATGTTACTCGCCCCTGTAAACATGAGGCGCTCTTCTGCTGCTTGGACTGCGGCCTCGACTGGTCCGCGGGAAGCACGTCGTCGTCTACCGCCAGTGTACACTATTCAAGTGGCTTCGCCGTTGCTAGGGCGCGCAACCACGAGGCTTACGCGTTTGACTGCAAAGCGCATGACGGGCAGCTCTCGAGCGCCGCCATTTGCCGAGCGCCCCGATCCCTGCGTGCCTGCCTGCAGAAACGGCGCAAGAAGGCATCACGAGCTGCGGATTGCGGCGGCGTGGCTGAGGCCCAAAGTCATCAGCGTGCCCACAATTGCACGCTGGAAACTGCAAGCAATCGAAGCGTGCGGATCCTTTGAGTCGATGCATGTCACGTGATGAGCGATGGATCGATCGCACTGCGATTCGCAGAGGCTCGGCTGCCAGCAGAAGGGCTGGTGCTGCTGGTTGGCTGTTGGGTTGGTTGCAGGGCAGGCGAACCGGTGGTGGACACCTGAAATGGTGCTTTCGTCCAGTGCACGCCGCGTGGACACCTTGTTGGCCCCTCTCGCCAATGCCTCGCCTACGACACCTAGCCGACCGGTCCATGCGTTAGCACACATCACGCGGTGTCTGAGCCCGTCCACAGGCTCGCAGGCTCAAGGCAAGATCCGGATCGACACCAAAATTACTGCATTTCCTACTTTACATGAAGCTCTCCAACTCGTTGCGTACATACGTATGCCACAGTATTTACTCGGTGCGCGGGCTTTGGCTCTGCTGCTGCTGTTGCTGCTGGATGTAGCCGCACACGGTCGCGGTGATCAGGTCGCCGTTCAGAATGGGGCGGATGATCTCCAGGTCGTCCTTGAGCGCCGGGTCGTCCGGCAGCATGTTGTAGTTGTAGACAACGGCCCACCGCAGCGTGACCGCCACCGTCCTGCCGGTCACGGGGTCCTTGCGCGGGGTGATGGTCAGCCCGCAGATGCCGTACTGCGACGGCCCCGTCCGGTTGACCGGGTGCAGTGGGTCCTCCGTGATTGCGTCGATGTGGACCATGCCATGGGATGGCGTGAGGTCCGAGCACACGACGTTGTTGACGATGGCCGGGAGCCCCGCGCCGTTAAACGTCGAGCGACGGTACACCACGGGCGAGTCGGCGCTGTTGAGTCTGGTCCGCTTGGCGTTGACATTGAAGTGGCGCTTCATGGACGTCGGGATGCCGTCGAAGTAGGCCAGCACGGCCGCGTACACCTGCTCGAGCGACGTGTGCGGGATCTCCGAGATGAAGACGCTCGAGATGAGCGTGCGGTTCTTGCAGCCGGTGATGTCCAAGTGCGACAGGGGCAACACCGGCAACACCGGCTTCTTGCTCTTGCCCTGGTGGGCCACGACGCGGTCGATGGCCATCTGCGCGAACCTGTTGACGATCGACGGCAGCGTCGCGAGCGAGCGCTCGTTGTGGGCCAGCAGCAGCGTCTCCCTCTCTTCAGCGTCGCGCCCCAGGTGCGTGTCAAAGTGCAGCGCCTCGAACATCGCCTGGCCGCTGGAGTGCAGCGGCGCCCGCAACACGGCGGCCTGCAGCGTGGCGAAGAGCAACTGCTGCTGCAGCAGCATCTGCTGCAGCTCGTTGTGCGCCGCCTCGGTCTGGATCGCGCCGTGCTTCTCGCGCGCCGAGCGCTGCGCGATGGCCAGCGTGCGCTGGTCGGGCAGCTGCGCGGCCCACTTGTTGTTGAGCGCGCGCAGCTCGTCCTCCATCTCGGCGACCTGCGCGCGCAGCAGGCGGATCTCGTGCGTGGCTGTGAGCGGGGCTCCGTTGGCCGCGCGCGGCCGCGGGGGCGCCGGCGTGGCGCCCGTGAGCACGCAGATGAGCTCCTCGTTGTTATTGGTGCTGTTGCTGTCTTTGGTGGGGGACAGGCGTCGGCGCTTCTTGGTGTTGCTGGAGCTGGAGCTGGAGCGGCTGGCGGAGTCCGGGCTGCTTGGCGACGCGGAGAAGGCTCCCATTTCAGGCAGCGGGGGCATCAGGATCACGTTGGTCGGGTGCAGGCTCATGGAAGAGCTACAGTGGAGTAGGAATCGATCTGTTCGCTAGCTGGAAAATTGCGAACTACTGCAGATGAGAGATGAGTTGCAGAGGGTGGCTGCGTCCCCCGCAGATCTTTATACAGCGATATGAGAGCGCGATTTGAAGCGCGTTGCGGTTGGGGTGTTCCTGTCAAAACGAAAACAACCGAAGCGAAGACAGGCAAGGCAAGGCGCAATCAAACTCGGGCGCTTGCCACACTTCGCTTTCGTTTGTGCGGGCGGACTTTACTCTGCTGCGATGTGCTCGTCATGGGGGGCAGACATGAACATCCTGCAGGATATTGACCGGAGGACAGCTTGTTAACTGATCCTGTCCGATGTTGGACCATTGTGACGGAAACCTCCAGAAATCAGCATTGTCGACGTCACCGGCCGCGTGCTGTACAGTAATCTGCCCAAGTAAGGAACGCCTGATATATATAAAGACGCAGAATATATAAATTGATGTTAAGTCGAGTATACTTTTCCAATGTACTGATTTAGTAATTTCAACATGAACTGAAGAGCAGCTTTACCTACGAGTCCGGAATGATTCCAGCAGTGGCGTATGGTCGAAGCACTAACCTTTGACCAGGCATCCTCGCACCACAACAGCGCTGTCAACTGGTCGACCTCGTAGGGATTATCTAGCCCTTCACCTTGTCGAGGATGCCCACTTTCTCAGACCAAGTGAGGCGGAGACGCTTGGACGGTGTGGACTTCATGGGTGGAGTGGGGGAGGAGGTGGGCTTGTGGGGCGAGGTGCAAAAGAAAAAGTGCGAGTCTACCACTACGATACATGTAGTTTGAAGTCTAGTAAGATCGCTAAATGCGCGCCATTTTTCAAACGAGGGTGGATGATTGGAACTGGATTTTTCACCTCAGTACCTTGCAGTACCTTGCACATCCCCCTATCGCCACATCGACTGGAAAATAATATTAAATATGTGAGGCTATTAGTTATACATCCGTTCCTTATTCGGGCAGAATTCTGTAGTGGGCTCAGGCCGCTTTATAGCTTTTCTTGCTTGTGAGAGCAACACACGCGCGTTCGGGGTAACACAACACATGCCAGCATAATCAAATCGGGGGTTGCGTAGCCCCATTACCCGCAATAAAGCATGCTTTGGAGCTCCCTTCGGCTGCGCAGGTTCGTTTACGAAGTCGGTGGCTACGTCCCGTAACCCCGCATATAAGAACGTGCTTTTACCGCGAGTGCAATCAGTTGATTCATCTGCGACGCCTCGAAAAAGCCACTTGAGCTCGTGTGCACTGCGCGATTGTATGGCCCGTAGAAGAGAGAATCGAAAGCCGGACCGGCAGATCGCCGCTGCGGGATGTTGATGAGATGATATCGGGCGGGCGATCAACATGCCAAAAGGTTCGGGATGCCGGCGATGGCAGCGATTGTTGGGTTGTTTTTTGTCTGTGTGCGCACGGGGAAGGCGGATAGGCCACCGCCACGCAAGGACAGCGTCAACTACCTGGCTGCGTAAGCCCGCACGTCGTGACATGGAGCTGAGCGGACGAAGTCGCTCGTCGAAGTTGCGGCGGCCCCTTGGTCGCTGCGGTCTCTTGCAGCTACCGGATTGCTACCGTTGCCTCGGCGACTGAAAGCTCTGTTGACGGGTATTAATTACTTCCGTAAATTCGAAAGCTCGGAGCGGGGTGCTTTACACTGTACGACAGTGGCAAAGCCTTTCATGAACGAAAAACAAAAGCTTTGTGCTGGTTCCGCTTGTACTACTTTACGAGCTGCCAGAAAATGTGTAGTAATCGTGAAAACAATACTTGTACAAAAAGCATTGCCTAGCTGAGCCGAGCGCCGCCGAGCCGCGTGAGCTATGCAGCCGCCACCATTTTGATTCCTCTTTTTTTGTGGCGGCATGAAGGTTTTACAATCGACGTCAGACCCGGGAAATGTTGCTGCCGGCGAGATTTGGCGCAGCATTCTACAGTGTACCTTGATTTACAGTACACTAATATTACCAGCGGAAGGCTCAATGCAAATGCAACCAAATGGCAACCTTGTCCGATCCGAGGTCGCGTCCTGATCTGCGAAAACTTGCCAGGTTCTTCAGGATAAACAAGTGGGGACAGTGCTTCAAGGTATCGATACCGGTAACCAGCAGGGACGATCTCCGTCTACAAGATTACCGACCAAAACGCGGCAAGTCGAAGCGTTGAAGCTTTGGACTTCACATTCTGGGATTCTGTGAACCCCAGCTCGTCACGCGTGGCGCCGTAGCGTGCCACAAGAGCTGTTTTTGGCTGTTTTGGTCAGAGGTTAGCTCATGTTCTAGGGAAGCAGCCGTGGAGGACATCCTTGATGCGATTGCTTGCTCGTCCTCCGTTCTCGCACTCTTCTGTCGTTCTCTGCCCCAGCTCGCGTTCCCCCTTTTTCAGCTCGGAGCAATATTTTCTTGAGATTGACCACAGGACCGCCAGGTGGGTTTACCGCATCGCCAGCAGGGGAAAACTCATCCATGGTTTGCGCATAGGCTTCCAAGCTACTGTACACAGTGCCGACTGCACTTTAGCGTGCAAGACAAGAATCTCCATGTCATGGGGTCCACGGCAAATGGAAACCCAATTGTCCAACTCATGGAATGCATGGAGCGCGCCTCCAGCCTTGACAAGGGGGCAATGACAGATCCGACGGTTTATCTGGCCGTAAGCGTGAAGCGTGCATTACTCAATTTTGGAAATTCTTGAACCGCGCAATTAATTGACGCTGACGGTCGTTGCTTGAAAGGAGCCTTGCGATTACAGCTGCAACGATCTCTAGCGAAGAACGATGTGTGCATGATTGCGAGTGCTCATTCCAATCCGTTGTCAACTGGGCAGCGAGCATCGCATCTTGTACTGTGTGCAATCGAACCCACCTGGATTGTGGTCTGGTTGTGGCTGGTTTGCTGTGTCCACTCGAGTCAACGCATCCAACTTGGAACACCTTGGTGAAGACGCATCGGTTGATGTCTCCCAATCGTGCGCTAACGGGGTTCGAGGTGCTCATCACCAAGTTTCCGAGCATCTTTCTCCATGTTATGATGCAGCGAAGAATGCAATGCATTGCATGCCACCAGCACGGTCCAATACCACACGACACTTTGACGTGCGTGTGCACCTGTATTAATAGGTATACTTCTCCAGTACCAGTGTCTCGGGTGCAGCGATTGCTGGCCATTGGGCCGATCCATTAAGAAGTGATGATGTTATTGTTGACTCAGGAATTCTGAGCCGCGAAGGTGCAACCACGTTCAGGCATTCACAAGAAACACCATTTCAATTCAAAACATAATGTGTACCTACTATTGGCAGATAATAGCTTAGCTTCGCGGCCTGCGCTGCAGTTCCTGGATGTACCCGCACACCGACGCCGTGATGAGATCGCCGTTGAAAATGGGGCGAATGATCTCCAGGTCCTTCCTGAGTGCAGGATCATCCGGCAGCAACTTGTAGCGGTATACAACCACCCACCGCAGCGTGATAGCTACTGTTCTTCCCGTGAGCGGCTCTTTCCGAGGCGTCATGGTCAGTCCACTGATGCCGAACTCTAGCGGGCTCGTCCGGGTAACCGGGTGAAGAGGGTCGTCAATGACGGCGTCCACGTGAACCATACCATGCGACGGGGTGAGCTCAGAGCACACGACGTGGTTCACAGTCGCAGGTAATCCGGCCCCGTCGAGACTCAATCGCCAGTAGGAAGCAGGCTCGTCATCCCCGTTCAACCTCGTGCGAGTGGCATCAATACCGAAGTGGCGCTTCATGGTTGAAGGGATCGCGTCATGATACGCTAATGACGCCGCGTACACATCCTCGAGCGAGTTGTGCGGGATCTCGGACATGAAGACGCTGGAGACAAGCGTGTGGTCCTTGCAGCCAGTGATGCCAATCTGAGAGAGCGGCAGCACGGATTTGTTGGACGCACCCTGCTCTTGGAGCGCCAGCACCTTGTCGACCCCCATTTGCGTAAACCGTCTCATGATTGACGGCACCGTTGCGAGCGCGCGCTCGTTGTGCGCCTTGAGCATACTGTTGCGTTCCTTACGGTCGCGTCCGAGACGAGTGTCGAAATGGAGGGCCTTGTACAAATCCTTTCCGCTGGAGTGCAGCGGCGCCTGGAAGATGGCTGCTTGGAGGGTGGCGAACATCAACTGTTGCTGCAGCAGCATCTCCTCCAGCTCCATGTGCGCAGCCTCAGTCAGAGCCACCTCGCGTTTCTTGCGAGCGGTGTGCTGGGCTGTCGCCAGTGTGCGTTGGTCGGGTAGTTCACGGGTCCACTTGGTTTCGAGACCGTGGAGTTCGGCTTCCATACAGGCGACTTGGGCTCGCAGCATCCGAATTTCTTGCGTGGCACTGAGAGGTGTTTTGTTGGCAACGCGGGGTCGGCCCCTCGGACGACGCGCCCCTTTCAGCGCGGAAATGACATCGTCATTGGCTTCCTGGGATCGACGGCGCTTCTTGGACGCAGGTTCTGGGTCGCGGGACATTGACAAGCTCGGAAACGGGGCCATAGGGACCACGTTCGTGGGGCGGAGGCTCATTGGGTTTTGCTGTTGGAATCGGGAGTGATGTGGAGAAGCGGCGGAGCGCGGATGCTTTGATCAGGAGAGGGCAAGTTGCAAATTGTGATGCCCCACAGAAAAGGCTGGCTGGCTCACTCGAGGCTCGAGCGAGCTTTGCGCCGGCGGCTGTTTTTCGTGTTTGGAGCGTCTATCCTGATTTGACGCGGGACACCAACAAACCCACCTGCCGATGCGACAGACTCGAGCCATCCATCCAGTCATTCGTGCAGACAGGGCAACATCAACAGCAACCCCTCCCTGAGCCTTTCGATTACGAGGCACCGTAAGAAATCCTCTGTAAGCGAACGCCGCAACCACCTTCTTCTACTGTAAGGTTTCGTTGCATTTGCCACCAAGGCCGCACTGTTCAGCGCGAACAGTGGTCAAGCAACAGCAAAGCATTCGCTTTGTACTTTCAAAACTTGCATACAGTTTAAAAGAAATGATGAGGATAGTGTTCAGTGTTCTACAGTACATGTATCGCGAGGAGTTTCTCGAGCTGTGGGGGTTGCGTTGCGCGTTACACCATTGCTCCGACTGCCTCACCCACCCCTCCACGCATCAAGGCTCAAGATTCTCCCGGTTCGTCAGCTTCGGGAGAGCGTAATACGAATGTGGGGGTGCTGTTCAATTAATCAGCGAGACAAGTTCAAGCTGGTGCTCAGTGCCAGTTGGGAGGGCCTGTACATGTACACATGCGTGTAGCGGCATCCACTGCTGTCCTTCCACAAGACGCTTTGAGATTCGTGTTCTACAAGAATCAAAGCCCCAGACGCAGTGTACGTAACCTTTTGATGGACGCTTGATAAGCATGCATGGCATTCTCTATGGATAAGTGGGCATGGCATGCATGGCTTTCTCTATGGATACGTGTACATGCACTCGAGCTCAACCTGATAATGCGATTCTCACAGTCATTCCTGCAGTACATGTACATGTAAACGAAGTCTGCTTACATTCTCCATCCAGCTGCTGTGACGAGCCAGCAGTGAGCTTCAGTTCTGTTTTGAACACGCTGACAAGCAATGAGAGTCGGCGATTCACGTGTTCTGTAAGCCGGTGGGGTGTGGCGTCTGCTGTAGTCTACACCATCTGCAGGCAGGGTAGCGCAACCCAGCGTGTGTTGGTTGCTATCGTCTGCTTCCTGGCTCGGTGGCTGAACCAACTGGAAGGTGAGCAATGGTTATGGTTCACTCAGTTGCGTCGACAGCATCTCGTAATACTGTAGCGTGATGTACGGCAGCTTTGAGTGAACCGTTTTTTAAGCTAAAAGCTGGCCGCAGGGCTGTTGCAGACAAAGACAAAGATTACCATTGAGAACGCAGCACCGTTCTATTGACAACACCCAAAGAGTCCATGTATATTAATACTGTAGTCGGATGTGGACCCGAAACCTTACGGTGGCGACGGAACTGTCACGGCGGCAAGCGTGTTAGAAATCTTCACAGCTCTGTAAAATGACAACGGTCAAATCGTACGAGCTTCCCGCGGGGTAAGCATGCCGTTGTTGCCGTCACTTGCTTCGATGAGTTGCGTTTCCCTTCAATCGTGCCTTTCCAGTCATGAACTGTAACCCGCTACACGCGTGTACATGTATTACGCGCTAAATTGGCATTGTGGCTTACGGTTCGCGGTTCGCTCGTTCCCACTTTCCTCATGAATACATGGTACCTGAGTGCTTGCCCTTGATGAGGGCCTTCATTGGAAGAGCATGAGTGCATGTACAGCCAGTATTGACACCAAACTATTCGAGTAGTTTTCAAGAGATAATGCCAGTTTGAATAGCTTTGGCTTGAATACCGTTTGATATCATTTGATACAACAAAATTCTACAGCTTACTATAAGGTGGTCTTGGAAAATCACTACTGCGTCTGCGGCTCGCGGATATGACTGCACACGGAGGCAGTGAGGAGGTCACCGTTCAGAATGGGTCGGATAATCTCCAAGTCCCTCCGAATAGCAGGGTCGTGTGGCAACATGTTGTAGCGATACACCACCACCCAGCGCAGCGTGATACTCGACGTCTTGCCCGTCACGGGCTCCTTCCGAGGCGTGATAGTGAGCCCGCAGATGCCGTACTGCGACGAAGACGACTCGGGCACAGGGTGCAGAGGGTCGTCCGTCACAGCGTCGATGTGGACCATTCCGTGTGACGCCGTCAGCTCCGAGCACACGATGTTGTTCACAGTCGCTGGCAGCCCCGACCCTTTGAAGGTCGATTGCCGATACACAACCTTAGACTCTGCGTCGTTCAGCCTTGTGCGGTTCGCTTCAACTCCGAAGTGGCGCTTCAGCGACGTTGGGATTGCGGCGAAGTACGCCAGCACGGCAGCGTACACCTCCTCCAGCGAGGTATGCGGGATCTCGGAGATGAAGACGCTCGAGATGAGTGTGCAGTCCTGGCCACCAGTGATGTTGATCTGCGACAGCGGCATCACGGACTCCTCGGTGGCATCTTGTCCCTCCATCGCCTTGTCGATGGCCAGCTGCGAGAACTTGTCGATGATAGACGGCAGCGTAGCGAGAGACCGCTCGTTGTGTGTCGTGAGCATTGTCTCGCGCTGCTGATGGTCACTCCCAAGTTGAGTGTCGAAGTGCAGCGCCTCGAACATCTCGCTGCCGTTGGAGTGAAGAGGGGCGCACAGGACGGCTGTCTGGAGTGTAGCGAACATGAGTTGTTGCTGTCGAAGGAGCTGCTGGAGTTCCTTGTGCGCTCTCTCAGCTAGGTCCGTTGCGTGCTTCTCTTGAGCTGATCGGAGAGCTGCAGCCAGAACGCGCTCTTCAGGTAGCTGCTTCGACCACTTGGACTGCAGACCTACCAGCTCTTCCTCCATGCTCGCCACTTGAGCCCTCAGCATCCGAAGTTCATGCGCTGCTGTAAGCGGGATGTTGTTGGGGTCTCGTGGTCGCCCACGTGAGAGGCTTCTAGGCCCTGTGAGGGCTAACAAGAGCTCCTCATTGGTACCAGGAACATCACTCGAGCGTCGACACCTTTTAGCCTCACGAGTGTTTGAACTTGGTTCGGGAAAGCTTCGAGCCCGACGAGGCGAGTCCGTTTTCAGCCGAAGAGCCTTGAGAACTGGGTCTGTGGGGCAGAGTTGCATGCTGCTGCAGTGCTGGGGAGGCGGGCGAAATCGAGGAATGAGCTCCGAGTAAATTGTACATGTATCGGGTCAAGGAGCGCCGAACGAGCAAATCGGGTTGGTAATCTCTGTTTTGGCAGCTTGAAGGATGCGGTCTTTTCGGTGGCTTTTCGTTAGTTTGTGCTCCGGCTGCTTTTCAGCGAAGGGATCACACCACGCCCAAGCCCTCCACGCATCGCAGCTCTCGACGGCAACACCGCCACATGATCGCTGTAGACGAGGTTGCCTTTTGATTGCTGTGCATTTAACAACCCAGCGTGGCGTCGGTATGCCGTTCACTGTGAGCCGACATGATTGCAGATAAGCCTAGCGCTTACTTGTTGCTTTTCACAGCAGAGATAAACGGAAAAGGGCTTCGTGTATTAGAGCGGCGCTTCGCTTCATCGCACTGCGCGACGACGGCACTAAACTGCTTAACTTAAGTACTGTACAGCACTCGATTGAGTTGCAACGTGCAACGAACCACATCGCAGCTGTACATGTACCGCAAAGGATTTCACCATGGCAGATCGCGGGATCTTTCCATGTGGATAAAACACGGCGTTGGTGCCCTGTCCTGCCTCCGAGTTGCTGAAGCACGCATTTGGTGGTGTACGAGTAAGACTGGATCTCCGTGCAACGGAGTCCGTGGTGACGGGCCACAATGCCAAGATGCTGGGCATCTGTGTTAAATGCTTGCCGTAGATCATGAGCATGACAGTGGTAATAGAGTACTGTACAGGTAGCGCGCGCATTCGGTCACTTAGCTACGGTAGCACTAAAGCACTAAGATCAGTGTCCGAGGCTGAAGTGGTGTGTACCGCGTACCGTATCCTCGTAGGTACATGTAGTTCTCTTCCTTCTGCGTTCTCAAAGACAATGCATCTGCCAAGTATTGAGATACTAGTGCGTCTACCACATCTCCAAAATGGCTTGCACAGTATCTACGGTACGCTGTTACACGTATAATACACTGGCGGTGGGCTCAAAATCGACCTCTTGGTAGTTTGGCGATTTAATCGGTGTCACCTCGTCAAATTGAATAAAAAGCGGGATTCAGAAGGGCGACAACAAGTTATGAATGAAGTGAAGACAATGAAGAAGATGAGAGGGCCTAGCAATTATGTTGATGGACTAGTGGGCCAACAGTAGGAAATGGTCGTCACAGATTTCGATGGCGATCAACAACGGATAATGACCGGTGAGTGATCTTGGCATTCCGATCATTGCGTGAAGTGTAACCAATCAAAAGTTGGCTTCTCGTTAACTTCAGCTTTACACCTTTTCAACTTCAAAACCGCAAATTCCAAGTTCAATTCTGCAAAAGGTAAGTTCAAAACTGCACGAGCAGAGACCAACTTTTATACACAGCTCATTGGTTGGCACGCAGCACAGCTAGCCAATAGGCAAATTGTACTCTATAATCGTATACGATGATAGATATCATACAGTTTAAAATATACATTTATAGAGTATTGTTGTTATGATCTTACCTTTTGCTGTTTTGAACTTACAATTTGCAGTTTTGAAGTTGAAAAGGTGTAGAGTTTTTTAATCTTTGCCCATTCAGAGACAGGATGCGATAGGTGCGAGCCATGCGAGCATTTGCGATTGCTTGACTGCTTCCGCGTGCAGCTACATCGAGGACATGCACCAGGAGAACTGCTTGATTCATGCCGGTCAGTCTGCGGCTATTTTCTCTCACTGACAGACGCCCCGCCTTCCTTCAGAATCTGATGACAAGAGCTGGCGTCTTTTGTTCTGATAAGCTCGTTCTTATAACAACGCAATAAAAGCTCAGCTGCCATTATCGCCATTCTTACCGAGGATCACATCTCAATTTTGCCTCATCCGAAAAACTACACATTCTTCTCAGCGCGGTCGTCATGAGCGTCTACCCGCTAAGCGTCAGTGCGCCGTCAGACTTTCGTGAAATGAGCTCGCTGGTGAGTATTTCTAATGCTAATGTCATGGATCGAGACGTCAAGAAGCGTCGACGGTCGTCTCACTCCGATAACGACGCGATTGTCAACTTCAATGGAGCCAATCCACAGAGCAAGCCGAAGACAGCCAAGAAGCAAGCTGTCAGCGCTGCAAACGAGCTCCGGATGCTGCGCGTGGAAGTGGCCTCCATGGAAGAACAGCTACGCAATCTGAAGCTCAAGTGGTCGTCGACGCAACCGGATGAACGCACACTGGCGGCCGCGGCGATTCAGACCGAGGCTACTCGCAGTGAACTGAAGCGCACGCTGTTGGAGCAGCAGATTTTCTTCGCTATGTTGCAGAGCGCAGTTCTCCGAGCACCGCTGCACTCGATTGGGAAGGACATCCACGAGATGCTTCACATCTCGGTCGTGACTCGGCAGACCGCGAGGAGACGCTCAAGGCGCAGTGCGCCTGGCGCACTACGAACGGGCTCTTACCACCATACCATCGATCATGAATCACCTCACAGAAGTGGCGATCAAGAAGGAAATCGCAGAGAGAGGTGAGCTCAGGACACCTCTGTCGCAGCTAGAGATTACGGGCTGCGCGGACTGTACTCTGGTATCAGGCGTCTTCATGTCAGAGGTCCCGCACACGTCCATGGAGGTGGTGTTCGCAGGCGTGTTGGCGTTCTTCGACTCCATCCCGAAGTGGATGAAGTGCCACTTTGGCGTGGACGCCACTCAACAGGCCAGACTCGCCGGCGATCTACTGGAGGTCGACTCTCAAGGGTGTTGGAATGCCAGCCATCGTGAACCACATCGTTTGCTCCGAGCTCACGTCGTCTCATGGAATGCTTCACATGGATGCCATCACACATGACCCCCTGAATCCAATTCCGATCGCCAGCCCGCTGCAGTTTGGTATCTGCGGGTTGACAATTACGCCTCGCAAGGATTCTGTGATGGGAAAATTCACGTCGGTCACGCTGTGGTGGGCGGCTGTGTATCGCTACAACCTGTTGCCGAATGACCCTGCGCTTAAGGCGGACCTGGAGATCGTCCCAATTCTGAACGGCGACTTGATCACTGCGTCAGTGTGCAGTTACCTTCAGGAGAACTCTGCCTGCATCCGTGAAAACTAGATAGATAGCGGCGTAATAAACCGCAATACAGTAGTTGCAACGTTGGAGCTTCCGTTGAGTTTTTCTTCGAGGGCCAGGCCAAGGCCTCTTTTTCGAATCTCTGCCGTCTTAGTCAAATTTTGAGGGCAGGACTTACGTACACAGTCTATTTTCGGTGATATCTTGGAATTGTATAGGCAGCCCATCACCCCACAATGTGACGACCTCCCGCAGGACGGATGTCATCCGCGGGAAATGGCTTTGCTCTGCTGCGCTCCGCAAAGGCAGTCGCTGCGCTCCTGCGATAAAAAGATTCTCTCACCTGGCGAGAACAGTGCTCGGCTCGCTGGAATGCTCGTCGCTGGGCCCGCCTCCGCAAATACCGCGCGGCCCTGCTACGCGGGCACCCCGCGCGGGTTTGCTGCGGCTACGCTCCTCGCAACCGCTACCGGTAGCCTCCGTTGGTCCTCTTCTATATCACATTCACCCCCCCTCAACCCCCATCAAAAAAGACTGTGTACGTAAGCACTCCCAAATTTTGAGAGGGATTGATAACATGCACTCTGCGGCAGTTGCGGTGTGAAAGATATTAAAAATATCTGTACCGTACATGATATTATCATGTACGGTACATACCACTATTTCTTAGCCAAGGCCTCTATGGTCTTCATCAAGCTTCATTGCTGCACGTACTCGACCACCAAGCTCTTCGTCAGGTTCAGCCAGCTGGCCGGCTATTTGTCAGCGGATTGAGTTGTGAGAGGGGCTGCCTGATAAACAGCGATAGAGAGCACAAGTTGCATGAGAGTCATTAAAGCAACATTGAAAATCAGCCTCAATGTGTGGGATCAATAACATTGATGGGGTCCAATGTTGCGTGATCGCTAACATTGACGCAATGTAAATTTTCCAGACGTGAAATTTCATGTTTGGAGCGACTGGCTCAACAGCTCTCATTTCAGAATCTACCGGGTAGGAAGCAAGCGCCCGCGCGCTCGCTCCGCCTCCGCGTCGTGCGACCGTCTGCAGCGGTCACCCGCTCAACCTTATTCTAATGTGTGCATGTCCTACTGCGGTGCTTATATGCATGTGTGTACTACGTATGCGGGAGCAAACGCCTTCCCAGTGCGTTGCGTTGCGTCAGGTGCGATGCGTGTTGCATGCAATCGAATGCGCTACCTTCTAAGCAGGCGTAAGCGCTTTTAATGCGCCTCTAGCTAACAGCGCAGTTAGGTAAAGGGGGAGGGCGAGCTAACGCGAGCGCGTTCACCGATCGTCAACACCCGCCGATCAGGCGGGGGCGGGTCTGCGCGAGCGAGCGAAGGCGAGCGCTGCAACCCGATATTTTTTCCTAGACACCGCGCCTGGCCGAGCCGAGGACTTAGCGTAAGGCACGAGGGGGTGGGGCAGGCCGCACAGCGGCGCCCCCCGAGCGAAGCGCGAGAGGGGCGGCCCCCCCCCCGAAGTGCCGTCGCTAAGTCCGCAGGCGAAAGCCAACGCGAGAGTGTCCTGCCAACTAGGAATAGACAACACGTGGCGCCCAGGTAGAGCTGCGCGTAGATCCCGTAGAGCCCATTCTCCTGCTGCATGTGTCGGCGGCGCCGACTCGGCGCGTACACCATGACGCGCTTGCCGCGTTAGCGGCGGAAGCACGCCCCGAGTGATACAGCGTGCTTCGCTGTCGTGCTGTCGAGCTGTCGTGGCGACGCGTGTCCACTATTGTCACATTGGTAAACCAAATATTCTGCTACGAGAGATACCGTAACATTGTGCAATGTTAGGCAGAGGCACCATTGTTGCGCTCAATGTTACGCAACGCCAACATTTCAATGTTGCTTTAATCAGTGCCAAGTTGCATTGGCAACAGCTGAAGTTGCGGCGGAGCGTTACTGTTTGCCTTGCGATCGGACACCACAATTGCACAAGTACTGTTTGGTGTGTTGAAGACGGCGATTTCTGGCAAACATGTATCGACAAACATGTATCGATAATTACCAGGTAAATCCGATAGTTCCAACCCTCGATTTCTCTAAAACAACGCGAGGTATGGATACTAAGTATCATAACCAAGCAAAGCGTGTAAAAGGGGTTTCGTGCCTTTCTTTGGTGGACTCGTTTTCGCGGGATTGTACCTGTAGACGTACGAACGTAAGGAACGACGCTCGACAAGGTAGAAGAGTGCTTGTGTACGTGCACCAAAGTGTTGTCGCATTGCTCCGGTTCACTTGCATATACCTGGCGAATCTGTAATCTCTTGGCCGACGCACCAGAAACACCTGAGCGCCTCAGATCCTTATGATCTCGCCGCCACAAGCTCAGTCGGTAGTTTATGCCGTCGATAGGCGAACAGCTGCCTCAAGGCTCGGTTGATAGACTATCATCTGAGAAAGGGTTGGGCCAAACCCTTTCTCTCTCCTTCTGCAGCCAGCGTGAGATCACAATTCCAATTGACCGGCACCCCTCACTATAGTATTGTCTCGGCATCCACGCAGAGCTTTTAGCCCCCCATCATGGCTTCTCGTCCCGATAGAGACTCGAGCTTCAGGTCCCAGAGCTACCCCGATACCGATCCCGACAGCTACACCAAGAAGCGGGCTCGACCGGTACAAACCCACGATGAATTAATCCGCTGCTTCACTAAAGCCCCGGAAACGCGTCGGCGTGGCAGACCCCGCGTGTCGAACGCAGCCCCACTCAGCGCCACGCAGGAGATTCGCCGCTTAAGAGCCCAAGTAGCGACTATGGAAGACGAACTGCATGGGTTGCAGTCCAAATGGGCCGAAGAACTCCCAGACTCACGTACGCTGGCCGTCGCGCAACGCTCGGCACGCGAGAAGCACGACGTGGCTCAGACTGAAGCCGCGCATAATGAGCTCCAGGAGGTCCTTCTCCAGCAGCAACTGATGTTCGCGACGCTGCAGTCGGCGCTGCTGCATGCGCCACTGCAGTCGATCGGGAGGGATATCTTGAAGGCGCTTCATTTCGACACGCACCTTGGGTGGGATTCAGAGGAGCGAGAGAAGGCGCTCATGAGGCACCGCACTCGATCTCTAGCCACGGTTCCTTTACTTGTGGATAAACTAGTCCAAGGACCGATCAGTAAGAAGGTTGCCACGAGGAGGAGCGCGGACGTGGACAAACCCGTGACGCCGCTCTCTCAGATCGATATCACGGGTTGTGGAGACTGTACGCTCATCTCTAGTGTGTTTATCTCCGAGATCCCGCACACCTCGCTGAAGGTGGTGTACGAGGCCATTTCAAGATACTTTGATAACATTCCGACGTGGATGAAGCGGCATTTTGGCGTCGACGCGAAGTGTACGAGACTCAATAAAGAGGACTCCCCAGCGGTGTATTGGCGCCTGAAGCTCCAAGGGAGCGGCATCCCAGCGTCAGTGAATCACGTGCTCTGCTCGGAGCTGACACAGACCTACGGTATGTTCCACATCGACGCTATCACGGATGACCCCCTGCATCCAGTGTCCTCGAAGGACCTGGTGCAGTACGGACTCAACGGGATCACCATCACGCCCCGCAAAGAACCGGACTCGGATAAGGTGGTGTCGGTGACACTGCGCTGGCTCGTAGTCTACCGCTATAATCTGTTACCAGACGATCCGACCATAAAGGAGGAGCTAGAAGGTATCCGGCCGATCCTGAACGGCGACTTGATCACCTCGGCTGTGTGTGGCTACCTCCAAGAGCAGCAGCAAGCAAGCCCCTAGAAGTATTTTTAGTTTAGATGTAGCTGTGGTCGAGATACCAGAAGTCTTTGTTGTCCAGTGGCGTTTCCGCCGGAGTTACCGCGCAAAGCTCAATGCCCGCAGTATGGCGAGTTGCCAAAGCGTTTATCGTGTTGTGGTAGGAAAATACACACAGAACTACCTTATTCCGGTGCAAAGTTGAATGAATCCATGGGTACTGAACCCCACCTCTAATAGCATTTTCATATAGATGTAGTGCGGTGATGCAGCGCTTAGTGTTTCTTTACAAGACCTTTTGTGGGATGCTTCTAGACGACAACAGAGCATGACAACCGCTGGTCAACGAGTGGAGAGATTACACACCATCACTCAGTGTTTTGTGTAACCATAAAGTGTAGCAGCACCTAGAAATTGTGTTGGGATACCCACTGTATAAATAGGAAGCACCACCTAGAATATAATGAAAAACACCGACTAAAATAGAGCAGCCACCCACTTGTAGGCGACGGGACACTACCTTTTAGCAGTTAGCAACTTGCCATGGAGGGCCGTGAGGAAAACACAGCCGACACCCTGGGGTCTCTACCTTCTTCGGACTCCGACAGCGCAGATGAGGTTGAATCACCAAGGTGGACTAAGATCTGGGCATCGGCGACCGCCTCTAAGGCGTTTGAAGCCTTTCGTGATACCCTCCCTAGGCGAAGCATCAAGAGGAGTGACCGTACGAACTGCACAATCGACCATCTACTCAACAAGAAATACGCTCTCACTACTGCCATGTACAAGATGCGAGTTCAGACTACAAAGTGCCGATCGCGGCGATGCCATCCTCATCGCTCTGAAGACGATGACGAGAATGACTCAGCCATTGATGCCCCGGGGGACTGTCCATGCCGATATAAATTCAAGATTTGCCAATCGTCCGATGTGCAGGAGGTCTTTCAGCGCGACGCCCACCTGGCGGATGTCGACGGGTCCTCCAGCCCCATCGTGCGCAAGTTAATGCCTGAGATGAAGACCTTCATAGTGGAGCAGCTCAGCTCGGGTGTGAAAACGACGGCTTCGCGTTTGTTTGCCGTTATCTGTAGCATGGTGCACGAAGGTGACATGCGTGGGCCCCCGCCCGAAGACCAGCAGGTTGTGGACTTTGTGAAAAATTGGAGACGGAAAAATCCTAACAACGAAATGGCGCCTACAATCGAGATTTGCAATGGCCACCGCTACGAGCAACAAGATATAGCGACATTAGACGAGTTTGAGATGATGATCCTTTACGACACGCAACCGGATGCACGACCGGGAAGCTTAAGCATTGTGTCGCGCTTAGGAGATGGATCAGAGGCATTCCCGTTTCGTGTTGGGATGACATGCATTCGGCAAATCCGCGATTACATCTCGGTACAGAATCGCAGTGACTGTACAACGATTCTGCACCTCAATAGTACCCATAGCATGGCCATCAATGGCTACTCGGTCTTTGCAGTTGGCTACTCGGATCAAAGTTGCCACTTTGTGCCGCTAGCTTACTTCTGTACATCCCAGAAGCGGAAGCTGGATATCGGTTGGTGTCTTCGCTACATTAAACGGGTCTGTGTGGATATCGGCAATGTACCTTTTGCCCCTCAGTACGTGATGATGGACGCTGACAAAGCCCAATTCAATGCATCCGTGACCGAGCTGCCCCATTCTACCGTTCTAATGTGTTGGTTCCATGTCACTAAGAACGTGTGGAAGTACGCAGCGGAGTTCCGCGTCTCCTACGACGACACGGCAGCTGTGTTTGAAGATCGCTATGACATGCACTATGCACTGCGGCCGGATTTTGAAGCTGTAAAAGCGCGGGTTTTGGGGAGGTGGAGGGGACTAGCTGCAGGATCTGCCGTCCGCAAACTTACAGACCATGTGATAAAGCAGTGGATTGAGACCCAGCGCTTTGCTAAATGGCAGGCGTTCTACACCCCGCGAGGATATGCTGCAACCAATAATCCGCTTGAGCAGTATCATCGGCGCTTGAAACTGGAGTGCCCAAGCAATGAGCATACGCCCGATGAATTGATCAAGAGTCTTAATGGTGCGCGGCTTGCTTTTCTGCATCGAAATGTGTTTTTTTGCAATTTTCCTACAGCCTCAGAAAGGCTCATGCTCCTGTACAGGCTTTTGTGCCGCCGAGGTTGCATTTCCGTAGAGCGTCTGCCTCCGATTGGGACTGTCCAGGCCGATTTGTACCGCGTCCTGCATCGGCCTTTGGCTCTAACCGCCACAGAGAAGAAGTCGGTGAAGCAGTCAATTAAATCCGCCAATACAAGGCGCAAGCAACTCGAAGGCATGCCCGCTGCGGGCTGAGTTATTGATGTCCGCAGCAAGGCTTGCCCTTGCCCATATTTCGAGAAAAACGGTGCCTGTTGTCATCTTGCTGCAGCGTGTATCCATGCAGGCGTGCATATGCCAGGCGTAGACAACAATGGCAGGCAGTTCGTGCACCCGCGTCATCGCGCAGATCGGGTGCGCGTGGAATCTGCAGCTGTAGTTGGTGCGAATGCTCTGGATGGTGTCAGAGCGGATCCCGCCGAAGATACCCCCACTACTCGCGTCCAAGGACTGCAACAAACCCAAGAACTGGATCAGGTTGCAGGCAGCAGTACGATTGAACCCGATACTGAACGGCAACTTCTGCAAACTATTTATCGCGAACCGGCCCCTGCTGTACAGCAGGTAGAACAGAACGATGGGCGTGATGACGACAGTACGCAGGATGCGGTGTCGGATTTGCCATGTACGAGTACTCAGCTATCTCTTCCAGCAGCCCCAATTCAACTTTCGGTCCAGCTCTCTCAGGACGACCGTGAGCCCGAAAACGTCCGAAGCGGGCTTACTATTTGTCCTGTTGTCGAATTGGCAGACCAAGTCGAGCGTCCACGTGGTGGTGGGCGCAGCACTACATCGGAGGGCCCTATGAACACAAATGTGCAGGTCGGCGTTCGTCGCTCTCGTCACGCACCAAAACCAACGAAGCGATCGATTGAGTCTCGCTTACAAAATGATAAGCGGGCACGAACAACTATCGCTAAGTGTTAGAGGAATTATGCTTGCTCGCATCTTTTATCATTCTACTTATCTCTCAATATACCGTTGCATTGATATTCACTAAAATTCAGGTAAAAGTTTTACTGACGGCCAACCTTACAAGTGTGACCTCGATGTTCGCCTGACCATTCTCATCTATTGTTTATTCCAGGCCATGTATGCGCGCAGGATTGTCTACACGATGACGCTCAGGTGCGGCTTGATCCCGCTTTAGTCTGTGTGACGACGCTCGTACATGACAGGTTCGTGGACGTCCTCGACCACATCCCCGTTCTGTCGTTAAACGGATCCTCGTCAAATGTCGAGACGCCCGCCAAGGTGTTCACAGTCTGCACGACAAGCGACGCGTGAATGCGGGTGAGATGATTAAGATACTCTAGCGCGTGACGGCGGAAGTTGGTTTTCATGATAGGGAGGTGTTGCAGCAGTTTGTTACGGCCACATCGCCCGGGACTGTCGGGTCTTCGACCTTGGCCAAATTACCGCCGTACCCCCGTCGGTCATGCGGATTTGCCGTACTGAGCGCTTAAAGCGCAGAGGGATTGATGCGTGGTGGCAATCGCGTTGAATCTGATGAGCTAGTCGATCACTTCTCTATGTGTACATAGGCAACGAATATACGTGCTTGATCCCTTCCTGTCGGTGTTATTACACGTGAGTATGATGGCGAACTCCTATTCCATTCGTGGATATGCTATATTGGCTATGTCGGTGATTTTTTGTATTGCTGTGGTGGTGTTCACTTAAGTGTAGGTGCTACAGCCGATTCTTTCGGTGCTGAAACCCCCCCCTCCTGGTCAACTTGCGAGCTTTCATGATGAATAAAAGCGGCATTTTGAAAAACTAGAAAGAGGAAGGTCTACATGTATCTAGTAGAGCAACCAACGATTAACTGGCGTCGCCTCGGTGCAGGGACCTAAAAGTAGACTTTTCCGTGCAACTCAAAAATGAGGCCCTGGAAAACGGCCCCAATGAGCTCGAAAGCGGTATTAATCCAAAGGGCTTGTTCTCACGAGCACAATGGTAGCCGACATAGTCGCTTACGCGAAGTAGTTATCGCGTTATGGCCCCCGAAATGACGAGTTGAGCGACTCTTCGTCGTAAATTACAGAATATATTTAAATCCGGTAAGATATCAGAAACGTCTTGTGGTGGTAAATATGACTGACTGGCCTCGTAGTGCTTAGCTCTTTATTGGTCGCAGACCCTCGGTATAATTCATCCACATGATGCTACGGTGAGGCATACCAAAACACAACAACTGACAGAGCACGCGTATCACCAGGGTCCGTTGGTGTCATGGAAGGCGCTTCTTCCCCCCTTCCTTCCTTCCTCCCTCCCTCCCTTCCTCTCCCCTTTCTCTGGTGTCTACAGCGAGTAGCAACCGCTCTAAAATGACGTTGATAATATTATCAACCCAACAGTAGCTACAATATCAACTAGTGCCCGTGCATCTACACCTTTACCTTGTATGCAAGGTAATCTAGTGGCTTTCTTCTCGTATATTGTTGCAGATATTGGACGGATACTCTATTGCAAGTATCCCTCCTATAGATTGAAGCAATGATAAACGATTAGAAACGAAAGCGGGAAGGCAGTAGCAGAGTGAGCGCGCTTAGCAGCTTCGATTTGATAGATTATGGTGACCCTAGAGAGCTATTCGCAGCCTGACACGAATCTCTCATTCGTTTGTATTTACCTCGTGCTTTTCCAGAAGTCGCATCGGAAAGGTCTTCCTCAAAACGTAGATAGAGTTGTCAATGTAAGTGGGGTGCCATCGTCCATGCGACGCGAATTCGTTTCGCTAGGTTAAACAAGTCCCGACAAGATCCATTGGAATGCATGTCCTGTATTTTGGCACTTTGTAATCCGTTGTTGGTGCGAGATCGTGATATTTTTTACACTGAGGTTGTGAAGACCAAGCTACTTGCATTCAAACTGTTATTGTTTAGCCATTGATTGGCAGTGAGTTTACGATTGTGGGTCTAAATAAAGTGTTGCTTCTTATGCCTTCCAGTTAGACGTCTCCACCTTCGATAGCTACACTTCCATTGACCTGGCTTTGGCTGAATTGCTTGGAATTCGTCGGTCTCCTAGGTGGCAATGCCTTGCCAGATTTCTTCTGCTTCTGTAGAAGGGCCGATATTCTTGAGCGTATTTTGTTTTCGCCTGGCAAATTGTAGCGTCGAGGATACGCTTTCGTAAGAAATTCTCGCATTCTGGCCGGTCCCATCTTGGTACTGGCATCAGCCACCCCGCGATTGAAGAGCTTCTCCACTTCTTCACTGTACAGAGCAATATATTTTGCACCGTACATGTACCCTTTCTTCTGCCTGCGAGCCCATCCTGGCGCTAATTGTTTCTGCTCTCGAGTCATTTTGACGCACTTCTTCGCCGCTGCGATTACCTTTCTGCCCAAACCGGTTGACTCAATTATATCACTAAAGTCCCCCCTGTTTGCATGTCCATAAGAGTCCGCTTTGCATAAGCTTCGACGTCTTTTTCAGAAAAGTCACAGCCGTGTGGGTCATTACCAAGTGTGGGGCGCTCACATCTCATATCGCTCGTCCGCATCCGCAGTTGACCAAACCGAGTAATTTGAATTCCTGATACAATAGAACCCACAACTGTTGACGTTTCACTTGTGGCTTCTTCATCATTCCCAATTGGCTCAAACTGCTCACATTCATCTTCACTGTCAAACTAAAATTACCTAATTCGATGTCACTGTCCAAAGTGTCATCACGAAGATCCAATTTCTGGCGATTACGGTCATGAGTCGTATTGCAGTCGCACCGACCAAGTGTCGGACACACACACACTATGCATCCATCTCCAACACCAGAATATTCAAATATCGTGAGTTTGAACGATGGCCACGTTTTGACGTCAAAACGCTCTTTCCATAGTGAAGGGGGCGTAAAAGGCGGGGACCTCATTGAAACGAGTAAAAAGTCGGCCTAACGACTTCGCCAACGGCTCCACCGCTTCGTAAACAAACTTCATCTTGGCGCGATTGTATTCCACTAACTCCACTATACAATTCGGAAGACCGCCATCAGACGTTAAAGCTGTTACCACTTCCTGCGGGGTTGTAGCGTCGTGGCCTTGACAAACCCAAGCTTTCACTTTACGCGTTGCAGTTGCAAAATGGGCACCTAGGACGCACTTCCCATCTTGGGTCTCAGAGTGGATGAACCGAACGACCTCGATATTGTTCAAAGCGCCAACGAGAGGAAGCATGAGCGCTAGATACGTGTTTTGATAACACGAAGCATTATCGGACTGAAACGTCACGCGCTTGACAAATGGGAACGCTCGGTGAACCGACAATAATATCCCCTCAACTAGTGCGACCACAGATTCTTTATCCTGTTTGCTATCCCCGTTTGAAATTTGATCGACGTACACGTTATTTTCGCGAGCAGAACCACTGGCAGCATCATACGTCCAGTAACGAAGTAGGGCTCCATAGTGATCAACAGTCTTTTCGCGGAAATAGATTGGCTCAAGTTTCATTTTGAAATCAATGACAATGATCGCATCACTACTGCCCCTTTCATCCATACACTTGGTTTTTATTAGTTCAGCAGTTTCGTGAATCGCCCGCTGCTGGTTTGTGACCCGTACTCTGTGACCCAAGTAGAGCTCCATTTTTTCGTAAGCATCGTCCACAACTTCAAGTGTCGTTGGATCGGGATTTGTTGCCTCCAACTGCTGCCGGAGGTCAGTAAAAATGGTGTCCATGGCGATACACTGCTGGCAACTCACTGCACGTGATAACGTTTTAGTAGCGCCGCTTGATGCGTTGAGCCCATTTGCCGCCTCTGAGATGGTTCTTGCCGACGACTTCATTTCAGATTGAGCTGCTTTCGCACGCGAATGTTTAGGTGCCTTCTTCTTGGGTTTCTTCGGCTTGGTCGTGTCTCCCGTCGACACAGGAGGGGTCGCAAGCCCAAATTGAATTAAGTGCCGGGGGCAGTGACTCTCTTCCAGACGTTGACCATTCTCGAACGTTTGTTCTCCACCATACTTAAGCCACTCACGCAAAATAGCAAGACGTTCGAGCACACTCGTGCTGGTTGTGGGAAGCAGATCACGGACAATACGATCGAGTAATTGAAAATTATCGTTGATCAGAAACCCAGTGACGTAATTTACTGCCTTCCGAGGCTGTGACGTACCATGCGTCAAGATGGCGGCTAGTCGATAATATGTTCGTGCGGACACCATATTTCCAGGGGTTCGTTGGTGCCCATACTGGTCAAACATTACATTTATCGGTTTGCGCCTCTGTATGGCAGGAACAGATACCCGCTCCCCGTCCAACTTGACCGATTTCGTCCCCCAAGACAGAAAGGCAACGTTTTCCATGGAGAGGATGTGGCAGACAGCTTCAGACACAACTGCTGGGTCGAATCTTTGCCTTGTGACTTTACTCACTTCCAGCGCACCTTCATCTAAAAGGATCTGAAAATCTCTGCAACCCGCTAAGTGAGCTTTCCGTCCAATGCAAACTCCATTAACATCGATGCAAATATCTTAGAGGCTCTTCAACGAATATGAACCGCACAGTAGCGCGCGCACACTTCGGTATTCGAGAGAGCCCTTCCGCGTTTTCGCTAATACGTTCGCAGACGTCGTCACCAATGTATCGTTAGCACACGTCACCGGGTTTAACCAGGTCGCAAAGATCTCTAAAAACGCACTAGATGCACTGGTGCCGCACAACGTTTCTGAAATACATTGCAGTAATCGAAACACGAGATTGGACGCCACAGTGCGCTGATATGCTGCATCAGTCGTGCTGGAGTCCGATCCGTTCAGAATTCCGCTGTTGATCGTGTTTTCTTTGACGGTAGATGCTTTAGAAAGGATTTCACTTCACTTTCGGGAAGAGAAAAAAACTTGAGGAGTGCTCGAATTGTTGGAAGTGTCCGGCGGACAGGGGTTGGCGTTAATGTCGGCGGACTCACAAACATTCGTTCGACTTGAATCCGATTCGAACGTCGCAAACGCGGGGATTTGAAGGGGCTGGAATTATTATAACTTTGACCTTGTTCGCAACTGTTATCAGCGGTGGCATCGATTTCAGCAGCATGTATCACCTCGCCGTACGACTTTGGGACACTCTCGGCTTCGTTATTACCAGCGACATCGATAAGCAAGTCTCTATCAGCATTTTCCGTCTGCACACCAAAGCTTAGTGAGCGTGACGCCTGTGATTTCCGTTCCGCTGTCGCCACGAACGCTTCAATTGCTACTGGAGTACTAACCCCAATTCGAGGCTCTATTGCGACAGATTTTCCACGCTCGACACGGGGGCTGCATGCGTGTTGCAGGTCGTGCTCGATCACCGAGCCATCACATCTACTCCACTTCAATCCAGTTTTATCGAATTCCCCACATTCATACGCCACACAACACACCTCACTACCAGTATCATTACCCATATCCCGTGAAATCTATTGCGAAACCTGCACCGAACACCACTCTTCAACTTTACCTTCTTTTCGTGCGCCGCATGCAGCATCCTTCTGGTGCTGACGCTTCCGAGATTGTGCATTGCCAGCACTACAAACCACAGCAAAGTCGATAGGACGTCCTGCATAGCATTTGATGTCTGCTACAAGGTTATCACACACGTATCCTCCCATGTGATCGACGCTGCTCTTCGCCGCTTTCTCCGACGAGCACCCCTTTTGAACATCTTGGTCAGCTTGAAAGAGGTCCGAATTCTCGCGTGCTGACTGCTTCCTGCTGTCGGTACATGCTGCAGCAAAGCTTCCTCCACCCCCAGCATTGCGTTCCGTGCGGTTAGCGCCAAAATCATTCGCGTGGGCAGCCCTCTGAACGCGCGATCTGTAGCCAGCGAGTGCAGCAGCCTTGATTGAATCCGCTATCAGGTAAGAATAGTGATCTGGACCATTTTTGCGGCGTTCCTGGATCTGTGCTTGGGATGCTCGCCGTGCACGAGCTTCCGCACCAGCTTTGGCGGCATTAGCAATTGCAATTGCCACGTTGACGCCTTTGCTCTGGTAATTACAAAGAGAGAGAAATAAAGAGTGTGTTCATTAGCTCAAGGTTAGACCTCAAAAAGTATAATTCAGTAAGCTATTAGTGATTGAGATCTTTTAGCGTACCGGATAGTCGGGGTTATTGCAGCTTCGGAGACGCTTTGATCCAGCTGCAGCCGCAGCAGCATCAGACTGCAAGCTCTCATTTTCCTTGTTACATATTACACCTTGCCCTAGAGACTGCTTGCGCTTTCTGGTGCGCACTAACAGCAAACCATCTTCTTCTTTATCGGTCGCCATTGTGCAGATGCCCAGATGAGGGAGCTGAAAGCAGCGGCGACCGTTCAGTTATGATAAACTTGCAATAAACCTCTGACTACATTCCAGTATGGCGTGCTGATCTTGTGTTCATTGCACCTGGAGCACAAGCACACTTCTTCCCAAACTTTCTAATTACCTATCCATGACCAACCAAGTTTGTTGCCAAAGTTTCAGGTCGATCCGAGCCATATTAATAAAAAAGAATTTATGATGTGCACGGAAAAATGTTCCCTGTTCGAGGCGACGCCTGTTAAAAATAAACTCTGGCTAAGGCTGAAAGTGCCGGAACGCCATGCAAGACACCCGGTCCAGCTATAAAACTGGGTACTGTACTGTACGTACCGTAGGTCGGCACCGCATTCTGAGGCAGGACAGGGCGGCATTGCTGCAACAACGGCAGCTTTACCTACCATATTTAGTTATAATGGGGGTGGTGCAAAATGGGAATGAGTACTTTCCTACCTCGATCATCAATGACTCCATACAAACTTCTTCATAAAGACTTCGCCCGTCTCCAAAATGGCTCGTTTTTTGGCAACCCCATTATACCTAACTAAACCCCCACAAAAACTATTGTGCTTTGCACGAACTTTGGCATGCGATTAAGGGCTCTAAACCAACGAGCAAATCCTTCCCGGTGATCATATCTCGCAGCCTAACTCTAAGTTAAAGTTAAGCTAATCAACAAGCACAACGCAGAGCAGGGACGGAGCGGTTTCCACTGCAAGAATAAATCGGTTGTCGCTGCAAGAAAACAAACTGATAAGGTCCCCGATAAAATGGCGCCAACTCCTTGCATAATAGTAAGCACCGATTTCGGCGGGGACGTTTTCTTTCGCTCTCTTCGTCGTGCCTTGCGCGTTAAACCAAGCTCGAATTTCAGAGCACGGCATATAGTAGCAGTATAAAATTTCTACTAAGAAATGTTTGGTAGTGCAGGAAACGCTGACTTTAAAGCTGCTTGCAGCTCCTCGATATAAAAACAGGGATGTTCTTCAATATTGTAGACGTAGTTTAGTACGATAGATCGCCAACGCATGTTAATCGTCGACTGGAAAACAATCAGACAAAGCGAGCGAGTTAGAATTAGAATGTCAGGGCCGTAGTATTGTCGGATTTACTCCAGCCATTCAACGAAAGTGAGCATAACTCAACGTTAACTCGTTGTCTTATTGCCGTTTGCAGATATTTTGGCCAACGCATGCTTATTATTTCGTTAATAATCTCGGTTTTAATCCAGTCAGCTCTTAATTAAGACCTAGGTCTGATTTATATATCTCGCCAGTACGGTCTAACATCCAAGCTTGAGGCTCTGTTATCCCGACCAAAACGCTTTTCTGCGGCTTGGAAACGCAGAAATGCCATTCTAGACAGGCCAAACCGAGTTTCTGGGCCTAAAAGCTCGTGCCCACTCGTATTAAGAGACAGGCGTGGTCTATTTTAGAGGTCTATTTTAGAGGACAAAGTATTTGCAAGCGGCAATAGCAGCTATTCAATCTTAAATCGACGAGTTAGCCTCCTAACTCAACGATGGGCTAATCACCGTGATTTGCTAAAACAACGAATTACGTCGTTGTTTAGACAGAAAGCATGCAAGGCACAATAAATAAATACGGTACCCCCCACAGGAAGGGTTCCGCGATCTGTCGCTCAAGCATCGTGTGGTTGCCGTGCATTTCAACAAAACGGAAACAAGTCCGTTAGGTAGCTGCTGTACACTAATCAAAGGTAGACTAACTTTGTGTACCATTTTCCAGTGCTGCCGTGAATAACTTGGTGGCCAAGTTATATATGTAGCGAATATCGTAAGAGTAGACGACACTCGAAAGCACACATCCACGCGGCACTGGCCCTGTTCAGGCAAAACTGGAATCTGGAACCTGAGAAAAAAAGCTCAGGCTCCAGAATTTGCCGCGTGTTCAGCGTTGCGAGTGAGCACATCGTACCATCGTTCTCAGCATTAATTCTGACAGGGGGAGGTCACAGAAGAAAACTCGCGCAGCGACAACGAGCGCCGCTGCGACGACGACGTTGCTCACTACGGTAAGGCTATGTAGATGCGGCCTTCTTGACTCGCTGCGTCTCTGGTACTGGCCCATTAGTATTATATCCGCACATTACAGGTGCTGGCTGCTGATGAGTATGGACAATCGAGCTCGGCTAACGTTGGCGCTGATGCTGGATAGAATGAGAGCCCCTGCCACCACTTCGCCGCTGCATACCTTTGCATGGATACAACACTGGTATGAGATGGAGATGCAGGCTGCGACGGAGCTTTTAGCGTCAAATATACGCGAGTTGGTCATGGCTGTCTTCTCGTCCTTAGCAACTCCAGCCTTGTACACATCACACCATGCAGTAGCCAGGGCCAGCGTGTCCTGCTCAGACCAATTGCGCTTAGGAAAGGGGGCAGGGTCTGAAGGCTCTGATGTGGGCGGCTCGGTCGGCGAGGCGCACTCATGAAGCGCGCTGCTGCTTGTGTTCATTGCGTCTGTGAGAGAGAGGAGTGTCTGGAGGGAGGGAGCTCAGCTGCGAGGAGAGACTATTCGTTTGTAGAAGTCCCAGATTCCAGGTACTCTTAGAGCACCTGGGGAAATGGCACTAAAGCGGGGTTATTCCTGGCATTTTTAGTAGCCTTTTCCCAGGTTACAGGGCAAGATGTGGTGACGCTGAACACATTTTCCCTGGAACCTGGGAAAATGTCACAAATTTTTGTCAGGTTCCAGGTTACAAGCGTTGTCTGAACAGCCCCACTGAATGGTGCTGCCTTTTAGCATTGCATTGTCCACTGGCAGGCAGTCTGGACAATGTATCCAGACAGCGCAATCAGCCGGTGCCAAACATAGTATTTCGCGTCCGCCCGAGATCGGATCGTATGGCGGGTGTGCGTGCTGGAAATCAAATGCGACAGACCGAGCATAATCGTCGATTCAAAGCACACGAAACACTGGGAAAAACTATGGAGCTCGAGGTACCAAAAAAATAGGCAAATAGGTACATGGACCTAAAATTGAATCACCCTAAATTTTGGTCGGTTTGCTGATCTAAGAAAATAGTCCAGATAATTGCCGCTAGATGTCCATCGGCAAATAAGTACCATTTTAATTGTCTTTAAAAAGTCAGACTGTTGATTATACCACATACTTAGCCCGTGTTTATACTGGAAGAGTCGATCTGCGTTGTACTCAACAGCGTTTAATTAGTCGAACGGATAATTTTCGTCTTTGATCCTGGCCCGACAATTTTATTAAGATTCAATCTGTTCAACTTAATAGATCTACAGTTCCGAGTTGTAAGCGATGCCTCATCCTAATGATATCATCACTTCAACGGGGAGAGGGGGTTTCTGTTGCGGCTTCAAATAATCAGATACAAGCAGCTTTATTGCTATCCCAGAAATATTATTTGTTAGATTAATGACAAGGCTGCTGCGTAAACAAGTAGGTCGTGAAGAACCACCTTATCGTTATTTCCTCAGTAAAGTGAGTATGCTGACGCGTATATGATTGCAAGCTTGGTTTGCATGTAGATCGCATCGAATTTCCATTTTCAGCCATTGCTACAAGTCGAGCTGGAACTCGAGCAGTCCAAAAATGCACCTCGGTTCAAAATGAAAGATCCTTACATGCTTCACATGCTTTCCTTAACCCGGGTATGTTCCAGCAGGAATACATCGATGTGCAGCAATGTATAGCCTTACTGTACAGGTCGGGGACATTTATTTACAAGTACCTGCTACAAGATTCTGAAACACTGCTGGCCTCCAATTCGATGATCAAAGAATCTGGAGGAATATATAATACTGATAGCTTTCGGAGGACAATAAAGGTGGCGCTAGATAACAGTGAGACATTATGCACGCCGACCTTGCTCAGATCTCACAGCTTAGCGAGACCAAGGATGGTGCCAACGCCTCTGAATATAAAAAAAATGCAGATCGTGGCAGAAATGTTCAGATTTTTTCCACACCAATTCGTCCTCAGACGGTGGTAGTGGCTCAGCATCGAGCTCGATGCGCCCTCAAGTGGGCCCATCAGCGACCTCGAGCTTCCTGCATATCCATCGATTGCAAGTTCAGTACAGTATTGTTTTAGCAGCCGTGCCGCATCTTGCAACTTTCTAGACTAATTTCAAGATCAGCAAATGAAACAATTGGCGGGAACCCGCAAATGATACCGACCAAATCGCGAATTATTTATTTAAGTTTTGGACCCCATATTGGTAGCGTTGGGGCAAGTTAAACCATCAAACCCAGGTGCTGTCGACGAAAACCTACCCGCAAATCTGTCACCAGTACTGAATAGGCCCGAATAACGTACCTTACCATGCCCAAGTCCACCTTACATGAGCAGGAGGTTAGCCATATGACCGGAAAGCACTCTACCGCTGTACCAGGCAAGCGTTTGGATTTTCGTGGAGAGACACAGGACGAGAGCGGAGACGAATTCACCTTCCGTTTCTCTTCCGAGCTTAAGCTACGTTCAACGCAGGTCGTAGACCAACTCTTCAATACATTCGATCATATATGGGTACCGGTAGTTTTGGGGGAACTGGGGTCCCGATGGGTACCCGGGTTCCCGCCAATTGTTTCAAATGTGAAAATTTAGGGTGATTCAAATTTTGGGTTCACATACCCAATTGTCTATTTTTGGTACCTCGAGCTCCGTAACCTCGAGCTCCATAGATTTTCCCGAAACACTGCAACACCACCAAGTCGCTTCCCTGTTCGTTCGTTCTTCAAGCAGCCGAACACTTGGCGGCACCCCCTGACGATTTGCGTGGCGGGTTGTGGACACGCGGACTGGGCGCGCACCTCAAGTCGACATTCCTCGACTTTCTCCACCGGGTTAACTGGACGTCGTCTGTGCAGTATCCTCCGACGTTCGACTGACTATGAGTCTCCGTCCCACCGACGCAGTCCTAATGCCCCCTCCACCCAAGCTCGGCTCGCCCCGAAGAGCTCAAAGCTGTCCCGAACCGGGCGCTACTGACTCGAGAGCTCCCAAGAAACGTCGACGGTTGAGTGAAGTCCCCGAGACGAATGAAGAGCTCATCCAGGCTCTAACCGGAGCTACATGTAGTCGCTCGCGTGGACGACCCCGTGACCCGACCAAAGCCCCTCTTACTGCCACGCATGAGCTTCGGATGCTGAGAGCTCAAGTAGCGAACATGGAGGAAGAACTCGAAGGTTTGAAGTCCAAGTGGTCGAAGGAGCTGCCCGAACAACGCACTCTGTCAACGGCACGTCATTCAGCTCGAGAGAAATACGCGGCTGACTTGTCTGAGAGAGCGCACAACGAACTCCAGCAGCTCCTTCGACAGCAGCAACTCATGTTCGCTACGCTGCAGACCGCCGTCCTGCACGCCCCTCTTCACTCCAACGGCAACGACATGTTCGAGGCACTGCACTTCGACACTCAACTTGGGAGTGACCATCAGCAGCGCGAGAAAATGCTCACGGCACACAACGAGCGGTCTCTCGCTACGCTGCCGTCTATCGTCGACAAGTTCTCGCAAATGGCTATCGACAAGGCGCTACAGGGACAAGATGCCACTACCACTGGCAAGTCCGTAATGCCGCTGTCGCAGATCAACATCACCGGCGGCCAGGACTGCACGCTCATCTCGAGCGTCTTCATCTCCGAGATCCCGCACACCTCGCTGGAGGACGTGTACGCTGCCGTGCTGGCGTACTTCGCCGCAATCCCAACGTCGCTGAAGCGCCACTTCGGAGTCGATGCAAACCGCACGAGGCTGAACGACGCAGAGTCTAAGGTCGTGTATCGGCGATCGACCTTCAATGGCTCAGGGCTGCCAGCGACTGTGAACAACATCGTGTGCTCAGAGCTGGCGGCGTCATACGGAATGGTCCACATCGACGCTGTGACGGACGACCCTCTGCACCCTGTGCCCGAGTCGTCTTCGTCGCAGTACGGCATCTGCGGGCTCACTATCACGCCTCGGAAGGAGCCCGTGACGGGCAAAACGTCGAGTATCACGCTGCGCTGGGTGGTGGTATATCGCTACAACATGCTGCCACACGAGCCTGCGGTTCGGGAGGACTTGACGATCATTCGACCCATTCTGAACGGTGACCTGCTGACGGCTTCAATTTGCAATTATATCCAGGAGCAGCAGACGCACCGCCGAAAATCCTCAGAGTAACTTGCTATATGTATTGCCTGGTGAACCAACTCGAACTGTGTATTCGAGATATTGTTCTGCTAAGCTTATCAGCTTAAATTTGTACGAAGTACATGTAAGGGTTTTGGCCAATTTTAGTAGAATTGACCAGTTTAGTAGAACCAGTAATATTGCTGAAATAATGAAATACGTGCTTTGATTGGCTATAAAAATCTTACCACGCGTTTCCATATGGTACTTCGATACAAAGACCAGTTTTATTCCGCTCTACGAAACTGATCGCAGCATACTGCAGGTATGCTTTCTTTGGCGCGCTACAATACACTTTCATAGCTGCTAACTGTGTCTGGATTGGTGCACATGTTAGAGCAAATCTAGGGCTTTCATTGTGTACAGGTTTCATCTCCAACAGATTGGTAGTTTTCAAGAAAATACTTTTCAAGTCAATAATTCAGTTTGCTCTACTAAACTGGCCAATCCCCTTAGGAAGAACGAGTTTTTCTTAAAGGTAAATAGAGACCATTCGGACTTGGTGTATGACTGGTTACGCGTTGTTCTCTTTCTTAGATGTTATGGCAGTGGTTCGTGCTGGTGCAAGAGTACAAGTGCCGTGTTACACACACGGCCCGTGTAGCCTTCGGGCTCTGTGTGTGGTATAGCAAAACCTATTTCATCGACAAAATATCATAAGGAAGAAATAAGAAAAAAATAAAATTGATCGTCGAGAGACTCGCCCACATGGCTTGCATCATGCAAGTTGCATGTACTTCGAAGGTTAGCATGGTCTATCCGGATAGTATTTTCTTAATTAAATCTTTAGAAAAGAAGGACATGCGTCGACGTGAACGAGCTGCAAACTGCAACAACTTGCACCGAGATCACGTACAGTACCGCTGATCCGAGGAGAAGGACTTTCCTTCCTGCAAGGAAGACGTTCGGTCCATTTTGCTTGGCGTAAACCGCACCAAGTTCTACAGAGAAATACCTAGGTCTACTGTAGAAGTAGTGTAATACTGTAAATACATGTACTGTACAAGCAAAGTGGAGTGTCAAGGTAATCCCCTCTTCGCTTGGGTTTGGACGCCCGCATTGAGGCGAGGAAGAATGAGAAGCTCGGGTGCGATGGTGAAAATGGCAAACGCAACCAAGTGGTGATTTGCCGGGTTGTGGACTCGCATGGCTTGCAGCTCATTCCTCGATTTCGCGCTCGTAAGACAATCGCACTGTCTTGTTAGCACGGGCCTGGCTGGATGAACCCGCGGCCCACCAAGGTAGCTCGTATGGCGCCTCTTCCTGAGACCAGCTCGCCTGGAAGGGCCCGAAGCTGCTCCGAAGAGGAGTCGGACGCTCGTTCACCAGCGCCCACGTGTGTACGCTCCTCCAGCGGAGCTCTACCGACACCGACGCCTCTTCCGCGACTACAGCCTCCCGACAGAGCTCGCAGTTGTCCCGAACCTGTCGCCCCGCCACATACCGATAGCCGCAATGACAGTCAACTCGACACCATGCACGAGATTCGCATCCTGAGGACGATGGTTACGTCCATGGAGGACGAGCTTCGAGTCCTACAGTCCAAGTGGGCCAGCCAGCTCCCCGACAAGCGAACGCTGGCCTCGGCTCAGCGCTGCGCGGTCGAGAAGCACGCGGTCAGCCAAGCCGAGGCAATACACAGGGAGCTCCAGCAGCTCTTCCGAAAGCAGCAGATTCTGTTCGCCACGATGCAAACCGCCGCGCTGCGTCTGCCGCTGCATTCGAGCGGCACAGACATGTTCGAGGAGCTGCACTTCAACCCCCAACTGGGCCGAGATCCGAACGACCGGAAGCGGATGCTGCTGCTCCACCACGAGCGCTCACTTGCCACGATCCCGTCAATCGTCAAGAAGTTCTCGCAGCTAGCGATTGACAAGGCAAAGGAGCCATCTCAAGATCAGGACGTGTTGCCGTTGGCTCAAATCGACATCACTGGGTGCAAGGACTGCACGTTGATCTCTAGCGTTTTCGTGTCGGAGATCGAGCACACGTCGCTGGAGGAGGTGTACGACGGTGTACTGGCGTACTTCAGCGCGATCCCCTCGGTCGTCAAGAAACACTTCGGGATCGACGCACAGCGTGGGAAACTCGATGACGCGGGACTGGGTATCCACTACCAGCGCTCGATGTTTGAGTCGCAGCATTCGTCCTGGATGGTCAACAACATTTTCTGCTCCGAGCTCACGCGGACTCATGGCATGGTTCACATTGACGTCGTGACGGACGACCCGTTGCATCCCATTCCCGCTTTCGCGGCGTCGCACTACTGCGTCTGTGGCGTCCTCATCACGCCTCGAAAGGATCCTTTGACGGGGGAGATTGTGTCCGTGACGCTGCGAAGACTCATTGTGTATCGCTACAACATGTTGCCGCACGAACCTGCGGTTATGGAGGACGTGCAGATCATCCGACCGCTTCTGAATGGCGATCTGATCAACGCCTGGGTGTGCAGCTACATCCAGCAGCTCCGACAGCAGCAGCAACAAAGCTCCCAGTAGCTTATTCTAAACCTTTATCAACAGAGCAGAACGCAATTGAATTTGATCAGAATACTTTGTTTTACTTAACTTTTTTTTAAAAAAGAAAGACGGAGTTCGGACAAAGCTACAGTAAAGACTCGTCACTTGTGCGAAGTCGGTCTCCAATGCGTACAGTGTACAGTGAATAGATAATTGCGCGGGGGTCTTCGACTCAAGCCAACGGGTCCTGCTCCCCGACGAGGAACTTGAAGAGTTGCCGCGGGAGGTCCTTCTGGCATGGACACGCGTCCGCCTCGATGACGGGGCACGCAGCCACGAGCAATAGGAGGGCGTCGATGAAGCGCTGCACGGCTTTGGTCTGCTGGTGCTTGGAGAGCACCAACGTCAGCACGGAGCCTGGCAGCACGGCCCCGAGCAGCAGCGTGCGCGCCACCTCGCTGCAGAACTGGCAGTCCATAGTGGAGTGCGACGCCGTGCAGGTCTCGTACAGCTCGTCGCGCAGCGTGACAAAGTCGGCGAACTGCTTCTCGATGTGGGCGGCAGGGCGCTGGCCCTTGGCCGCGGCCTTGAGACTCGTCGGGATGCGCGTCGTGGACTGCAACGGAGTGAACACGTCGATGACGTAGCTGCCGTTCGTGGGCGTCGCCAGCGCGCGGCGGATCTGCTTGAGCTTGACCACGGTCTGCATGTGGCGCGAGTACCGCTCGGGCATGAGGTTCGTGGGCGACAGTCGCGCGAGTCCGCCGACCACCACGTGACTGCTTGAAGTTTGCTGCAGGACGCTCGCCATGGTCTCACTATAGTGTACAGTGGCGTCTCTGGGGGCTGGAGGTGAGCGCGGTAGCGAGGAAGCTCCAAAGTGAAGCAGTCGAGCTTGGCGCAAAGGCGGCTAACTTACCCTGTAGCTGGACTTGTCGCGTTGCCGTCGGCAGGCCAATCACCGCCGCGTTCCGGTCCTTCGCGACCTTCAACTGCACCGTCTCGTAGCTGAATGCGCGCGAGTGCAAGGCTGAATGCGAACGGTCCGGTGCTTTGCAACGCGGGATTCCGTTTTGGTGGAGCCACCAAAGCATCTTCGACCCGACGTTCGGGTGAGCTATTACAGTAGATGCCAACCTCCATGACGTGGTAATGGCAATATGAAGGAAGAGTGAAGCTTCTCCACCAGCCTTATCGAAGTAAACAAGCTTCGTTTTCGCTTCAGGTGCGGGTTTCCAGGGTGGGAGACAAACAGACAACGACGGATAAATCCGGCATAACTGAATGACATCCTCCATAGTAAATGTGCCAGAATTCTCTGTCGGGAACGATAGAGATTGTACAAGGCAATGACATAAAGTACACGTAACGAAGCATAAAGTACACACAAATTTAGAGAAAGTACTTAAAACCATATGGAATACAAATGTCAAGTGTAACTCTCGAAGCTGATTGGCTATCTGAATTACTTATTGTAAAAAGTACAACATATGTGTGCCGGGTTTTGCGTTGCCGTATTTATCCGTCGTTGTCTGTAGCGTGCTCTTCTTGAGGGCGGGAGAGCGGTTTTTGTCACGGAAACCTCGCGCGAGCCGCGCGAAGGGGGCCCCTTCCAGGGGGTCAACCAAGCTCGTGGATCGGTGGCTGCGTACGGGTAAGTTTAGAGCGGCAAGCTGCAAGGCGAACTCACTGTCACGGTGCACTTGCTAGTCGAGGCGCTGACTTCTTCAGCAACAAGTTGAAGTCGGTCACGTTCGGTGATTGGTCGTCCGACAAAAAACATTGATGGACACACCCGTCGTGCAGCTTTTATCAATCATTTTACGAAACCAATTGACCGCGGCTTGTTGAAACCCTCAGCACACCGGCAAAGATGATCCTCCTATCGCTGTTGACCGAGGTTGTGTGGTCGGACGAGCAGGCAAATAAGACGTCCAAGATCCTTGGTAGCAACTCCGAAGAGCATACGAAATAGGAAATCATAGAGCGAAATCCGAACATCACGCAAAACTGGGTAGAACCACAGACCGCGGTGAAATGGGGTCTATCCCCTTGAATATTATCTTCTTCGCATCCTACGCAGCATCGCCGGGGAAAGATTAACAAGATGATAAGACGACATCACACGGAGTTTCCATCCCAAAAATGCACCGGCATTTTGAAAAATCCCCCAGCTTGAAAAACAGCGAGATCTCCTTTTCTCTTGGAGTGACTCCTTTTGGGATCACTCCACCTTTACTGCCTCGAAAGTTGATCATAGCGTAGTCATCCACTGGCACGACCCCATATTCACCGCCCGGAGCGAGTTTTGACGTACTGCCGTCTATATCTTCGTCCCAGTGGACCTCGAGCCCCCAACGCCGACGCCCGTTCACGTAGAGCGCATCGGTGACTTCACTGCGATCACCACCACTAGCTGACGAAGAGAGAATGTGCGGTAACTCCGGGCAGATCAACCACGAACGCATCGTATTCAGAGCAAGACCCGGTACAAACTGTAGCAAGAAGGTAACTTTATCGGGGAAGCCACCATTTTCTGCAGCAGACTCCCGCAGAGCTGATGCAGACATGCTCCTGATTGCGTTCATGACGAGGAACGGCGAACAGGTACTTGCTGTAGTATCGAGCTGCCAACACGGACGAAAACCTCACGTGCTTCGTTCCAACTTCGAGGGGAACCCCACCCCAGCTTTCTTCAGCGTTATCAAGCACTTGTTGCGTTTATTCGACAGCTTTTTCTCCAGCTTCGGCCTCAACGGCACAGGAGCCGGAGCCAGAACAAAACATTTTATCAAAAACTGTTTGAGTGAGAGACTGGCTGGCTCAATGAGTTTGCCATAGCACCGCAACATGTGGCCCAGGGTATGAAAAGATAAACACACTGTGATCAACTCGGCCTCCGATGGCGAAGCAGTCCTGCCGAACGCGATCACCACCTCGTCAATAAAAACTCGCAACGCACTGATAAGTCCGTCAGCCTCACGCACCAAAATCTGGATCAAGTTGGGCTTTTGCATTTGGGCGGGCAATCCGATCGCTGGCATCGTCAGAAACGTCCGCGCTTCGTCGTCACTCAACAGGAAATCGCTCCGTCCGAATGTCATCATTGGCTTCAACACCTTTGGGCTCTCCACTCCGTAGTCCAGAGTATGCGTCACCGATATGATAAAGCGAATATTCGGTGGCAGCCACGTCGAAGCTGCGTCAACCAAAGCTTCCCAGTACAGATTGTCGTCGAACTTCTTCTCTGCGAAGTCGATCATGATCACGTGCTCTTGGTCGGCCCTCAGCGTGGACTCTTGCTGGTAGATGTCGACTTCTCCTTGCCGGCGCAGAATTGAATTGGCGGAGAGATCGCGAGCGAACGAGACCGATACACAGTTCAGATGTGAGTAGCGCTGAGCGAAGAGCTGCAGCAGCGACGTCTTCCCCGAGCCTTCACGGGATGACAAGACGACGAACCGGTTGTGCGGCGCCTCCAAGCCCGCGTAGATTCTCTCCAGCAGCTCCTTTCGCTCTAGATGAGGCACTTCAAGTCTCAAACCGTCTTGGATGATCTGCACTAGCGGAAAGGGGGCCGGCGGATCAAACTCCACTCTAAGAGGCTGCTTTTCGGCTACTCCAAGGCCATCCACTTTCCTCGAGAAATCGAGAGGCCTCTTTTCTTCAGCCAAAGCCAGAGACTCGTACACTTTCACTTCATCGTGGTACACGCGGCCCAAAATTTGCGGACAAGCAGTGAAGAGAGCCCCTCGAAAGTCACCAATGCTGTGAACACCATCGACTAGGTCAACGAAATCCGCCGTCCTACCCGGAAACTGGTACCACACGCGCCGCTCCATCGTCCAACGAACGTTTTGCTTGCTCGAGAACCTTCACTTTGCGAAAAATATAAACTGAAATTTTGGAGAAATCGATTTTCGAAATTGTAAACTTTGCAGTGATATTTATGAGCTGTTACTTTGGCACTGTTCGGCTGTTGAGCCCCTGTTCACCCCTATTCTGCTGTTGGTTTCTGTTTACTTTCTTCATGGATTTCTCCTGAGATGAATGTGGACTGTAGATTACACTCCCTAGACCCCAGCAATAGGAAATCTTACTCCGAATTGCGGGAACAGGCGCATTCGCAGGAATGCTCGGCAATGGTTCCGCCTCTCGAAATTCCGCGCGGCCCTAATTTGCGAATACAGTACCAGGTTTTCTTCTGCTACGTGCCCTTGCAATCGCTCACTACCTTCTGCTACATGAACTTACAGCGCTTTGGTTTTACTTCTGTACTCCATTGATTCTTCAGCGGAAAAGAGCAGTCCATTTGCAAGTTACTAGCTATGGGAGTAGCCGATGTACCTATGGCTGAAGTGCTTTTGATGAGGCGATTTTGAATTATCCAAGAGGGAGTATGCGCGCGAATCGCAGCTTGAGCCCGCAACTGGCATTTAATCTAAAATACTACGTAGTATCTGTTGGAAAACAACAGCTGACCAGGGTCCTTGACAGGTCAATAGGAGCTGTACGGTACCAACAGCTCGACAGTGCTGGAACAACAAGTATTAATTATTTCTGACAGATATCGACTCCATCCTCGAAGCACATCTGCCTCTCCTGGATATAGCTACACACGGACGCAGTGATCAGGTCTCCGTTCAAGATTGGCCGAATAACCTGCAGGTTCTCTTTGATGCGAGGGTCGTACGGCAACATGTTGTAGCGGTACACGACCAACCATCGCAGCATGACAGACAGCGTCTGCCCTGTTAGCGGTTCCTTGAGAGGCGTAATTGTGAGACCGCAGACGCTGTACTGCGAAGATGCCGACTCAATCACGGGATGCAAGGGGTCGTCCGTGACGGCGTCAACGTGAACCATGCCGTACGATGCCGTCAGCTCCGAGCACATGATGTTGTTCACCGTCGCAGACATTTTCGACCCCTCAAAAGTTGACCGACGGTACAACACCGGAGAGTTTGCGCTGTTCAGCCTGGTACGCTCGGCATGAACATTGAAATGGCGCTTCATATAGCTCGGAACATCGTCGAAATACGCCAGCACGGCGGAATACACTTGCTCCAGTGATGCGCACGGAATCTCGCTGATGAACACGCTCGACACCAGCGTGGAGTCTTCGCAACCAGTGACGTCAAGTCGAGACAGTGGTGTCTTCAGTAGATTATCGCTCTCCTCACTCTCTTGGTGCCTGTGAATGGCCTTCTGCAAGAATATATCCACGATGGACGGCAGCGTGGTGATCGAGCGTTTATGGTGCTCGAGCAGCAGCTTCTCGCGCTCAGCTGGATCACTTCCGAGGCGGGTACCGAAATGCAGCGCCTCAAACATTTCCTTGCCACTTGAATCGAATGGTGAGTGATCGACCGCGGTCTGGAGGGTGGCAAACAGCAATTGCTGTTGCTGAAGTGACTGCAGGAGATCCTCGCGCACCTTCTCGGCCTGGGACGTAGCGTGTTTCTCGCGGGCGGACTCCTGAGCGGTGGCAAGTATTCGACCGTCTTGAAGCTGGTCGCGCCACTTGGATTGCAGCGCTTGAAGCTCGTCTTCCATCGACGCTGCCTGCGCTCTCAGCATACGAATTTCATGCGTGACCGCGTTTGAACCCAGGCGCCGAGGTCGACCAGCACGAGTCGACTCTTCATTGATCTTGAGTTCATCCATAGGTGGTTTTGGCAACCGAATGAGCTTGGTTCCAAGCTGGTAGATAGGGAAGTGAAGCGAAGCCCTCGAAAGTACCCAAGTACCCCTTTCGGTGTGGCTTGATGGATCGGATCAGCATCCGTTGCGTTACATCTCTCATCGATTTGCCTGCCGTGATCATCCAACCCGCCGATCAACAGTATCCACGCTGAGCGATATCTTGGTACCACTTCGGATTGGCCACTCACTGCAACACTCACAGCAGAGTGTCATCGTGAACGGCCCTTTCGAGTTCATAGTTACATGCATGGATAGGGGAGACTGCGTGTACAGTATCGGATAGCTTTCGCGGCGGAAAACCAGAAATTTTTGGAAGTGCTTTCGAAATTGTTGAGAACGCGAAGCTAGCAAAACGCCGTAGTTTTGTATTCCCCCGAAAATAGAGCTGCCAATGCTGAGCTCTTACTTTGGACTCTTGAGCAATAGTTGCTGTGCATGGTCTGGAGTCTAGTCTGAGCGGGGCTTACTGTGGACCGTCATGCAGCCAGGGTACGCCCAGCTACGCGGTAGCGAGGCGGATGCAGGCGGGGAAGTGGAGGCTGAAGAGGAAGACAAGCGACCTGTTGCCGGGGATAGCAGCTACGATTCGTTGTGGGATGACGTTGACGGTAGCAATGCACTGGAAGAGCTGAAGTCACCACGAGACCACGACGCGCACTCTCTCATTGACGTGCTGTCCAGCCAGCTCCAGAACCGGGAGATCCCGCAGTATCTGGACGAGTTCGAGGTCGTGATCCCCGACGCTGAGGTCGTGGTCGGATCGGTGCCTATTGAGGAGGTGCAGCAGCGAGAGCAGCAGGTGGAGGAGGCGAAGCTCCGTCAGGCCGAACTGGAGAGCGCCCTCTATCGTCAGCGCGAGATTCATTTGGCCAAGCAAGAAGCGCTGGCTCGTGAGCGATTGTTGCAGGAAGCTCGACGAAGACATGCTGAGCTGGTGCTGAAAGACCGCCAAGCTGCTGAAGCCATGCAGCTACGCGCGCGGAGAATTGGGCACGTGTTCCAGCAGGCTGAGACCCATTTGAAGGACACTTTGAAGAAACAAGAGGCGCGGGTCGAGCAGATTTATGGGTCGTTGATGCCCTCGCGCGTCCCGCAGAGTCGAAAGAGGTACCGAGTGGAGTGGGCTCGGATACCGCTGGCTATCCGCGTGAGGGGCAGGATGCTGAACGCCGTGAAAGATAAGCTGCCGCATGGTCAGTACGTTATGGTGGCGACTTTGTATGATCGTTTGGGCGGTCATGCGCTACACTGGACGAATTGGGACCCAGAAGTATCTCCGGCAGCAGAGACAACCAGTGATAGTAATCCATCGAGTACTCACAGGGGTCGTCCTAACTTCACGCGGCCATTCCATCACCGCGGCCGCTTCTACAATACTGAAGTCGTCGTGAACCAAGACATGTTCGTGGTTTGTCCGCCAGAAGTGGAGCTGCGACCAGGGAACACCATCATCTTTGAGCTTTTCCTGCTCTCTCAGTCGACCGCAGCGGCTTACGCTGGCAATAATGTGATGTCGATGCCTAAAAGGAGGCGACGGGGAGGGGGTCAGCTCCTAAATCAAACTATGGCGATGCAGACCGACCACGTCGTAGCCTGGGGGGCCTTACCACTCACGACACCCGAGTTTCAGGTCGTGCAGGGGAAGTTCAAGCTGCCACTACTGCGCGGAGAAATGGATCACACGATGGACAAGTACCAAGACATGGAAAAAATGTACCGGCACGACTTGTCCTCGTGGCTCTGCAATTTCTACCTCCAAGTGTACCATCTCCCCAAGCCTCCTGCTGCCTTGCTGCACCGGTCACCTCGGAATCGAGGCACAGATGATGATTACTTTGATGCGGAGATTGATGAGCGCGGTGGTCTGCTACGACTAATGCTGCCAGAGGTGGAAAACAGTCACCAAAGGTATATGCGTAAGATGTCGACGCAGCCGAGTGACTCTGGTCAGACTATTCGGAAGCGGTCGCAGTCTTCCGCTCGTCAACGGAGTAATGGCGAGCTAAGTACCGATAGAACACTGCTGGAGAGTGGCAAAGAATCTCATGTAAAGGGCAATTCCAAGCATCATGGCGGTGCAGCAGTGAAGCCGTACTCGTCAGCGTCGACATTGTTGGTGGACGAGGAGGAGGCCACAACTACCAAGAAAAAGAGAGCCAAGCCGCCCCCGCGAATTTTGTCCTCAACGCGGTGGCGGTGGAAGCGATGGCTCTCTAGCTTCGGTCAAACCAAGAAGACTCGGGTCTACGTACGTGGTGTTTTTTTTTCTCCTTTACACTGTCCTCGACACTTACTAACATGATGAAATTGACAGTCAGGCGACGCAGTGGCGATGCAGCAAAACCGCAGCCATCCTCATAAAATGATTCCAGTTGAGGAGGAATCTCAAGAACAAAACGAGCGTGAACAACTGCTATCAGACCAAGGCAGCAGCCGAAAGTTGAGTCTTGACAGGCCGCAAGTCGCAGAACATTTTGCCGGTGGCAATGAAGATTTGGGAGTCGTCGAAGACGAGGACGATGCGGCTTTGGTTGGACGACACCGACAGCTAGACGTGGAGAATTACACGTTTTCAGTGAACGCCGCTGCTTCGATGGAGACCGCTCGCCATCAGCGATTCCACGCACGACGGAAAATGCACTACCTGAAGCACGAGCTGCTGGTTGACCTGGGCTTTACGAACTGGCACACGCTGGAATTCTGGCGGCTCGTAGCCATGTTGATGTTTGCCTGCTGGATCCGGTTGTACGTCCACTACTTGACGCAGTGGCTCTTTTTGCGAGGCAACCGTGTCCCTGTGTACGACTTCCAGCCACGCTGGACGACGTGCATTGTCAAGTATACTTGGCAGACTGTGGCCACGCACATCGAAATTGGGTTGCTCTCGTTGGGGGTGCTAGGAAACACGATGATGTTCGTTTTCCTATCTGGGGCTGCAGCTGTAGGCCAGCGCTACGTAGGAGACCTACCAGCGTTTGGCTCCAACTTCGTCGCTTGCGCAGGGATTGCTACAGTACTGGATCCGTTCCTGGTGCTTATAGTCGACATGCTTTCGCACCACTACGGCTGCTCGCAGCTTAGTGAGTGTGCTGTGTCTTTGACAGCCTCTGGCTGTACCTGCGTCACCGGCGACTGGTTCAAGCTCTATGTGCGCTTCCAGGCTCAGGAAGGCAGTGGCCTCGTCGGTATTTTCATTGTCCTCATCCTGTACGTTGCGCTCACGTGTCTGTCGCTTGTGGGGCTGTACATCTACCTGCTCTACATCCACATGAACGGCCGGATGCTCGACGTCTACCGCCGCGTCCACGGCCACGAAGACTCGTTCTTCGTGCCTCATGACGCAGAGATATCGCTCCAGGAGCTGCAGACAGTGTGCGCGCAAGCCACACGCTGGAAAGGTCCGCGCGGCACGCAGCGCAAGGTGTTCGTCCACGAATACGCACTCTCAGACCCGCTGGACCCGCTGTTCCGCGAGACCAACACGCACATTGCCGTGTACAACGTCGAGCTCGACGGGAGTCGGGAACTGCACCGCCACTTCCTCAAGATGCCGGACGGAGCAGTTCTAGAGCTGTTCGGCGAGCTAGGCGCCAGCACTGATGGCAACTGGAAGAGTGACGCTCCGCAGGGAGCTGCATCACTTGCGTTGCTGCACAACATCCTCCAGGACGTACAGCGAGACGACAACTCCTCTTCGATGACCAGTGCGGCGATTTTTGAAGGGCTGTAATAAACTCGCGTTTCGACAGGAACATGATGACACAACGCAAAACTGCAACTGCAACTTGACACATGGCTACATTTTCGGCCTCTTCCCACCGGTATACCGGTCCATCAAACCGGTATGTGTCAATATTACCCAATCAGCGACGAGTTGACCTCGCCGCAGTTCCTGGCGCCCACCCACAGCAATAATGGCGCGAGGTGCGCGCGGCGTGACGTGCCGCGAGTGCGGCTGCCTCAACTTCAGCTCGGAGCACGACGTGTGCGACACGTGCCGCTCCAAGTCGCTGGCCTTCCGCCCCACGGCGCGGCGCGTGGCCGGCTCCACCGCAGCGCCCAACGGCGGCGCCTCAAACGGTGGCAGACGCCATGAGGACGCGCACTCGCACTCGCACTCGAAGAAGCGGAAGCTCGAGGACACGAAGAATACCTCCAACAAGAGGCACGCGGAAGACAAACCCAAGCCCGCGCCGCCCGCCCCAGCAGCCAAAGCCAAGACGCAGCAGCCGGACGTCATCGACCTCATCTCGGACGGCGACGACGACGAGGACGACGTGGTGGTGCAGAAGGTCGTGCAGCAGAGTCTGGAGAGCCACAAGCAGGAGGAGTCCGACAGGTGCAAGCAGGAGGAGGAGCGGCGCAGGAGGCAGCTACAGGAGGAGAAGCGCGCGCCCCTGCAGAGCCGCGTCATGCCCTCGGTCACGTTCGTGGCCAGCGACTTCCCCACGATGGAAGCGGGCGCGTTGATGAGGAAGCGCGCGGCCGAGAGGGTCCACGCGCAGTCGCAACCGACGGGGGGAGCAGCGACGGCGACGACGGCGAAGACCGCGCAGACTTCGGCGTCGCAACCGACGCCAGTAGTGGCTAGAAATGCGACGGAGAAGGAGGTACATCCGAAGCCTGTGGAGCCAAGACCACCGTCTGCTGTTGTTGTGGTGGAGGAGAAGAAGAAGGAGGAGGAGGGAAAGGAGAAGACGGAGGAGAAGAAGCAGGGACAGGCGCAGAAGAAAGATCACGTTGAGGATGCTCGGACGGACCCGGCAGCGACAAAAAGTGGTGTGCAGAGTGCTACCTCGTCGGCTTTGAGAGAGCCGAATCAGGTGGAAGAGGAAGAAGCTGAGAGCGAAGACCAAGACCCGTTCTTCCAGTCCCGGGTGCTGGATTCCGTCGAGTTCCAAGCGTCAGACTTCGTCACTGTGTTTGATGGATTGGCGGTGGCGCGACGAAGTCACCCTCCGACTTCACAGTCTGCGGCTGCAACAGCTCCCAACGCAGCAGCTTCAACGACGACGGGATCGGCGGCAGCCGCGATACCGGCGAGAACTATGGCAAACGGCGGAACCCGACCGGCCCAAGCCTCAACAGCCGCTAGGCCAGTGGTGCCGTTTACGACCGTACCAACATCTTTCAGCCCCGGCACGAGGAACGCCCCGGAGGCAAAACCTGCCACTGCTCCCGTCAACACGACTCCGCAATCTGCAGCGCCGCCGGCCCCCGCAGCGACGTCGGTCACAGCAACGCCTGAAAAATCTAGTGCTGCACCCGCATCTGCGACTACAACACCAGCGCCAAAACCACCTGCAGCGTCGAAGCAAACATCAACTCAGGCACCGTCGAGTTCAGCGCAGGCTAGCTCAGCGTCAAGCAGGACAGCAGCAACGGCGACAACTGTAGCAGGGACGTCGAAAGCAGCGGTTCCGTCAGCAGTACCGTCACCTTCTCCACCAACATCGGTTCCAGCGGCATCGAAACCTTCTGCATCTGTTGCGGCTACGGTGAAAACGACAGTTACGACAACAGCAACAGCTTCTAACGCAACGTCATCTACGCCAACTACTACCAGTATTGCTCCCCCGACTCAAGCATGTTCAGCCCCAACGGCAAATTCAGGGCAGGCTCAATCGAATGACAGTGCCAACGTGTTGTTACCGAAGAAAAAGCATCCAGACGCGGTTCAAAGCGCGGCAGAAAAGCAGCAGCACTCGGAATCACCAGCAACAGGAAATGAGGCTTCGGCTGATGCTGACGGGGTTGAATTTGTCAAGGTTTCTGCACCACTGTTTGAAGTTGTTCGAGATGTTCCTGTTGAGCCCCCCGTGCTTGGATACTGCAGTCCAGATTTTTTGGCGTTTATGCGTGAGTGTGGCGGTGAAGAGGTTGATGAAGAGGACGACCCTGAAGAAGTGAGCAGATCACAGTTGAAACTCCTGAACATCGTGGACTTGACGAATCTGAGTGACTCGGAAGACATGGATAGTGATTCTGAATCCCCAGCGCCAACTCCCCGCGCAGGTGCAGCTGGCGTAGCAGGGCAGAATATGTTACCTACTAATGGCCAAGTTGGAGGGCCAGGCCAACCCACGGCCGCTGCGACTGCACTTGTATCCGGAAAGGGAACGTGGTACCTCCCGACACTCGATAGCGAGCGTAAACGGGCAAAACCGGAGAAGGTTATGTGTGAGCTGTGCGAGGAAAGTGGCGTGCCGTCCAGGTTAATCCGCTGCCCTACGTGCACAAAGTATTATCACAAGAAGTGTGCGAAGGAGAACGGAGACGAGAATATCTGCTGGAACTGTGAGCTTGGCTCGATGATTGACGATAGCGAGCTGGATGCAGAACACGACAAGCACGACAGTGAATATCTAGCGTATTTAAGAGCTATACGACGCGCTTCATCGCCTGCTGATGGCGAAGGCGAGGAAGAAGAGGAGGAAGAAGAAGATGAAGAGGAGGAGGAGGAAGAAGAGGAGGGCGGCGAGAATCAACGGGACGGAGACGAAGGCGCACCAGGCGGTGAAAATGGTGAGGGGGCTTCTACTGGAGAGGGTGACGCAGAAGGGAATATCGCTCAGAAGAACCCAGGTAAGACGCGGTGGATCGAGTTTATTGGAGGAGCCACAGCGGACATCGACGCATCTTTCCACGAAGTTACGAACCGTATCGCCGATGAGCTTCGTGACGAGGAGAAGAAGCAGCTGTACTCTCGCGGTTTCGTGTCACGGGAGGAGTTTGAGGCGCAGATGACGGAGGTGGAGGAGTACTACATCACGGAGGAAGCTCGGTTGCAACAACTGGAGCGCGAAAAAGCAATCGAAGCTAAGAAGGCGGCAGAAGCTAGAAAAGCTCAAGCCGCGGCAGAACAGGCTGCAGCAAGCGCCGCACCCAGCGGCGTCGTGCCGGCTGTCACTAATGCTAGTGCGACTGTTCCAGTACCAGCACCAACTGCAGCAGTCCAGACTAGCACCACCAATGCTACGTCTACGGCAAGCGCTGCTATGTCTTCGTCTGTCAACGCGGCTTCTTCTACGTCGACGATAACCGCCGCGGTGAGCGTCGGTACACCCAGCAACGCACCCACAGCTCCAGGAACAACCTCGGCGGCACCGTCAGCACTACCAGTAGCGCAGCCAGCAGCCCCTCCAGCCACTCAAGGCCCAGCATCCGTTGCGTCATTCATGGCAGCACCGACCGTAGCATTTGCCGCCGCGTTCAAGGCCGCGTTTACGCGACAAGCGGCCGCTGGCGCACCGCCTCGACCCCCGCAGCCTTAATGGCAGAGTTATTAGTCGTCGAGTTAGTCGTCGAGTCAACATTAAATCTATGTCGTGGGTATCGAGCACCTTCCGACTCGGAATCCGAGATGCAAGACGTGTGCAATGCAACTTCAACGAAGCCACTTACCACGTCGGTACACTGTACCACATGTCACTCTAATGAGGTACAAGTCACTCTTCTACCAGTCGTCCTCAAAGCGCGCCAAACGAACAAAGCGAGCCGGAGCCAAGCCGGGAGCCTCTCAACGGGAAGCGCTCGGTGTCCGCGTCGCGCCTCCAGCCCCTCCATCCCGCTCATCTACAGGCAGCATGGTGGAGGTGCGTCTCAGCTCCGTTTCCAGCCCTCGCGCGCTCCTTAATGCGCTCTAGAACGCGAGTTATGAGTCGCTAGAGCGTCCCTAGATCTTAAAACTGACCTTTTGCCTGTAATTTCCCCCTCTCAAACAGCAGAAGAAGGGCGCCAAGCAGGCCTCGATCTCCGCCTTCTTCTCACCCAAGAAGGCGGGCGAGAACGACGTGGAAGCCGAGATCAAGAGCTTCGCAGCCAAGCGGCCGCGAGTCGCGTCGCCTGCTGCTAAAACGGAGGCCGAAGCGGCCAACTCCACGGAGGAAGGAGCTAAAAAGGAGGAGAGTGGCAAGCCCAAGAGGAAGTACAAGCCCAGAGCTAAAACGCCTGCTAAAGCCAAGGCCAAGGGGAAGACCAAGGCGTCGCCCAAACCCAAGAAGAAGAAGAACCAAGCGCGCTTCATTTCTCCGCACGCTGTGGTTGATGACGAAGAGGACGAGGACGATCTCGATGACGACGAGGACGTGTTCAACACGCCCGAGGCAAAGCGGGCTCGTGCCGAGCTTGAGGCCGGCGGGGAGACGGTCCCTGCTGGAGCCCCCATCTCGGGCGATGCCATCGTCAACGAGGAGGACATTGTGGATGTTTGTGAAGCTGACGATGCAGCCGCAAAAGAAAAAGAAGAAAAAGAGCAAGAAAAGGAGAATGGAGACATTGAGGCAGCAGTTGAGGAGAGTGCTGCGACTGAAGAGGCTGTCGTTGATCTGACCGCAGCGTCTACGTCGGCCGATGAAGCGGCGGATAAATCTGCTGCGGAAAATGGAAAGAGCGAAAAGGAACAGGTTAAGGCGGTGATGGCGGTCAAGTCGCCCGCGTCACGAGGAAGGCCAGCTAAGACGCCAACCAAGCGGCAGCAAAAGATGAAAGAAAAGGCTGCTGCTGCAGAGGCGAAGGCTGCTCCTGTGGAGCCGTTGGATCCGAAGACTCAGGCGCGCGTGGACACATATAAGCTGAAGACCGAGGAGCTAACAAAGCAGTTCACGGAGTTGTTGAACTCGAAGCAGGACAGTGATGCAGTCATGCAGGATATTCTCGGTGCTGCGTTAGATTGCGGCTTGGACGTCACTGTCGACCAGGACAAAGCAAGGCAATCGTTAGCGGAGACGTGGCAAAAACTGCGTGACCACGCCAACTCCAGCAGTAATGCTTCAGACGCAGTCGTGTTTGAATTCCCCCATGAAGTGAAGTGTTTAATCGTCAAGGGCATTCAAGGTCGGACATCGAGTCTCTCTGTGGTGTCAGATGAGCTTTTGGCTTCATTCAAAAAGGAGATCGAAGCGGATGACGTAGATATGGAGGCGGACTCGTCTTCGCAGAACACTGGCAGCTCAGATTCTGTAGCAATTGAGAGGGCAGCATCTCTTGCGATGGAAATGGAGATTAAGAAACTGGCGGAACGCGTATTATACGGCGTGCGTCCCGCAAAGGCTAACATATTCGAAGACACAAGCGCAGACGCATTGTGGGTCTGGGAGGTTGGCAACCCGGAGAAGTTTTTCGTGGACGACGCACAGAAGACTATCAAACGCATGCGTAAGAATCGCAAGCGTCTTGGCCAGCAGTTAAGATCTCTGGCGAAGGTTGTGCAACTTCTGCATCAGAAGCCAGTAGATGAAGCCAAGGTGAGCGCCGAGGAGGCGAAGGTTGGAAAATTTGGGTTTGCTGTGGACGCTGAGGTTCAAAAGGTCAAGGACCGGGAAATGAAGGAGCTGGAGAAGCTTCAAGCAGCGGAGGAGAAGAAACGACATGAGCTGGAACGCAAACTGGCTAAAGATGAAGAGAAGAAGAAGCGCGAACGTGAAGAAGAGGAGAAGAAGGCGGAGTCATCCAAGCGGCAAAAACAGTTCGCGTCATTCTTTGTCAAGCCCAGCTCGGGATCAGATTCTGCTGCAGCGAATGGCGCTGGTACTAGCGCTTCCGCTATTGATGTGACTAGTGACCAGGATGCAGAAAGCATTAGCGGGCCATATGAAAGCAGAAGTGCGAAGATTAATCGCATGGATGCGGCCTTCAGTTTCTTGGGCTCTGGTGAGGACGCGGCATCTGGAGCGACTAGCGGATCTCCACAGTCAATCTTCTCGTCGTTTAAGGACAGGCGGAGTACAACCAATAACGAAGTAGTCCAGCGTTCTCCAGAAGGATGGAGTGCTCAGCGTTTCCGTGACCCGACACTTGGCGCCATGAAGCTGCTGCAGTTCTACGAGAACGTCCGACCAGCTTATTATGGCACCTACAGCACGCGAAGCCGCATCTTCCGCGGCGGACGGAGGCCGCTAGCACAGTATGCGAAGTTTGAATACTCCGTGGACAGTGATGATGAATGGGAAGAGGAGGAGCCCGGTGAGAGTTTGTCCGATGCCGACGACGACGCTGACGAGTCAGATGAGGACAATCTGGACTATGAAGACCAGTGGCTGGCTTATGAGGATGAGGTTGACTACATGGACGACGCGCCGGCAGACGATGATGAGCCGATGGATCGCGGCGAGCGACCTTCATCGCCAACGAAGCACAAACTGCCCTCGCAGCTTCAGAAGAAACGGGTGAAGGCTAAAGCTGTCAAGCCGGCGAAGCTGGAGCCTCAGATCGTTGGTCCGTTCTGGTGTAATCAGAGCAGCTCGGCCCCCTGTGCCGAAGATCACTTTGCCGGACTTGCTGGCGAGCTGTTGTGCGAGCCTCAATTCGAGTCGACCTTGATGCGAAAGGCCCGCGAGTATGAAGAGGAGCAGATGCGACTGGAAGCGTTGCGACAAGAGCAGCAGCGCAAGAAGGAACAGCAGCAAGAAGAGGAGAAAAAGAAGGCCGATGAGAAGAAGGCACAGGAGGCCAAGGAGAAGGCCGCAGCCGCACCCGCAGCCGCTTCAACTACGGATCCAGCCAAGCCTGCTGTCACCGCAAAGACAGCGCAACCGACAGAGAAGACCAAGCCTCCGAAGGCGAAGTCGCAGAAGGCCACACCCCAAAAGGCGAAGACACCGACGAAGCAGTCACCTGTACCTGCGAGCACAACCCCGGCCAAGGCGACGCCGGCGGCCGTGGTGGCCGCGACTCCGTCCCCAGCGAAGTCGGTGAAACCCATAGATTCTTTTTTCAAGAAAGTGGAGGGTCCTGTGCCAGTTCCACCGCAGCAACCACCACAGCCGCAGCAGCCTCAGCAGCAGGACGAGCAGAAGAAGCCCAAGGACGGCAGCGTTGAGGTGATTTCGGTGGATTAGCTGGATCCGCGGTATCGATATCCGACGCCCACCAGTATACGACACAAACACGATGATCTTTGAAAGTTACGAATATAACTCAACAATTCACTGCTGGTAGTGATGCTCTATCGATCGGGCATGCTCAATGCGCACGCGTTGTGGTGGTGCAGCCTGACCTGTACCAGTTTGGGGGTACAAGGTGCCCTTTTTGCCGACTTTTCGCACGTGTCTTTGTGGAACAAATCCCATGGTTTGCGCTTTTCTAATGCGTTTCTAAATGAAAAGACCCAAATACTGCCGATATTACATCACAGCGTTCCTTGCCAATGCAACGCGGTCGGACAGATCGCAAAAGCATACAATGCATACACAAAGTCATCGTCATCTTGGCATTGGATGCCGTGGTTATTGCGATGCAAACCTTACGTCAAAGGTATCAGATGTTGCCCATTTACCGACCCTAGTGTACTCCGCAAACATGTTAGTGAATTTCACAATACACTAACTCACCGTAAGTGCTGTTTGCAAACACGTTTGTATGTTTGCACTCTATCACTCGCGTTTAATTTAGTGGTTCCTAAAGAGAATTGGTACCGGTTGTCGAATTTATAGTCCGCGAATACGCACCACGATGTTGCCAGAGTAATTCGTATAAGGATATTATTATTGGTGTAGAGAAGAAGAACTTCTCGGTGGGTGCTACTAAATTGTGATATTTGTGAATTAGGAAAAATGCCACATCCGGCATCGCCACCTTGGAGGAGACCAGAAGAAGGCACAATATGATGTATCTGGGGAAGTAACACATCGAACCACTTATGCGGACGTTAGCAAGCTAATAGATAATCCAAGTGCCATATAGAAGGAAAAAAAAAGAAGTTCACGTTATTTGTGCTCGTGAATGGCGTCCCAACAAGTAACGTCTTTAGAGTGGAGTGAGTAGTTGCAAGTTGACGCAGCGCACGAGTTCAAATGAAGTCTTTATGAGCTCACAGTCCGAGTACACTACTCATTACTCAAAGTTCTGCGAAATGTACTCAAAAGTAAGGACGTCGGACCGTGAATTTGCGCATTTTGGGCTCGCTTTTCATCTGTCGCTGTGCCCAATTTCCACCAATTCTGGCGGTTGTGAACGCATTTCTATTTCTATACGCCTGTGTTAAAAACACGCGCATAGAAATAGAAACCCCCTCCTTTCGATCTCCACCGCTCAATCAATGGGCCCGCCCTCAGTTCGCTTTCCCCGCCCAAGCCGCCGCCAGCCAACCCCGACCGAATCAGCATGAGCCTCGTGACGCGCGTGTTCGCCCCCCTCCGCCCCGCGGCCCGCCTGGCCGCGCGCAGCTTCGCCTCCACGGGCGGCATCCCAGACGACCTCGAGCACGCCGTGGGCCGCGAGCGCCAGGAGCTGGAGGCCGCCGAGATCGGCGTGACGCAGTTCAACCGCGACCCGCTCGAGACGGAGGAGACGCAGGGCAACTCGAAGGACGACCCGATCCTCGTGCCGTCCTTCAACGACGTGCGCACCGTCGGCGTCGCGCACAACGACGCGTCGTACGTCTACTGGTTCAACATGGAGAAGGGCAAGGTGCACTACCTGCCGCAGATCGAGAAGTACTTTATGCTGTACAACCCGGAGGAACTCGCCAAGCTCGTCAAGGAGGTGGAGGCCAAGCAGCAGTAAACCGCCTTTTCATTGTTGGCAGATAAACCCCCAAGGTGGAAGGAAGCCCCAGGATGGATCTGACGTCCGGACTCCCCTCTCTTCCCACTCGCTGTCGCGTCGACTCCCTCGCCTCCCCTGGCCCTCCGCCCCTTTCAAGCGAGACTATTAGTCGCTTTGAGAGAGAAAGAGACAGAGCAGAAGAACGATGAAGATGCCGATGAAGAGGAAGGAAGAGAGAGGCAAAACTCTTGTGTGACAAATGAAAACCCCACAGAAAAATGATAACTATTTCGCCTCCATCATTCGTTCGACGTGGCGACTACGCACACTCCTTGCACTTCGTCTCCGTTCTGGTGGTGAGGCACGTGCTAGCTTTGAGCCGCTGTCTGCTCTGCCTGTAGGGCCGCTGGCTGTTGAGCGCGCGAAGGGGTGCCATCGTTGCCGAGTCACAGTTTGACGCGCGCAAGGATACGCAGCGTCGACGACGGCCACAGGTTTGTTCGGCTTTGTTCTGGGGAGGACGGCGGGCCATTCTGCTGTGCTCAATCCTGCTGGAGCACAGGCCGACGCCAGTCCTCGCGATGAGCTCCCAAGGTGATGTTCGTCTATTTTCCTCCCTGCTCCGCTCCTACGACTAGTCAAAATCAAGATCCTACGTCCAAGTGCTGCTGCGCTGCACTCGGAGCTGTTAACGAGTGAGACCGAGAGCTCGGGCCAAGAAACCCGCGCGCCCTAATACGCCCACGTCGCTCAAGCAAAAATGTCCTAAAGCGCAGACACGTCGTATTCCGACGTGTCTGCGGTGGGGAAGCCTGCTCACGGCGCAACCTGTTGCTGCTGAAGTGGCCCCTGCTGGGAGAAGTACTGGAAAGAGGCCGGCGCTGTCCCTTGCTGCGCGAATGGCTGCGGCTGGAACGCTGCTGGTGCTGCTTCCTCCACCTTGATCGTCGTCGTGCGCGATGGCAAAGGCGGCAGTGTTGCAGCTCCGGCATTCGAGCCATGAGGTCCCGCGACCGGCTCCACCTGCGGGCTTCCGTTCAAGATCATGGCCATGGCCTCTCCGTGCTTCGTTGGCGGTTGGGCCTCTTCCGAGTTCCAAGATCCATTGCTCGCGCAGTCGTCGCTCGCTGGGGTCATCGCCGTGTTGCTCGACGCCACGCTCGTCGTCGGACTCAGCATGGAAGTCGCAGGCTTCTCACTGGACGAGTACTGCGTCTGCACCGGGGCCGGGTGATGGTCCTTCAGCACTCCATCCGTGTCGAACGGGAAGCGCCCAGCAAATTTCAATAAATACTTCTGGGCGTGGGTACGCGTCTGCACTGCACTACGCGTCATGACCACCTGGGCCACGCGACGCCAGTCCTTCCCGTACAGGCGGATGCCCTCGAGGAAGGCGGCGTGCTCTTCGCTGGTCCATCGTCCGCCCTTCGACGGACCAGTGGTGGAAGTGCTCGAAGTCGGTGCTGGGTGTGGAGTACTGACCGCCAAGTTCTCCATCTTGACGGTAGGTGTTACGGGGTAGCCCTGCGAGGTGGCGTGGGCCTCATCACCCGGTCGTGGAGTCAGCTTGGGAGCTGAAGACGCATGGTGAGACGAAGCGCGATGGCTGGAGGACTCGCCGTGTACCAAAGATGGCGGTGACGTCTTGGGACGCATGGAGCTGTCCTTGTTCGGGTCCGCAATGACGGACTCGCGCTTCATCTTCAAGTTCACGATCTGGTCCCGATACTTCTCGCGTTCGCTGCCGTGTGCACTGAGCATGGCGGCCTCCATGGACGCAATGCTCTTGGACAGCGACCGGATCTGACGGTGCGGCCAGCGCTTGATGCCGTTGCGACGGCAGATCTTCTTCATGAGCGTGATGCAGATGCCAAAGTCCTTGGCCACGTCGATGATCGGCCGGTCGAAGTGGGCGCGCAGCTCCTCGATGGAGATATGCTTGGTGACGAGACTCTTGACGCGGTTGCTCTCATTCCTGAAGCAATGGCTGAAGCCGGCGTCGTCCGTGAAGTCGAGCTTGCTGCCCTTGGGGCCGTCGAAGTTGATCTGCTGCACGCGGTGCACCTTTCCTACTCCGCCGATAGCGGTGAAGTGGCGGCGGTGCTCGGAGTCTTCGTCATCGTCCGACAACTCGCCCATGTCATCATCGTGGTCCGAATCCGGAGAGCCTGCCACCGGGGCGGCAACACCACTGCCACTGCCACTGCCACCACCGGAGAAGCCCTTGCTCAGACTCGTGAGGATCATGGCCGTCTCCTCCGGGTTCAGCCCCGGAGCTTCAACGTCCGACTTGGTCTCCTCGGCCTGCACGCCGCACGCGCCGGCGGTCAGCGGCGGCGCAACTTGCTCACCGGTCGCCGCGCGGCCCTCGGCGTCGCATGCCATACCCATGCTGCCGCTGCTCCAGCTTGCCTGGCTTGGTCCTCAATCGCTGCAACAAGGGAGAATGCTGGTAGGACGCTGCCTCGTCGCAGGTCGGTCGGCGATATGCTTCAGGTCTGCTACAGACAGCCCAGCGAGCATGTTAGCGCACGTGCGTGTAGCGGCATCTTTGGTGTGGCAGCTGTGTGCCCCAGACGCTGGGCGCGTCACCCTGAAGCTAAAAATAGCTCTTGGGCCTGAAGGGGCACAGACCTCTCCAAGCTATAAATAGCGACTTGTCGGGGGTGCAAGCCGTACCTGGTTGGATGAAAGTGGCTTGATACGCTTGGGCGCAGGCGAGCGCTGCGCTGTCTTCGGGGCTTGGAGTTGCTGCGCGCGGCGGCGTCCGATGCTACCAAGCGCTCTGCGACTCTGTGGCCTTTGGAGCACCCACCAGTGGATCGACACGAGGTTCGAATCGTCAACGCGCAGCGGGAGGGGGAGGGGGAAGCAAGTAACGCTTAAGTAAGGGAATTCGCACTTGCATTGACTATGCCGAAGCCGATCGTCGATTGTGATTGGACGTCTTTGGCGGGAATTCTGTTTGGACGTGCACGCTCAAGTGGTGTACGACACGCTAACGCTACTTTCTCGAACGCGGCTCGAGTGCCATAAAACGAACAATTCAGTTGAAGAGCTGCTTTCAAGCTGCTGCGATCACGGTAACACCGCTTCATGACACTCGAGGGCAATTGTTACTCATGAACCCGAACATGAAACTCAATGACGTGGCCACCATTCGCACTAATGTTGTGTGCGTGTACGCACTCACTTGCCGCTGAAGTTACCCTTTCATCGTGTTAACTCGTGCTAATCAGATCCCCAGTTCTTTATTCGACTAACCAAGTGCACTTCCTACATGTACTCGTATTAACCCTTAGTTGTATTGTGCTTTGCAGAAGTTTTGCCGGTCCGATTTAGTGGTTAGATCGATCTAGCAACACAAACAAAGTGAGGTCATAAAAATGCGAGTCATCACAAATCCTGCACTAAATCGGTCGCCTACTGGGCCAATGTCCTGCTCGATTTATTAGCCTCATATCTGCCACCCGATCAGCAACGGATACACCAACAACAACGCGTGTGTCGGCGCCTACTGCTTCACTAATACTGCTCTGTTTGCTGCGTGCGATTAGGCAGCTACTTGCCGATTTAGAGTCTCTGTAGAAGATCCAGAATGGGCGTGCCTCGCGCTGGTGTCTTGCCACAAGATTCTCAGCTCCGCGGTGTGGTAATGTTCCGAACCGGCGAGAGCTCCAGAGGCCCCCGTAAGGGCATTCGAAAGAGCCTTACGTTTGTTGTTGCAGAGGGTTCGACGTCGCCCGGGCTAAAATCTTTCGACTGTTGACTGGAGCGGAGTTTGGGCCCAATCCTAGTGCAATCGAGGCTACCAAAAATGCACGGCAGAAGGACTTCAAGATTCTCTCCGTTAGCAATTTCGAGGAGCTGTTGAAGCGTCGATGGGCGTGCATTACCGATGATGACATCGTGGCTCTGGCATCCAACGAGGAGCCAATTCATACGCAATTTGTGTTTGAATTTTTCGTCTATCTCGCCCCGGTGGTAAGGCCTATTGATGGGATTCGTCGGGCCACGGCGGATCGAGTTCGTGCCGCGGCAGCGGAGATCGTGACTTTACAGGCAGAAGGTAGAGAGCAGTTCGGACCAATTGCCACCCACCATTTAGCTATCCACCGCGCCCGCCAACCTGAAGGCACTCCGTTTGCGATTCCTGAGGACAATACGATGCAACAAGCAAGAGCTCTAGATGCAGCGGTAGCAGCGTTGGAGGATACTGCTGCCGAACCGGAGGAAGATGTCGTGGAAATTGAAGTCGAGCTCTTTGGCACGTGGGTGAAGATGCGCGTGAAGCGCTCGACCCTACGAGAAGCGGTGGGCCTCCCCCAACACGACATCTTTACCAGAGGGATTTTCCACGGTTTTCGCCCCGAAGCCATGATGCCACAAGGTGAAGACGTCCCGGATGAAGACCACCAAATGTCTGAAAACTAAACAGAGGTAGTTCTTGCTAGGTAATACAGAAGCTTCAACGTTCATTAAACTAGTGTTCATCGTCACTATTAGTTTCGTGCTGGGGTTGTACAATAAACTCGGAAGATCGGAGTTTCTTGTCATCGTAGCAACAGTGCTCATATAGATTTAGTACGCCCTTCCGTTTGTTTGGGTGGTGACTTCGACAGCAGGAACGCATCGTCACATCCAGCACCAAAGCTGGGTACAGCGGAAAGATGAGATTTGCCTTCTTCTGGATCCAGCGCTTGAGTAGTCCAAAACAAACCTCGATTGGGTTTAATTGAGGTGAGTACGGCGGAAGGTAGAGCAGCCTCGCTCCAGCTTGGTGGATGGCCTGAAAAAAATAAACATAAAATATCTTTGTCAGCTTAAAAAAATGTTAAAGCTTTCAAACTGACTTACCGATTCTAGCTCTCGATACATGTGAATTTTTGCGTTGTCCATTACAACTATTGAACGTGGCAGCGGCCAGGGGTTCAGAAGAGGTAAGATTTTCCAACAAACGCTTTGTGAAAGGAGTTTCTGGTGTAAGTACCCTCAGTATAGTCCCAAGCGACAAATCCACTATGGTCCAAAGCTGCCAAAATAGACAACCGCTTACCGCGACTTAAAGGTAACCGTACCACCGCCTTTGTATTCTTTTTTGACCACGCGTATCGCCGATAGGCGTGACGCCCATCTTTTGCGGTTTCGTTAATAAAGAGCAATTGCTCTGGGTAAGAATACATAGCCTCTAACTTCACCTTGTACGCATGCACTTCGTGCGGCACCCACTCTCTTGCCGCTTTGGTTAGCACCTTTCTAGTCAAGTTCATATCAAAATATAAAGCTCTACAAATGGTACTCAGTGAAACATTTTTCACCATAGGGAAGGTGCGCTTCATAAAGTCCTGTAGCTCCTCTAAATAGAATGTGGGATGGCGCTCAACATACTTCCGCACACGCTCCACTACGTCACACGACCACCGTGACTGTGACGGGGTCACACAGCACAATGCACAGAGGAAGTGCGTGCAGATATTACTATCCAGGTGAACAGCAGTTCACCAGTTCCCGGCCTCAAAGGGAACAGTTTGCTACAAAGGAGTAGGTTATAAGACTGACTGTATTTTGGTAGAGGTTAACTTGGTCGTAATACAAATTACAAGTTAACTATACAAAAGCCCACGCAAACTCAAATGGTTGGCTTGCGGAGCTACTGGTACCATATACCATGTACTCGGGAGAGTGACACCCGTCACTCTTCATGTAATGGGTACACTTGATTGTACCCCATTACATCCTCCCCCACTTATCTGAGAATCACATCTGATTCTCCAATCAGCTTCGAGAGAATCCGAACACCCAAAGGTCGCGCTGCCGCCGCAAGGCAGGCGCGCCTCATCGTCACGCCCACAGTGACTTGTGCCCGCAGCGGGCACCCCGTGCGGAACCCCCCCTGCCCTCGGCGATGTTGGCCGCGAAGCCGACGCGTTTAGTGGCCGTATTCACAGCGCTAGCAGGCGCAGAGTGCCTCGGCACGGGATGCATGTGGCTCCAAACTTGCGGTGTCCCTCTTAGACAACCAGCAGTTGGCGCCGCATGGCCCTCGGGCCCCGCTGGCACGTTCGTGCTGCAGTGCCTCCCGCGAGGGACAGCACCTTTCCGGTCAGCGCGTAGCGTAACCATGGAGAGAGCTGTGCTGCTCATCTCCGGCCATGACAGCGGCCCGACAGGGCCCCGCTCGTCACAGCACGGTGTGCCGGTCGGCCGAATACCCATGGGCTATGGTCAAGCGCTGACCACAGCCATGAAGCGTCATGCTTCAACGTCGTGTTTGCTTGAGCGACCATGGCTGCTTCCAGCAACCCGCTCATCATACAGAGCAACGCGGCGGACTTGTCTAAAGCCCTGCAGCGCGTCACGGCCATCACGTCGCCGACGCTAAGGTGTCTTCCTTCGACACCAGGGTACCGCAAGGGTACTTCATCGTGGTGTGGGGTGTATTGCCCTCCGTCACCAGCGATCGCATCCTGCGTCGCGACGACCAACACCAGGTCGGTGTGCGTGCAAGACCGCATGGCACACAGTCCATACAGGACCTCAAGGTGTACGAGGGCACCACCTCTTACACCAAAGGCACGTCGTGTATGGCACGTACCACGACAGCCATAAGTGCCTCGTGCACCTCAAGTGCCACGTGCACAAGTAGTGTCGCGTGCACTAGGGGTACCTCGCGTACACCAAGTGCCACGCGCACAGTGAGCGTCACGCACCGCGACTATCTCACAGGTAGTATGTGCCACGTGCACGCGTATGGCTTCGCGCCTTACAGGTGCGGCATGTGCCGCGCCAACTGTGAATGTCTGCAAAGGCAACACGTTCGGGTTCTTCCCTCGTGGACAACACCCATGCTTGGGACTGATAGCTACCTGGCCGGCAGACGTACCGCGTCCAGTGTTGCAACAGCATCACGCTGCGGCATGGTGTTGCTTATGTACACATGCCATCGTCCGCGGACCAAGCCGCAGACTGGCTGCCATGTCTTTGCCTGACAGAGGCAGCCTTCCAGCAGCGAATGCGCGCGCCATCTTCGGCCCAGCAGCGACAGTAGCCGCTGCCAAGGTTGCTGGCCATCGGTCACCATGACCATGGGACCTGAGCAGCGATGCATCAGGTCCAGCACCTTCGTGCAATACTTCGTGAGTGGCTACACCATGCAGCCACTACACTGGCTTCTACGACGAAGCAAGTCTCATGCCAGATACCTCGGGAGGAAGGGAACTTCCGATCCCCTCCCCCACTTACGATTTGAGCCCCGGCGGGTCAGGCGCCAGCCGGCCGCTTAACCTCGCGCCGCCCTGCAGCACCGAGTCACCGTGCCAGCCAGCAGACTCCGGTGGCACGGGCAGCTACCCTTCTTTGGCTCTGGGTCAACATCGTCGACAAGGGCTTGGCATCTACCAGCCTGGATGCAGTTTGAGTCTGCGTGACTTGACGTGTTACTCTGTTACCCACGTCTTCGGGCAATGACACCCATGACAGCGTACGGCTTGTCCTACATTCAGAGTAGCTGCATGGCATGCACGCATACTCAGACTCAGCCATCTCGGCACCGAGTCATGGACACTTGTTGTTCCAACGCCGCACAGTGCTAGGCACGACAGACCATACCAACGATCCCTGCCGTGCAGCGGCCTTTGCCTTCAGACCGAGCATGCTCCTGCATATGGTCATTGAGGTGTCGCCCTCCGGCAGACACGTTCCAGTCGTGATCGACCATGCTAGCCGAGTCGGCGGCGACGCAACATGCATCGCCGCAGGTACGTCGTGTACCCAAGCCACGTCTTCTGTGCGCATGGCCACAGCTGCGCTGGTCGACACCCAGTCGAACGTCATCCATGATGACCGGGTGCCAAGCCCTTGGAGGAAGGAAGTGCTTCCGCGCACTCCTCCCCCGCTAAAATCAAAGCCGTGCGGCGCCTCCAAGAGGACCGTGCGGCTATGACATCGTGACGGTGTCACGAGCCTCTTAAACTCCGTGTGGTCATCCACCACACGCGAGGAGACCCAAGTGACCTGATCACTAGTCTTGGTAATACTGACCGTGCGTGGAACTAAGTTACCCACGCTGACGTCGCTTCGAGCGACTCCTTCCGGCTCATGCGGAGCCTTACGGCATCGTGTGGAACTACGTTACCCACACAAGAAGCGCATCATGCGGCTTCAGAATCCGTTACCGTCTGAGTGACGCGTGGGGAACTATGTTACCCACACAGGAAGTGCATCGTGCACCTTCCTCATCAGTTTAGGTCTGGGTGACCTGGTGTGGAACTGGGTTACCCACACAGGAAGTGCCTGCAGCGCCTTCCTCTTCAGTTATGGTCTGGGCGACCGGGTGTGGTACTTGGTTACCCACGCCGGAGGTGCCTTGAGCGGCCTCCTCAGCATTACATGCTCTGTGCGGAACTAAGTTACCCGCTAGTCAGTGGTCCTTGGTTACCTACCTGGTGGTGTCATCGAACATCACCCTTGTCAATGCTCATGCCCAGCAATGACTCTCAGCACTGGAGTTGCTTGTTGAGGCAGCTCCACATGCCAGGCAAAACCGCCCTCGGTTGCAGATACACTGCACCTTCTTCATGGAGATCAGCATGTCAATGATGCCTCCCTTCTTCTTCTTCGTCTTGTCGGACGCATCCAGCGCCCTGGCGGTCCCATCGGACGCCCTTATGTCTGTCCAGAGGTGGGAACATGACTCACCAATGCTCTGTCAGACACAGAGGGCCGGCTTAGCCTCAAGGCGTTGCCGCGCTACTCGACCGAGAGCCTGTGCAGCTTGCACGGCGCACTCAGGACCAAGTCATACTTGCTCAAGCCGAGGACATATACGGTTCCATGCCCAGGACCGGCTTCGGCACGATGTCCGGGACGATGTACGGTTCCATTGCTGTCAGTGCCCTCGAGCGCGGCAGCCAGGGTCACAGCGGACCCCAAGGTTCTTCTTCGGCCCAGCCTCAGTCAATGAGACCTGACCTTGTGCTTAGACTCTCTCGCAGAGTCTCGGCACTTGTGTCGTTATTCCAACCGACACATCTGGCGACGTGCGAACATCCACGCGACGTCCCAGACTCAGTCATGTCTAGGGATACCATTACCCCCGCACACTCACGTGTACTACCGACAACCCACCGTTGTCCTTCACCAATGCGAGCGTCAGTGCTCGCAAGGGACCCCGGGTCTCTGTGGTGTACGCCTTCCGTACACCCATCACAAAGACTCGGGCCAACCCCAGCAAGGCCCTCGTCCTTACTGGTGGTTGTGTCCCCCTTGAGCACCTGACGGTGCATGGCGTCGGCGCCCCCTTGACCCTCTGGTCTTCGGGTAGGTCTTCTTCCCAGACCCAGACGATGGGCAGACACGTTGATAGTGTCCTAGCCCGCCGCAGCCGTAGCAGCGGGTTGAGTACTGCTCAGTCGAACTCAGATCCATGGGTTCTGGTTCGCTGTCAGCGACCACAGGCTGTACAACAGCAAGAGCACCAGCCTACTTGTGGCTGTACTCTTCCTGGAGGGCGACTTGGATCGCCTCCTCCATAGTGGCGGTGCGCACGCGGAACAACTGCGTGCGCGCAGGACCGACCTTCAGGCCGTCCACGAAGACTGTCATCTTGACGTCTTCCGACAGTGGGTTCCCCTCCAGCGAGGTTGCCAACGTGCACATCTCCTGTACGTACGCGTACAGCTCGCGCTCCCCTTGTTTGCAGGCAAGGAAGCGCGAGCGCTGGCGGAACTCGTTGTTCGCCGGGAGAAAAGCGGCTCGAAGCTGCTCACACAGCTGAGCCCAGGGTGTGAAACATCCAGGCGACATCGCTTCGCGCATATACGCCCAAGTCCTGGCACGTCCGCCAAGATTGGAGAGCGCGAAGGCGACTCGAAGGTTCTCGGCCGAGATGAGACCTGCGCACATTGCGATCTCGGTCTCCCGGATCCAGAAGTGAAGGTTCTCACCTTCCTTCCCTTCGAACGGAGGCACAGCTAGCCGCAGAGGCTTACGCTGCACCCATTTGGGCTCACTCATCTGAGCCAGCAGGTTTCCCTGCACATGAGCGATGAGCCCGCGTTCGTACTCGTCAAACGCGCTCACCCGCTCGACCTGCTCGGCTGGCGTCGCCGCCAAGCCCCGGAGGGCATCTCTTCCGAAGATGCCCGCCATCTTCCGCACCGACTCGAACTGCGAGTCAGTCAAGTGAGGAAACTCACTTCGGTCCATCGTGGCTCACAGACCTGAGCCACCGAGGATTCAGGTAGACCAATCTACCCGCGTAGGCGTAGGATTGACTACAAGTGCTACCAAGTGTGACGGGGTCACACAGCACAATGCACAGAGGAAGTGCGTGCGGCAGTTCACCAGTTCCCGGCCTCAAATGGAACGGTTTGCTACAAAGGAGTAGGTTATAAGACTGACTGTATTTTGGTAGAGGTTAACTTGGTCGTAATACAAACTACAAGTTAACTATACAAAAGCCCACGCAAACTCAAATGGTTGGCTTGCGGAGCTACTGGTACCATGTACCATGTACTCGGGAGAGTGACACCCGTCACTCTTCATGTAATGGGTACACTTGATTGTACCCCGTTACAGTGACGAGCGGGTGGTTCGGACGTCATCTTCTACCACTCCCTTAGATAAGAACAAAGAATACCATCTCTGTATAGTTCTCACACTAGGTCCAAATATATCACTTACGTACTGGAGGGAGATGCCATACACATGAACAAGAAAGACAGCGCGATTTAACTCAGTCTCGTACTTAAGCAATTCGAGCATGGTTATAAGTCAAAACGACAAAACGCTTGTAAAGCACAATAGATCGACCAGCAACACTCCTTATAGTGAACATGCACGTAGAGCTAGGATACTACAGAGGTTTGTGCTGTCTACAACAGATAGACTCCTTACGCTCCCTCTTACACTTTAGTTGGATGATGTCATGGGCGCTGAGTTGTGAGTAGACTGCGACCCCAACTTACACGACTGTGGTGACAATCGGTATAGATCATGAGAGGTGGTGTGTGCAGCTTCTGTTTACGATTTTGCAAGATTCTCCGCCAAGTATGACCCTGAGACTCCGTGATCGAACGCTATTCTGCTTGTAGACATGCAATTGGTCGTCAACTTCCAACCCTATCGCCCAGAACAGCACATGTGCGCGGTCATTCGCCCCCTCACAAACACCAAGAGACAACAACTCCCGGTCTTCGCGTTGCATGACACTCATGACGCTGTCACGATTGATTTTTGAATCGAAAGAACAGCTTTGACGAGGAAGAAAAACAAGATGAGGCTTATCGATAAACGCTGTTGGGTCCCGATAACGTGGTCGTGCAAGTGCCCCCATAACTTGACAGGAAGGTGCGAGTCTTCAACAACGACACACCTTTGACGGAAAAGCTTCGGAGAATGGCGCTTGGATGAAGTCGCAAACTTCTTTGCACTGGTGATTTCTTGAAATGCCAGAGTTTAACAGCTTGCGGAATTATCGATTCGGGTGCTCTCATAACGAGGATCCTCACCAGAAGCAGCCGCGGTGCGATGCATGTAAGCGTGAGAGTTTTACGACACGAGTCTAGCGTGATTGATTGCGCTGTCCAACCATCAACATTGTCGTTCGGTGGCGGCAGATCTGATGAAATGCCACGCCAACACCAGAAACGCTATTCTTGTCGAACAGCGTTTTCGAGTGCATCTACAGCAAACAGTGACGAGATCTCCTCCACACGAACGCTTCAGTTGCCTCGCTCCACAGTAAACTCCTCCGTCGACTCGACCGGTTGTCGCTGCTTGCTCAAATCCATGACTCATCAGTGTGCGCAGCTCTTCTCAACAATCTCCTCCACCACCCGTTCCTTACTCAATTGATGTCGTGCACTGGCGTTATCTCTCATCTTTCTCTCCACTCCAGTGCTTCACTTCAACCAGTTTGCTTCGTCACTCCGACAAGAACCAATCTCCAATCCTCGCCTGAATCCGCGACCGATCTACTAAACAATCATTTCAAACGAGGAGTTCGCCCGCCAGCCCCACAAACGCGTTATCTAGGGTAGAGGTCAGTTCATGCATACGGAGAGCACCCAGCGCGTGCGCTGCGCACAGCCTTCCACGAGCGCTGAGACCTGCGCTCAATACGAAATCAGATGACTCCGGTGGCTGTGCTGCAAGAGCTACGTTCGACGATCTTTGAAGCGGAGCCCTTCGCTCCCAAGCGTCATTCCTGAAGTCTCGGCGCCGCACACAGATCACGTCTCCAAGTCGGATCAATGCGCGCTTCGGTCGGTCTCGCCTGCTTCCTCTTGGGCCTAGCGGCGGCTTGGGACCAGCAGCCCGACGGCTACGAAGTCATCGACGGCCCCGCTAGCCCCGAGGCTCTGGACGAATGGCGTCGCGACTGGACCACCTGGAAGAAGATGGAGCTGGCCACCAACCGCTACAACCCGAGCGACGCCTGCAACGTGTACAACATCAAGGAGACGCAGTGGACGCAGCAGAACTTCGTGCAGGTCTTTCTCATGATGAACGACCGCGACATCTACGACCGCGAGACGCAGCAGTACACGGTGGACAAGTACGTGGACGGCATGCAGAAGCGCGTGGGCACCGTCGACAGCGTCTTGATCTGGCCGGCGTACCCGAACATTGGCGTGGACAACCGCAACCAATGGGACCTGCTTCGGGATCTACCTGGGGGCGTGGATGGAGTCAAGGGGGTCATCGCCGACTTCCACCGTCGAGGCATCAAGGTCATCATCCCGTACAACCCCTGGGACGCCGGCACACGCGACGAAGAGGGGCTCGAGACCATGGTGCGCATGTACAATGCCGACATTACCACGTTGAGTGAGACGATCCCGGAGCTGCAAGCGGACGGCTTCAATGGCGACACCATGTACGGCGTGCCCAAGTCCTTCTACAACTGCAGCCAGCCGCTGGTCGCGGCCCCCGAGGGTGGCGTGCCCACCGCGTACTTGAGCCACAACCCGATGAGCTGGGGCTACTACTACGGCTTCTCGCACTTCCCGCCCGTGGCTCGCTCCAAGTTCCTCGACTCGAGGCACATGGTGCAGGTCTGCGCGCGTTGGTCGCTGGACAGGACGAACGAGCTGCTCATGTCGTTCTTCAACGGCGCCGGCTACGTGGTCTGGGAGAACGTCTGGGGCATCTGGAACGCCATGACCGAGCGTGAAGATGAGACCGTCAAGCGGATGTTCGCCATCTTGCGCAAGTTCGGAGCCATTGTCGCTACTGGAGACTGGACTCCGTACTACGCCATGACCTCCGACGGACTGTACGCTAGCGTGTTTGCGTCCAAGAAGAGCGGCCAAGCGCTCTACACCTTCATCAGCACCGCGGAGAACGCCACGACCTACAAACTCTCGCTCACTGCAGCGCAGTCGGGAGACGATGTGCGCGTGTTCGACGTTTACCACGGAGTGGAGCTCCAGAAGAAGGCTGGGGGCAACGGATCCGTTGTTCAGGTGGAGCTGGAGCCGCGCGCGTTCGGCGCCATCTACGTCACCAAGTCTAGCGACGACCTGGCGGAGTTTCTCGGCCAAATGAAGACGATGACGGCCAAGCCGCTGGCGAAATACTCCACGACGAGGAACTTGCTCCAGCAGCAACTCGTTCGCAGCAACAGTACCAATACTACCGTGACCTCAGGAACCGAGACAAATACCGACGACATGGTCCGCGTCGCTGGTACTGAGAACTGGTGGTTCAACGTCAGCGGCGTGCAGATCGAGCCCGTGTCGGCCTGGACGCCCAACTTCGCGCAATTCGGAACTGGAGTGCAGTTCCCCTGGGAGAACCGCCCCTGGAACAACCACTCGGCGCGTTTGTTCGTCCAGGACTTCCTCATCGACAAGCACCCGGTGACCAACGCTCAGTACAAGACCTTCCTCACGGCGAGCGGCTACACTCCTAAGACGGTGGACCGATTCCTGCTGCACTGGGAGAACCGCAACGGCGCCCCTGCGTCCTGGAGCATTCCTTCGGGTTTGGAGCAAAGCCCCGTGGTGAATGTCGCCCGGGAGGACGCTGAAGCGTACGCTTCGTACTACGGCAAGCGTCTACCGCATGACTGGGAGTGGCAGTACGTCGCCTCCAATGGTGAGAGCTACGATGCGTACCCGTGGGGACCCCAGCTGGACACCACCCGACTGCCGAAGGTTGTTCATGGCAAGGAACTGCCGACGCTGAGTCCCGTAGGATTGTTCCAGAGCGCGCGCTCGACCAAGTTTCTCGTGGAAGATCTAGTGGGCTACGTGTGGCAGATGACCGACCAGTTCTGCGACGCGCACACGTGCGGAGTTGTTCTTCGAGGCGGAAGCAGCTACTACCCGATCTCCGCCACGCACAGCGATCCCAACTGGTACTTCCCGCAAGCTCTGGACTCCCAGCACCACAACCGCTTCCTCACGATCAGCGAAGGCTACGACCGCTCGCCCATGGTCGGCTTCCGCTGCGCGAAGAGCATCACCCCGTCTCGCGAGTTTGACGTTGTGGCGTAAATGGGGAATTCGAGAAAAGCTTTGGGAATTTTGTGAGGTGCAGGTAGGACGATGATAACGCTTTTGAGCAGGACTGCATCGCTAAGGCTAAAATGATTTTGCATTAGATAAAAAAAATCGGTGAATGATGAGCTAACTAACATCCAACTCTCGGGATGCCATCCGTGATCTGACTAAATTGTGCGTGCTTTGGTCTAAAGCAACTCGTTCTGATGGGCTTGCTATATTTGCCCACTCTGCATTTCGCAAGTTCCAGCCATAGCGACCAACGAACAAGACAAAGCATCAGCGTACCAAGCACCACTCGTGTTGGTCCAGCCTTCAACTGCAACCCATCATTGCAGAGATTCTTCCGTGTGCTCTGCTTCTTTTGCATCGATTCAACATCCTGGGCCAGCTTTCGACTTGGAGAATGAATTACGGCATTGTACTGGGTGTGCAGCTTGGTGCGTGCTACTCTGCTTCGGGGCATCTGGGGCCCCATCGCCCTGCCATTTCTCCGACTTGCCGTTGCTCAAGTCATGTATATCGTCAGCGCAAGCGTCATTGCCGGACTTGCTGCAGTGAGGTTGGTCTATTGTCTCTACAGGTGGGAATCGACCCAAAGTTCGTTGCTCGCGAGCGCTGGGCTGTTGGTGCAGATACAATTGTACAGAACAGCTTCAAGTTAGTAGTTGACTGCTCGACCCCTTAACTTGACATGGCTGGGCTACGTCGGTGATGCCTGATGCACAACTCAAACCTGCTCGACTTATCTCTGTGGGTATTCTCCCTTCGCCGCATCGCATCAAGACCAATTGCGAAGAATCTGCACGGTACAACTCAGTCGAGGCATTCGTTGGCAATTGGCGCTTCAGCAAGACGGTTGGAACCCTATAAAACTTGCATGTGCTCCCTCAGGTTTAATCCCGTTAGCGAGTCGCTTCTTTTCAGAACTTGCTTTGGTAGTCAACGGCCAAGTCGGTTGGTTGGCCCTCTGGGACGGACTCAAAGCCTTCTCACTTCGGAACGAGTCACCGAGTGCAGCAGCCCGAACTTGAGTCACTGTTCCGACGGCAAGAGCTCGAGTATGTGTGCTGGACGCTACTGGAGTGGAGACTACGAACAACCACGCGGCTACCCGCGTTCGTCCGACTACACGAGCCGAAACCGTGGATATGACGGGCGTGACGATCGTCAACACGAGCACGAAGCCGACGACCGCTACACCCGCGCTGGAGGGCATCGGGGGGACGACTATCGTCATAGCGAGAGCTATCGAGGAGACCGTGCAGACCAATACCGGAGTGATGATCGGTACGCGCGAGATCGCTCACGGGGACGAGAGGACCGCAGGGAAGACGAGAGAGGAGGGCGAGATGAAGTCCGTCCCCGCAGCCGAGAACGCAGGCAAGAGGATCACCGCGGGCGAGAACGCAACACTGATCCTCGACGCAGCGGCGGCGGCCGTGGCTTCCAAAGCAAAGGGCGGGATGGAGATCGCGGCGGTGGCGGTCGTGGCCGACAAAGACCAGGAGTGGGTCAAGTGACTGTTTCGGGCTATGAGGGTATTGGTTCTACCACGATGGACCCAGAGCGGCGATACGAGTGGAGTGGCCGTGCAGAGTCCCAAGCTGTTTCGTCGGATGATGCAGATTTACAAAAAGGAGTGCAGCTGTGCCACCGCCCAACAACTGCAGCTCGGCAAGGCTGTTCCATTGATCTGGAGGTTAATTTTTTCGGCGTACGGCTTCGGTCGCGGCCTAAAGAAATCTTTCAATACGACATTGCGGTGGAGCGCGCGTGTATCAATGCGATATATGGGCCTCCGGGAGATGCTGGATCGGTTGAGCCCGGTGAAGTTAATGCTAGGGGAACAACGCAGCCTGGTCCACCGGTTAAAGATGAGCGATCAGATCGTCCGATCCCGAAAGGTGTCGTGACGAGCGCAATTAGCGGAGCTTTGGAGCAGTACAAGCCCGTATTCGAGGGTCACCGAGTCGTCCATGACGGTGCGGCAACGCTCTATTCGCCGGCCATGTTCTCGTGGCACGCGTACGAGTTTAAGGATGTGCGACCCCACGTCCACCCCCGAGACTGCGACCCACAATCCCCGCCCGGTAGTTAATGTTGAAAGCAGATGAAGTGTGGAGACGCTGCAGTCGCGCAATTTCCGTGGCCAGACGTTCATTGTTCAGATCAAGTTGTCAGCAGTGATCGACACTTCAGCCATGGACACTTACTTGGCGGACCCCAAGGTGGATGTGCAGCCGCTTCTCCACGCTCTCGACGCCGTGGCGCGTTACCAGAGTTCCCAGAAATTAATTACCGCGGGCTCGAAGCTGATCACGACGACGCAGACTAAATCCTTATCAAGTGGGAAGGAACTGTGCTGGGGATACCGCCAAACTCTGCGGATGACAGAACGGAAGTTGCTGCTGAATGTGGACCAAACCACGAGAATCTGCTACGCTGAGGGCCCGCTCGAAGATCTAGTGGCGAAAGCTCTGTCCGTACGCAGACTCGAAGACATCCGCCGCCTTTCAGAGCAAGAAGTGAAGAAACTAGCTCGCGTGCTGCGAAGGATCAAGGTCGAGCCGACTCACCGCTCGGAGCGCCCGCGACCGATTAATGGCGTGAGCTCCCAACCAGCCGACATGACCATGATCACGATCGAAGAAACGGAGATGTCGGTCGCTGCCTATTTCCTTGGGCGGTACAAGTTGAAGCTGCAGTGCCCGACGTTGCCCCCCGTGAATGTCGGCGGCAGACGTCCTGACACGGAGACATGGCTACCAATCGAGCTGTGCAGGGTGACAAAAGGCCAGCTCTGCCATGACGAGGACGAGAGCGACGCGAGAGAGACCATTCGCATGAGCAGCCAGGATCCGAGGACGCGCCAAGCAAACATCGCAGCTCGGGTTCGCGAAGCAGAATTCGACAAGGATCCGTACATGGCTGCGTTTGGCTTGGAGGTAGACGAGCGCTTCCAGCGCACGAGAGCTCGGGTGCTAGACGCTCCGGACGTTCAGTACGCGAACGTCTCGGAGCAGCCTTCGAGTGGTCAATGGAATTTTGAGAGGCAAGCGGTTTGTGGATGGAGTCCACGTCCAGAACTGGGGAATCGTTGTACTTGCCGATATGAAGGATGATAAACTTGACTACTTTCTGGATCGGCTGACTGCGGTGGGGGAAAAGCATCGACTCGTCTTCTCGAAGCCCATTCGGATCCATTACAATGAGTATGACAACATGCCGCTGGACAGCCTGGTAACCTTCTGCTATGAAGAGCTGACGAGACGTGAAAACGAGCACGGACCTCCGCAGCTCTTAATGGTGGTGAAGTCGGACAACAACTCGGAGGAGTATGGCCGGATCAAGTACATTTCCGACACTGTGCTGGGACTGCCAAGTCAATGCGTGGTAGCTACGACGCTGCTCAATTCCAATGACCTGGCCCAGATCTGCGGTGGTTTGTGCCTCAAGGTGAATCTAAAGCTTAACGGCAAGAACGCCGTTTTGCGACAGCCACTGCCGCTCGTAAGCTCGTCCCCCACCATCGTGTTCGGAGCCTGCGTGGAGCACCCTCGACCGGGAATGGACAAGCCGTCGATCGCTGCTGTCGTGGCGTCCATGGATCGCTACTCTGCTCACTATGTGTCGCGAGTGGCGGCGCAGACTTCCTCCAACGACGTCCAGCACCTCCCGCGCATGCTGCGCGAGCTCTTTCTGGCATATTACCAGAGCACCGAGCGCGAACCTGAGCATATCATTTACTACCGTGATGGAGTGGACGAAGGCCGGATGGAGGACGTTCTAAAGGGAGAAGTTAGCGCTATTCGCAAGGCTTTCATGATGATTTCGACCGGGAAGGCGCCGCCGATCACTTTCATCATGGCCAACAAGCGCACCAGTCTGCGGTCGTTTCTAGTGAACCCTCGAGACGGCGACAAGAAGGGCAATGTGCGGCCAGGTACTGTGATCGACACGGGGGTCGTTGATCCGCATCGCTTCGACTTCTACTTGTACGGGCACAGCAGCGCTCAAGGCACGAGCGTTCCGTGCCACTACACGGTGCTGTTCAACGAGAACAACCTGTCAGCGGAAGACATCCAACGGCTGACCTACCACTTGGACTTCACGTCTCCGCGCAGCACGCTCGGTCGCCACACCCGTCAAGTGCGCGCAGCTTGCTGCACAGCGCGCACAGATCTATCAACAAGAAAGTGGAGACGGCGGATCGGCGACGGGCTCCGACAGCATTTCGACCGCGTCGGCGTACGAGTTCGCAGAGGTGCACGCAGACGTCCGCAACCGCATGTACTACACGTGAGCGCTGAGCCCCGAGTTGAAGGAATGAAAGGACTGCGAAGAAGGAAAGAAGCAAGGAGCACGAGCACGATCAGGTTGCAGTCCCGTCAAGAATTTTTTTTCATTTCTAATGGTTGGTTTTGGGTGAGTTGCTTTGTGTTATTGTGCTTAGGAAGACTGCAAGATTTGGTACTTCGAACTTCGAAGGCTTCGAAGTACCGTTACAACAGAACTTGTCGGAGGCCCCCATGGCTCCTCTGGCGAAGAAGAATCCATGGCGGCAGCCCATACCTGCTCGACATTTTCTTGCATCTGCCGCTGTTCCATTTCCGTTAGTTCTTTGCATAGTATGCGGAGTGCAACAAGGTGACTGCAATCAACTTGATCCCGTTAACCGGTTGTTTTGTTTCGGAATATGCTTTGAAGCCAACGGTCTGGGACGTGGCTCTGTGGCCCCATTCGAGTTCCTCATTTCAAAAGAAGCTGCGGCGAGCACACATGGCAAGGAACGAGTGAGCTTGGAGTTTTGCTTCAATGGAGATTACCGTGTTGGAAGCTGTGGACTAAACCAAAAGCTGCGCGGGTGAAGAGCGCGAGTAGGCCATTCGATACGGTTTGTCTCGTTCTTCTGATTATCCAACTCGTCGCCGTGGATCAACACGCTGACAGTCTATCTCATGTTTCTTTTGGCGAAGGGGTCATTGTGCCATCCAACATTCGCAGGACGTATCCGGTACTGCATCACGCAGTGTTTAATTCCTGGGAACTCTGGTAAGAAGCCACGACTTCGAAAGCATGGACATGGTGACCCACTGTCAGTCGACAACAATCGGTACTGTATTTCCTTTTTATTATTGTTTGCGCGTGGAAAAGAGTAGACTCTTTCGGTGTGAATGTTGTGTTGCTATGGGCAGGCGAGGGGCAGGTGATGGCCCAAAATCTTCAGCAGCTTCGTCATCTTCCGTTCGAAGACCCTTCGTGTACTGCTCCTCGCGATTGCATGATGGGGGTGCCACCGCACAGTCCTCGGTGACACCCCGGACTTGCTAACAGTACTGCGAGCCACACACTGCTGTGCGGGGCGCAGAACTGCGGTGACATCAACATGTCGGAGCGTCGCGTACGTGGCCTGTGTGCCGGAGGTATGGACCACAGTATCTGTTTCACGACTAAGGTACTGCAAATGATGCTCAACGCGTTTTACTTTTATCTGACCACCAGCGCATTGCTTTTATTTCGCAGCATCAAGATAGTCTTCGCGGTGCAGCGCTGGGGTGACAACGTCGGCAATTAGCCCACGGAACAAGCTGGAGGTGGTCGTCATACTGAGCGAAAGTGCGTCAAGGTGCTTCAACATTGCAGCAATCTCTCGTCTAGAGACGACAGTCGTTTGGGAGATGAAGTCGAGTCGCACATCGAGTGACGCAGCAAGCGGCCACACAAAAAAAGATCGCTGTACCACGATTCTCGTCACCGTAACTGAAGCCGCCCCCTGTACGTCATATTAGATGTACAAAATTCCAGCCTCACCTTTCTTTCGGATCCAGGATGTCCGAAGTTAGCAGAAGCTCAAGTCTAACGAAGCCAGAAGCTCAAGTCTAACGAAGCCAGAAGCTCAAGTAAAACGAAGCTAGAAATATTAATATTATTGTTTTCTGCTATTCGTCTCCGCTTGTGAAGTTTTTGAATTTGTTTCTCTGTTGACACTATGTGTGAACTTCGATCCGATAGTTTCACACTCCTATCATGAATACAGTACGACGAATCTCGAAGCGTGTTTGTTCCGATGCACTTCAACATTTGACACGAACTCTGGTGGGGTGACATATCATAGTAGTCGCAGTGCACTTGTGCCTTGCTGGGATTGACATGCGAATAGTAGTACTGTAGTATTTGAATAGTTAGAACACCTTTATGTATTACTTCACATGTCATTTACGTAGTGCATATTATTTTATTATACATGTTTTAACTTCTAATGTGTTATAGCTACAACTTCACCGCGAGGCGACAACACCAGGTAAGAAAGGATGTTTATGATCTCGACCCTTTGCTGTCGCGATCAGCGAACCAAGAATAAGACCAAGTTCCCGCGCGGCCACCCGCCAGAGGCCTCGCAGCGGAGGCGGTTCTCCCTTCTTCACATCGCTACGCCTACATATATATACTTAAAAGTATCATGAAAATGATACTTTATTGTGGACAACACATCGTCAGGATGACTGCACAGCTCAAAACCCGAGCATGGCACGAGCACATGACGGTAATATACCGTATCGCTCCTGTCCTAAGAGAAGTTTTCTCCTAAGCGAATTTCTATTTTGGCCAATGAGAGCCTGATTTATGGCATATGGTTGAGGAAACTACAGCGCTAATCAGCTAATTATAGACGACGGGTAATCACTCGTAGATGGAAACACATTTTCCAGACCGTTCATGAGACCAACGCCACATGATATACAAAGAAGCTTGAATACGTAGCAGCAGAAAGATATAACCCCCAGGTATGTGCAGGTAGACGCCTTTCATGCCCAATTTTGGGTCAAATGAATGAGCCTAAATACTAGGTTTTAGATACCAATTATTTGGTAAAAAAGTTAACCCTAACATTTAGAACGTACATTGACGTTCGCTTAGGACAGGAGCGATACGGTAGGCGCATTCTGACATCAAGAGCCCGAACAGTTGGAGGCTTGCTGGGTTTGCGATTTGCTGGGTTGTGGACTCAGAGGCTCTGAGTCAGAGCTCCAGTAGGCCTCGCTCACACTCACTCACTCACTTTCCCATTTCTCCACCACCAGCAAGACCCCAATGGAGTCTGTACTACCTCATTACTCTACTCGCAGTGCTCAATCCCTCCCCGAAGAGACCAGCGCCACCAAGAAGAAGCGTCGTCAGAACGTCGAAAATGGCGGGCTCGCAGCAATTGACGAACTGGAGCACGCCAAGCCAAGACTAACCAACACGCACAAGCTTCGCATGGTGAGGGCACTGGTGACAGCCATGGAGCACGAGCTCCTAGACCTCCAGTCCAAATGGGCCGAGCAGATACCCGACGTACGCACACGGGTCACAGCACAACGCTGCGCCTTGGAGAAGTACATCGCTCGGCAGAGTGACAAAGCGCACCGAGAGCTCCAAGAACTGTTTCAAGAGCACCAACTCCTGCTAGCTTCGCTGCAGACGGCCGTGTTCAAAAGTCCCCTGCATTCCAGTGGCCGCGAAATGTTTAGGGAGCTCCACTTCAACACCCAACTAGGCCGTGACCCAGACGGATGCTGATTGAACACAACAGACGATCTCTTGCGACGGTGCCCTCTATCGTGGAGAAGTTCTCGCAACTGACGATTGACAAGAAGATGAAGAAGGCAGGGGACATCTCGATGATGCCGCTGTCTCACATTGATATCTCCGGTTGTGAGGACTGCACACTGGTGTCGAGCGTCTTCATCTCGGAGATTCCTCACACATCTTTGGAGGTCGTCTACGCATCTGTGCTCGCTTACTTCGGCTCAATAGCTGCGACGCTGAAGCGCCACTTGGGCGTTGATACCACAACCCAGCTTCTCAACAGCGCGGAGTCTCCGGTGCATTATTTGCGCTCAAGTTTCAAGCGTCCTCAAGGGTCTTGGACGGAGAATTACGTTTTGTGCTCGGATCTCACGCCGGCTCACGGAATGGTCCACATCGACGCGGTGACGGACGATCCGCTGTGTCCTGTGTCCGCTTCCGCGTCGTGGCAGTACAGTATTTGTGGTCTCACTGTTACGCCTCGGAAACACAAGTTGACGGGTAGAACGCTATCGGTGACGCTGCGTTGGGTGGTTGTGTATCGCTATGAGACGATGCCGAATGATCCTGCGATCCAAGCAGACTTGGAGATTATCCGACCCATTTTGAACGGAGACTTGATCACTGCGTCCGTATGCAACTATATCCAGGAACTGCAGGAAGGACGCAAAGAACTTTCGTTTAGAAAGACGTGGAGACTTGAAGAAGCTGAATTGGAAGTATAATATTTAGAGACAAGATTGCACGAAATGTGTGGTTATTTGCTACGTACGTTCTTGGTGGCTTCACTCCTATTCCTGGTCACTCTTCGTAGTAGTTGCTGGATGATCCTAGCTGTGACTGACGTCCTAACAATAATGTTGTTGCGCCAGACCACGGATTTTCAATAAATCAAGCAGCGTCCACACGACAAATGCCGCTTGAAGTGTCCACGTGATTGACTCCATGAAGTAGTAGTCGGAGCGAACGGTCCTGAGGTCATCCCGAGGCCAGTGATTCAGCAGCAGTTCTCGCATATAGATACAGTAGACCAACCTCAGTGCGGCAAGTCCAGCAATGGCGCTTGCGCTGACGATATACATGACCTGAGCAACGGCAAGTCGGAGAAATGGCAGGGCGATGGGGCCCCAGATGCCCCGAAGCAGCAGCACAAGCAAGAGCAGTGAGTAGCACGCACCAAGCTGCACACCCAGTGCAAACCCGTAATGCATTCTCCAAGTGGAGAGCTGGCCCGAGATGTTGAATAGATTCAAAAGAAGTAGAGCACACGGAAGAATCTCTGCCATGGTGGGTTGCACGTGAATGCTGGACCAACACAAGTGGTGCTTGCTACGCTGATGCTTGTCTTGTTCGTTGGTCGCTATGGCTGGAACTTGGGAAATGCAGAGTGGGCAAATATAGCAAACCGATCGGAACGAGCTTTTCAACAGGCGCGGCCCCTAAGAATGTACCTATATTCTAAAAGCTCTCACTTCCGGTAACGAGGTCCGACTATCTCCTAAGATTTGCCATTTTATTATAAAGGGACCACAATGAAGTACTGTACACGTAAAATATATTTTAAAAGCTCAACTGCGAAGCACGAATTATAATATCTTCTACACTGACGTCTTCGTCATAAGTGGTGTCGTTGGAATCGCCGCACCTTTCATCTACACCGTTAAAAACAATTCCAGTATGGCGGAAGCAGTTTTCGATGGCCGACTTATCCTGCAGCTCTTGCCAGATCTCCTTGCTTCACCGCATAGCTTGCAACTGATCGACCGCGTAGGGCTCCTTCTTCAGCTTCTTCACGTCCTTGATCTTTTCGGACACCCAGAGAATCTGCCTTCTCCTGTACGCCCGCTTGAACAGTGCAATGATGCCGGCGTCCATAGGTTGCAAGTAGGTAGTAGTATTCGGGGGTACGAACTCCACGCGAATGTTTGTACACACCAGATCGCCGGTCTTATGAGAAGACGCGTTATCTAGCAGCAGCAAGATATGACGCCCTGCCGCTCGCATGTCCCGATCCAGATTGTGTAGCCATTCTCGGAATATCGGTCCTGTCATTCAGGCCTTCGCATTAGCCCGGTATGAGAAGCCGAGGCTTTCTGCAGAGCGCTTCTCAAAGCAATGAGGCTGCTTGGCGCGACCCAGGAACAACGGCGGTAGTGCGTCCGTGCCGTCAGCGTTCACCGTGAGAGCAAGCGTAATACGGGTCTTCTTCTTCTTGACTCCTCGCGCCCGCTTCGTACAAATAGACCGAGCTGGGGCCATTGCGTAGCAAAGCCCCGTCTCGTCCATATTGTAGATGTCCTTTGCAGGGTAGAGATCCGTGATTTCTTGGAGTCGTTGACGACCTTGAGCTACAGCAGCTGGATCAGCGGATCCAGACTCGCCGGGTCGATTGCGGTAGCGAAGGCGATGCCTATGTTCAAATGCAGTGAGCCAGCCGTCGCAAAATCCCAGGTCCCATGCGTCGCACAGCTCACGCTGAATGTCGATCGCTTTCATCCTTATCCGCTCGCGGGACAGACAGACGTTCTGGGCCTCCACCGCTTGAATCCACGCCCACAGTCGCGCCTCCAGCGCCGCCGAGGTCACCTTCAGGGGCTTGCGGCGGTTGCCATTGCCGTAGTCCTTGCTCATGATCAACGCAGCCTTCTTGAGTATGTCGGACACGGTCGACTGGGCCGGTGCGCGCTTGAGTTTGTAGTGTACTTTTGTCCACGCTGTGAGCGCTGCTTGTGACATCGTGGGGCAGTCGGCTGCCTTCTGTATGAGGCCTCGCTTCTGATGTATTTTCATCCAGGCCCCCATGGCGTTCTTGTACTTGTTTGGCTCAGTGAAAATTCTGGTATGAAGACCTGCTTCGGGCTTGCGGCTGTTGCTCTGTGGCAATGACTGGTGTGCAGTAGTTCGCGCAAAACTCCCACCAGGGTTTAGTAAAAATAAACCTTTCCAAATAGATTGCATCGTTTAATTCGGGATATTAATTTATACCAGTACCGGAAGTGGGCGCGCTTACTGTATAACTACCGTCGACACCGCATGAATTTGGATATCGCGAGGTAAATAAATGCATCAGCTGACAACAATGATGCAAGTTATTTGGACGTGTCAATGCATCAACTCGGGCGTGGCTGAGACAAGCTGACACATCCAAACAACCAGGGAACTCGTGGTGTTGTTAGCGAAGGTCAAAAAGCAAAGTTTGCACAGTAAGGAAACGACTTCATTGACGTTAACACCTAGAGCTATAGACTGCTCTACGTTCGATGGTTGCCCACCGCTCACGACAGCCTCTATAGCTTGCATGATCAATCGCTTTCGGAGGTGGCGGCTAACGGTACTTTGGGTTGTACCAAGCCGCAACGCAGTTTTGCGCTGGGGCTCGGACCCTGTCAGCTCGAGAATGAGGCGGTGGTCCGCCTCAGACAGGCGCGTCTTCTTCTTCCCGTAGCCAGCCGCTCGACGTAGCTTTCGGGCATCTGCATCGGAGATCGCTATCTCCTCTCTAGCTTCTGCACGCACTCTCAACTGGTCTAGTCGCCGAACTTCACTTGCTTTTGCTGCTGCTAGCCGCTCGTAGCGTTCTTGTTCTTTCGCGGCCGATACCTTCGCACACTGGTACGCCAAAGCAAGCTCCTCAATCTGACGTCTGCCTCGCTGACGTGCAAGTGTTCGCGCCCGGTCGGTCTGTTTGGCTTGCCGTCGCTGACGCCGCGAGTCCTCCAAGATAGCGCCACTGGAGCGGAGATTGATACCTTCTAGAGCAGGATCAAGCGCGATACTTGGGTTCAGTCGCGGTAGCTGAGAAGGAAGCTCACGCGGGCGGCCTCTCGTGCTAATGTTTGGTTTAGGAGGGGAGTTATGGGAATCTGCTGCTGGTGGCGGTTTGCGTTGTGAGGTGCGAGAGGGTAACCCTCTCCGAGCCACAAATCGCTTTGGTTATAAACATGCGGTGGGTTCATGCATTTATTTGCGTCGCTGGCGCTTTGGATCATTGTTGTCGGCTGATACATTTATTTACGTCGCGATATGCAAATTCATGCGGTGTCGACGGTACCAGAAAGAGGCTACTAGTGCAGACACAATTGGTAACCGTGCTCGGAATGTGAAAAATGCGAAAAACAGCTCTGCGCATTCCGAGCAATGCTCTGAGCGCGCGAAAGTTGCTGTGTTCCCTCCACATTGTGAAACTCATACATTACCGGCCATTTGCAACCCGGGTTGTATTTCTGGAGCCTTTGATTGGCCAGCTGTACGGTATCAGCCACGATTCTGGCGGGTACGGCGCCCTAACAGCGGGGTGTTGTTCGCTACTTTAGTAGCGCATCCAGTAATAAATACTGCTATGTTTTGCTACCCGAACCCAATACAAAAATCTAGTGAGTGTAGCAAACTGTGACGGGGCACACAACACTTCTTCACAGAGGAAGCAGGAGTATACAAACTCCAAGTGAACAGCCGTTCACGTGTCCCTGGTCTGAAGGGGACGACTTGACTTGAAATGCGGTAGATCTAAGACTGAATGTATTTATAGGTTGGTACAGATTTGGCCTGCATACAAATCCTAAGTTCCCTATAGTTTGTGTCATACAAAATGTATCTGTTGGCTCCGAGGCCACTTGGGTCACTATCCAGGGGAGTGACCGATGTAGCCATCCCTTAATAGTGACAGAGTCACTATTCCATGTAACCCCGTTACATCCTCCCCCACTTAAAATCGATCTTATCGACCAATCAGAGCGAGGTTACGCCTGCGACTCACATTTCACTCGCAAAGTCGAAATCCATCGACAACGGCGCGAGCTCTGACGCCTCGTCTCCCGGGCCTCACAGAGCAACTGGCGCATCGCCGAGCAAGCCGCAGGGTCTCCACGTCGACCGGAAGCATGCCTCCAAAGCGCAGTGCGCGCAGTGCGAAATCACTTTCGAAACCGCGGGCCGTAGGGCCGAAGACCAGGGCGGCCAAGGCCAAGGACGAGTCGTCCACGCTGATGGAGGCCACGAAGGCGGCCGAGGAGGCGGTGCGCTCCCGTAGCAGCACGCCGGAGGGCGGGTGCCGGTCTCGGAGTCGGAGCAAGACTCCCGAGGCCACGCCAAGTGATGAGGGGAGCTCTCGGCCCCAGTCGGAGCAGGCCAAGCCGGCCTTCGACTGGTCGGCCAACATCAAGAACTGCACGCTGGTTGTGGATTCCGGTGAGAGCTCACCCGAGGGCAGCGACAACGCTGCCAAAGACGAAGCACTGGCGGCGAGCAGCACGCCCAGCTCTCCGCCCTTCCCGAAGGCTCCGTCCGAGAAGGAGGCCGAGGACGTCGAGTCCAGCGCCGGTGTCGGCGACAGCAAGCAGGCGGAAGAAGACGACGTCGTCATGGCCGACACGGAGGACATTGCCGAGAAGTCGTCGAGCGACGCGGGCTCCGAGCCCAAGGCGGTGTCGCCACCCAAGCATCTGACGCTGGCACAAGGTCGTGAGCGTGCCCAAGCGTCGAAGGCGGCTGCCGCTGCGAAGACCGAAGAGGCCAGGGCGAAGAAGCGTCCCGTTTCCAGGTCGCCTCGCGGTTCCAGCTCCAAGCTGTTCAGAGACTCGGAGTCTGAGGACGAGGAGGGTGCCGTCCATGAGCCCAAGGAGCTCTCCAACGACCTCGACGAGCAGCAGGAGCAGTACCACGCTGCTCGTTCGGGGGCACACGCCAGGCAGTCGGCTGCCGCGACTGCTGTCGAGTCTTCGTCAAGCGGTAGTGCCACGTATCCGCAGGGCTACTTCCCGCCCGAGCCTGGCACTGGTGCGCCGCACCCGGCTCCTCGTGGCCTTATCGGCGGGTACACCTCGAGGGGTTCCTATGAGCGTGCTCTTGTTGAGAAAGAGCCACTCTTTCTTGGCGACGTTGAAGTCGCCCGGTGTGTGCTACTAGCACCACACAAGCTCACACTGAAGGAGTTCACCACGCTTCGCAAGAAGCCGGAGGGCAAGGGTGGACTCCATCCTGTGTGGGGTTTCCACTGGGTCAAGCGAATGACAACATGACCTGGAGCGAGGTGGAAGACCTCTTCTGGCGCTACGTCCAACGCAAAGGGTATTCCGACCAAGAGTTCAAAGAACTTCGTGAGGATCGCACTCTGTCCGCAATCCTGGACGTGCGCGAGCTCCTCATCGAATTCGCTCAACTCGTGAGCAAGCGCAAGCTCCACTCGAAAACGGACGAGCTGAAGCAAGAGGCGAGAGCCAAAGCTCGTGAAGAGCGTGGGCGTGGTGCGACTACGTCTGCTACCGTGCCCCGGGTACCGGCCAAGAAGCCAAGGACTACTTACGAAGCTGCCGCTGCTTCTCGTCCCATATCTCAACAGCCTTCGGGCAGTCTGCCTGGAGCTGCTCAACGGGCTCCCACGAGTTATCCGACTCAGGGTAACCACTCCACTTTACGAGCAGCTGGCGCTTGCCATGGAGCCGCCGCTCCCGGACGACTCGTTCCACGTGGTAGTGGATTTGCCCATTACGATCAAGGAGGGCCGGCGGTGGCCTAGCACGGCCATGGCTACGAGCCTGAGGCGACGCAGCCGTATGCTGGGGCCCCGAGTCAGGTGGTGGCCCTGCAGCAAGAGGAGATTCGTCTTCTCCGGGACCGTGTGTACGTCCTCGAGATTGCGCTTGGTGTCGGTCTTGGCGGCGAGGCTGCCGCTCGTGCTGGTCAGCCTGGTGCCGTGGAGCGGCTTCGTGAGGATGTTGCCTCGCTCTATCAAGAAACTCGCAGTCTTCATGGCCGTGTGGATCGTCGAGCCGACCTGTCGTCTTACGACTCGCTGCGAAACCAGCTCGCTGGCCTTCGGGCCGAGCTTCATGGCCACGCGCCGTATCCGGAGCAGCAGCAGCCCCACTCGTATCAGGCCCAGTTTGGCCAGGGCTCGTACAGGGCCCCTGCGTATGCTGCTCCGATGTACGCCGCGCCGTCTTACGACCAGCGCGCGTATCAGGCGCCTTACCGCGACCCGACGCCGCGCTTCGAGGAGCTGCGCTCTTCTCCACCGGGCCACCCACCGCTTCCTGCGGGGCAGCCAGAGCCAGAGGGTCATGGTACCTCTTAAGACGACCCAAAGCGGTTTGCGTGTTGGAGTCGGCCTTGACCTTCCAGCGACGGTTGTCGAGACCACGAGAAGCTCGCTGTCAGTCTTGGGCAAGTCTGAATGTGGCTACATCCGGCAGGTATAACACTTATCGAGTAAGAACGAGAAGCATCTTTAGTTTTGTATGATTACTTATTTGCGTGAAGCAGGAAATTCCGGACGATTCCAGAAATAAGTAGGAATGGAATAAACCTAACCGTAATGAGCGACGATTGGATGAAAATAGGTAATTAAGCATCAAATGATAAGAAAAAAATCACTGATTGGCTACAGCGAGGTGGCAAGCTTTGCATAGGGGTCGGGTGTCCGGCCAAATACTACTTATCCTACAATAATTTATTGATAAGGGTAGCCTTGAAATCATTTTTTCTCGTAACCTGAGCGCCCGAGTCTGCTCAGTGTTGCGTGCGAGAAGCTGGAGGAGTAGGGGGTGGTCAAGAAGGTCGCCGAGATCGCCGAAATCAACGCTGCCACGTTTCGTCTCTACAAATAACATTGGGGTTGCAAATGGCCGGTAATGTATAAATACCAGCAGGGCGTGCAACCGGGTTTGCTACCGGGCGCTGATTGGCTAATTATAATGCCGCACGCTAGAAGGCAAGTTGAAGGCAAGTCAGGAGCACTAAGTAAATCTATGAACGGAGGCTAGGATGACCACCTCGCTTACGATCGGCGCGGAGGGCAGCCAAAATGCTCGAAACCGAAAGCTGTCTACCATACACAACGTACACTTTGTCGATCGCAGCATCGCTAGTCGAACGAGGTTCGCCACAACGTCCCAAAAGGCTTTTCTTCGAGAGTATGCGAACTTGTTCGCACCCCGCTCGATCGGCGTGAAGTTCTTTGCTGGCTTCAATCCACAGCAGCCGAACTGAAACTCGTGCCACAGCTCGAATAGATCCTTCGGTCGCTTTGATAGACGCGCAGTAGACACTTGTAGACGCGAAGGTGGGCTCGCTGCATTCGCCAGCGGCTCTGAAACAACTGTGACTGGGGTGTTTTCTCGTCTAATGACAGGCTGCATTGCGACGCGCCTCAATATCGCTTGAACCTTTTGCATCTCCCGCTGGGTTTCATGCCGTAATCGCTGCACTTCACTCATCACCTCCGCCATATATCGTCGTCCAGCAGCAAGCTGCGAGTGAAGAGCGGCAAACTCGCGGCGGGTACCCTCTCCTCCCGATCTTCTGCTAACCGGGTGAGGCCCTTGATGGCCCGAAACTACTGCGCTTTCGGGCTGGTCGTTGCTGTCACTGCTGTCAATAGTGATGAGACTCAGCTGGGAGCCATCGCCCAGGACGTAAAACTCCTCTCGTTCCACGGGATTCAGATCAGTGCTCCCGCCCGCATTCGTATAGGCTTGAACAATTTTCCGCTTGAGTTTGTCAGGAAGCAAAATATACTTGTAGTTGTCAGCAGGCTCCAGTGCCGCCCACAGTAACGGCAGCGCTAAAGTTTGTGCCACAGCCTCGCCCATAATCTGCTTGATCATCGGGGCAATCTCGTCCACTAGCAGCGCCAATGACACACAACCGATGTCATCTTTCAGTCTGTAGAAGCACGGACCTGCGGGTCCTGTTAGCGCTGCCGCTGTGCATGCGTCTGGGTATGGCTGTGTTATTGATATATGCATCGACCACACCCTTTCGCGTACGCCAGCACCCACGGCGATTCACAAAATCTTATGACATTCCGCATCGAGTAGCATACGTGGCCGCCCCCTTCCGAAGACTGTGTGTTCCGAGCTTGCCTGTCTTCATCTTCTTGAAGGCCGTGTCCTTCACGATATCCCCCAAAAAGCGACGCACGGTGCGATCACCGTCTTTCGGGTTGCCGTAAATGAACTCCGAGCTGGACACATTGGGGGTGGCCTCGATGTTGACCGCAATGTTGAGTAACACGCACATTTTGGGGTCCATACTTCCGAGTACTATTTGTTCAGGGGCGTCTCGCTCTTCATGAATGATTTTCGACCAGCGCATCTGGAACAGCAGCGTCGAAGGATATTGGCTGTTCGGCGAGATGTTGGCGAACTGCAACTTCATCATGTCATCTATGCGAGCCACGATATGCCACTGCAATGTCAGAACGCTGCTCACCATGATTGCCGTCTCAACCCGCCCCCACTTCGTACGCACGAGCAATAACAAGTTCATGAACTCGTCAAACTCGACGGAACGGCGAGCTTTGGACTCGGCTCCTTCTCGGCGAACCTCAAACTTCTTCACTCTCTTGATGAGCTTGTTGACAGCGTCGGAGCGAGTAGGATTGTCACGCTGTGTAACAGGATCCCACGTCGAATTTACGCGAGGCATGACGGTTGAGATGGCCTTCTTGGAGAACTCTAGCGTGCTTGAACGGCGATGGACAGGTCTCATGTCGTCGCTTGGTTCTGGACTCCCGTACGTCAGCTCGTTCATCCAGCGGCAAACGTGGTCTGGTGTGATGTCGAGGAGCTCCTCCATGGAGAAGGTGTGATCGCTGCTGTAGTTGACGCCGTTCTTGTACGTCATGAACTTCACGAGCTTCGGCTTATAGCGTGCTGTCATGGTGAAGACTCTTGTCGAACTACTTCGGGTTGCAACCTTTCGCTTTAGTTATACTTCATAGCCATTCCTAATGTCTATTAGCCCATGTATTATACATTGTACTTAGGCTTTGTATTACGGCTTTTCGCTGCGTCTGTTTGCTACCCTCACTGGATTTTTGTATCGGGTTCGGGTAGCAAAACATAGCAGTATTTACTACTGGATGCGCTACTAAAGTAGTGAACAACACCCCGCTGTTAGGGCGCCGTACCAGCCAGAATCGTGGATGATACCGTACAGCTGACCAATCATAGGCTGGAGATCTCCAGAAATACAACCCGGATTGCAAATGGCCGGTAATGTATGAGTTTCACAATATGGAGGGAACACAGCAACTTTCGCGCGCTCAGAGCATTGTTCGGAATGCGCAGAGCTGTTTTTCACATTTTCGCATTCCGAGCACGGTTACCAATTGTGTCTGCACTAGTAGCCTCTTTCTGGTACCTAAATATGCATCTTCTCGGAGAAATCCAGTTATAGGTACATTCTTAGGGGCCGCGCCTGTTGAAAAGCTCGTTCCGATTGGTTTTGCTATATTTGCCCACTCTGCATTTCGCAAGTTCTAGCCATAGCGACCAACGAACAAGACAAGTATCAGCGTAGCAAGCACCACTTGCAAAGGAGTTCATTCGCAGGTTAGGAGGGCAAGTCGTAGACTTGTTGAGGCGCCCCCTGGGTGTGGTCGAGGTGGGTAGCGCGCGAGAACCGTCGCTTGAGCGCGCAAATCTGCGAATAACTGCCCGAATAGTAACTACTCCACTAACCCTATCCTATCACTACAATTCTCTATCCTATTCGGTCAATCGTAATTTGGTCACTCCTGGTCCATCGTTGTCCCAGGTCGGCGTCAGGAAATGTCACGCGAACACAATAATGCCACTCGAATACAGCGAACTCAAGCGGAGTCTTGCCACCAAGCAGCCGGGCAGCATCGTGAACAGTAACGGGAGAGAATACATCGATAGTGAAATCAGGCGCAGCCGAAGATTCGTTGGCTTGGGGGTCCGTCTCGACGAGATCTGTTGACTTGGGGTCTTTCTCGACGTGGTAGTGCATGAACCATCGTTCTTGAAAGCTTCCAGTTGAGACGCAGCTCAGGGAGAGGAGGGTAGCGAGAGGCGAAATCCTGACGTCATGGCTCGGGCATCCGCAGGCGTGAAAGCCGTTTTAGCAGCACTTCCACTTGCAAAGACCATGGCCGTGTCGCTGGCGCTGGTCCTGTTAAAAATTGCAAATACCAGTTAGTTGGCACAATGTGAACCCCAATGACGTACGTGTATGTGCGGTGGGGCCAACGTGGTCGTCGATGCCGTGGTGTTGGCAGTATGGGCTATCTTGTTGTCGGCCGGATACCATGAGGACAGGGCTCGTGCTGCTGTCATGTCCGCTGGCGACGGATCGTGTTCGATGGTCGTGGATGACCATGCTCGCAGGCCCTGGATGACAGGAAGTCTCGTGGGCGTTCAGCATTGGAAAGCCTGGGCTCGTGCTGCGGTCTTGCTGCTGCTAAGTGCGATGGTCGGGACTGCGTTTGGTCAGTGACCACGTGGCCGTCGTGGCATCATGTTCGATGGCCAGAGCTCACGCTGCTGTCCTGCTCGAAGGTCACGGCTCGAGGTTCGATAGGTGTAGATGGACATGCTCGATGGTAGGAGGTCGTGCTGGTATGGGCATGTTCGCCGGTTGTGCATGGGCAGGTAGACTCGCCATCGTGGAGGACTGTGGCCATGCTGCTGTCATGCAGCTGTCGTACTGCTGGGTGACTCAGTGGTCGTGACTGAATATGATCGGTGATCGCTGGGACGTAGTAACTACTCCACTAACCCTATCCTATCACTACAATTCTCTATCCTATTCGGTCAATCGTAATTTGGTCACTCCTGGTCCATCGTTGTCCCAGGTCGGCGTCAGGAAATGTCACGCGAACACAATAATGCCACTCGAATACAGCGAACTCAAGCGGAGTCTTGCCACCAAGCAGCCGGGCAGCATCGTGAACAGTAACGGGAGAGAATACATCGATAGTGAAATCAGGCGCAGCCGAAGATTCGTTGGCTTGGGGGTCCGTCTCGACGAGATCTGTTGACTTGGGGTCTTTCTCGACGTGGTAGTGCATGAACCATCGTTCTTGAAAGCTTCCAGTTGAGACGCAGCTCAGGGAGAGGAGGGTAGCGAGAGGCGAAATCCTGACGTCATGGCTCGGGCATCCGCAGGCGTGAAAGCCGTTTTAGCAGCACTTCCACTTGCAAAGACCATGGCCGTGTCGCTGGCGCTGGTCCTGTTAAAAATTGCAAATACCAGTTAGTTGGCACAATGTGAACCCCAATGACGTACGTGTATGTGCGGTGGGGCCAACGTGGTCGTCGATGCCGTGGTGTTGGCAGTATGGGCTATCTTGTTGTCGGCCGGATACCATGAGGACAGGGCTCGTGCTGCTGTCATGTCCGCTGGCGACGGATCGTGTTCGATGGTCGTGGATGACCATGCTCGCAGGCCCTGGATGACAGGAAGTCTCGTGGGCGTTCAGCATTGGAAAGCCTGGGCTCGTGCTGCGGTCTTGCTGCTGCTAAGTGCGATGGTCGGGACTGCGTTTGGTCAGTGACCACGTGGCCGTCGTGGCATCATGTTCGATGGCCAGAGCTCACGCTGCTGTCCTGCTCGAAGGTCACGGCTCGAGGTTCGATAGGTGTAGATGGACATGCTCGATGGTAGGAGGTCGTGCTGGTATGGGCATGTTCGCCGGTTGTGCATGGACAGGTAGACTCGCCATCGTGGAGGACTGTGGCCATGCTGCTGTCATGCAGCTGTCGTACTGCTGGGTGACTCAGTGGTCGTGACTGAATATGATCGGTGATCGCTGGGACGTAGTAACTACTCCACTAACCCTATCCTATCACTACAATTCTCTATCCTATTCGGTCAATCGTAATTTGGTCACTCCTGGTCCATCGTTGTCCCAGGTCGGCGTCAGGAAATGTCACGCGAACACAATAATGCCACTCGAATACAGCGAACTCAAGCGGAGTCTTGCCACCAAGCAGCCGGGCAGCATCGTGAACAGTAACGGGAGAGAATACATCGATAGTGAAATCAGGCGCAGCCGAAGATTCGTTGGCTTGGGGGTCCGTCTCGACGAGATCTGTTGACTTGGGGTCTTTCTCGACGTGGTAGTGCATGAACCATCGTTCTTGAAAGCTTCCAGTTGAGACGCAGCTCAGGGAGAGGAGGGTAGCGAGAGGCGAAATCCTGACGTCATGGCTCGGGCATCCGCAGGCGTGAAAGCCGTTTTAGCAGCACTTCCACTTGCAAAGACCATGGCCGTGTCGCTGGCACTGGTCCTGTTAAAAATTGCAAATACCAGTTAGTTGGCACAATGTGAACCCCAATGACGTACGTGTATGTGCGGTGGGGCCAACGTGGTCGTCGATGCCGTGGTGTTGGCAGTATGGGCTATCTTGTTGTCGGCCGGATACCATGAGGACAGGGCTCGTGCTGCTGTCATGTCCGCTGGCGACGGATCGTGTTCGATGGTCGTGGATGACCATGCTCGCAGGCCCTGGATGACAGGAAGTCTCGTGGGCGTTCAGCATTGGAAAGCCTGGGCTCGTGCTGCGGTCTTGCTGCTGCTAAGTGCGATGGTCGGGACTGGGTTTGGTCAGTGACCACGTGGCCGTCGTGGCATCATGTTCGATGGCCAGAGCTCACGCTGCTGTCCTGCTCGAAGGTCACGGCTCGAGGTTCGATAGGTGTAGATGGACATGCTCGATGGTAGGAGGTCGTGCTGGTATGGGCATGTTCGCCGGTTGTGCATGGACAGGTAGACTCGCCATCGTGGAGGACTGTGGCCATGCTGCTGTCATGCAGCTGTCGTACTGCTGGGTGACTCAGTGGTCGTGACTGAATATGATCGGCGATCGCTGGGACGTAGTAACTACTCCACTAACCCTATCCTATCACTACAATTCTCTATCCTATTCGGTCAATCGTAATTTGGTCACTCCTGGTCCATCGTTGTCCCAGGTCGGCGTCAGGAAATGTCACGCGAACACAATAATGCCACTCGAATACAGCGAACTCAAGCGGAGTCTTGCCACCAAGCAGCCGGGCAGCATCGTGAACAGTAACGGGAGAGAATACATCGATAGTGAAATCAGGCGCAGCCGAAGATTCGTTGGCTTGGGGGTCCGTCTCGACGAGATCTGTTGACTTGGGGTCTTTCTCGACGTGGTAGTGCATGAACCATCGTTCTTGAAAGCTTCCAGTTGAGACGCAGCTCAGGGAGAGGAGGGTAGCGAGAGGCGAAATCCTGACGTCATGGCTCGGGCATCCGCAGGCGTGAAAGCCGTTTTAGCAGCACTTCCACTTGCAAAGACCATGGCCGTGTCGCTGGCGCTGGTCCTGTTAAAAATTGCAAATACCAGTTAGTTGGCACAATGTGAACCCCAATGACGTACGTGTATGTGCGGTGGGGCCAACGTGGTCGTCGATGCCGTGGTGTTGGCAGTATGGGCTATCTTGTTGTCGGCCGGATACCATGAGGACAGGGCTCGTGCTGCTGTCATGTCCGCTGGCGACGGATCGTGTTCGATGGTCGTGGATGACCATGCTCGCAGGCCCTGGATGACAGGAAGTCTTGTGGGCGTTCAGCATTGGAAAGCCTGGGCTCGTGCTGCGGTCTTGCTGCTGCTAAGTGCGATGGTCGGGACTGGGTTTGGTCAGTGACCACGTGGCCGTCGTGGCATCATGTTCGATGGCCAGAGCTCACGCTGCTGTCCTGCTCGAAGGTCACGGCTCGAGGTTCGATAGGTGTAGATGGACATGCTCGATGGTAGGAGGTCGTGCTGGTATGGGCATGTTCACCGGTTGTGCATGGGCAGGTAGACTCGCCATCGTGGAGGACTGTGGCCATGCTGCTGTCATGCAGCTGTCGTACTGCTGGGTGACTCAGTGGTCGTGACTGAATATGATCGGTGATCGCTGGGACGTAGTAACTACTCCACTAACCCTATCCTATCGCTACAATTCTCTATCCTGTTCGGTCAATCGTAATTTGGTCACTCCTGGTCCATCGTTGTCCCAGGTCGACGTGCCGAAGCAGAGACCTGCCGTTTGAAAACCCCGATATCCATCTAGGATATCATTACATTTCCACTCGCAAGATATCTGTAAGTAGCCACGCCGAGAAAGTGAAGCTCCTCAGCTCATATCCATTTTCCGGTAAGGAGCTTGCCACATTGTCATCTTCCAAAACGATCTTCATGGGGGCAAAGGAGTTCATTCGCAGGTTAGGAGCAAATTGCCTGGCAAATCGTAGCCTTGTTGAGGCGCCCCAAGAGTAGGAAGTAGGTGGCGACTTCCTGCGAATGAACCGGTCTGGCAACATCGCGATGCATGATAGCGTGTGCGCGCTGGGGCCCCCAAGGTTGCGTAACACGCACATTTTGGGGTCCATACTTCCGAGTACTATTTGTTCAGGGGCGTCTTGCTCTTCATGAATGTTTTTCGACCAGTGCATCTGGAACAGCAGCGTCGAAGGATATTGGCTGTTTGGCGAGATGTTGGCGAACTGCAACTTCATCATGTCATCTATGCGCGCCACGATATGCCACTGCAATGTCAGAACGCTGCTCACCATGATTGCCGTCTCAACCCGCCCTCACTTCGTACGCACGAGCAATAACAAGTTCGTGAACTCGTCAAACTCGACGGAACGGCGAGCTTTGGACTCGGCTCCTTCTCGGCGAACCTCAAACTTCTTCACTCTCTTGATGAGCTTGTTGACAGCGTCGGAGCGAGTAGGATTGTCACGCTGTGTAACAGGATCCCACGTCGAATTTACGCGAGGCATGACGGTTGAGATGGCCTTCTTGGAGAACTCTAGCGTGCTTGAACGGCGATGGACAGGTCTCATGTCGTCGCTTGGTTCTGGACTCCCGTACGTCAGCTCGTTCATCCAGCGGCAAACGTGGTCTGGTGTGATGTCGAGGAGCTCCTCCATGGAGAAGGTGTGATCGCTGCTGTAGTTGACGCCGTTCTTGTACGTCATGAACTTCACGAGCTTCGGCTTATAGCGTGCTGTCATGGTGAAGACTGCTTCGGGTTGCAACCTTTTGCTTTACTTAGGCTTTGTATTACGGCTTTTCGCTGCGTCTGTTTGTGTAACGGGGTTACATGGAATAGTGACCCTGTCACTATTCAGGGATGGCTACATCTGTCACTCCCCTGGATAGTGACCCAAGTGGCCTCAGAGCCAACAGATACATTTTGTATGGCACAAACTATAGGGAACTTAGGATTTGTATGCAGGCCAAATCTGTACCAGCCTATAAATACATTCAGGCTTAGATCTACCGCTTTTCAAGTCAAGTCGTACCCTTCAGACCAGGGACACGTGAACGGCTGTTCACTTGGAGTTTGTATACTCCTGCTTCCTCTGTTAAGAAGTGCTGTGCCCCGTCACACTTGGTAGCACTTGTAGTCAATCTTACGCCTACGCGGGTAGATTGGACTACCTGAATCCTCTGTGGTCTCATCGAGTGAGCCAAGATGGATCGTACGGAGTTTCCCCATCTGAACGACTCGCAGTACGAGTCCGTTCGTAAGATGGCAGGCATCTTTGGGACAGATGCCCTGCGTAGCTTAGCGGCGGCGACGCCGGCTGAGCAGGTTGAGCGTATCAACGCGTTCGACACCTACGAGCGAGGGCTCATCGCCCACGTTCAAGGGCTGCAGGCCACTGCGGCCGCGTCGAAGCCGGTGCAACCGAAGCTCCTGCGGCTGAAGGTTCACCCCTTCGAAGGGAAGGAAGGAGAAAACCTTCACTTCTGGGTTCGAGAGGTTGAGCTCGCGATGGACGCGGCTCTCGTCTCGGACGAGCGACTCCGTGTCGCCTTTGCGCTCTCCAACTTTAGTGGTCGCCCTAAGAGTTGGGCGTATACGCGCGAAGCGACGACGCCTGGATGCTCCGCATCATGGTCCCAGCTGTGCGAGCAGCTGCGAGCCGCGTTTCTTCCGGCGAATTACGCGTACCGCCAGCGTTCGCGCTTCCTCGCCTGCAAACAAGGAAGGCGCGAGCTGCATGAGTACATCCAGGAGATGCGAGTTCTCACTGCCTCTTTGGTGGGGAACCCCCTGCCTGAACACATCAAGGTGACCGTGTTCATGGACGGTCTGCGTGTTGGTCCTGCCCGCACGCAACTGTTCCGTGTGCAAGCAAACACTATGGAGGAGGCGATTCGGATCGCCCTCCAGGAGGAGTACAGCCACAAGCAGGCTCGTACCCCCGCCACGGTATGGCAGAGCAACCCTGCCTCTGGTGGTGCGCCTAATGGTAACTCCGGCAATGGAGCGATCAACGGGCCGGTTCCCATGGATCTGGGCATGGCCGAGCAGAGCTACATTCGCTGCTACGGCTGTGGCAAGCTTGGGCACATGAAACGTGCTTGTCCCGCGGGAGGACTGAAGAAGAAGTTCTCTTCGAAGCCCTTTGGCTCTAGGGGTCGCTGGCAGAAGCCGCGCCCCAGGAACCAGGGGAATGCCGGACACCAGTAGGGGCGGGGCGCCCTACTGGGGAAACACTAAGTCTTCATGAGGGGCGTGCGGGTGGCGCACGCCATGGGGACTTAGCCCCTGAGAGTCTCTGTACTCTCGAAGCGGAGAAGGGCAGCGGTGGGCTGCTTGTGGTGCACGCGAGTGTACCGGGATACGATCATCCCTTGAGAATCTTGATCGACTCTGGGGCGTCCAAGAACTTTGCGCGCCGCCAGACTGTCGCACGCAATCGCGACAAGTACGCCGATGCGCTACGAGGCAGCAAAGGCAACGGACTGGTCTCGGTAAGACTACGGTGGTAGAAGTACCTCGGGTCCACATGGACCTCACTGTCAAGTTCGAGGACTTCGACAGCACGGAGCCGTTCTTGGTCCTAGACATGGACAAGTACGACTTGATCCTTGGCATGCCGTGGCTGGAGAAACACGAGCCTTGGATCGACTGGCGCGGCAAGGCCATCGGGGCCAGCCGTTCCCCACGCTCTGACAGAGCTTTGGTGAGTCATGTTCCCACCTCTGGCAGCAGCTGGGGCGCCCGCGAGGGCCGCCAGGGCGCAGCAGCGTCTAATGAGTTCTTAGGGTCCGTCGAGACTGACGACGACCCCGACCGGGCCGGACAAGGCCTGAGAGTGGAGGTGCCGGACAGCACCTACCAGGTGGGTAACGTAGGTCCACACGCGGGTAACAAAGTACCGCAGGCAGCAAGGGCTGCTGGAGAAGGCGCCGCTGGCGTTGGCGTGGGTAACCAAGTTCCACGCGAGGTCACTCAGACCGTAACTGATGAGGAAGGCACTGCAGTCGCTTCCGATGTGGGTAACATAGTTCCACAGGAGGTCACTCAGACCATAACTGATGCGGGAGTCGCTGGAAGCGCTCCTGGTGTGGGTAACCAAGTTCCACACGGCGAGGTGGGTAACATAGTTCCACCCAGCAAGACGGGTAACCAAGTTCCGCTCAAGAACAAGGCGGGTAACCAAGTCCCGCTCAAGGACAAGGCGGGTAACGTAGTTCCGCACGAGATCGAGAAGATCGGTGGTGCCGTCAAGGCGGCGCCACGAGACGAAGACACCCGAGGGTCACGTCGTAAGCCGGGCCTTCGTGTGGCCGACGACGCCAGTCGCCAGCGACTCCGAGCCTCCAGACAAGACAGGAGCTGTCGAGCTTACAGCTCTGTCCGAGGTTTCAGAGTTGCTGAACCTTGAGGAGCTCGCCATGGAGGACTTTTTGGCCGAGCTAAAGGCCGGGGATATCGCAGAGTTGGTTCTCCTCCGACCGGAGTCCACGTCGGCCGAGTTGAACTCGTCCTCGGGCATGGACCAGGAAGTCCTGGAGGAGTTCCAGAGACAGCGCGCGTCGCGCATGGGCTCTGAGATTCTTAAGAACCCCCGGGACCCGGTGTACCCCTTGGTGAAGGAGTTCGAGAACGTGGTGTCCATGGATCCACCGTCCAATCTCCCTCCGGACAGGGGAATCAGGCACGAGATCGATCTCGTGCCGGGCACGAAGTACTGTGTCACGAGGCAATGGCCTCTTCCCCGGGAGCAGTGTGAAGTCATTGATGCCTTCTTTGCCGCCAAGGCGAAGGCAGGCATGGTGCGGGAGTCGAAGTCCCCGCACTCGACGCCTACTTTCTGTGTTCGCAAACCGAACGGAAAGTGGCGTCTGGTTCATGCTTATAACAAGCTGAACAGCGCGACAGTGCCTGCGGAGACACCGATCCCGCGCAAGGACGTGTTGCTCAACAACATGGCCGGCTGCACGCTGTATAGCGCGCTGGACCTGGTGGACGGATACTACCAGATCCTGATGCGCGAGAGCGACATCCCACTCACGGCTGTGAGCACGCCGAGCGGTATGCTCTGGGAGTGGCTGGTCATGCCTCAGGGGCTTTCTAACGCCCCGGCAACGTTCAATCGCTTGATCACACAACTGTTCTGACCTTTGCGTGTGTTCGCACAGACGTACTTTGACGACATCTTCGTCCACAGCCGTGCCGAGGCAGGCCAGACGGCCATGGAGGTGCATCTCCAGCACCTTCGACGTGTGTTCGAAGTCGTGCGGGCGAACAAGCTGTACGCCAACATCTGTTCGCAGCTGAGGAGATCAAGGTCCTGGGCTGCTTCGTCAGCAGCGCCGGGGTCCGGGCGGACCCGGAGAAGGTGAAAACCATCGCGGCTTGGCCGCCACCTCGGTCGCAGAAGGACCTACGACAGTGGTTGGGCCTCGCTAACTACCTGCACAAGTATAGTGCAGGCTACGCCGAGCTGGCAAGGCCCTTATCGGATCTCCTGAAGAAGGATGTCGACTGGCGCTGGGAGCGTCGCCATCAAGATGCTTTTAACGACATCAAAGCGAGCTTACAGCGCGCGCCAGTCCTGGCATTGCCGGACGAGACGAAGCCTTTCAGCGTAGTCTGTGATGCGTCTGACTACGCAATTGGCTGTGCGTTATTGCAGGCCGACGATGAAGGCCGCGAACGGGTCATCTTGTTCCAGTCCAGGCAGCTCAAGGCAGCCGAACGGAACTGTCCAATCCACGACAAGGAGCTACTTGCCATGAAGTACGCTCTTGTCAAGTTCCGAGTGCACCTCCTGGGCTCGACGCCCTTTGTCGTTTATACAGACCACGCGTCCTTGCGGACTGCCGTCAACATGCCGCATCTCTCACAGCGGATGGAGCGTTGGCTGTCATTCTTCGCGGAATACAACTTCCGTGTCGAGTACAAGCCGGGCAAGTTGGACGTGCTTGCCGACGCGCTGCCGCGCCGACCCGACTACGAGCTTGCTCATATTAGTCGGGTCACGACGGATCTGTATGATCGCATACCGAGACGATGCCAATCTCGGACCTCTTTTTTGCGGTTCTTGGCCGCTGGCTCGGAAGCCAAGGTCGAGTGGCTCACGCCCCGACAACGTGCAAGGCTGCACCGTGTGCGGGTCGCGTCATCGCTCCGACCTCGCTGCTCACCGCCTTCGCCGGCACCGTCTCCTTCGTCTCGGGCGGCGGACGCCGCTTGGAGCGGGCGACACTGACGGCCGAACTGATAGCAGCAGCGGTGCCAACGGCATCCGCGGCCAGGCCGTTCACTTTGCTGCCGTCGAGAGCGACGTGGTTTGACGTCACGGTCGTGTCCCTCGTCACCTCCGTGGTCCTCAGTCGGCCGCACTTCACTCAACGCGCAGCCCCGCTTGTCGCCGTATGCGCCTCATGCTTCTCCGTCTCCTCTTCCTCCTTCTCACGTGCCTAATCTTTGCCCGGCACCACCGCCCCGTGCGCGCACTACTCCTGTAGCGCCTCCTGCCTCACATCGCGCTCGCTATGCGCTGCTTGCGCATCGGCATCTGCCGCGTCGCCTCCATGGCGTACAGCTCGGCCTCGACGGAGAGGCTCCTAGGGCCGCACGGCGTCACTCAGCGTCTCGAAGCGACTGAGCATCCACTCGTCGTGCCCGCCTCCTCCTTATGCTCGCGCGGTCACATCCAGCTCGCCCGCTGGAGCGCCTCCTGACGGCACGGCGCTCTGCGCGTTCTTCCTCGCGATCACGCGGAAGCTGTGGCCACCGCCGATCACCGCTTCCGTGTCGCCGTGGTGGGGCACAACAGCATCTACGCCCACGGCGCACCGTGACCTGTCTTCTTCCTCGCGCTCCAGTCCTCTGCCATGCACTCCTAGCCGCTTGCCATCCGTCCCTGCGTCGTGCTTAAAAAAAACTGAACCGAGATATTTACAAATTGTAAATTACAATAGCCCGATTTTCATACCTTACTATCGCTGTCCGGAATGAATAAGTGGGCGCTGATTGGCACAAGTGATTTTATGTTTCGCCAGTGTGTCTCTATTGCAGGTTTGACAGGTTTCCGGATTCCGGTCCGGAATCTGGCAATTACTGCTGTTTCTTCGGTGCATACAAATATCAAGTGTGTAGATTTGAGTATTTGTTTCCTTCAATTGACAATATACATCGACTAAAACTACGGTGAGTATATTATTCGGCATCAGGACCTGAGGTTGTACACAACTTCGCCTTCCCTTTTTTTTACTTTTCGAGGCTTCGTATCGCCCATCTGCAGTTGGCTGGAGTCCCCATTCTTACCTGCGGACTTCAGTTCCTGTATTAACTTACTTAGGGCAATGACATAGGTGGTCCACCGGTGTGATCGGTATTCCCAAATCATTTTTTAGAGTAGAGAGTCGAGCTGGAATCGGGCACGCTCCACTCTATTGCTAATGGAACAACGATATCATTGTGCTCAGGCATTCGGGCCGTATCGCTTTCCAAGAGGCTTCGCGCCGCAAGCAAGAGGCTCTGTGTTCAAATTTAAAAGCTTTGGAAAAACACAACAACAGCAATGCCAGCAGTCTGCTGGAAGCAGATTTCTATGATGCACTCAAGTTTCATTGCACTTGATTCGCAGGACCGTATTAGACGGAGCAACTCTATCTCTATTCAGCGCTTTAATTTACTAGAGTACACATACGGTATGATCAAAATTTACGCCATGAACGAAATGGATACATAGTATAGTATATATTACTTCACGAAGTATAGTACTTCGTGAAGTAATATACACAGCCGAAATTTGCTCAATCTCAGCCGCTTCCTATTCCACGCGGACAGCGCGACACTTTTCCGACGGGGTCGACCACAACAGGCTCTCCATGCAGGCTTCGGTGCGAAGAGCTCAAGCTGGAGCTGGGCAAGGCGCAGCCATTCGTGCCACCAAGAAGCAGCGACGCGAGTCCGAAGACGACGAGCTGGTACTCTCAACTCGCGATGGGCCATCGAGCAGCAAGACGAAGCTTCGACTGACCGCCACGCACAAACTCCGTCTGATGCGAGCGCAGGTTACGGCCACTGAGTACGAGCTCCGCTGTCTCCAGTCCAAGTGGGCCAAGCACATCCCGGACGCGCGCACACGGGTCATGGCTCAACGCTGCGCCTTGGAGAAGTACGCGGCCAAACAGAGCAACGAAGAGCACCGAGAGCTCAAAGAGCTGTATCAAAAGCACCAGTTTCTGCTGGCCTCGCTACAGACGGCCGTCCTGCGAAATACCCTGCAGTCCAGCGGCAGTGACATACTCAAGGAGCTCCATTTCGACACGCGGCTAGGCCGCGACCCAGAGCAGCGCAAGCGGATGCTGATAGAACACAACAGACGATCGTCTGCGACGGTGCCTTCCATCGTGGAGAAGTTCTCGCAAATGGCCATCGACGCGAAGCAGAAGGAGACTGGTAAGGCGATGCTGCCGCTGTCTCAAATCAGCGTAACCGGCTGCGCGGACTGCACGCTGGTGTCGAGCGTCTTCGTGTCGGAAATCCCGCACCCATCGCTCGAGGAAGTGTTCGCGGCTGCGCGGTCGTACTTCGAGACGTTTCCTGCCATGATCAAGCACCACTTTGGGGCCGAGGCAAGCGTGGAAACGTTGGACAGAGTTAACGCGCCGGTGACGTACGCGCGGCTAAACTACGACGGAGCGACGAATAGGCAACTGCCTGCAAGTGTGAACCATGTCGGATGCTTTGAACTGACACCAAACTACGGCATGATCTTCATGGATGCCATCACGGAGGACGCGTTGTATCCGGTGCCGAGTACGAATGCGCTGCAGTACGGGATGTGTGCTCTCACAGTCACGCCCCTCAGGGACCCGAGCATTGGCAAGACCGTGTCCGTGAGGCTGCGCTGGGTTGTGTTGTACCGCTACAAGTTGTCACCAAGCGACCCTGCACTCAAGAACGACCTGGAGACCAACCGCCCCATTTTTAATGGCGATCTGATCACGTCCGCTATCTGTAGTTACCTGCAAGGGCAACAATCGCAAAGGTAGCACCGCAAGCAGTCATCAATTATATGCGCAAACTGTAACCTACAATTCCATTGTGTACTGATTCCCCTGCTTCGTGATAAGCGCACTTAAGCTTGCAGTATGAACATTGCTTCCTTTGGCGTTTGCGGGAATATCAGGCTGAGAGTTATTACTCTGAGAATCAAGTCTTGCAACGTCGGGGATGCCACTCCCTTGAGCTTGATCGCGAAAAAAACAGCTCACTTGCGGCGCTATCCAGAAAGTAATGTTCATCAGTGTCGAGCATCTTCTCTCGTAGGTTTCTTATACACCATTGAAAATACTATGAAGTTTGTACAAGACTCTTTACTTAAAATACTATGAAGTTTGTACAAGACTCTTTACTTAGTACCGTACCTCACACAAAGATTACTTTGGGTGTAGCGCGTTTGGCACTCTTGTTGCCATTTGCTAGAAAGGCAAATATGCATTCTTCATGTTAAAATGTAGCTCCGTCATTTCAAAAGCTAGAAAATGATCTACTCAAGGCTCAGCTGTCTGACTCAAGAGGAGGGAATTGTAAACCTCGTTGGCTTGCAGTTGGCCCATGTGCTCTTGGAAAAGCTCGTTATCCCCTTGGTTCCCGACGTCGTAAGTTACGACTTTGCCGAATCTCAATGTCGTATAATACGACATAGCTCGATTAACAATAGCATTTGGCTCGAAACGAGATTGCAATACTTTAATCAAGTCTATTTTCGTCGGCAAAAGTATAAGCAAGAGAGGTAAAAATCAGAATTGCACAAAAACACGGATATAGAGCTGTCATCAGAGATGGGTTGTGCATAAGCCGGGGCTGGCTAATGGGACATTTTGTATAGAGAAAGACGAGCATCCCCTTTTAACCCCTTCGTGAGCAAGTCACTAAGTATACTATACAAACTCAAGGTACTTGAAAATCAAAGGGGGCATTCTGCTCCGTTCGAGCATGTAGCCATCCCTGCCTCTTGTTGGGTACACAAATGGAACAGGGCAAAATGCCAGGACAAACCTTGCGTCTTGATAGGCCAAAACAAAATCTTTATGGAGGGTCGCCTCGCTGAAAGGGCGCAAGCCTCACGCGATTGACTGGGGTTGCAGAGGAAACGGCACCTTGCTTCGACGGAAGCTGATCTGGAAAGAGTTGGACTACGAATATCTTCGCTATATCTTACGAGGGATGCGCTTGTTTGAAAGTATCCGAAGGTGTCGTCGAAGGTAGTGCCAGGTTGGCATGCACGTTGTAGTGGGTACATGTAAAACAAGTAAAAGGCGCTTGTTGTACATGTAAAAGCTTTCTGCCAGGTGGGGCGACCGAAGGCCACGATGTTGCCGTGTCAGGCTCTATTGGTAACATTGATGAACTTGAGCGAGCCCTTATCCTGAAGTCTACGCTACTCAGTGTGGATTACGGTTGGTCAACAGCTGCGATGAGTTGAACGCCCGTACGTTGGAGATCGACTGAACGAACCTGACCTGTTAGGGGATACACCTCCTGCGCCGCTCAAGCCTGTGCAAACGTCGACAACGATCCGTCCATCCGACGGTACAGCTCCCGCTAAGCTTGCACGTCTTCACGCAGCTCGTGTGGGCATGCTCCAAGCCGATATTTTCAGGGCATGACCTATCCATATAATATCAAATCTACTACTATTTGTGCTGTAAAGCTTGAATTTCTGCTGAACACCACTCGGTCATGTACACTAACACTGCTGTGTTGCGTCATGGTGGGAAACGGTGCCGACGTCGGATACTATGAATATACATGTACTTCAATGTGGGCACTCAGTAGAGAACTGGTGCCAAGCAAGCAATATTTGTACGATCCAAACTTCTACGTATCATTTTCATTCACATTTACCAGATTTTTGCCTAATACCATTGCGCTCAATAGTAAATCTACCACTCTCACGACCCAAAGCATGTTGGTAAGAGTGAAGCACCATGTCGCCATTGCTGAAGCACGATGTTGGCGTAGGGTTCGAGTAGCGTCCCATCCATGCTATCGTCGAGCGTGGCGTCTGTATCTAGGTTCGGCATCATGCCCCCCTTGCGGTCGTCAACCGTGGCGTCCGATCAGCGTGCCCACCTTGCCAGCTCCGAGCATGGCGTCCAGGTCAGGGTCCGGCATCATGCCCTCCCAGCGTGCCGACCGAGCGTGGCATCCACGTCGGGGTACACAAACGTGCCGACCATGCCGTGGTCGCGCGTGGCGTCCACGCCGGGTTCCGCCATCGTGCCGTCGAGCGTGGCGTCCTTGTCGGGGTCCGGTAGCATGCCGACAGTGCAGTTGTCCAGCGTGGCGTCAACGCCGGGGTCTGGCAGCGTGCCCGTCGCGCAGTTGTCCAGTGTGGCGTCAAGTAGCATGCCGACAGTGCAGTTGTCCAGCGTGGCGTCCACGTCGGGTCCGGCAGCGTGTCGACAGTGCAGTTGTCCAGCGTGGCGTCCACGTCGGGTCCGGCAGCGTGCCGTCCGTGCTGGCGTCGAGCGTGGCGTCCGTGTCGGGGTTCGGCAGCATGCTCTCCGTGCCGTCAGCGTGGCGGGCTGCAGGTATTTTACAAAACTACGTGACTAATGTTTCATTTGTAGGCACTGGGTCGGGATGACCACAAAACGCATACCTATCGGCGTCGGTGGCGACGGGCGAGTCCGACCCAACGACACTAATCCCAAGCAATAATGGGTTTATTAGCATATAAGAATGGAAGTCTGGCTGCGCTGCGGTCAAGACTCGCAACTTCATAGAAAGAGGTGCTAGTCTTTCGAAGTAAGTGATTTGGTAACCAGGTTGGACCAGAAGAACCGCTGTACACGTCTCTGCGATGTTGCATAGCGCGGAAATGCCAATCGGGTTGCGCTAACCTGAGTAGTCACAACCTGCTCATGTTAGCGCAACTCGGCTGACATGATCGCGCGGTTTAGGTACCCACGGGATGCCAATCTAGACTAAAAAGTAAGTAGGGGTTTGGTGGGCATCATAAGATCACCAAATCACGATGCCCACAACGGTGTAGACCTCAGCTAAGTAGCCATCGTGATGACTACGACATCAGACGGCTAACACAGGTTTATACGCGATTGATACGCATTGTTTCAGATTTGAATTTAATCTGTACTGATTGAGTACGTAATCCTGAGTACATAGTAAGTTGGTATAGCGGGCATGATTGGCCCTTCCACCAAGCGCTACGGTCACATTAATGCAGTGTTCTCACAGCGCTACGTCGGTCACAACTGCCCCGAGGCCGTGTGGCCAGGTGGTAGCGACCAGGTTACATTACGTGGTGGGAAAATGCCACCTGCAGCGGTCAGTAAGTAGTGTAGGGAAGGTGCCGATGCACGCGTGGGGTGCGGGTGTGGTGGGCACTCGTCGCTGCATTACCTAAAGCACGGGCGCCTGTATCATGAGCTCTGCGATCCCCCATGATCGTAGCGGCGGGGTGCTTTCACGTGCTGCGCTTGTTTCGGACTTGGGTGCAAATCTGGGTCGTGCTCGGGTCGTTGGGGCCAACAGCCCATGCCTGTTCACGGCCGCGACGAGCCAAACGTGTGAGGACTTCAGTTGAAGCAGACACTCGTCGATCTCGGCGATGGTGGTCTAGAGCTATTCCGTGGGCTGCGGGCGCACCACGACGCGGCACGAGCGGAACTACTGAGGGTGGCGCTAGTACGCGTAGAACCACGTCTGGAATATGAACTAGAATGTACGCAATGGCGCCAAGGCCTCGCAGGCCATCCCCCTCCATTTTGCCAGCATCTGAACGATTTTTTAGGGGTACTAATTGGTGTTGAAGTTAAAGTAGGATGCGCCAAGCTGAGCCCAGGCTATTTTCCTTTGGGCTCGCTTTTTCGGCTTTTTCGTGTTGTGATTGGCGGAGATCTGCATTGCCGTCGCGTAATTGGCGGAATCCTGCGTGGTGCGCGCGTGATTGGCGGAACTGTAGACCGTCATGTGATTGGACGACGCAAAGATCGCGCCAGCAGACCCCCCCCCCCCGCGCGCAGTTTTGAAATTCGCGGCTTCGAGTTCACTTTCCATTTTGCGAGCCGCTACCCAGCTCCGTCAACAAACCTCGCCGACAAGAGGTATGCTGCTGGACCCCGCCACGGACGCCACGCTCGCCGACGGCTAGGGCGGCATGCTGCGGCCCGCCACGCTGACGGCACGGAGAGCATGCTGCCGAACCCCGACACGGACGCCACGCTCGACGCCAGCACGGACGGCACGCTGCCGGACCCGACGTGGACGCCACGCTGGACAACTGCACTGTCGGCATGCTACCGGACCCCGACACGGACGCCACGCTGGACAACTGCACTGTCGACACGCTGCCAGACCCCAGCGTTGACGCCACGCTGGACAACTGCACTGTCGGCACGCTGCCGGACCCGACATGGACGCCATGCTCGACGACTGCACTGTCGGCATACTGCCGGACTCCGCTCCTGGATGACAGCACGCTCGGTGGAATCCACCGCCGAGGTGAAGCCAATTGACGGCCAGGGCGACTTGCTGCTCGACTCCCGCTCGACAACGACTCGGAGGGCCTGCTTACAAAGCCCAACGGGGGTGGCACGCTTGACGACCGCACGCACGGCATGTTGGCGGACCCCGCCGCGGACGTTATGCTCGCGGACCTCCCCGCGGACGTCATGCTAGTTGATGGCAAGGCCGATCTGGTGTCGGCCCCCTGCTCATTAGACTGCACGGATGGTATGGTGCGAATTCTATTGCGGTCGGCACGCTGGGCGACTGCTGCTGCCGATCGCGACGCCAACGGCAAGCTTGACTCGGTAGGGCGGCATACCGGGCCATAAGCCGACACCACACTTGCCACGATTGATGATGGCATTACCCGCATCCTGCCGTCGACCATCGACGGCGCCCTGGTTGAGCTACGTCGCAAAGTATTACTACTAGTATTGAACTTATCTGAGACGAGTCGGTTAAATATGCTGTAAGATATTTTATTAGTTAACCACCATGGTAGCTGACACTACTACTATCACTTCAACTACTACTTGTAACACTCGTAAAAATGTTACTATCGATAAAGATATCCATACTATTAGCCGTAATATCCAGAGAACACATCTCGCTGTGGAGATTGCTGCTCTTCTCCGTAGATCAGTCAAGTTGCCACACGCGTCAAACATGCCCTCCATAAGCTTTTCTTGGTAATGATGTACTAGTTACTAGTAGACGTTGGTGAGGCAAGCCTCGGGCTTGAGAGGTCTTTTGCGGGTAGAGCTGGGAATATGACTCAAACAACAGCGCCTTTCGGCTCATCTGGCCGAGCCTGCGCCAAACTTTCAGCAAAATTCAGTGCACATCGCCAGCGATCACAAACTCCTGCTACTATCACGAACTCCGGCCGCTAGTGAATCGACGGGAAAAGCAGCCTGCTTCGCGTGTGCACGCTGCTTAGCAGCATGCATCTTTCAACGATAAGTACTGTACTACTGTAATACTACTGTAGTACATGTACCCGAGCGGGAAGTTGAACTTCAGATCTTCAACGGACGCGGCAAGATATTGCGTAAGTTTCATCAGCTTTAACGGGTTTCAAACTGTTTTCACAGGGAGGCGGCAGCATTACCCCTAGCCTTACCCGAACCTCCCGCGATATGACTGGCCAAAATTGAAAAGGTGCAGTTGAGCGACGCTTCGACTCGATCGGGCGTTTGGGGCAGAATGCCCCGGTTGCACACGAAAGGGTTAAGGTTTGCGCGAGTGCCCACATTCAAGCAAACACAACAGCGACCTTGAAGGGGAGAGTACGGCGTATGCGGCTGTCAAGAGCTCCCACGAGCTCGTAGAATAGCTTCTAAACGCCCGAACACACAATAAACAAGTAAATGATAAAAACCATGGATGGAATGGCGCCTAAATAACTCTCCAAGGGCTGTTGCTGCTATTTCCTCGAGTTTAGGTGCCGAATATACAAAGTAAGTATAACCGGAAGTAGACTATGTCTGCCGAGACTTCTAACACGAAGAAATATTTATTTGCAGCCTTATAACAACTGTACGGTGTAGCTGGTTTTGGCAGCGACAGTGTTGCAGCGTATTTCGCGCCACGTAAATGCCGGATTGGAAGCAAGGGCATGGAGTAGTGAGTAAATAACCTTGATCGTGCGTATATTCCACAATGACCTCTCCCAATAACTAAACTAAGATGACGAGAGTATCCTACTACTAACCAACTTAAGCACGACGTATACTTCGGTTTCACCGGGAACGACGGAGGTCTGGCTCGTACGCGTGTCATCAACTAGTCAATCCGGTCGTAACTCCTTATTTGTGCGTATAGAGATCCTCTTCGGCTGTTTTGACAGTCTCCCTGTACGAGGCGATTTCTATAGTACGCGAAGCCCGAGTGCCGCTACCGGTGCGGCCACCCTCGAGAGCAGCATCAATATACCTGCTGCGAATTAGAATAACCGTGGTAGGCTTAAACTTTTTCTAGGAACGGTAAAACGAAGCAATTTCGGCATTGCTTCAGTGTTCCGGATTGAGAAAAGCCGTCGGTGTAGGCCGTTGCCTCGGCAACAACACTCTATAGAAATGGGCGAGCTGTAGGGCCTATATCGTAAAGCTGACAAACAAAGCGATGAAGTGAAGCTGCTTCTACGGTTATAGAACTGTTTTAGCACTGACATACAAAGTAAGTCAGCACTCCAAGTACCCCTTTGTTGGTTGTAGTGATTACCCATTTTTCTTGAATGGGATACGGTTCCCCATTACCTGACCTGTGCATAAGTGAGAGAGAAAATGTTTTGATTGGCTATATATCGATGATTTGGTGATTACAACCTCGCAGTCATCTATCAACACCGCGAAAGATGGATGTTTTGTGTAGTTCGCCAATCCTATTGATCCACCATACGTTCAATGTCGTAAGTTCCGGCGTACTTGGCGTCGTTTTCGACTCTTATGTCGTAAGTTCCCCCCATAGATCTCTACAATCTAATATGTCTGATGGGGCTTCTCTTGTTGCGGACAGGGCGCGCCAATACAAACTCGTAGTTACTTTTTTCGTCGTAAGTTACGACGTACAGTACCGTAGATTACGTGTTTCGGTGCCTAAATCCCGGGACCCAAGGGGTTAACTGTGAATACGCCTCTGGCGAGTCATCGCTGTTCAGCCTTTTCACTCTGGCCTCAATGGCAAAGTGGTGCTTCATCCAAGCCGGGATCGAGTCGAAATGCGCCATCGCAGCCGCGAACACTCGCTCAAGCGATGGGTGGGGGATTTCCGACACGAAGACGCTCGACACAAGGGTGCAGTCTTCGCAGCCAGTGATGTCAATTTGGGAAAGCGGCATTCCGGTCTGACCTGACTTCTTCTGCCCCGCGAGCGCCTTGTCGATCAATTTCTCCACGATAGAAGGCATCGTCGCAAGTGATCGCCTATTGTGCTCTACCAACATTTTTTCACGTTCGTCTGGGTTGCGGCCTAGTCGAATGTCGAAGTGGAGTTCCTTAGGATGTCGCGTCCATTGGAATGCAGGGAGTTCCGCAGGACGGCTGTCTGGAGCGAGACTAGCAGGAACTGCTGCTGTTGGAACATCTCTTGAAGTTCTTGGTGCACTTTGTCGCTCTGTTTGGCGGCGTACTTCTCGAGCGAACAGCGTTGTGCTGTATCCCGCGTGCATGCGTCGGGTACCTGCTGAGTCCACTTGGACTGGAGACAGTGAAGTTCACATTCCATAGCTGCCACGAGTGCTCTCATCATGCGAACCTTGTGGGTGTTGGTGAGTCTTGGCTTGGTGCTCTGGAGTCCGTCACGAGCTTGACTAATTGTTGCGAGGGAGATGATGGTCTGGTCGTCTATGGGATTCCGTCGACGCTTCTTGGACGCTTGATACTCGGTACTTTGCTCGTGAGCTCTTGGAGTCGAGTTGGGAGGTAGACCACAGTCCATTGATGATGAAGTGAAGAAGTGTGGACAAGTACATGTACGAGAGTGAGGGCCAAGGTGGCACGTCCATCGGTGACCTGCCGCCACCAGTTTACTGGTAGCTGTTGAGCTTCAACTTGACGCTAACATTTGAGTGTTGTTGAGCCTCTGCAAGTGCGTTTGCATCTGTATAAATGCCCGTCATGTGATCGTGTCATGCTAGCAGTTGAGCTGTGTAGGCCATAAACAACATGTGACCCCAATGTTCACGATTGTATAGAGGACCGACTAGCGCTCTGGGCACCCGCTACGCGGGCGCTTTGACCACGGGTTGCTGGAATAGCATAGCTTAAAAGTATATGCATCATTTTGATTTCCATAACAATAATGTGCGGATACAGTTGACACATATTCGTTGCTATAACTTCGTGCTTTAGTAGCAAATGAGTAGGAATACATTTTCCTATTAAGCTAATTACCAAATGTCGCTCACGATGCAAAGTTGAGTACCTAAACATCGAGTGAGCTGAATATCGTTGCCGTTGTATTATTGATCACCCGTTTCTGTGAGGCGAGCTACATTGTCACGGACATGCCTTACTACAGTGTAGTGACCTGCGTGTTTACTTACTTTGAAGTAACAACTAAAGTATTGAAACTATGATTGGGTGTGGTTTATACTGCGTTGCAAACTGGTAGCTGTCGTCGATACCGTACTCTAGTGTTGTTACTACGTTAGCACTGAAAGACTGCAACTTTGCCAGCATGAATTTACGCACTGCACCGCGCTACATGTAGTTATGCTGGTTTGCGCGATAACAGTTCAAATAGACATAGCAAATTTAGCTCAACTCAATACGGATCGGTAGCGACTGTGCATCTTCGATGGTTAGGTTGTTGTGTATCGTGTGTATGCATATGAAGCGTTTGGCGGGACCCCGGGGTCCCCGCTTGTGTCATAAGCAACCGGTATATTCGGTAAATTCAAGTGCTGCATGTTTGAATCGAACCTATGTATCTCTGGTAGTATCGACAATCGAGTTGCACAGAGCTGCAGAGTTCGCAACTTTGCGTGCCCGACGCCGCTGCTGCTGTAGTAGGCGCTAGCTTCTAGCAGTCAGCTTGAATCTTCTTGGTCGTATCTTCACCAAGACGCTTAACAGAACGAACGAATGCAGCAGCTTTGTGGTCACGACGATTTCAATACTTAAGTATCACGTTTGAGCCGAGGAACCTCTGCACCTCCAGTTCGCCTAGACTTCATACTGGATGCTAGATGCTTGAAGGTGAAATGAGCTCTAGCTAAACTCGAAAAATTATCACAAAATTGTCACAACATATATATTATCACTGCCCCGCCGATAAAAATAAATAATTCCGGTCGCCATCGGTACATGATGCGGGACCCCGGGGTCCGGCCAATAGCTTCATATATATATTGCTCTAACGACAATGTCTACACTAACCTGCATTATGTGCATGCTGCAGTAGTTTACGGTACACGTATCTAGGGTAGCAGCGCGCATTTATTTTGAAAGCTGCATGCGTTGCCAGTGTCACTACTATTCTACGCTTTGCCTACTCTGCATCTTTCATCTGGATTTATAACGCGTCATTGCTCTTGGTGCATGGCGTACAGTACTTAGTAACAGTAATTCGAAATTGCGCACGACCATGCTGTTGTGCGCTGCGCGCAATTCGAGCAGCATTTTCTAAAATTGTTTTGTTGAAGCGAGAGAGTTACGGCACCTGGGATATGATCGATTTTGATTTGAGTTGGAGTGCATTGTTGTCACTTGGCTGATGCGACTATCGTTCCTATGGAAGCGAGTGTCGGACTGCAGCAAGATCCTGCCATTAATCAGCTTAATAAAAAACATAAAAAGTCGTAAGTATGACGCCTCGATGCGCGCGCTGGTGATGCACCTGGATTTACTTAATTCGACCAACTACTACGTAGTAGTAACTTAAGTTGAGCACGCGACTACTCAAATGGGTGTATTATAATGCTTGATTCCTGCAAATGAATACAGCACGATTGCCAGCTACACCACGCCGCGTGCTGTTTATCAGTTAATCTATGTGCAACGTTAGGTGGTCTAAATGCGTCGTTCGCACACATTCTTGGTGTACTAGAAGATGAACGCCTAATAAGCACCAGTCTACCCCTAATTCCGTACTGTAAACCCTCGACTACCAGTTATCCCAACAGGCGGAACTCCCGAAACCGTAATGTAGTTTATTTATGTAGATGTATGCATCTACTCACTGTAGTAGTGTCTGCTGCCGCTGCACTCCGCTGCTCACTCCCGTACGCCACGCGCCCTCCCGCTCGCTTCCTCGGTCCGTTCGTTCGCCGCGCGCAAACTTTCAAAATGGGGGATGTGATAATCACACCCGTTAAAGTCCGATTATTTCCGCATAAGTACGATTTTTAGCGTGATTGTGTCTAGTTTTGTAATTTCGTAGATAGTTAAAAAGCCAGTTCCAGTCGACTTGATGAGTGAATAATGTATGCAATAAGGCCGCAGTAGCGTAGTCTAATTGACAGGTCTAGGCTGTAGGGGCGGAAAGCGTGCGCGATGACCGACAGACAGGATTCTCGGTTAGAGGACGGAGAATGCGAATCGTAGGGAATCGAGTGCGAAGTCTCTGTCCTGGCTGCGCTTTTGTTTATCGATAGGATACAGTCCAAATGTGGAGAGGAGCCGTACATGTATTACACTACCACGGTATCTACTATTGTGCCTTGCATGCTTTCTGTCTAAACAACGACGTAATTCGTTGTTTTAGCAAATCACGGTGATTAGCCCATCGTTGAGTTAGGAGGCTAACTCGTCGATTTAAGATAGAATAGCTGCTATTGCCGCTTGCAAATACTTTGTCCTCTAAAATAGACCTCTAAAATAGACCACGCCTGTCTCTTAATACGAGTGGACACGAGCTTTTAGGCCCAGAAACTCGGTTTGGCCTGTCTGGAATGGCATTTCTGCGTTTCCAAGCCGCAGAAAAGCGTTTTGGTCGGGAAAACAGAGCCTCAAGCTTGGATGTTAGACCGTACTGGCGAGATATATAAATCAGACCTAGGTCTTAATTAAGAGCTGACTGGATTAAAACCGAGATTATTAACGAAATAATAAGCATGCGTTGGCCAAAATATCTGCAAACGGCAATAAGACAACGAGTTAACGTTGAGTTATGCTCACTTTCGTTGAATGGCTGGAGTAAATCCGACAATACTACGGCCCTGGCATTCTAATTCTAACTCGCTCGCTTTGTCTGATTGCTTTCTAGTCGATGATTGACATGCGTTGGCGATCTATCGTAGTACTAAACTACGTCTACAATTTTGAAGAACATCCCTGTTTTTATATCGAGGAGCTGCAAGCAGCTTTAAAGTCAGCGTTTCCTGCACTTCCAAACATTTCTAGTAGAAATTTTATACTGCTACTATATGCCGTGCTCTGAAATTCGAGCTTTGTTTAACGCGCAAGGCCACGACGAAGAGAGCGAAAGAAAACGTCCCCGCCGAAATCGGTGCTTACTATTATGCAAGGAGTTGGCGCCATTCTATCGGGGACCTTCTCGGTTTGTTTTCTTGCAGCGACAACCGATTTATTCTTGCAGTGGCAACCGCTCCGTTCTTACTCTGCGTTGTGCTTGGTACTGGCGGTTGATTAGCTTAACTTTAACTTAGTTAGGCTGCGAGATATGATCACCGGGAAGGATTTGCTCGTTGGTTTAGAGCCCTTAATCGCATGCCAAAGTTCGTGCAAACCACAATACAGTAAACGTAGTAGTATTGTGGAAACCGATTAGATTGTCTAATTGGGATATAAATCGGTTGATAAAGCAGATGATTAAGCTTAATCGGGTCTGATTTGCTAAATCCGACCTCCTAATTAGATCGACAGACTAAGATTTGTACTCTGATTTGACAGAGCGGTCAGTTGTGCCTACAACGCCATGTGGCAAGCTGATTTAGCTGCTCCACGGCTTACAAAACCCGGGACGGCTGATTTGCATGCTAATCAGCCCGAATGTCCGACACCCACACGGCATTCGGTGGCCGATTTAACGTAAAACCGACAAACGCTAATGCTGACGAGAAATGACAGCGCAAATACATGACTTCAGAACTTGATAAATAGATAGCAGTACACATCGAAGCTCACAGAAGCGTATTTAATACACGCGATGCTATTTCTCGTTAGTAGGTACCGGTACGCGAATCACTCAGCTCGTGGCGGTAAGTGGTCGCTCGTCGTATTTCTGGCAGGTAATGAGGCAACCCCCATTTTATTAACCTTACACCGATTTATACCCTTACCAATGCCATATGAAATCATAAGGATCCCCGATTTAGTACCAGTCAAATCTCTCATGAACGCTGCTTTATCAGCTAATCCGCTCGGGCAATCTAATCGGTTTCCACAATACATGAAGTACCGTCAATTGAGCCGGTGCGGCTGTCGAACATTCAGTGACTAAGACTGGGTTTACAAGAAGACGTGAGTATGACGGGCTGGCGTAAGCCTTGAAGCACACAATGTGTCATGTTATAGAGCATCTCACGTAAATCTATGCGCACTTCGACCCAGAAAACTCTGAAATGTTGCTACAAGTCGTATTAGCCACAATTATGCTGTAGTCGTGTGCGATAATTCCTAGGCTAGGAATGAAAGACACATTTTTGAGAAGCACACAACATTTATACTTGACAGGGTAGTTTTTCTCTGTACAATGTTAGCCGTACGCTTGATAGATTTTCACAGCTTCGCCAGTTTGGCGGGCTATGGTATCCGGTAGCTGTATCGAGCTAAACGCCAACATCATAAGAGGCGTCAGCGAGACCTGATCATTCGCCACCGCTTTGGATGTGAGCCATTACGTGAGATCTGAGCACAAAACAGAATTCCCCGTCCAAGATCCTTGAGATCGCCCTAGAAGCTGAATGCAAACAATGCTCCGGAGACTCCACAGTGTCGCGTTGCTCGGCTGTCGCAGTGACTCGAAGGTCGCCAACGTCGCGGACATCGATACCGTACCTCACAGAAAGAATGTTAAGCTTTGAAGAGACTGGGTTGATCGCAACCATGAACCACGTCGTGTGTTCAAATTTAACAGCGCACCACGGCATGATCTACATGGACGCTATCACTGAAGGCCCGCTGCATCCAGTGCCCACTACCAACCCGCTGCACTTCGGAATCTGTGCTCTCACCATCACGCCCAACAGTGAGCCCAATGCAGGCGTGACGCTGCGGTGGGTTGTCTTGTACCGCTACAACTTGATGCCGGATGACCCTGCGCTCAAGAGCGACCTGGAGCTCAGTCGTCCAATCCTCAATGGCGACTTGATCACGTCCGCAATTTGTAGTTATCTCCAGATGCAGCAATCCCGTTCACAGGTGCAGCGCTCCGCCTAGAGAGTACTGCCAAACCTCCTTCTTCCATTATAATATAGGCCCCTTGCTGACATCTAATCCTTGAATCCATCCAGCGCATGATCTTGCATTCACTCTTCAATTCATGTTTCAAGCAGCGGCATCAGCGCCGCCTTTGCATCGCTCCATCTACTGTACAATGTGAGCACGCCTAAGCTTGCAGCGTGAAGGCTGCTTCCTTCGGTGTTTGCGGGAAGAGGAACTTCAGTACGTTGACGCTGAGAATCAACTCCTGCAGCGTCGGGAATGTCACGCCGTTGCCTTCAGCAGCACCACTATTCGCCCCTCCTTGGAGTGCAACGAACCAGTCTCCACGTTCTGGCTGCCAGTTCACCGGCACGAATTGTACGCATTGGTCGTCGCGCACGTACACGATAACGATGCAGCGCATACGCGTCTCACTGAACCGCAGTAGAAACGTCCCTGGAGGAGCGCTCTCGAGCATACTGACACAGGCACCTTTGGACAGGAACCCATGCAGCAAACGCGGCTCCGTGTGCGGCCATAGTGTCGAGTACAAGACGCAGTCAACAAGCGGGCGGAACCATCCCCAGAACGCAGCGAACATGCGCAAACTCACTGCCCCACCGCGTTGAGCAGGTGCAATGCCCTCGCGGCCCCAGATGAGCGAGCTCTTGCTCAGGAAATCGATGCTACGCGTAGACAAAGGACGCCTCGCAGCGTCTCCCTTGAGCTTGGTCGCGAAGAAACAGCTCACTTGCGGCGCTATCCAGTCCAGAGGGATGTCCTTCAGCTCTTGTAATTGACGCACTACAGCCGCTGAGTAGCTGTCTCTTGACCCTCCGTCAGGGTTAAGACTCGGAAGGGTAGCATTGATGACCACAGCTCGAGCCCAAACCAAGCTGCCGCCTTCACTCTGAATAATGGGTCTCACGTGATCCGCTACCTTAAGCAGGCAGAGCTGCTGAAGCGAAGTTGTCGGCTCTGTGATTGCACCGGTGAGACTTGGCTCGCTCCGCGACGATACAAGTGTATGGCTGCTGGCTGGTGGAAAGCCGAGCGCGTCGCCACTGTTGCTTTTCGCTTGTTGACCTGTTGACAGTCCTAAAGGAGATTTGGCTGTGAAAATATCCGAGTGGGATGCAACGGGTTTCATTCGGCGCAGTGCAGACTCGTGCGTGCTTGCACCGTGTAGTCGATGCTGGTATTTCATCCCCTCCTCGATACAAGATGGGAGTCCATGCCCATGGTGGTGATGGTGATGATGGTGCTCGTGAGAATGAGAGTAGCAACCATCAACAGATTGTGTCCGCGCTAGAGCATGCACTCCCTGGTCGTGTCGCAGCTCCAAGCTGCAATCAGGAGCCGCAGCACCGCCCAACTTGCTCATAGATAACCCCGTGTTGACCGATGGGATGATGTAGCTCAGGAACTCGTGCTGATCCAGCTCCATATCTTTATTCTCCAAGAACTGCGAGACCTAAAATCCACATAAAGAAATGTTAGGACAGCTTCGATACATAACCAACAGCAAACCAAGCTAAACGTACCCCGCAGATCGTCCGTGGATGACCACGTAGGCTCTTGATAATGGGGTGCTCGCCAAATGCTTCGAGATCGGTACTACCGCCCATTTCATGAGCCTTTATCTTCCTCGGAGCTCGAAGGGTGAACAGCAGCGCAGCGTCAGCCGGTGGAAGTGGCCCAACAGGAATGATCTTTTCACCCACGCCGTCCATCACCCCAAACTTCCCATCGCCCGTCAGCAGAAGCGCGAGTGAGTTGACGCGACGCAGTAACATCGCAACGATAGCACGGAACCTCGAGTTCAGTCGATGTGCACGATTACATCCATCCAAAATCAAGAGAAAACTGCTTCCGTCGCCCTGAGTCTCTGTCTCGCAACATTGTCGTGCCTGCTCGGCCAGTTCATCGAGGGATGCCGCTTGAAGCCCCAAGCACTTGGCAAACTTTCCCACAAGCACCGCGGGTTCAAGATCAGCGTGCTGCTTACACGCCTTGTCACTCGGCCCCTCTCCTTCGTCGTCCGTGCTCAGTCTAAGATAAAATATGTGGCTGAACACTCGACGCTCAGTGGCGTACTGGGCGCACTGCAGCGCCACCTCCGTCTTGCCGATCCCGCGCTCTCCAGTGATGCTCACGAGCCGCGCTCCTTCGACCAGCGACTTGAACACTTGGTGCACTTCCAGTGATCTCCCGACAAAAACTTCGGCCACAGCATCGCACTCGTTCACCGTCACCTTCCCTCCTCTCCTGCCGCCTATGTCGGTCTCCACACAGTCACCCACCGGCACATCTCTAAAGGGTGCGTCGTTGTGGTCTCCGTCGCCTAACAATTTGAACTCCGACCGTCCTCCAAGTCCCACCCCACTCCCGTTGCTCGTCACTGCAATGTCCGCCTGCACTCGTCCGATCTGGAAACTCTTGGCCACTGAGTGGCCTGCAAACAGCGCCGTGTAGAACGCTTTGGCGAACTCCATGGCCTTGCGGTCCAGCACCTTCTCCTCCTTCGAGACCACCACGACATGGGGCACCCCGGCACTCACGAAAGCTTGGGCCACACTCTCCGAGTGACACGCGCTCACGAACACCAACTGCAACGGAACTCTGGGCCGCGGAGGCGGGTCCAAGGCCACCCAGCCTCGTTCAACCCTGTGACTTGTGAAGGAGAGCCCCGACGTAGCATCATCATCGCTGCTGTAACTAGAACTTGAACTAGAACTGGATCCAGAACTTGAACTAGAACTGGAACTTGATTCGCTTTCAGAACTAGATTCGGCACTTTTACGTCGTCGATTCTGTCTCTGGCGTATCTTTTTGTCGCGTCGGCGTCTCGGGCGACGGCTCTCAGCGCCCCCCGCCAGCAACAGGTCCTGCAGCTCCTTCTGCGAGACGAACTGCGCCTCGCCCTTGCGCGTCTCGAAGATCACCTGGCCCGGCACGCCGTGGCCCGAGAAGTGCAGCGCACGACATCCAAACGACAAAACCTTGCGGAACGCGTGCAGGTCCGCCACCTCCGAGTGCCAGGCCAGCCGCCGTCCGCTCTCGCGCAGCGTCTGCAGCAGCAGCCGGCGCTCCGCCTTCACGTCGATGAGCTCCACGGCCTCCAGGCCGCTGGACGAGCCGTTCTCGCCCGCGTGGGGGCTGAGGCTGCGCCAGTTGGCGCCCGCACGGCGCCGTACCACCAGCGGAGACGAGTGCAGGTGCGCGAATATCGGCGCTGGCATGCGACTCAGATTGTGGCGTTGAAATAGGTCGATTATGGGCGTAGGTTGTGTCGTGAGTGTCAAAGTTGAAGATTCGTCTACAACAGGCTGGACACGCGAGACTTGCATGGATCACGCGCTCCAGACTTCAGAAATCAAGTGCCCTCGAGTCTTTTCTGCTTCGTGCTCGATCTGTGCAGCGGCTCCAGCGTCTTCGTCTCGAGCTCGAGTCGATGGAGCTGCATCAAGAGCGAGGCGACTTCATCTACCATCCGTATTTACTGCGTGAGATCGATGAACAGCGGTGACAGTTGGGTGTAGCTTTGGCTGGCAGCGTGAGTTGTAAGCGATATGCTGTCGGGTCCTGGAGGTACAGCCGAGGAGTAAGGTATCATCGGCCATGCATTGCCGTGGGTATTGATTGTGGCAACGCATGTCAACAGAGCTCTAAAATTATTTGGTTGAATAAGCTCTTAGACATCAAATTTCGGGGCCCTCAGCCACTGCACACTGCATGGGGCTCTCCAGGCTAGTCCTCGGTATCAAAAGGAATAAAGAAAACTCCTTAAGCTGTTTATTAGCACAACAACACAGGGATCCCCTTCGATCACTTTTTACCCTGTAACTTCGCCCATTTTGCGCTCCAAGTGAGCTTGCACTATGCGAGGGCTATGACGAGCAGGCGTAGAGCGGCGGTAATGGCGATCTTAGTGCATCGTGGCTCGATAGCGCTGAGCAGCGTCGTCACGCATCACCGCCCGCGCAATGGCGAGATCCATTAAAATGCCGGCTTCTCACCAGCCGATAGAAGGCTCACATCGTGCAATTCATTCCAGCGCCACCATCCCGCGCGTGGAATCTCGAGCGCCGCGAGCGAATCTGCCAGCGACGCTCGCGGCAATTTTCAAGCTCGCGCGCCGCATGAGACAGCGCCAACTCGAAGCAGCGACTGGCCAGCTGCTCTCGATTTCTGAAGTTTGCGGCCCGTCAGTCTGGGCTCTGACGGTCAGAGCTCTCCCATTGGCTGCGCGTGATCCATGCGATTGAGTCTGCAAGGATGCGTGTCCTCCCTCGTTCCAGGCCAGAAGTCCGTGATTGGCGTGGCAGACCACAAAATAGCGCCGTCTTTCCGACACGGACAGACTTGCTCCAAGTATGCCGCGGCCGCCCCAAAGACGGCGCCATTCGCAGCAGCACCTCCGGACAGCAACGCACGAAACGCTGCCAGGCCAGTTGACTAATTGACCGCGACACCCCAAGCGTTTAGTACCCATACCATCCCGTACCATGCGACGAGTCGGTTGCACGCTGCTGGAGGCCTCGGGCCGCCGCGCCCTGACGCGTCCGCGGCCTCTGCCCGCAGCGCTGAGCCGCGCGTTCGCCTCGGTCTCGCGCGCGCACGAGAGCGAGAACAACACGCAGCTGTCGTCGGGCCACGCCGCCAAGCACGCGAATGACAGCCACGCGCACCACCACCACCACTACCTGTACTACCACAGCAGCAGCCAACACGGAGCTGCCGGTGCTGCGACTGAGGGAGAGGACGCAGACGCTGCGTGGGCTGCCAGCCACCAGCAGCAGCATCAGGAGCAGGAGGTGAAGGACACGAGCTCCTTCTCCCGCGAGTTCGAGAAGCCCCGCATGGACGCCACCTTCCTCGTGAACAACTACACGGCGCCGGCGCTGGCGGCTGCGTACCAGGACAGAGAGTACACGCTCTGGCTGTGCGCCGAGCTGCTGAGCGAGGGCAAGCTGGACGAACTGGAGGCGGTGCTGAAGCCATACCACGGTACGTCAATGATCTGCTTCTCTTCTTGTCTAGGTACTACTGCCGAACCTGACGCAGACTCTTCTTCTTCTCTATTCAGACTTTGCTCAGCACGACATGAACGCACAGAGGAGTACGCCCCTTGCAAAGGCGTTCGGCCAGCGCCACCTCGAGCGCATCCGCAAGCGGTTAAGCCGCCTGCCCCGACAGATCACCAAGGCCTACTCAGCGCGCGCGGCCGTGGTCATCCCGCTGTGCACGTTCGAGGGCGAGCCGTCCGTGCTCTTCACATTGCGCTCGCTCACCGTCGGCAAGCACAAGGGCGAGGTCTGCTTCCCCGGAGGCATGGTCGACCCCACCGACTCTTGCATTGAAGGCACGTGTCTGCGCGAGATGAACGAGGAGGTGGGGCTGGCGCCTCAGGGCGTGGATGTGCTGGGCGTGCTGCGCTGCGACTGGTCCAGCGTCACGTCGATCACGGGCATTGCCGTCACGCCGGTCGTGGGCTTCATCGGCGAGATGAGCGACCAGACCGTCGCCATCAACGAGCAGGAGGTGGAGTCGCTCTTCACAGTGCCGCTACGCGACCTCATGAACCAGGACAACTGGGTTCGCCACAGCAACGCCACTCCGGTCTTCACGGGCGGCCCGCACGTGATCTGGGGGCTCACAGCTTATCTGCTGGACATCTGCCTGTCCGAAGTGCTGAAGATCAGCGACTAACGAATGCATCAACGGAAGCAAATGCGAGAGAAAATATATATGAATTCTGTACACACCCATACTTTCCCCACGAGTGTTTTAAAGCTCTTGCGGCCCCCTTGGAGCTACCGGTGCTGGTTCGTTATAGATATCAAAACTGCATGTTACTGTTAGTGTTGGGCGTAGTAGCCCTGGGAAGGCTGGACGGCAGGCTGCGGCTGGTAGTAGCCGCCGGGTACGACCAAGACCGGCTGCAGCGATTGCTCGTGCCGGGACGCGCGTTTGCGTCGGCAGATGCAGCGGAAGAGATACGTCACGACCGCAATGATGAAGAAGAAGGCCAATACGCCCAGCACGATTGCCAGGATCGTCACGAGGTGGCTCTTGTCATCACTGGATAAAGTGCCGGAGGTGCCATCGCTGCCGCTGCCAAAGCCGCCGCCGCCTGTGTTGTCACCGGACGAATCCGACGACGCCGGCAAGGAAACCGCTTGAGACCCGGGTGTGCACGTGCTGTTCTCCACGCAGTAGAACGTCACCGACTCGTTGACGTTGTAGCTCGTGTAGAAGGTCTTCAGAAAAGTTTCTCCGATGATCCAAGTGTTGGCGTACGAGCCGCTGCTGCTCGACGTGGCTTGCACTTCCACCACGACCATGTTTGCGCCCAGGTCGATAATGTAGTCGTCCTTCTCCAGATAGAAGGTCACGTCTCCGAACGTGAGCGCAAGTCGGGGCAGATCCACGTCACTCGAGCACATGTAGATCTCCGATCCGGACGAATACTGCTGACACCCCGACAAGTACGTACTCACAAAGTCCGAGTACACGGAGCTGGGCATCGCCAGCAGCGACGTGCCCGAGTCCACAATACTGTCACAGCTTCCACTGCTGGCGGTCGAGCACGGGAACACTGCGGAGTTGTTGCCGATCTGCATGGCCGTCATGCCGATCGTCCAGTGCGTGGGCGTGGACGACTTGAGGTCCACAGTGTACGGCATGAGCCCGTTGGACGAGATGAGCTCGTCGTCTACGCCGTTGAGCAGTAGGAAGCTGCCGTCCGAGTTGTCCTCCTTGGTCAGGTACATGGAGAAGCTCGTGACGTAGTCGATGAACTGGCCGCCGGGCGATGGAAGTGTCGCCAGCGAGCCGTAGGCCAGGCCGAAGAGGCCCTCGGCGTCGCCCGCCAGCAGCGAGCTGGAGCTGCTCGGGTTCACGTTGCTGCCCTGCGCCACGCCCACGACGTAGTCGGACACGGCCACGTTGCCGAACTTGATGTCGGCCGACGTGCCCTCGACGCAGACGTCGCCCGAGCCGTACGAGATGGTGCTGGCGTCCGAGGGGCACGTGGACGAGCACGTCGAGCCGCTGAGGTAGTAGCACGAGATCCAGAGGTCGGACGAGCCCGTGTCCACCTGCACCACGAAGGTCGAGCCGTCCACCACGATGTCCGCGAAGTAGATGGTGCCCTGGTAGTTCTCCATGTCCACGGCGTTCGAGTTGCTGGCGCTGCTGGCCAGGCGGCGAGAGCGCGTCCAGGGCGACTGCCCGCGCCGCATGGGCACCTTGGCCACCGCCTTGGACGTCGTCATGGCTACTGAGAACAAGTCTTGCTGCCTTGGGGCGGATTAGATAGTCAAAGTGGGGTGGGATATGCTGGAGACTGGGAGACCGTGTCCACTTCCAAGTCGCAAGTGTCTAAACAATCGGGCGCCGATTTTGGAATGGAACTGCTGAATGTCGGTCGGTCGGTGGGCAGCTAGCTCTGCGACAGCCTGCACTTGGCTTCAGTATGGGGCGGCCCTGCTACCTCCGGCGCGCTCAGCTGAGCTTGATGCGGGCGCGCTGCAGGAGATGCCGGCGTTGGCCCTCGATTTTCTCTATGAGTGCATTTTGCTCGCGGTGTCCTGCGCCCCGGGCGTGACGTTTGCTGGCTTTTCACGCGGCGACATAGTGAACGCGAGTCAGAGAGCATAGCACGGGCGCAGACAACTGTCGGCTGGAAAAATGGACGCATCTTATAACATGTGATGTCAGAGAACACCGTTATATAGAGGGATAGTACTGCGAATTGATATCGGAATGTTCGGTTCAGGTACTATTGCAATATCAGTTTAAACAGATCCTTTTTGACAGCGACGTAATCGCGCTGCGACGTTTTGATCGACTGCTCGAAACTCAAAATCGATCAGCGGAGACCCGCGGACGAGCTCTATGCAGACGCCACCTTGGCCGCTTGTCGGGTCGGCTGTGCCATTGTCGACGTTGCTCCAGTCGTGCGCGTCGTTTGTTGCCGTCTCGACGGAGGCCCTGCTGCTTGTGCCAGGGCACTGTCACCTCGAAGTGGTCTTGTACCCAGTGCTTGTGTACACACCCAGCAGGATGACGCACCTGATTTAGGTCGCGGGTGTGTGACACTCGGTTGCGGTTGCCTTTCAACTTGCCCTTTTGCAATGTTATCTCTGCACGGACAAGTCGCCGAGCTGGCATCACGGTACTGGTCAAGCTCGGTCGTGCAGGTTTCGTGTAGATTTCGTCGTCACCTACGCTGTCTTTGTGAAACGGAGTCCTCGTAGGATTTGGACCAGTTGCATTCAATTCGTATTTTTTAATCAGGATACAACCTTCAACGCAGCTGCATGTACTCAACTTGAGCATCGTCCTCGCTACAGGTATTCAGTTTCCTTCGTTCTGGCGTGATGTTTGGTACACATTCATGAAAACCTAGGACGGCCGCAGTCGAGCTCCCCGCAGCATCGACGATTGCAAAACCAAACGCGTCAGGCATGTCTGGAGAAGGCATGGCGTCTGTATGTAAGTCAACCTCGCTTTGTAATTGCGAACGAGCTTGCAGTGGTCACCGTTGCGCGAGAGATCACTGTCGATTGTAGCACGACTCCACAAGCCAGTCGTTCGGACGATATATGTAGGTGAACAGTGCCCATGCGAGTGGCAAAACGTTGGTGTAGGTGGGTATGATGGGGCTGTAGTGCGAGTCTCTAAAGCTTCTTTCAAAAAGGCATTTTGAAGTCGTCGCCCTAGAATGCATCACGTTGGAGCCAACTTGACATATGTTAAGTCACAAACAGACACAAACAACGCCCTCTGTCTTTAAATAACGCCCTCCAAATAGCTATCTCTCAATTGCTCTCCACCTCCTCTCCTCGGGCGGGCAGACTACCTGGTGTTCTCATCCTCTCCATGCAGCAAGCCGCCGCGCCCTCCAGTGGGGACGGCGACGAAGTCGACCGCAAGGCCAAGTTGCTGGCACTACTGGATCGTGCGCGCGTGAACCGCGGCCTGCAGCTGGAGCTCAACGGCGGCCAAGCGGAAGCACTGGACGACAGACCTCCGCCCATCAAATCCGAGCCGCTGCACTCCCCCAGCAGCCACGCGCAGCCCCAGGACCAGCAGGCGCCCAAGTGCACGTGCAGCCACAGTCATGACCCCTCTCCTTCTCCCAGTAGCGTCCACAGTCGAGTCCCCAACGAAGATCGAGGTCTTCCAGCTGCAGGACAGAGGAACGGAGCTAATACCATGGCCAATCCAGACAATCTAAGGCCGAACGGTGCAACTGCATTGGCTGGATCGGTGGGGAACTCACACTCCATCACGGACTCAGAGGCGTCGGGAGATGTCACAATGATGCAAGAGGCTGATACGCAGTCCGTGGTCAAGTCTGAGGCTGCTGATGAGCCTATGCAGTCGCGGGTCGCTGTCCTCAGCTCGACACCCAAGCCTCGCATTGCCGACTTGACGGGAGGCAGCAGAGGCAACGTCCCGAGGCTGCAACAGCTTAGGGCTCTCGAACAGCCGAGAAATGCCACGCACCACACTCAACTTGAATCACGCGAGGAGAAGCAGACTGTGAAGCGCGAGCTTCCTCCTCGAGCCCAGCAAAAGCATCCCCAGCGGACCAATGCGTCCCCTACTAACACTACGACGACGCTGAGGAGCCTAGCACAACTCACACCTGACGAGTACGAAGACTCGGAGCTGCATGGAGACTTCCAGCACATGCTGCACATTCTGATCCCATCTAATGCCACCGCTGCGTTGCTGGAGCGCCGTGGCCAGCCGATCCAGAACATCGGCCAGCAGGCGGACTGCACACTGTCCATCCGCGAACCGGAGGCCTCGCCGTTCAAGGACGATCGACTGCTCCGCATCTACGGGAAAGCCAAGTGCATCAGCTTGGCCCAGCGGCTGATCATTGCGTACATCCGCGCGTATCGAGCGGACAAGCGCGACCCAAACTATATCGACCTCACGGACGAGACTCCACCGGTAGCACTACCCGCCACATCCATCACGAAAGCCGTGAGCGTAGCTGTGTCGTCTGGGAAGAAGCCTGAGCTGGAGATTGCAAGTCCGTTCCACTGGATGGTCCAGCGCGAAGACGTAGGGAAGATGATGGGGCGACAGGGAAGCATTCTCGCAGCAATCCGTCGCGATACGGGTGCCACGATCCATGTCGACGAGGACGTCGTTCCCGGGACCACAGAGCGTCGCGTGGTTCTGACTGGATCTGTGGACTCAATCGCTGCAGCTGTGGAGGAGATTAAAAGCAAAGCTGGTGGGCGTCCTGAGGTGTCGGCGACCGTCGCCAATGGACGACTTGGACAGTATTTCGCCATCCCGTACTACGCCGCAGGATTCCTCATCGGCCCCCAGGGCTCTACAGTCAAGCACATCACTGAGCGCACAGGCGCGCGCCTACAAATTCCTTCCGCGGAGGATCTGCCTCTAGGTAGCATCAACCGCATCCTCCATATGCAAGGCACCCCCAAGCAGACCGAACACGCACGGCGTGTCGTCACGGCCAAACTTCGGGACTATCTGGCCTCTCCAAAGTGTCCGAGGGCGTTGAACCCCTCTTCAACCGGTCGCAAGGGCGACAAAGTCACCATTAAGGTTCTTCTCCCCTCCAGGATTTGTGGGTTTATGCTGGACCAGCGCGGGAAGCTGATCCATGAGATTTCTGAAAAGGCTGGCGCTCACACACATCTCTTAGCTCCACACGACGACGAGAACCGAGTTTGTGTCTTCACTGGTGACATGAGCTGCGTGCTCCGCGCGCAGCGCTTGGTGCTGCAGCTTATTGCAGGGGACGCCATCTCGTCCAAGCGCGCTGCTCCTCCTCGGAAACGGAAGCGTTCACATCGTGAAGAAGAAGAGGAGGAGGAGGAGGCTGACAATTATGATACCGGGGCTCATGAAGATGCTTACATCGAGGAGGAAGAGCCATATTATGAAGATGATGTCGAGGAGGAGGAGGAGGGCTATTATGATGAAGCGTATGAAGAATCTCCTCGACTACCGGTCAGACGGCAGACTGCACGTCGTCAACCAACCCGTCGCCCCCAACCCGACTATCACTATGACGAGGATGAAGATATGTACAGATATGATGACGACCTCGAAGAGGTCGAGTACGAAGAGCGTCCACGTCCACCAGCACGTCGACGGCCTGTCAGCTCTCGCCCACGCGAGTACATTGAGGATGAATATGACGAGGACGGATACGGCCACGACTACGATGAACGAATGGCTTATGAGGCGCCTCCGCCTCGAGTTCCTAGATGGCCAGTCGCTGTGCGTCGGCAGCCTCCCACTAGGCGTCAGGACGAGTATGCTGACGACTATGAAGAGTACGACGACTATGCCTACGCAGATGAAGGCGGTGCTGAGTATGAGCGACCATTGCCAGTGAGAAAGCAAGTGGTAAAGAGGCGAGCTGTGGGCGGCCGCGGTGATGATCGACGACAGCCTGTTGTACGTCCTGCTCCTGGCCGAAGGGTTCAAATGGTGGCGCGAACGCCAAGCCCTCGCGATGGGCACCCAAGAGTGAACCCTGGTGGCCGACGTCCCCCTGCGACCAGCGGCATTCGCAGCCGAAGCGGGAGCGTGAATACGCGTCACAGTGTCCCTCCTCGCGGTGGAAGAGGAAATGGCCGTCCGAGCGTTAATGGTCGTTCGAATGCAGGCCGTGGCAATGGCAACAAGAGGCGACGCCAGTGAGATGCGTATTCCCAGCAACAACCGCAATAACGACTGCAATAATCAGCCACTCGAGTCTGCAAAACACACGAGAACGTTGATATTTTATCATCTATTACCGCCGGGCAAGCAATCCAGCGGCGGTGGCTGCAGTGGCGCACGCGATGAAAGACAGACCCAGGTACAATGGCGACTGCGGCGGCGGCTCGACCGCTTCTTTCTTCAGTTCATCGATGGGAAGCTCCCGAGTCCGCGGATGTTCGGCAACGCGCCGAGCTGATCGCTCCCCTTCCATTCCATGCAAGCGCACGTCTGGACTGTTCATCTCGGTGGATCCGCCAATCGCGCAGTGTTCATTAACATGGCTGAGACGTGAAAGCGCCGAGCGCTTGACGACTGATGGCTCCGTGGCTACTGGTAGGGAGTCCACTCCCCGTTGGCGATCATCATCGACTGATTTCTCTTCAACCGGCCCAAGTTCACTCCTCGACAGTCCAGCTAGCGTCATCGGTTTATTCTCAAGACTTGCATCATCAGCCGGTGTAGCTGCTTGATCGACCCAACTCAGCTCCAGCGCCATATTCCGATGCTTCTTCCCGCCCGCCGACAAAACTTCCGCTGATTTTCCCGTTGAACCAGGTCTGTCGATGCTCTCAATCTCCAATGGCGGCAGTCGAGACGATGGTGTTGTGGTAGTTGACTCGATGTCACTCCCGCTGTCGCTTTTGCTACTGGCGCTTGCCGTGTAAGGTCCACGGTTATCGAGCGCCAACACATCGGCAGCAGTCATGGCGGAACTCCCGGTACACATCGTCCTGCGCCTCCTGCTTCGCCCCCGGCTGCCTTCAGAGCTCGCCTCCGCTGAGGTTTGGCGACGTAGAATCCTGTTCTCCAGGCGCAAGGCGGCAACTTCGCGCGTGGCGTCCTCCAGTAACAGCTCCATGTCATCACTTTCTTTCTCGCGAGGCTCCGCATGAACTTCGCTGCTGTCCCGCGCAGAGTTGCCGCCTCGTTCACTGTGCTCCTGCTGACGACGAAGTGCGTTCTCCAGTTGCTTCTGCAACTGCTCCAGAGTCTCGGTGACTCGCAGCGTCTCGGCCTGGGCACTCGCCGTTCGGTTCTCTGCAACTTGTAGCTGTGTCGCCGCGCGCGCCTTGCTGCTTTCCAGCTTCGCGACAAGTTCATCACGCGCTGCCAGCCGCGCCTGGAGATCTTCGTTCTCCGCTTCCAAACGACGGGCGGTTCGGCGCAGCGTATCTCGCACTGCTTGAACGCGCTCGACCTCTTGCGTTTGCTGCTCAAGCTGCGAGGTCACGAATTCCAGGTCCTGCTGTGCGCGTGCAGTCTCGAGGTGGTGGTCGTTGTTGCGCTGCTGCAGCTGCGTGATCTCCTCGCAAAGCTCTCGCTGCCGCTGTTGTTCTCGCTCGCGCACCAGCTCCAGCTCCAAGCAACGACGTCGCAGCTCATCCGCGCGCTGTTCAAGCTGCGTCAGCTCGACCTCGCGAGACGCGCACCGTTCGCACGAGTCCGTTCTGCTGAAGCTTCCAGAGCGCGAGGTAATTGACGGTCGCCGCTGTTGTTGTTGTCGCTGCTGTAAATGACTAAGTGCGTTCTGCTGTCCCGTAGAGTCCCAGGAGCTGTACGGCGCGTCGTAGCGCTGCAGCTCTGTCTCCAACGCTGCATTCTGTTCATGTAGTCGCTGCGCGTCTCTCACGGCGCGATCGCGGTCAAGTTGAGCAGCTTCAAGTTCATCGTGCAGAGCGTCAATCTCCTCGCGCGCAGTGCTCAGCTCCTCCAGCAGCGCGTTGCCCGCGTTCGCCGCCAATCGAAGGTTATCCTGCTCCGCCGCGAGCTCCAGCAGCACGCGCGCCAGCTTCTCCTCCATCAGCCGCTCCCTCGCGGTCGCAACAGCGATGGAGGCGTCCTCTTCCGCCTCTGGGTTATTGCTGCGGCGCTTGGCGTCTCCACGACCTGCAGCCTGCTCAAGAGCGAGAGCGTCGTGGGGCGCTGCCGCCTCGCTGAGCCTGAAGCTGGAGCTGCGGCCGCCCTCGTCCACCAGCAAGTCGACGATCAACTGTCGCACGTGGCCCAGCAGCGCGTCGCCTCGGTCCGCGTCATCGTGCAGGTCGACGTCGCCGGCCTCGTCCTGCCGGTCGCCACTAGCAAGATGCGCGCGGCTGCTGCGACTGCTGCTGCTCGCCGTGGGCGACGCCAGCGCCCACTGGTTGGGACTCGTGCAGGCCATCCTGGACTCCTTCGAGTCTTAGTCTTAGTCAAACGCCCGATGGAGGAGTGAGTGAGTGAGTGGGGAAACGCCAACAAGCGCCGGACTTGGAGCTCCGAGCCTAACGGACGTGGGACTGCGCTGAGCTGAGAGCTACGGTGCTGTGTGCTGTGGTGTCTTCAATTGCGCTGGGGCGGCGTGAAGTCGCGGCTTCTGCCCGCGGCTTGGTGATGGCGATGAAGAGCTCAACTGCCAATTTGTAACGGCTCAGTTGTGTAAAAGTAGTGTACCGTACCAGTTTCAGTCTCGAGTATTTTCTGTTCTGGCTCGCTAAATCTGGAGATGTGAAGGGCGGACTTTGCTTTGCCATTGCGAACTCACAGTCAATCGCTACGTCGTGCTTTTTGCGTGTCAGGAGCGTACGCAAACTCGGCGTCGTACGGGTCTCCATCCTTCATCTCTCTCTCCTCTCGCTCTATAGGGAACAAACTGAAGTTTTCGTCGTCTGGACGAGTCCCGCGTGGCTTGTTGACGTTGAAGTTGCATCGCTCAGTAGACGAATGGCACATCTGAGTGAGTCCCCTTGGTTGATCTACTCCGTGTTACAATTATTCACTCCACTCATGCACTCTTTATTAGGTGAAAGGCATGGAGAGGCGATGCAGAGACGCGGAGAGCTGATGCAGGAGCGGATGCAACTGCTGGCGATCCGCACGGGCTACCCGGAGGTGTTCAACCGCCCGCGTCGGAGCTCTCCCTCGTCTACAGCGAACGCTACTGCAGTTGTTGCAGCTAGCAGTCAGCTGGGATCGAGCAGTATTCGAGCGATTAGTCGCGACAGCTCGTACCCGTACCAGCAGCGACGCACACCCGAAGAAATGGCGGAATTCGTACGTGTCCTCCAGTAGTTCTCAGCATGAATTCGCAGCTAAATGCTTCGTGTGTTGCTGGTAGAGTCGTCTGTGCGAGCAGCGAGTGGCTCTTACGAAGGAGAAGGGGATTCAAGCGCAACGGCAAGCGTTGGCCGCTGAGCAACAGCGTCAAGCTCGGAGCCAGCTCGCAGGTGAAGCTGCTCCGGCTCAGGCGGTCCAGAGACTTCGTGAACGACGAGAGAAACAGCGTCGTGCAGCTGAAGCGGAACTGGAGGCGCTGGTGAATCAGCAGGACTCGTCACTTGAGGCGATGAACATCGCGCGAATGCTATCACCGAGATTCCAGGAGCGCATGGAATACGCCCCCTCGGTAGCCAAGTACTCGGCTGAAGATGAGCGGGTCAAGCAGCTACTTGGAACCACACGCATAGGAACCTACTACCAATGAGCTCCACTGCAATCGCGATGAATTTTATGAGCTTAGGTAAATACTTGTATGCAGTACTATTTCGCTCAGAACGGTCCTCGAAGACTACATTTGTTCTTCGCTAGAGCGTTGCCGTACTTGGTGTGCATGGTATGGCGCCGGTGTTTATCTGTGGCCGGTTCGCGGGGCTCAATCTTTCGAGCATAATAGTCGACCTCTGTCTGCGTCGAAAATCGACCAGCGGCGTACAGATTGTACCGTTCGTTATCAACTGCAGCCGACGCGGAGGTTGAATCTTCAGGGTCTTGGTGCTGCTCTTCCCACTTCTGAGCTAGAGAGTGGATCTTGCAGGTAGTTGCCGGCCCTTTAGCTCGAGGATTGAGTTGCTTCGCGTACTTCCGAGTTAGTTTCTGCGTGACGTGGAGAAGTTTCGTCTGCAGTTGGTTTTCCTGTTGTCGTAGAGCTCTACGCTCCTGCTCGGCCGGGTCCACTTCGCGCTTTGGTACGGGTTGATGTGGTTTCTGTTGTACCCTGCTTGAAGCTTTCACAGCAGAGTTCATGGCCAGATCCAAAGCGTCCTGTTCATTCTCTGGGTGGTCTTTCAGTGCTTTGATCTGTCGAGCAATCGCGCGCGAGAGTTCGGGGGCTGAAGCGGAAGAGTTGAGCATGCACTCCTCCAGGTCGGTGGTGCGAATGAGCTTCCCTGCAATTAATCGTCGCTGTACTGGCGTGCCATGAACGAAATTGGGTCTCTTCGTTGCACCGAGCGGCGGCGGGTCCTTCGGAAGTCCGAGCGTGTTCATATCATGCACGCGCGGCCTGTCCGCCTGTAGTTTGATAGTCAAAAGAATCGTTAGCCCCAATGATTGACTAGGGTGTGTTGTAGCTTTACATTGATCCATACATGTTGTGTTCGCAGTGACTCCGCCATCTCAGACTTGGCAAGTTGATGCATCTCTCGTCGAACCTTCGTCGGGACGGCTTGGTCTTGCCATGCAGTGACTCCATCGAGCGACGTGCGAGCGAGTAGGTCCAGTGTTGATAACCCCATCGGAGGATGCCGTACGAATGCCTCCACGTCTTCCACGACACCATTTCCATCGTGTACATTCGACCGCGGTGGAGCCATGACGAATGCTCTGCTACCAAGGCTACTAAGCGCCCAACAACAGACTAGGATAGACAGACCACCACACTACTGTAGTAACGCTCTAAGCACCGAGCTCAGAGCTTGCAAGCGAGGAAGTCGAAGACGTCTCAACTAAATAAAGAGCCTTCGCCATCTTGGCCTGATCCAGGATCTCACCCCGAGTCCTTATATTTGCATCTTGAAGCGATACCGTAACCAGATCGCGATGGTTCCTAGTCACAGAGGACCACTTCGAAACTTTAACGGGATTTCATCGAGGCAATACACGGGACTGAAGTGTATCAACGCTACTTGCTTCTCACCACAATCCAAGTCGCAGCGTTCAACTCAAGCAACCAAGTAACCAAGCACCACCGCAGCCATGATTCGGCCGGTGTCGCATCTCCAGATGCAGCGCGCGGGGCAGCCCCAGCTTCAGTCGCCTCGAAAGTCTCGCATCAACGCACTCTTGCCACCGTCGTCACCCCTGAAGCATTCGTCCACCATGTTCCCCAAGACACCGATCAAGAAACACCTTCGGAACGCGTCGGCGTTCGCATCCGAGACTTCTTCAGTTGGCGCCACTGCATCCGACGAAGACCTCGACTGCCTGTCGGGATCGCAGCTCCATGGCCCGCTTAAAGCCAAGCTCCGCGCCTCCGTGCTTCAGGCCGTGCTTCGATTGCTCGACCAAGACGTGGACGCTCTCGCTGGGGCTCACGAGGTGCTTCAAGCCGCTGCTGCACTCCCCTTGGCCGAACCAAAAGTGCAGCGCGCATGCGTGCAAGCTCTGCGTGAGCTTCAAGGTGTCGGCTCAATGCCGCCATCTTTTGTCTACAACTCCGGCTCAACGTCAAACTCGAACTGGGACGAATACGAGACTCCGGTGCCGCCGCCAAGCCCTCGAAAGCAGTCGGTTCGGTCGCGAAGCAGTGGACGCTCAACGGGCTCACTCCACCACTGCAAGGAATTCTTGCTCGCTTGCGCTAATGAGATCTGCGAGCTCGAAGACGATCGCCCGGTCCCCTTCGACTACGCTGAAGACACGACTTCCTCCAAGCAAACCGAGTCGCACAGTGATAAAATGTGCAAGCACTGCGGCGCAGCAAACTTCGACTACGCTTCGACCGTGCAGGAGTCCTTGGATGCTTCCGCTGATAGTGACGACTGCAGCGATGACGATGAAGATGATACCCGGGCCGATCAGGGCTCGCAGCTCTCCGAAGTCCTCCACCGTGCCGAGTACATGAGCGACGACGGAGAAGACGAATCGAGCGATGTGGATGCTCGGCCTTCAATGTCGATGCGAGATCGCGCGATCTGTCGCCAAGTTCTTCGAGCTCTGCACAGGCACTTGCAGTCCCAGCGTCGACGTTCGAGTGCCCCAAGCCTGGCACTGAAGTTCCGCGTCTTCGAAGCTCTCAAGCTCCAGGCCAGTCTTACCCGCAAGAGACTCGCGTTCCAACGCTTGAAGGTTGGACTTCGCGCACGTCCACAGCAACAACCGACGACGCCTAGCCCCGCTCTCGTGGCCAAGACCCGCACACCGACTCAGTCTTACACGATGTCGATGCTTGCGAACCACTCGGACTTGCTGCTGCTGCTCATGGCGCTGGTCTTCCTCGCCTTCCTGCCAGCCAAATACATCATGTAAGTTCAAGATCACCAACAATCGGCCGTCAAGCCCAAGCTCTTTTCAAGTTTCAATTAGGTTTCATAGAATTCGGGGATAGATTGATCGATCGATCGTTCAACGAGTAGCTGGCAAGCAGGCAGTCGGAAGTGCGACGTCGGAGGTCTCAACATAAATTACAATGGCGGCGTCTTAACACTCAAACCGGTCGCACACGAGCAGGTCGCGGGTTCCTTCGCCTCGCCTGCGCGTGAGTCTGCCAGGCCCCATTTCGAGCCTGGCAGCCTCAATTCACTCACTCACTTGCCTCGTTCCCCCTTCCTCCCCTCACTCATGCTTCTAACACTCGTCTTCCCAATGCTTTGCCTTACTGGAGGCCCGACGACCGCAACAGGCCGCCACTCCTCTCGGCCAAAAAGGTGCCGCTGGGCACGACGAAATCCGTGAACCGGCCAAAGCCGGAGCCCTGCGCCGCCAGCGCCACGTGCAGACACCGGAGCCACTCCTTCATCTCGCTCTCCGTGTACGCGCTGAGCAGCACGCGGCCCTTCTTGCCGCGAATGGCGAAGCGCCACATCGTGGCCGACGAGCCGTCGAACACCGAGTCGCGCGGCATAATCTCGATGCTCTTGCCGCTGCACTTGGCCAGGTCGATCTCGCCGCGCTTGCGGCCGTGCTCCTCGCGGAAGAAGGTCATCTTGGTGCTCGTGAGCACCACGAAGCGCACCTTCCAGCCGCCCGAGCGCAGGCCGAAGCCCTGCTTAAAGAGCAGCCCGGACTTGATGACGCCGCCGCGCGGCACGTTGGCGGCGCGCACCATGACGCTCTCGCGCGAGAGCGTGAAGCCGTCCTCGTCCACGATGAGCGTGCGCGGCAGACGCGTCGGGTCGCAGATGATCGTGTCGATGTCGTTGTCGTCGTCCTCGCTGTCCATGCGCTCGAGCAGCGGGATGGGGCCCGACGCGGGCATGGCCATGACGGCCAGCAGCGACTCGGCGCGGTTTAGGCGGTTGCTGTTGTTGACGTAGTTCTCCTTCTCCTCGTCCTCGTCCACGGTCGAGACCGCGCGCGCGTCGCGGTTGCGCGCCGGCGAGGGCACGTACGTGCTGCCGGCGTCGGAGCTGCCGGCCTCGCTGCGCTCGTACCAGTCGTCGTCGCTCATGTCGGACGTGCCCGTGGGGCGGCCGCTGCTGTCATCGCTGGGGCGGCCGATGGCGCGCAGCAGCTGCTGCTTGTAGATGGCGTTCTGGTGCTGCTGCGTCGAGACGCGCAGCATGCGCGAGGGCCGGAAGGCCAGCAGGCTGGGGCGCGGCAGCAGCTCCTCGCCCTGCGGGTCCATGACGGGCACCTCCGGGTCGTAGCCGTCGTAGCTGTAGCGGTGGTCGTCCTGCCAGCCGCTGGACTGCAGTACCGCGCGCGGGGCGGCGGTGGACGGCGTGGTCGGATCTCTCCTCGGCGCCATCGTCGTCTCTGTGGCTAAAGTGATGCAGTGCCCGCGCAGCGCAGTGCAGTGCAATGCAGGGCTGCGCCTTGGTGGGGAGGAGCGCGGAGCTGCTCGCTCGTTCGATCAGGTTTATGGTTACACACGAACTGAACACTTGGGAACGAGGCCGAGTACGCGAAAAAGTGCGGTCTGCAACAGATGCTGTTCCTGTGAGAATAGATGCGATGAATGGACACTGCGAGGTTTATTGACATCTGTTTAACAACATGTACCTGCCAAAATGGATGCAGCCACCGCACTTTCACCCGTACAACCGCGGGCGGGCCCTGCCGGTCACACAGTGGGATATTTCATGCAAGCGACAAGAGCGAGCCGCTGGCTCGTTAGCGGTGCTTTTTTAGGGGTGGCCGAAAGCTGAGGGCTGACTGGTGAGACCGCTTGCCAAGCAGTGCGACTGTGGACGAGCGGCCAGCGGGTTGCCCCCAGGCGGTGAACGGGGTGTCTCCAGGCTGAGGGCGCCGGCCGCTTCCTCCAGCCCAGGCCGCTGCCCTAGAACCAGTTGCCTTCCATGCCGCTCGGCGGGAGAATCGACTGAAAAAAGGCGTCGGCAGCAGCCGACAATCCACCATCGGATCTTACTGAGACGCTCAAAAACAAAGGGCTCGTCGTCCAGTGGCCTGTGGCCCGAAACAGCCGAGCGGCTGGGCTCCGATATACATGGCAGAGACGTCTCTGCTAACGGCAGCAGCTCAATTACCTAGCGAGCACCAGACTGTTATTACTGCGGCTTCCGGCAACCCGCGACTCGCGGCGCGACCGCGAGCGAGCTCCGCTTCGCGTGTTTGCATTCGCGCTCCATTCGGATCGGAGGTGGCTGAAAAAAAAACAAGCGGCAAAAACTCGATTGTCCCATCGCGTCGCGCGTGCACAACCATAGAGCGCGGCTGCTTCGTCGCACGGGACCGGCAAAGTCGCTGTTGGAACGTCCTCCCTCGCAGGCGCCGATCCAAATGCAAACGCCCAGCACTCGCAGTGTACATGTACCGCATTTGGCATGTAGAGAAACACACCCCATGTCATAGGCTTAGGTTAATTACTGCACTCGAGCCTAAAAACAATGTAAAATCCAAAAACTGGGTCACGCGATCATTTCGTACACAAAATTGGCAAGATGGTTGGTCATGCGGATGGCGCGGAGCGATCTCCTCTAGGATGGCGCTTAAGCTAGCAACAAGTCTAGGCGCCATCTACAACTATGTTGCACAGGAACCACACCACTTAACCAATTATCTACAGCGTTGCTACTTCTACTACCATCGCTACAGCAGCCGTGTTGTGCGCTCTCTCGAGCTTGCGCGTTGTGGTTCAACCTCGTGCTCCCCATATCCCGCACTCAAGCGCGCCTCAACTGGGCCCACACAAGGCGTGGCTACTAACTATCACTCCGACGAGGCGTATGCCTCCAAGTGCGCGGGGAGGGGGCAGCGCGACGTTGGCGAGCTCTTCCCCTCTGCCTTCGCGCACTTGGAACTGGTGGCTCAATGTGCATGCAAAAATGCGCAAAATACCCAAATTAGGGGTGTATCTCTCTACATGCGATCCCACGGACTTTTCTCTCGCATCTATGATTGGTCTAAAAAAGGTGTATCTCTTAAACCGCTGTAGCGCTCTACATGCGAAATGCGGTAAGTTAATAAGAAGTGTGCTCGACAGTCAGTCTGTCACGCGGCTGTACCATAATATCGGTACGATTGTCTCATTAGTCAATTCAAATCTCGCCAATCACAATCCTCCCCGACCTATTATAACGCCGCGCGCCGCATAAGTGACAGACGGATGGAGGTGAGCTTCAAGAAGAGCAGGCGCGCCAACGCCGGCAGGAAGCGCGCTCGGCGGCCGCAGGAGGACGCAGAGGACGCCCCCGATGGCGCAGGCGACGCCGCGGACGTGGAGCAGATCCAGCGCTCCATCCAGGAGCTGCGCAAGGACCAGCGCCTGCGCGACCAGCTGCTGAAGGAAGAGCTGGCGGCCCAGAAGTCGCGGAAGGCCCAGGAGACGCCCAGCAAGGCGCCCGACAACAGTGCGCAGTACGGCCTGCACGACCCCAAGAAGGACGGCGGCTCCACCAATCAGAAGCTGCTGACCCTGCTGGACGGACAGTTCACGGGCCAGAGCGCCACCACGGACAAGGACCAGCACGAGGAGCTCATGAACCAGTTCATCGAGGAGCGGCTGCAGAAGAAGAGGAAGACACAGCAGGTTTCAGCCAATGGGGACGGAGCTTCCGACGCTGCAGCGGCGCTCCGGACCGCGGAGGACAAGCTGTTCGAGCTGCCGGACAACTTGAAGCCGGACGTCCCCAGTAGCAGCAGCGCAGGGTACGACGATACGGCCGAGGGAGGGATGCTCATGGGCAACGCCGGCATTGCAGAGGTGGAGCTGCCGGCGTCCTATGCTGAACGCACGGAGAGGGCGACCAGGACGGCCCTGGAGCAGAGCAAAGCAGGAGGCGTGAAGAGGGATGCAGTGGGGGGACTGGCCAACTCGGCGCTGCCGACCAACTTTAGTGCGGACTTCAATCGACACAAGACGGACTATGTGGCGGAGATGAAGAGCCTGAACAAAGGTAAGAGTGGATTGTTTTGATTTGTGTGGAGAAGGAGGGAATGGCTAACGAGGTGTGATGTGGATGTTGTTGGGGCTGTAGATGAACAGCGCGAGCGGGGATTCCGTACTGGTACGTGGTGTCGCGTTGGAACGGAGAGTTGATCGGGTTGAATCTAATACTCGTGAATGCTGTTTGTTTGCACAGTCGGAAAGAACCAGGCTAGCGACGATCGCGCCGTGTCACGGTTCCGCAAGTTCGAGAGTCGCAAACTGCGATGATAAAGCAGAGTAAGCATAGCAACAACAGTCACATGAACTAAATGTTTTGGTTAGCTTTCCTTGCGCACAGGCTCTGACTTACCCCACGGCATTAGTTCCCATTGCTAGCGCTCCAATTGCGCTTGTAGGGATTGCCAAAATGATGCTCGTACCACATTTTCACCTCCATGTGTCCTCTGTTCTGTGCTAGCGCATAAATCGAGTCGTTGGGACAGTGATCCGTTCTCGTACGGATAAACTCCGAGGCTCGCAAGTCGCCACCTTTGGCAGCATCAAGCTCGCACCCTGGATACAACAAGTGTTGACGCACGCGGGGCCACAACCACTTCAGGACATCTAAGTTGTAGATACCTCCTGTCCAGGCCGCTTTCAGCGCTTTCTCAGACCAGGCCTTGGAAAGTTTCGGGGAAGAAGCCAAGACTTTCATCACTCGTAAGTGTCCCTGCGAGGCCGCCATCTCAAATGCTTTATCGGGGCATTCTTTAGAGCGACGAGACAGCAGCCAACTCGCCATTTCGATATGACCCCAACTCGCTGCTGCATTCACCGCTTCGTCCGAGCACGCCATCCCCAGCATCAAGTGTAGCCACTTCAGCACTTTCAAGTGATTGTTCCGTGCTGCTTCGTACATGGCTCTGTCGGTGCACCCATGATCAGTTCTGTGCAGGAACTTCACGACTTTGAGGTGGTTTTAAGCTGCAGCGTCGACCATTGCCCGTGCTGAGCATTGATCAATGCCGCTGGAGTGAAGCCAAGTCACCATTTCGAGATATCCAGCTACAGCAGCTGCGTCGATAGATCCCCGCGAGATTTTTTCACCGTGCGTATGAAGCCACTGCGCGACTTTCAGGTGATTGTGCTTCACGGCGTCCTCCATGGCCTTGTCAGTGAAACCTTCTCCACGATTGGCATGCAAAAATGCCAGTACATGCAGATGGCCATTCGAAGCCGCCGAGTCCATAGCAGACTGCGTACATCCTTCACGTCGATTGCCATTCAACCACTTCACGACCTCGAGGTGACCGCCCGCTGCACCTCCATCCATCGCCGTTGTCGTACATCCTTCCAATCGGTTTGTGTGCAATCACTTTACAACTTCCAGGTGTCCATTCTGAGCTGCCAAGTCCATCGTGCGGGTGTCAAAGTCTCCAATTTTTTTAGCGTGCAGCCACTTTAATACTTCGAGGTGGCCGCCGGATGCAGCTTGCGATGGACTGAACTCCCAATGCTCGCCAATTCCGATCTCGTAAATCCACTGAAGAACCGCTAAATGACCTCCCAGCGCCACCTTGGGCACGGAAACTTTGTACGGAGCTGAGCACAGTCCGTGCAAAAGTTGCGCAGTTTCCAGGTCACCTTTGAAAGCGACAGCAGCCACTGCAACCCCAACAGAGTACGCACTGCACTTCGCGTTCTCTAAGAGCCACTTGAGCAGGTCAATGTGACCCGCTACTGCTGCGTCGGCTACATCATACACGCACTCAGGATCTTCCGCCACCAACCGGTGAACGATGTCGTCCCAGCCCTTTGTCGAGGCGAGAGAAAATATCCTCCATCTGCTCCAATGCGCATCGCGAAAAGCTGCAGACGGCACGCTAGCGAACAACCACTGAAGTGCAGGCAAGTAGCCCATCTGGATCACGCCATCTATGCAAGTGCATGTAGTCTGATAGCTGGCTGCGTCGGGATACCGCTCGTACAGCAACTTGAGCGCCGTGAGTGCGTCTTCCTGCACCGTCATCTCCGTCGGCACTAGTTGCATCGCGTATCGATATTGTTGCAGCTTCTGGTGGTGAATCAACTCATTGCTGTTGTCAACTGAGTGCAGGGTCATGAGAAACAGACGCAAGCTGTTGTGCTTCACCGCTTCGACCAGCGAGATGTCCGGGAACAGAAACGCATGCAGCAGCCGCGCCACATGACCCAGACCCTCCACATCCGGCGCCAGCCGAGTCACAACTCGCGCAGAAGAAAACCCATTCTTCTTCTCCTTCTTCTTCACTCCAGCAAAAGAGAACAGTTATCGATCGTATTCGTGACAGTTGAAGACTTCAACGACGGAAAAAGTATCTGTTAGCCATTTCGCAACAAAATGGCTACAGTTCCCCCCGCTTCAGTGACGTTTTTCCATCTTCTGACTCTTTCAAGCGGTGGTGTAGCAATCGGCCTTCGCCACGTCACGAGCGAGTGCAGCTGCGTATCTGTAGCTCTCCATCTTCGTCGGCCATTTGAGCTAAAGTACCTACCATGAGCTGGCTCTGGGGCAATGAGACGACGGAGCAGGCGCAGTTCGTGGTGAGCGCGCTGCAGAGCGAGCTGGACGAGCGCGAGAGCAAGATCAAGGCGCTGGAGGCGGCGCTCAAGCGCGAGCAGCAGGACCTGACGGCGTTGCTGGAGGACGAGGTCAAGGAGCTGGAGGCGCGGCGCAAGGCCATCGAGAAGGAGCTGCAGGGCGTGGACGCGCTCATCCGCGAGAAGCAGAAGATCATCCAGCGCAGCAAGAGCGACGCGCTCAAGAACAAGAAGCAGTCGGCCAAGAGCAAGAAGAGCAAGGCGGCAGACGTCAGCTCCCCCGGGGCTGTAGAGGAGAAGCCCCAGGCTGCAGCAGCTGCTCCAGTCGCTGCCAGCAACAGCAATGGAGCTGCCAAGGAGAAGGAGGCAGTGCTGTCGCCTAGGGCCAAGAAGAAGCAACAGAAGAAGAAGAAGGCTGCCGCTGCTGCTGCTACCGAGAGGTAAGGAGGAGAAACTTGATGGTTCTTTGTCACTGAAGAGGAGAAGGCTGACGGTGATTGTTATTGCTTTGGTGCAGTGCTGCGGATGTGGCGGGTGCAGAGGCGGCTGAGTCCAAGGCCATTCTGCCAATGGACAAGAACTTGAAGATGGTGGCCAAGGAGGAGCCGAATGTGGCGTTTATTATCCAGCGAAGCAATGTGAGGGGGCGGTTCTATTTGCTGGTGTGGAAGGTGCCGGGTATTGATCGGTGCTTGTCGTCGTGGTGATGTTGTAGAACTCGAATACGGTGGTGTATGCGGGGTGCAAGTCGTCGGACGGCAAGTCGCTGGACGCGACGACTCCGATCAAGGTGTACTGGATCATGTACGAGAAGGAGGGCAACCCGCGCGAGGACCTCAACATGATTGAGCGGAACACAGCGTATGGTGTGACGTCCAAGCCGTCGGATGTGCCGGGCGAGCACCTGGCGAGCATCGCGTCACTGCGTGATCGCGACTGCGTGCTTTGTCTGGACAAGCACGGGAACGTGTTAGCGCTGACGACCATTAACGGCAAGAAGGGCATGGTGCTGCGGCGCGTGTTCGTGCAGATGACGACGAGCTGGGGCATCCCAACTGTGGACTACGTGGACATCTACGGCATGGATCCGAAGACGCACGAGCCCGTATACGAGAAGAAGAAGAACAAGTAACAACTGTGCGATTAGAGAAGAGAGACAAGAGGCGAGAGAGCCGCGGTCGGGTATGTGTGGAAATGCAGTGCTTCTTTCATTCTTTACACGTCTACGGAGTACGAGTCTAAATGGCACGGCGCATCATGACGATGGCCGCGGCACCGAGCGTCGTGCCCAGAACGCCGCGCAGCACGTCCTCAGGCACGTCCTGCGTAATATACTTGGAGGTCACGTACACACCAGCAGCGAGCGAGCCGCCGATGCGAGCGGCAGTGGGCAAGTGGATCGACTTGGCCCGCAGATTGAACACCGTCGACGACGCCGCCGTGGGCACGACGGACAGCAGCGACGTACCAATGATCGTGGCCTGGGGCATGTCGCTCGCTGCCGTCAAGTAGGACGTGATGAGGATGCCTCCTCCCAGTCCGCAGAGTCCCGAGATGAAGCCCGCTGCAGCACCAGCGAACACGTACTTGGCGTTGACCAATGCGAAGCCCTGCCAGTCGGCCTTCACCCTCTCCATGTACTCGGCCGAGACTGCAGCGGACGTGGCAGCCACGGACGGGTGAGCTTCGCCCTCCGGCACCGAGTTCCGAGCCTTCTCCAGGTCCTTCTGCTGCGGCACGAAGAACTGCAGGTCCAGCGGGTCCTGGCCGTCGCTCCACTTGGGCATGTACGGACTGTTCTTGAGGAAGATGAGCGGCGAGCACATCAGCATGGCGGAGCCCACGACCAGCGACAGCTTCTTGCTCGTGAGGCGGTGCGCAGTGCGCACGCCGTACTTGGTGGCGACGATGGCCGGAATTGTGGTGGTGAGCGCCAGCGGCACGTTGCAGGCGCCCGACTCGAGGTAGTTCCAGGCCCCGACGGTCGCAGCGATGGCCACCGCTCCCAAAGACGTGCCGTTGATGGCCTGCTGCGTCAGGGTGGTGAACTTGGCCATCGCCTACAGTTGGAGAGCATCGGAGAGAGATGGTAATGTGTTAGATAAAAAGGAAGCTGCAAGTGAGTGTGTGAATGGGGGAGGGGGTCTTACCGGAATGAGGATGATGCCTCCGCCGACGCCCGTGAGTGCCGAGACAACGCCCGCGAGGCCACCTATAGAGAATACAGTTGTAGAGCATTTGCATGTTGCATTGATGCAGTTGCAACAGACAAGCAAACGGTTGGAGAATGTTTAGAGAGAGGCAAAAGTGGTGCTAACTGACCAGTGGCGACGCCCACGGAGAGCGGGATGGCGGCGCTTACAGTGCGCTCCTTGGGTGCAGAGCACAGCACGCGGCGGCTGGGCAAGTTGCTGCGCTGCGCGTGGCGCAGCGCGGACGCGCCGGAGCGGCGGAGCGTACTCGCGAGCATCTTGGAGAGAAGCAAATGAGCCCGTTCCGGTGCCAGGTTGAGCAAGCAAAATCGGAGTCGCCAACAAAACCTTTCTTTATCGGATACTTGTAGCAAATTATATTGCCTGAGTGACGGTCTCTAATTATTAGACTTACACTTACCTTGTATAATGTATATAATGTAGATTTTGATAGGGTCAGGTTCGACACTCATCACCCATTACGCCGTTTCTAGTAGGCGACGTCACCGGCGTGACGCGCCGCCTGCTTTACAATATTTTCATTGACACAAAACTGCAATCCATTGGCGGAAGCTGTTGAAGTGCACTTTTGCAAAAAGTGGCGACGGATGTCACGTCGAGAAGGTTATGATCGAGCCATGCTACGCTGGGTGTTCACCAGGAAGGCGCACCACGGCAAAGCTGTGATTGCGCTAATTGTGCCCGCAGAACGAGGAGCAATTGAAGCGGGACCACCGCAAATGGATGCTCTCGTTCTTCGAGTGGCTAGCAGGGCTTTGTGGGCGTCCCTGAACAGCCTGGACACGCGTAAGCGTGGTGCTCTGACGGAACAGCCTCACAAATGGGAGACCTATCTTTTGTTGTTGAGGAGGCTGTCGATTCACGCCAGAGCCTCTGATCTCGCTTTTAGATTCTTGAGCCAAGTCAAGTTTCGCGCCATCCTATAATCATTGAACTGCTGGGCGAACCGCATCGGCAAAAGTTGGGTCACTCGAGGCCGGCGTTCAAGATACTTAGTACATGTTAGCTCTTCAACCTCTCTTGGACTAATAAATAGTCCTGGACTATACTTTGTATGCGTGAACTCACATTCGCATTTCAGTCATGTTGTCAAGGCCCGCACGTCGCCTGCTCTCGACGAAGGTGTCCAGGCCGCTGCAGCCCGTCACGAAGACCGAGTCAAAGACCAATTCAGCGGCCGCACAACAGGACGCAGGTGCCAAGGTCAATGACCGCTCGGACGCCAACCCGTGGAGCCATTTCGCCGCCTTTTCCAGCATGGACGACTACGTGGACGTGACTCTCATCCAGTACGGAAACGACGAGAAGACCAACAAAGACGACAAGGAGGAATGACGTTCGATGAAGAAGCACAAGACGCCGTAATGTACACAACTGCACAAGTTTTCTTTGCTGTCTTTTTTTTCTTCCCAGAAACAAAATATAAAACCTATTTTTTCTTACCTACGCCGGACGCCTAAATGAGCATGACCATCGGGTCGCCGCCGTCCTGGATGTACATGACCTTGTTCTGCTCCTCCAGCTCCACCAAGACCTTTTCTAAATCAGCGAGCGGCACAGCTTCCGCTCTGGAGCGACCGACGTTCAGCCGCGACAGGATGTCCGTCAGCTTGAGGCTGTCGTTCTCCTCGTCCATGTTGGCGTCGCTGCCCATCTCGGCCAACACAGCGAGGACGTCGTCCGCCAGCGTAGCAGAACTGTAACATAGATACAAAATACAACGGCATCAGCACACAGTCCAGCATGGTAACAATATCAATGGCGTTAACGCACCTCCAAGATGTGCGGTCTCGTTTCCTGGACTTCTCGGCCGCAGCAGGCTTCGTCGGTGTGACAGGAGCCTCGATCGCCATCTCCTCCATAGCCTTCTCGCTGCCCATCTCCGGCATCTCCGGGGTCTCCGTTGGCCTCGTTGAAACCGGTGCATCGCTTGAGTGGGTCTCGGTCGCGTCGTGGTACAGGGCGAAACTGACGAGGGCCATGGCCTTCTCCGCGTCGATTGCTTCGACCGTCTTGCTCAGACGCGCCTTCGCGTGTGCTGAGGCGAGACGAATCAGCGTTTCCAAACTACGAGCCGTCACGGGCAGTGTCCGTGCGTTCTGCTGGGAGCGCAGCTCCGCGTAACCTTCCGAGATGAGCTCGATCGCGCCGTCCGTCAGTACGGGCTGGTAGCGCGTCTTCGCGTAATAAATGTACTTCTTGAGGAAATCAAGCGTGAGGATGCCGTTGCCGCTGCCTTCGTATGACGAGGACTGGTACCCGCCGTGCAGCAGCGGGTCGAACTTCTGGAAAATGGACTTCTTCGCTTCGCCCGAGTTTTCACCATTGGCGTCGCTGAGCAGCGCCATGTGATCTGTGGAGCTCACCTCGAACGAAAGGGGAACACCCTCCTGGCCGGGACGAGTATACCTGTGCATGCGCAGCACGTGGTCCGAGATGTTGCGGTCAGCACCACGGTCCAGACGGTCGAGCACAACGAACAGCAAGTCAAAACGCGACAGAAGCGAGTCCGGCAGACCGATGTTCTCCTGAGGTTTTTTGTTCTTGTTGTACTGGCCGTAGACTGGGTTAGCAGCAGCCAGCACACTGCAACGCGCGTTCAGAGTGGCGTGGATACCAGCCTTGGCGATGGTCACAGTTTGCTGCTCCATGACTTCGTGAATAGCCACACGATCCGCTTCACTATAATCCAATGCCAAGTCAGCCATGTACACATGACAGGGAATGTCTTGAAGTAAGCAAAGCGTACCTCATCTTGTCGAACTCATCAATGCACACGATGCCTCGGTCAGCCAGCACCATAGCACCAGCCTCCAGACGACGTTCCTTCGTGTCGGGGTCGATGGTTACAGCAGCCGTCAAACCGACACCGGACGAACCCCGACCCGTGGTGTTGACGGCCAGAGGCGCGATCGTCCGGACAAAGCGAAGCAGCTGAGACTTGGCCGTCGAAGGATCACCCACCATCAAGATCTGTTCGTCATAGGAAAACTCGAGTTAGCACTTTACCAGCAGCCTCGCCCTGTCATCACTACCCCCACTCACGTTGATATCACCACGAAGATGCGTGCCGTTCTCGAGGTTCTTCTCCACACCACCTAGCAGCTGCAGCAGAAGTGCCTGTTTGATCTCAGCGTGGCCGTAAATGGACGGCGCGATGGAGCGAGACAGCATGTCGAACGCGTCCTGGCGCTTAGCGAACTCTCGGACGTTCACGAGGTCGTCCGACGACATCACAATGCCGTTCACCTCCTTGCCCATCAGCTGCACGTTGTTGGCGATCAGCACCGTCCTGAAAACTGCAGTCGACGAGGCCGTGCTGTTGCTGCCAAGCGGGCGGTAAATGCCCACGACCCGAATTCTGTCACCAGGCTTGCACTTGTCCACAATGTCGTTCTCCACAATAACCTCACACGACCTGGGCAACTGTCCCAGCGGCGCCGTCTCGGGGGTTTCCTGCATGCTGATCATCTGGTAGTCCTTGTACTGCGAGAGGCCAAACTCGGTCTCGAGCAAGTTGCCGTTCTCGTCCTTGGTCGGGTAGACGCTGGACGTGGGTGCTCCTGTGATAGACGTGTTGTCCCTGTACTCCCTGGACAGAATAGCGTTCGTCTCCTTGCAGTAGTGCACGGAGCGCACGACCTTGGGGCGCACGGCCGAGCACTTGGTCACGATGCCGTGCACGCACACCATCTGTGTGAGGTACGAGGCCAGGAGGCCCCTCGGGTTGACGTTGTGGTGGCCGAAGTCGCCCTCGAAGCCCACGTGGAACTGCATGTCCTTGGTGTTCTCCGCCTCCTTGCTGCCGTACATGCTGTCCATGTTGAAGACGAGCTCCTTGACGGCCTCCTCGAAGGGCGGCACGAACTCGGCCGGGTTGCGCAGCAGGCGGTTCACGATGTTGTCCTGCGCGCCCACGGCCGCGTCCGTGAACGAGCCGTCGTACTCGCGCAGGTCGTTCAGGTCCACGACGAGCCGCGTGCTCTTGTGGTGCATCATGCTGCGCAGCTTCTCCGAGTAGTTGCCATAGCCCGCCTGCACAGGTTTGTGACACAAGTTTGTTTTTAGTCGCACTATTTATTTGGCAGGGACAAATCGGTGCGAGCATAGCAGCCCACGCACGTCGCTCTCCAGGAAGGTCTGGAAGTACTGCTTGTGGCGGCGGAAGGCCTCGTCCAGCGCGTCCTGCTGCAGCTCCATGGCGTCCGTCCGGGTGCTCGCGCTTCGCTCTTGCCGCGCGCGCGAATTTCGAGTGGCCCTCTCCCTGTTTCAAAACCGGGCAGTGTATCGGGGGGATCGGAAGTGTGACCTAATGCGCGCTGATTGGCTAGAGCTGGAATTCGAATTTGAATTTGATGTTCCCGCCAATCGCGTTTGACTTGGAGAATGTATGGAGATCTAATTTTGGGGCAGATGGTGCGGAACAGGCTTGACGTGGACTATTTTGAAAGCTGCGACGTGTGAGGAGATGGCTACATGCTACATGACGGCGCAGACCTCGGACGTGACCCGCACCACGTGCTTCTTGACGAACAGGTAGTTGTGCGGACGCTCGTCTTCCAGCGCCTTCTTCTTGCGCTGCAGGTCGGCGATCTCCTCGCGCAGTTTCAACCGCTCTTCGTCGCCGAGACGCGCCATGCGCTCCAGCTCGCTGTTGATCTCGACGAGCTCCGCCACCTCGCCGCGATGCCGCTTCACGGTGCTGCAGATCCACAGCACCAGCTTCGTGTTGCTACGCAGCGACTCGGGGATGTCCGTCAGTCCGTCGTTGCCCTCGCAACACACTTCTTCCAGCACCGGGCAGTCGCACAAAGTGTGAGGCAGCAGAGTGAGCTTGTTGTGGCGCACATTGAGCACGCGCAGGTGTTGCAGTCGTCCCAGCTCTGGCGGTACTGTAGTGAGGTCGTTGTAGGACACGTCGAGCTCCTCTAGACGCTCGCAGTATTGCAGCTCGTTGGGCAACTCCTCGAGGCGGTTGCGGTGCAGATCAAGCTTGCGCAGATTTACGCATCGAGCGATCTGCACGGGGATGGAGGCGATCCTGTTGTTGGCCAGTATGAGTTCGCGGAGAAGCACGAGGTTGCCGACCGCCTCGGAGATGTGCACGAGCTGATTCCGGGACACATTGAGCACCAGCAACGAGTGCGCGTACGTCCACACCACCTCGTCCAGCGTCACCCAGTGCTTGTCCTGCAAGTCCAAGATTCCGTTTTCGTCGGGTATCAGCGACGCATCGACAAGCTCCTCCATGGTGCTCGCTCAAGTGATGAGGTTCGATGCTGCATTCATGGATGTAGCAGGTCTTGGGGGCATCGCAACAAGAATAGCAACAAGCAGTTTCAGCTTCACTCCACCCCAAAGGCAGATATGAGCAGTTGTGTTTGTTGCTGTGCAATCGAGTGCCATTAGCAGGCAGCGCATACTGAGGTGATCTAATACGCCCACAAGAAATGGCGTGCAACATGTTTTTATATATACTTATGTATGTAAGTATGTCGCACTGTAAAGGGTGGATGGCTACACCGATCTTCCTCGAATCTGAGGATCTCATATGCTGAAGTTGAAGTGACTCACTGCATGAAGATCAAAGATCACAACTCATACTCAATGCATAAGTTCGCAATACTACATACTAGTATGATAGCAACTCAACGCACTGCACAAAATGGCCGATGAAGTGCTCGTCGCTACAGAATCCTCGACACCGCCGTGAACTTCAGCGGGCCCGCCACTGAAGTTACGGCCATATGGCTTTGGCGCAGTGGTTGAGCTCGTTCGCTGAAACTTGCCAGCAGTGCAATCATCTTCCCAGACCATATTCCGTTTCATTTCGCTGGCACCTTGAGTGTGGAGATCCCCAGCAAAAATCGACTATCCGTCGCGTCTCACCGGGAATCGAGTGCACAATCGCGTATTTTGGCAGATCCCAAGTGACTGCAGTCTGTTCTGCCTGAGTCGAATGGCGCTCGAAAGAACAAGAAGCCCCTACTCGATCGCGTGGGCTTCGGAGTAAGACAGTAGAAGCTGCGATGTGGCCCATGGCTTTGGAATCGAGCGACAGCAGAAAGGAGCAAGCGCTTCGCTTCACCAAGAAACGGACAACGCTTTCGCAATGAAGCTCGAACAGGATATTTGGTTCCTGCTTCGGGCTTCATGCTGGCCAAGCAACTCGGTGGTTATTGCCTTCCCTCAGCCATTGTTCCATTTGCCAACTACAGCTCAACACCGTTTAACCAGCAAACCGGAACTGCGTTGAAGCTGCAACACAATGTTCAGCAAAATCCTACGCTCGCGTCTCGTGCTTGCCGCCATGTCCTGCGCTGCTCTCGCTTTGTCGTCTTCGATGGGTTTAGCTGCTGCCGAAGAGCTGTGCTCAGTCGTCCCGTACACGTATGGTCTGGCCAAGTCAAGTTATCCGCAGCTCTCAACAGCTCTGGGTACGCTGGAGAACTACGCCATTGCCTCGTGGTTCACGGACCGAATTTCGACTCAAGATCGAGCCAACTTGATGTATCGCATGCTGAACGAATGCCCCGACGAGTCTCGACTCAGTATCGTGGTCTACGGTATCCCCAACAAGGATTGCTCAGGTGGCTACTCGACATCGGGGAGTGTGACGAGCTCAGCCGCGTATCGATCGTTCCTGAAAGAGCTAACGGACGCCGTTGGCGATCGCAAGGTGCTGTATGTCGTGGAACCCGATGCCGTCGGCCTGCTATCGCAAGACAACGGATGCGGTGGGCCGGCGGGTTACCTCGAAAACCTCAAAATCGCAGTCAACGCATTGTCCGCGAATGCCAACGCTCAGCTGTACCTCGACGTCGGATACTGGATGCTGGCCGACACCACCAATGCCGCCAAGGTTGCGACTGTGATGCAGCAGCTCGGCAGCGCTGGGCGCGTCAAAGGTGTCACCATCAACACGTCCAATTATCGCTCCAACGCAGAGTGCGCGGGGTACTGCTCGACCTTCCAGAGAGCTATGGGCTCCGATGACATGCACTGCATCGTAGACACGTCCAGAAACTACAACGGTTCGCCCACGACCGACTGGTGCAACATCCCGACTGCAGGCATCGGCAAGCCGCCGACGTCCAACACGGGCTACGCTAACCTGGACTACTTCATGTGGATCAAGCCTCCTGGAGAGAGCGACGGCTATTGCTGGGGTGGGCCTTCCGCGGGATCGTTCTTCCTGGATGGCTTCACATTGTTGTGGAACCAGGGCTACTTTGTGAAGGAAATGGGCATGCCGATAATTGGAGAGACCTTCGCCCCTACATCAGCACCGACTTCTGCCCCAACTTTGGCTCCGACAGCAGCACCAACATCGGAGCCAGTGACTTGGACTCCGTCGTATACAACCGCCCCGGTGACTTACGCACCGGATACCACCGCTCCAACCACGGCTCCAGTGACATGGTCCTATGGTACCGGCGCATGCAGGACCAGGAAGCGCATGCGCTCGTAACTTAGGCTGCATTTCGTTCGTCCTGGTTCAAGTCAAGTCCAGTCCAGCAACACCACCACAAATTCATTCACATCATTTCAAAACTTTTTGTCCGTGAGTTTTCCGAATGCATTGCCTCCGTCGAGCAGCCAAGCTTGATACGTACGCACGCCACCCACTGGACACGAACGCGATCAGAGCATGCGAGAATGAATTTGAATCGATGTTCACACTCTCTAGTCAGTACAAGATGTGGAAATGAAGACACGTTCTACACCTTCTAAGCCAACCACGTGACCTTCTCGGCAATGGGCTTGCGCGCGCCCTTGGCGATCTTGGCGCCCTCCTTGGGCACGCCGACGTAGAACAGACCCAGACACTTGTCCTCCTCGCCGAGGCTCAGGTGGTCCTTCATCTCCTGCGACATGGTGATCGGCGGGCCTGAGCTCCAGTAGGCGCCGACGTTGTGCGCGGTGGCCACGAGGTGCATGTTCTGCACGGCGCAGGCCACGGAGCACATCTCCTCCCACTCGGGGATCTTGCCGCTCTTCTGGCGCTTCATGCAGATGGCGATGACGTGCGAGGAGGCCGTGCAGTTGAAGACCATCTTCTTGTACTTGGTCTCGAGGAACTTGTCGGCCGGCACCTTGCTCTTGTACACGCCCGCGAGCAGCTCGCCGAGCTCCAGGCGCTTCTCGGGGGACTCGAACACCACGAAGCGCCAGGGCTCCGTGCGGCCGTGCGTGGGCGCCCAGTTGGCGCTCTCCAGCATCTTGTCGAGCACCGCGCGCGGCACCTGGCGCGAGCTGTCGTAGTCGGGCGGGAAGATGCTGCGGCGCTCGGCGATGAGCTCCTCGGCCGTCCAGAGCTTGTCGCCGCTGGCGTTGCGCACCGTCGTCTTTGTCACGGTCTTGACCGTCTTCTTGCCGGCCGCGGAGGCCGCCAGCTCTACGCGCAGCTTCAGCGCGTAGAGCGCGAGGCCGACGGTGGAGGCCGAAGATACAATTGCGAGCGTCGTGGCGGTCTCCGGCATCTTTAAGGGAGTGCGCGGCACAGGGTGAAACGGAAAGTGAGCCAGCCACAGGTCCAGATGCGCCTGACGTAGCGGGAATGATGGTCGTTCGGTGGCGGGGAGTATTCGTCAGGAGGCTACTGCCACAGATGATTACTCGCAGTAAACTAACTTACTCTAGTAGATATTTAGCCAGAGGCTTGAGATCATGCTATTAATACCGACTTCCTCCGCTTGTAGTGGACAACCTCATATAAGAGCGTCCAATCATATCACAGGATTTGGAGGGTCTCCTCGACTCCGCTTATAAGTTCCGCACAAATCATATCGATACGTTTCCACCGGTAATATATCGGTGCGATGGAGCTTCCATTCATTTCACGCAGCTACGGCTGTAGTCTAGAGCTACCTGGACGCGGTTGATGCCAGTACCCACTACCTATGCTGGTGTTAAGCGCTGCTGCGGCACACGTATACTATACAGACGTTCGGAGAGTGGTTTGCTTGCCTCATCCTTACTTACACGATGCTGTTCCCATCGACCAATGACACATGTTACCGAGTTAGACTTTAATAAAAAGTTTACCTCAAAAATGGTCTGAAGGCAGGGCAAACCATTGCAACGGCACTAGCCTCACGCGGGCGCGTGGCGCTCAAAGCTTTGCAGTGGCAGCCTGTTGCCTGCCGCGAGGTGTCAAGCGCGACAGGCTCGCTCAGGCGGGTAGCGGCGTTGTGCATGACCACCAATAAAGTGAGCAAAGCGCAAAAAAGTGGCAGCTAATCGACTACTTGTACTGGTACCGGTTGCCAGATTCGGCATATCATTTTTGACGAGTGGTACATTGTACCGGTATATACCCTGTCCACTATAAGCGGAGGAAGTCGGTAATGGTCTGATCTACTTACTGGTACGTTTTGAAAATTCCCCCCCCCCAATCAAGTACCCGGCAGACGAGAGAAAGCTGTTGTCGGAGATGCCAAGTTCTCATCGAGCTAGGAACTGGACCGAAATGAAGTGGGCTCCCATGCTTGACATGCAAGCACACTACGTTCCCGACGCGCAGTAGCATTCACGACAATTTGTACAGCTGCTGAATTAACCTGTCTTTTTAGGCTTTTTAGATTAAAACGAGCACTACTGGCAGCGCGCCAAGCACCAGCGCCCAACTTACTTCCCTGGGACTCACTCGATGGATACTCGCCATCGGCTGCCGAGACGAGAGCTCGAAACTCGTTCGGTGTTGCTTCGGAAGCGCGCCGGTCACAGCTTGACTAAACATCCGCACAAATGAAGCCTTACCACTCTTCCCTTCCGCCGCAAGAGAGACACCACCACTGTCAAGGCAGAGGAAGGACGCACTCTGCTTAAAACCAAGCACAGCTTTTAAGAGATGTCGCGCTTGTCAGTACATGTAATACATTTCATACGTTTCTACTTGATTTGATTAGCTCATCGTCTGAAATCCGGTGATTGCTAAACCCGCCACTGACTGGTGTACGCCACACCGCCGACACGCTTCTTCGTCTACAATTGGCTGAACGGCGAACCGCCGACTTGATCATGCTCGCCGCACAAGCCCAGGCGGCGCTGCGTCGCGCCCGCCACGTCGCCCCTCGCGCACTCTCGTCGCTCTCTGCGTCGCCCTCTCTACAGCTTCTCTCCTCCTCCTCCTCCTCCTCCTCCTCACAGTGGAGCAGCCGCCGCCAGAATCCCTCGCCAGCCTGGCTTCTTGCAGCTTCAGCCGCTGGACTGGCAGCGACCGCCGCACTATGCGAGCAGACGCCGGAGGATGACGATGCAGCCCCCGTTGCCGCTGGGGAGGTGCGAAACGACCTGCCGACGTTCGGCTTCGAGGAGGTGCAGAGGCACACGGGCGCCAACCGCAACGGCACGTGGGTCGTGTACAAGAACGGCGTGTACAACATCACCAAGTTCATCGCGGCTCATCCGGGCGGCACCAAGATCCTGCTGGCTGCAGGCAATTCCATTGAGCCCTTCTGGCAGCTCTACGCGGCGCACAACCACGCAGACGTACACAAGATCCTGGAGAAGCTGCGCATCGGAAACCTCCGAGCGGAGGACGTGGAGATGCTCGAGGCGCTGCGCAAGGAACGGTACGGCGACGGGCCGTACAGCAAGGACCCGACGCGGCACCCGGCGCTCAAGGTGAACTCGAGCATGCCGTTCAATGCCGAGCCGCCGTCGGAGCTGCTCATGCAGTCGTTTATCACACCGAACGACTTGTTCTTCGTGCGGAACCATTTGCCAGTGCCGGACGTGGATGCGGAGAACTTTACGCTGAAGATTTCCGGGTTGGGGATCGGTAAAAACAAGCAGGTCGAGTACACACTGGATGAACTCAAGAGCAAGTTCAAGCACCACACAGTGACGACGACGATCCAGTGCGCTGGCAATCGGCGTGCGGAGATGTCGGGCGTGAAGCAGGTGAATGGACTGAGTTGGGACACCACGGCGCTCTCGACAGCGAACTGGACGGGCGTGCTGCTGTCAGACGTGCTAGCAAGTATCGGCGTCACTGACGAGGATTCGCGAGAGGGACAGTGTGACTGCGAGGTGGGGGAGAACATTGGCACATGTGATGACTGCAACGCCGTTATCCAGCACGTGCAGTTTGAAGGACTAGACTGTGACACTGAAGGGAAAACGTACGGTGCCTCGATCCCCGTCGCTACGGCACTAGACCCGCGGAAGGACGTGCTGCTGGCGTTCGAGATGAACGGTGAAACCATCCCGCGTGACCACGGCTACCCGTTGCGTGTTATCGTGCCTGGTACTGTTGGAGCTCGAAACGTGAAATTTCTGCACCGTATCGTGCTCTCAAGCGAGGAAAGCCCCAGCTTTTGGCAGCAGCGCGACTACAAGGGCTTCCCGCCCAACGTTGACTACACCCGCGATGACTTCTGGAAATTTGCTGGTGATTCTATTCAAGAGCTGCCTGTGCAGTCTGCGATTACAGAGCCCAAGAACGACTCCGTGCATTTTGTGGACGATGCTACAGACAGTTCGATTGTGGCTGTAAAGGGCTACGCTTGGAGTGGAGGTGGTCGCAATATTATTCGCGTGGATATTTCAGTGGACGGTGGCAAGACGTGGACACCCGCGGAGCTGCACGAGTCTGGAAAGCGTCAGAAGTACAACCGTGCTTGGGCGTGGACTCCGTGGGAGCTGGACGTGGAAGTTCCGCCAGGTACAAAGAAGTTGGATATCTTGTGCAAGGCTGTGGATGCTTCCTACAATGTGCAGCCTGACACTATTGCCCCCATCTGGAACATGCGCGGCGTACTCAACAACGCCTGGCACCGCGTGCACGTCTCAGTGGAGGAGTCGGAAGAAGAAGAAGAAGAGGAAGAAGAAGAAGAGGAGAAAGAAGACTAAAGTGATGGGGTTATTGCGAACTTACACATGTAAAATCTTTCTCATAACGCAATGCAAACGTCATATATCTTCGGGTCTTGCTAATGCTTGGGGTAAAGCACTCCACGCACGGTCTTGAGCATGATGTCAGACCATTGTGCAATCGTCTCGCGCAGATCCTCGAAGTGAGGAGTAGAAAGTGGGAACTCGGGCCGATACACCTTGTAGAACGCAGCACGCCTCATCGTGACAACTACGCCGTCTAGCGGATCGTTTATCTGACGTTTGTTAGCCGTGAGCACAACTGCTGCCGAGATATCCTTGCGAACACGCTGGGGGCTGTAGGGGTACTTTTCATCTTCATTGACCGAGTCCGAGACAATAACAGCACAGGGTTCTCCACCATACCCTTCATTCCCATCAAGCATCGCTCGAAACGACACTACGTTGCCTTCTGTCGTGATTCCATGCTCGTTTGTCGAGATGATTCGGGTGTGGAAAGCTGCATCCCCAATAGCATCATAGTCTTCGCGCAGCGTGATGTGGCACAACTCCTCGGAGACGATGATTTCCATGTTGTTCTTGTAAAACGACAGCGCGTCATAAACTTGCTGAAGCGACTTGACTCCAGGGAACTGGATCGTGTCGAATCGAACGCTGCACAAGTCGCCGTGCTGGTTTTCGAACTGGTTCTGGGAGAACTGCCTCTTCATCGGATCGTTCACCCGTCCAGGGCCCACGATGAACTCCAACGCAGCTCGAATCTTGACGTCCCTCAAGGCCAACAACGTCGCACGTCGCTCCGCCCAGTCCTTCGTCAGACTGATGCGACTGTAGAGTGGGTAGTGCTGCTGGTCCGTCAGACACTGGGCCAGCGCCGACTGCATCTTGGCGACGTGCAGCTGCTGCGTGCGCGTCGCGTACAGCAGCGCCGAGTACTCGGCAGCCACCGGCCGCAGCACTGGGTCCCTCTGCAGCGCCACTTGGGGCGACGCGCGCCTCATCTTGAGCACGGCCACGCCGGACTCCAACAGCCGGATCTCCTCCTCCAGTTGCTCCTAGCAGTAAAATACTTTTAGTATCTGTTTCATCTTTAGTTTTGAACCCCCGGAAGAGCGCTCTCTTACCTTCCGGTCGGCGTGGCTGAGTTTCCGCCTCTTGTCGGACTTGAGGGCTCGCGCAGGAGACGAGTCGGGGCTCAACTGGTCCACGCGGTTCAGCCCATTCACAGCCGCCAACGTTTCCCCAGTCAAATTCGAGACACGAAGTAGTCAGCCCTAATAGAAGCCCCGATGTCGCTGCCAAGGTATCTGCGCTCGATTGGAGCTCCTCGCCAAGCTTGTCGAGCATTGCACTCGGACGTCTTCTTCTATCGCTGGGAAGCGGCGCTGGCTGCTACCGACGCTCTCGACTGCTGGGATTGCTGCCATCGCTGCTGTGACGCTGCGCGATGACGAGGAAGTTGTCAGAGCGGGGGAGGTGGAGCCCCAACTGCCGACGTATTCCATGCAGCAGGTGCAGTAGCACTCCAAGAGCTCCAGGGCGTGGGTGGTGTACAGGCACGGAGTCTACGACGTTACGGAGTTCGCAGGGGCCCACCCAGGAGGTAACAAGATTCTGCGGGCGACGGGGAAGTCCCTGGAGCTCTTCTGGCAGCAATCGGAGCCCCATTCGCGAGCGGGCGTCCCGGAGACGCTGGAGGAGCTGAGGGTGGGCAATTTGAGCGAAGAAGACTTTGACAGGCTCGAAGAGCTGAAGAAATTGCCCTCGACTAGTGACAAGGAGTGTGCGATGAGAGAGGTCTTCTTTTTTGAAGGTTCTTCGGTGCCGGAGGTGAATTTGGAGGGGTTTGAGCTGAGGGTCTGCCGGGTGAAGGAGACCTCGCTGTCGCTGGCGGAACTCAAGACGCGCTTCAAGCTGCACAGCGTTACCACGACGATCCGCTGTGCTACGTCTCGCGCTACTGCTGGCTCTGGAGACAAGCAGTCCACAACGACTGTGCGAGTTCCCGCTGAGTGGACGGGTGTGCTGCTTGCCGACGTGCTGGCGTATGTAGGGACAGCAGCGGCATACATTGAACAGGTACGTTTTGAGGCGCTGGATACAGATGCCAAGGGGAAAGCGTTTGGCGCCTCCATACCGGCGACGACGGCTTTGGATCGAGAAGTTGGCGTACTGCTCGCGTTCGAGATGAATGGCGCTCCGATTCCCAAAGAGCACGGCTTCCCGCTTCGCGTCGTTGTTCCAGGAACGACGGGCGCGCGCAATATCAAATTCGTCCATCGCATCATCCTCACGTGAGGGCGGTCCGAGGCCCGGTCAAGTCAGAGACAACGAAGCTGGATGAACAGGTTGTTGGCTCTCACGAGTGAGTTGCGTTCGTGTTTTGATTGAACCTTGCAGATGTTGAACGAGAGCTGCTTCGAGACCATGAGGCACGCCCCCCCCTTCAGTTTTGGTGTCTCTGGCGCAATTGTGTCATCCTGACAACGACAGACAGCGGAATGACTCCCCCGGTGGTGTTAATTGAGAACGGAGCTCACACTTTTCGGCTACTGTACATGTAGCAGTTGCTCTTTTAGCTCAGCAGTGGTTTCAATAAGCTCACGGGTGCTTGATGGAAATACTCGTACATTGGTACAGTCGGTGTTCTCACGAGAGTTCTCGGTCTCGAGCCGTGAACGACTCGACTCCACCGAACCGGCTGTGATGGTGCACATCCGAGTACGAATCCTCCGCCTCGCCACCTGCGCGCTTCCGACCGCTTCGTCCTGAAATTAATGTATGGGGTCACGCCCAAGATGCGGGGATTGTGATCAGCTCAGCCGCGTGATCCCCTGACGCGTGCGTAATATGCGGTGTCCGAATCAAGAACCGTGCCATTTCCCATTCTGCGTCGAGCTGCAGACGCGCTGGTCGCTTGGACTCGACTCGACTACTGAAGGCACCGATGCTGACGATTCGATCGCTCGCGGCGTCGGCTCTCGCCTGCGCTCTGCTGTCCGTGAGCCCGTCGCAGGTCGCTGCTGACTACACGGTCAAGGCCGACGCTGCCACGACCGTGCAGGGTTCTTGGGACGGGTGGGGCACCTCGCTTTGCTGGTGGGCCAATGTCTTCGGAGAGCGCGCGGACATCGCCGACGCCCTCTTCACGCTGAACGAGACGGTGACGCTGGACGGTGCGACGTCCGGCATCCCCGGTTTGGGCTTCAACATCGCGCGCTACAACATCGGCGGCTCGAGCAGCAACGTCGTGGACGACAGCGGCACTGAAGTGGCGATGAAGACCTCCGGGAACATGCCTGCGTTCAAGTTCATGGAGAGTTTCTGGCTCGACTGGATGAGCAAGGACCCCACGTCCACGAGCTGGAACTGGAAGGCCGACGCCAAGCAGCGTGCCATGCTATCGCTCGCCAACCAGCGCGGCGCCAATGTGCTGGAAGCGTTCTCCAACTCGCCGCCTTGGTGGATGACCAACAACCGCGCGACGGCCGGTGGAGATGACGGAAAGAAGGATAACCTGCAGGACTGGAACCACGACGAGTTCGTGCTGTACCTGGCCACGGTGGTGAGCCGCGCCAAGTCGGACTGGGGCATCAAGTTCACGTTCGTGGAGCCGTTCAACGAGCCGTCTGAGACCTGGTGGCAGTACCCGGGCAAGCAGGAGGGCTGCCACTTCTCGGTCGACACCCAGAACGCTATTCTGCCGCTGTTGCGTAAGCAGCTCGATGCCCTTGACCTGCAGGACGTGGCTATCGCAACCTCGGACGAGAACTCCGCTACGGAGACACTTGCGACGCTCACCACCATGTCGACCAACGCCGATGTTATGGGAGCCATTGAGAAGGTGAACACACACGGTTACCAAGGACTTGAGGCGTACCGTGGCCCGGACCGCGGGCCTCTGAAGGACCTCGCCAACAAGCTCACCAAGAGCCTGTGGGACTCCGAGTACGGCGAGAGCGACGGGACGGGACTGACCATGGCCGAGTCCATCGGCCTCGACATCAACGAGATGGGCGTGGCGGGCTTCGTGTACTGGCAGGCGCTGGACAGCGGCGGCTGGGGCCTCATCCAGTCCAACCCGGGCGACAACTGGATCGGCACGCCCAACCCCAAGTACTACGTGCTGGCGCAGTACTCGCGCCACATCCGCCCCTTCATGAGCATCCTCGCTTCGGACGACGCCAAGACGGTGCTGGGCTACGACTCGGAGAAGAAGCTGCTGGTGGTCGTGACGGTCAACACGGGCGACGCGCAGACGATCACGTTCGACCTGGCGAGCTTCGCGACAGTGGCCGGACCGATCAACGCCTGGACGACGGAGACGAGCGGCAAGGGGGCGATCTACAAGGCCAGCACCGTCAAGCTCTCGGGCACCTCGTTCAGCGCCGCCTTCCCTGCGGCCTCGGTCATGACGTTCGAGATCGAGGGCGTCACGCTCGCTGCTTAGTTCGGATATATATATGGATAGTGGACGTAAACTGCTGGTCAATTAAAACCATGGTGAACCCAGACAATACCGTAAGCTGAAGTTACGTCTTCTCTGATTCGCCAATCGGCACCAATTTTAGTCCAATCCTGCTGCCTCGTTTTGATTGGCAAGGCGTCAATCGTGCGGTTGTCATGGCGAGTGCTCGAGGTGTCGCCAACACCGTCTTCAGGATGCAACTACGCGGCCGCAAGCGCGATTTCGCTTCATCTGCTGCGGTGACCACCAGTAGCAGCGCTTCAAGTACTACAGCCGAGAAGAAGAGAGCCGTAAAGGCCAAAACGGCGTCTCTAGGGGCGAAATCCGCTGGGACGAAGGTGGAAGTAATTGCGCCGTCCAGTTCCAAGTTCCCAGTGCTGTCAGCGTTGACGGAGCGAGTGAATCAAAGCTCAAGTGACTCTAAAATTCTGCTGGAGTACTCAAAGCTGGTTCCGGCGCGGCTAATTCGACGCTACAAGCGCTTCCTGGCTGATGTCGTGCTGCTGGATGGAGGTGTCAAGGACGACAGTACCAAGGCAGTGACAGAGGCCGAGGAACAGGAAGAAGCGGTGGTGACTGTGTACTGCCCGAACACGGGACCTATGGTGGGGCTATTGGACGGACTACCGAACGCTCGGGTGCAGCTGTCCAAGAGCGACGACCCCAAGCGCAAGTACGCGTACACGCTCGAGATGATCCAGATCGATGTGCGTAACGTTGCTGCTGTGAGCTGTTAATCGTGGGTGGGTATTTACAGTAAGCTAACGCTGTATTTTCTGATGGAATGGGGTAGAACGGAGAGCGATACGTTTGGGTTGGTGTGCACTCTACTTCTGCGAACCGAATGGTAGAGCAGGCGCTGGCATCGCGGTGGTTTACTGAGCTTGGACACTATGATTCAGTTCGTCGCGAGGTGAAGTTTGCCAAGAACAGTCGCGTGGACTTCGTGTTGACCACAAACGCTGAGGATGGCAGTGTCGCTCATGAAAAGTACGTGGAGGTGAAAAGTGTCACGTTGGCACTCGAAGGAACTGGGGACGAGGACGCGTCTCGCTGCGCTGTGTTTCCCGATACGGTGTCAACTCGTGCACAAAAGCACGTCACTGAGCTGACTGAGCTGCTGTCCGCTAAGGTCAAGTCTGACAAACCCAAGAAGGGGTCCAAGAAGGAGAATACTGAGGCTACAGCAGCCAAGCTGAGTGGAGCTATCATATTCTTGGTTCAGCGCGACGACTGCAGCGAGTTCGCTCCTTCTATCCAACACGACAAGAAGTTCGCAGAGCTGTGCTCCGTGGCAGCCAAGAGTGGAATTCAACTACTGGGGTATTCGTGCGCATTGAAGCCTGATGAAGCGAATAGTTCTGGGGCTGTATCCCTGCTAGGGCCACTACCGCTGCAAAAAGCTGCGCCGTAGCATGTACGAAGTAGAATTTTATGAGTATGCAGTAGCATACCTATAAAGGACACGGTGCTTCCAGGCGAAGGCAAACGCGCAAGATACGTTTTACTAGCAGTAGCATAGGGCCTTGCCGATGCTGATTGCAGTGGAGGACAATTTCGTTCGATATATGCTAGGGAGCCTGAGGCATGACTACGCCGACAAGGAGCCAATGATAACTATTTTGAAGTGTTGAAGCTGGATACATGTAAGTCTGTGTCTGGGCAGTATATATGGTATTCTCAGTTTAAGGCGTTGCGTACACGATGTTTCGAATGCTCTTGACCATTACGTCAGTCCACTGCATCATGTCATCGTGCAGCTCTTCCAGCGCGAGTTGAGAAAGCGAGAACTCGGGCCGGCGTATTTTCAAAAAGGTAGCGCGCCGCATCGTGACAACCAGTTTCTCCTGAAATCCACTTGCTTCCATGCCTTTGCGTGCGTCGCTCGTTTGCCTTTTGCTAGCCGTCAGTATAATTGCACCTGATGAATCCCTTCGAACGCGCTCACTTGAGCGATAGGGATACAGTTCGTCCTCATCGACGCAGTCGATTATAGCGATGCCGCAAGGCTCACCCCCGTATTCGGCATCGTCTTCACTGAACATGTGTCGAAAGGAGATAGCGTTGCCCTCCACTGCAATGCCGCGGTTGTTTGTAGAAACAAATCGGCTATGGAACGCTTCGTCGTCGATAGTTTCGTAGTCATCGCGTAGCATGACGTGGCCGAGCTGCTCGGAAATTATGATCTCCATACTGGTCATGAAGAATGATAACGCGTCGAAAACTTACTGGATCGAGATGACGCCGGGAAATTGAACCATGTCGAAGCGAATACAGCACAGGTCGCCTTCCTCATTCTCGAACCGCCTCTCGGAAAATTGCGTTGAGCTATGACAAACTCGTACGCGCGGCGAAGTTTATCGTCTTGCATCCCCAAGAGGGTCGAGCGTCGCTCGCTCCAGTCCCTAGATAAACAGATCCGGCTGTGGAGAGGATAGTAAGGTTGGTCGATCTGTTTGCCAACATTTCACCGAGCGAGTCACGTTACCAGAAGTGAATAAGGCTGAGTGTGATAAAAGTATCAAGCACTCACCAATGCTCGCGACAAAGCGGACTGCATCTTCGCCACATGAAGCTGCTGGGCCTGGTTTGCGTACCGGAGGACAGCTAGTTCTTGAGCAAGGGGCCGAAGAATGGGGTCTCTCTCCACCACTAAATGCGCAGGGAGGTTCTGAGTCCGCAGTAGTGCCGCGCGAGACTCCAACAAGCGAATCTCCATTCCAAGATGTTCCTGTAGTGGCAAACAGTTGACGAAGTTTAGCAGTAGCACCGCTGAAGGCGCGTACGTTAGTACAGCCGCACCTTTAGCTCAGCATGGTTCAGCTTGCGCCTCTTCTTAGAGCTGAGGCCCCTGGCACCAGTCCTCGGGCGATTGCTGGCGGTGCTAAGCATCCTTTTTTCGTACGGGTGAAGGTTATGTTGAAAGGTTACGAATGCTGAAGCCCGTGAAGCGGAACGCGACTGCCAGAAGCGTGGCATCGGCCAATGATAGCCAGAGAAAGAACAAGTGACTTGGAGAACTTCGTGAAGAAGCCCACAATATCATTTAGAACCAAACTCAGCTTCCCACTCCTCAAATCGACGAAGTTGGTCGTGGCCCACAGACTTGCAAACATTGCTCAAAGCCTCCGCAAAGTCCGCCTGCATGAACAGGAACTTGTGAGGTTTCACGGCCATGTTGTATCTTAGCACACAGAGTAAGAACACCCACCTTGGTGACTACAAGTCGTTCAGTCTCAAGCTCACGAAAATCTTCACCCGCTTCCATATCACGCCGCATTTTTAGAAGTAGCTCTGGCGTATATACTCGTTTCACAGGCATTCGCTTGGCTAGAATACCGGCCAGATCGACATTGTCAGACCCTCAGCTAATGACATGTGAGTCCAGGTCGAGCGTACCTGTTTCGCAGACGTTCGTGATATCGTCTCCGCTATAGCCCTGAAAAGCATCATAGTGAAACATATATTGTAAGCAAGAGGAAGTCGTGCACAGTTTACGCTACGCTTACCTCAGTTTCATCCACGAGCTCGTCCAGGCTCACATCTGGACCCACGTCAATTTTCCCCATGTTAAGCTGAAAAAGAGCTCGACGTGCCTCAGCTTCGGGAAGCGGTATATACACTCGCTTTGTTAGTCGTCGTCGCATGGCTTCATCCAATTCCCACGGGAGGTTGGTGGCCGCCAAAAGCATCACTCGACTGCCCTCGTGCTCCCCAGACGAAACGCCGTTGATTTGAACCAGCAACTCCGTCTTGACCCTGATCGGGCACCAAACGTCCGTTAGCAGAAGCAAAATTTGTTTCCGAAAGGTAAAACAGAACACGCACCTTCGGCTGGCTTCGTGTTCGGTTGCTGCACCTCTAGCTGACGCGATTGCATCAATCTCATCCATGAAGATGATCGAGGGTTCGTAGTAGCGAGCCATGTCGAACAGGATTCGAACCATTTTTTCGGAGTCACCTCGATACTTGGATGAAAGTGTCGAGGCGGACACATTGAAAAATGTCGTCCCACATTCGTGTGCGACAGCCTGCAGTGAAATACGTTTGCATGGTTAGCCATCAGTTCGTCGGCAATAATTCTCAATAAGTCGCTTACCTTAGCTAGCAGCGTTTTTCCCGTTCCTGGTGGGCCAAACATTAGCACCCCGTTGCAAGGCTTAAGAAGTCCATCCTGTACAGCAACGATAGTTTAGCCCATCTATCGGCACACATAATTCCGCAGTTAATGACGTACCGTGAAGAGGTGAGGCGCGATCTGCGGAAGCATGACAGTTTCTTGCAGTAGCTGCTTCGTATGCTCAAGCCCTGCGATATTCTCGAACGTGATCTTCTCCCCGTGATCGACAATATCCCGTTCGATAGCTTCAATAAGCTCTCGATCCACCCAGTCATTCTCTTTGGCGAGCTCGGAGTACTTAACTTTTCCCGCAATGGTCTCTAGGCCCGACTCGTTGTTGCTCGAGCTTGCTGTACTTTGAACACTCTCACGACGCTTAGAAGATCGCGGACCTTGTCCTGTTTTTCGCTGTTTCGCATCTGCGCTTGACATCGGCGAATCGCCACTCCGTTTCGCACCATTCCGCGGCTTATTTTCTGCCCAAACATGCAAATATTAATTCCCCCATACTTCTATCTACTAGCGAAGCAATGTTACGGCCAACCAATATAAACCCTCTTCGTTCTCGTCGATGCCGAAGCACTCTTGCGAGATTGCTGCAATTGCCGTGCTCTAAATATGACAAGCACGCCAAGTCAATTCGGACAATCATGTTGACAACTCAATAATACACTCATATCATACCTCACGACCGTCGTAGCGCGCGGCTCCCCACGGTGCATCCATAACGGCACCTGCCGCTCCCTTACTCTGTGTCCAATGCCGGCAGTTGGCACAGCGTGTTCAGCCCTTGACCGCCGCGCCGCTTGGGGCTTCTCCCACTACCCCCAACAACATTTACCACATTGACGCATTAGCAACAGCCCTGCAACTATATCAGTTCTCTAGTGACCCACACGCACCCTCTTGGTGGGCACTGGTTCTGTGGCGATGGTCCCGGCCGTATTCTCCTCTTGCTGCTGGCGCCGCTTCCTCTCCCTCGCGGCCCTGCTGCGTCTCTGCGAGTCCTGCACCTTGTTCGCGGCAAGTGTCAGATCCTGCAGCGTACTGCGATACTCGAGGATCGCGCGGTACTCGCGCTGCAGGTCCTTCAGAAACTAAATGCATGGTGTTAGTGGGCAAATTTTTAGCGCTATGAGCCCAGATTGAGTCGCACCTCGCGCGCCTCGGGATCTCCATGGAGCTGTGTCTCCAGCGTCTTCCGCACGGCGCGGAACTCCGGGATGCCCCGATCGTAGTCGCCCAGCAAGCACAGCTCCCGCGCGCGCAGCAGCGCGTATTGCGCACTCTTGGCCGATGCCGCCATGTTGCTCGCCATCTTGAAATGCAACAGTGATCATCACTCTTCTGGCGCCAATGCACATGATTGGCCAATACAAAAGTCTCTTTTCAGCGAATCGTATGTACGATTACTACAACTGAGCGATGTACCGCTTTAACCGGTACATCGCTCTCGAGGCTGACACGTAGCGGGGCATAGGACGTCACTCGACAGAACGTCGACCGGCAGGAGAGAGAGACACAGAGACCCCGCCATACACACACAGACACAGTAGCGCAGCCATGGTGGAGCTTACGGACCTGCAGATTGTGGCCATCGCGGTGACGGGCGTGACGCTGGTGCTGCTGGCGATGGCGGCGCGCGTGCTGCTGCCGAGCAAGACAGACGAGGTGGACGAGTCGCTGCAGGCCATGATCAACGGCTTCGACTTCGCGCTGCCCGAGGAGGTGGAGCAGTACCGCAAGGGCAAGGAGGAGCACCCGGAGGACACGGACAAGTGCTTCCAGCTGCTGTTCCGCCGCGCCGTGGCCGACATCCCGCTCATCCGCAAGATCCAGTCGGAGAGCTCGGGCATCCAGCGCCTCAAGAAGAACGACATCCTCAAGGACGGCTCCTACCTCAGCTACAAGCTGGCCGAGGAGATGATCAACGACGAGATCAACGAAGTGCGCAGGGAAGCCGAGGAGCTCAAGCCGGGTAAGCCTTTACCCCCTTGTCTTGGTCAATTGTATGTCGCCGATTGCTGACTCGTTGTTATTGCTGTTGTGCTTGTTGCTGCAGGCGAGGGCTGGCCCGACAAGATCTTCCCCCAGGCCGTGCAGTGTATGAACCAGATCGCTGAGCAGCAAATGGCGGCGCAGCGCAAGGCGGCGGAGGCACAGATGAGGGCCATGCAGGCTGCGCGCGAGAAGGCCATGGCACAGGCGGAGGCTGCTCAGGCCGCTGTCCAGAACATCGAGGCGCAGGTAGCAGCGAAGGAGAGCGAGGAGGAGACGCTGCGGAAGAGGAAGTAGAAGTGTCAAGGGGTCCGGACGCCCGTAGCATTCTGGATAAAAGCCCCTTTGGGTTTGGCCTTCACCTGCTTCGCCGCTCGCTCCGCTTTGTGAGATAGACAGTTTCGTTTGATTCAAATGGTGTCGATGTTGCATTCTATTGAGTGTCTTTAAGTGTCGTTAGTGGCTGCGGACGCCGCCATTTGCAGCGCATGGTCGACGCTGGCGATGTGTTGCAGTGTGGCAGATTGGAGCTCTCGCACTGCAGCCAGCGACAGCGCCAGCGTTGGGCCTTTCATATCTTCTATCTGCTCATGGTCTTTTTGAACGGTAACAGCCTTCGTCTGCTGCGGCAACTCAAGTTGGCTGTTCATGCCGCAGCGCACGCTGATCCGCTGTAGTTCTCGCGAGACAATTGCCTGTGCTTCTTGCCGCTTGGTGTGGCGTAGCATACGCTCCTCTTGCGACGCAAAGGCCCAGTCGCCGAACTCCAGCGCTCGGTAGATGTACGGACGATGCCGCAGTGGTGCTGACGCCAACGTCGTCTGAACCGAGCTCCCGTCAGCAAAAAAGAACGAGCAACAGTCGCCGTCGCGTTCAACCTGGAGGATCGTGCGATCTGCAAAGGCAACGCGAACGCGGCCATCACGGAATGCACGAAATCGCCCGTGCTCGTTTTCAGACTCCTCCACCAGCCCCAGTTCATCCGTCTCCAACGATGACGACGGAAGATCGTGACCACGAGCTTCAGCAGCGTACTTGAAGGCTTGAAGCACGTAGTCGATGTGTTGGCAAAGCGCATCCACAGAGTGACTCGTGCCCTTGTTGTCGATGGTGGACGGCGGAGGAATCGTTTCACGCGTGAACCGGTGCTGAGGTCGTCCTATTTCATCATACCACGTGTAAAACCCATCGCACCCCACCAGCAATGATCGCTCACAGTTCAGTTGAACCTGCTCACCAAACAATAAGCACCCGTTAGAGTCAAACACCGACAACTACGTCTAGACATCGTAGATCCCAAGCGTACCACAAATTCCGGAAGTGAATTCCCCTGCCTGCGTGACACAAGCAACGTTGCATCCTCCCCCACGACCTCCGCCACAACACGATGGTACAGGAACTTAGAGGGCAGCGTAGCCACTCGCAATATCTCGGCCAAAGCCAAACCACTTGCCTGCTCTCCTCCATCTCCCACAACGCCGTCGTTACTCGTAGCCATGATGGGAAACGCTGGTCGAGCAGCGAACGCGCCATTCCCGGGCAATTGCGACACAGATCCATTCACGCCGTCCTCCGAATCCCCACCTACAAACTCAATCTCTGCTTCACGGTCATTATCCCACGCTGCTTTCGCCGCCAGTAACGTCCTCACCGGCAGCTCAAAGCTCTGCGGCGTCTGACCCACCGCGAACGTCCGATGCAGCGTAGCGTAATGAGCGTGGCTGCTGTCCTCCACTTGGTCGTCCGAGACCTTCACTTCCACCACATAATAGAGATCCACCAGCTTCCCACTGGCTTGCACTCGCACTTTAGCCGCGCCCTCTATCGACTGCATCTCGAAGCACTTCTCCTGCTCGTTGTACAGCTTCGACACTTTGAGCTTCCCTCCTGACGCTGGCCACCTGGCTCGAGGCGCTCGGATGCGACGCTGCCGCCTCACGTCTTTTGCTTGCATTAACTGTACATGCAGATACGGCGGCTGGTCCGTGAACCGGTTGCGCTGGTTGAGTGTGTCGACCACCATCGGACGGTGACTGGACAGCGCGGTGGGCGTCAAGTGCCGCGTGCGCGTCCCGTCGGGATGGATATACGTGTACGTGTGGCCGGAGGGCTCGAGCACCACGGTGTGCGTCTCGTGTGTGTTGCGGTGGTAGCATCCGATTGCGCTGCCGTCCGCCAGCACCACGCAGCGCCGGCGCTTCGCAACTGCCGCCATTAGAATTTAGACCTCTTACCTCTTCTGAACCTTCCTTTTTCGAGACCACTGAGATTAAATAACCTATCTCAGTGGATCAGGTTGCTGGTTGAGGGTGGGCAAAGCAATTTGAGCCGCCTCGTGTCCCTCTGCGCTACATGTACTTACACGCGTCAAGCAAACGAGGGCGCGTCTGCAGTTCTCTAAAATATACCCCGAGTAAGCTTACATGTAGATGTTAGATGTGAAGATGCTGTTCCGATGAAGACTACTTCATGTTTTCGTTTAGCTTGTTTTTTTCAAATATGTACCCCCTCCACTCTGTCAATATTCGGGTGGCCTCGTATTCTTCGCTGCTGCTGCGCGACGTGAGGGAGGCGATACATACCAAAACATCGAGCCGCTCGATTCTTTGCTGTCTTCATCGTAGATGTTAAAATCGTAGATGTTAAAATCTACGATGAAGACAGCAAAGAATCGAGCGGCTCGATGTTTTTACTCGATTCGCGTCAAATTATTGTCTTTGATCTTGCACGAAATCGTGCGATACGGCATGTACAATGGGAAGTGGAGACACTGCGTCAACAGCTAGGGTCGTCAACATGAGGAGGCCAAACTTAAATGAGGGGATCAAGCCAAGCCTGCAGATATAATCACTCTCACTTCTGGCTTCACCAACTTGAGCAATTTTCAAGCCCTGTGTCTCGAAGTCGATATGCAATGGACCAGTGGTCTGGCACGGAGGTGTTTCCTGGTCGAAACTCAAAGTACGGTACTACGGACAGTTTTCATGCAGCGCGACGAGGCTACCGCAGCTTATGCGACGGTCCTAAAATGAAGTGTTCCTGTACCGTATTCGAGTGCACCGAACGGCAGCGTAAGAAATACTAATCAGATAACCTCGAAAATCGATCGATTAGCACCCTTATTTAGCTCGATCGATTTGTAAATCGATCGCGTCCCTGCGATGCATAATATGCATATTATGTGAGTTGGTGTGCAGATTAGACGATCGATTTATGAACGAGCAGTCGATATAGACGCGTTTGGAGCAGAATACCCACCTTTCACTGGGCAATCGTGCAGCCTGGCGATGCAAATGGATCACAGTCGATTTAAACCCTGATTTGCACTCCGATTAATTAAGTGATTGAGGTCTTATAAGGGATTACTACAGACGGGCGTTTTAACCGGTTCTCACTTTCTGCCAAAACGCCCTCCGATTTGAGGTCCTACGTAGGACTTTTGCTCCTACGTAAGGTCTCATAAAAGTTAGTACCGAGGACAGTAAAACCTGGTATAAACAAAAACTGAATGTAAACTGAGCGAATGACTTGCAAAGGTAGACCGACAAGTCAGCGCGTTCAGTACCGTTATACCTGTAGCACATGTACGTAGCTCCACGCTGAGCACGGTGACCTGGGTGCGGTGCTGCCTGAGTCTCCGCCTGTACGAGTGTGTCCAAACTATGCATTTGCCACAGATGCTTTCAGGCGCACTGGCCTGATCCAGTCCTACGAAGGACTCGTTAGTCCTACGAAGGTCCAAATGGCCAGCTTAACGTGGCCATTCGGGCCTTGCTTCCAAAACGGTACCCTTTAGGTGAAGACGGAGCTCCTACGTAAAGTAGGACTTTCGTATTCCGATGCAAGGCCAACAGCAAATCCTAGGTTGGGCCCCACCCTCTCCTTCTTAAGACCACCTTTTTTGAGGTCAGATTGGCCAAAGTTTTGGAAAGGCACACTACCGGTAAACTAAACGACGACCGTGCTAATACATGTATACTGGAAAATTTCAAAATTGCAATTGCTGACGTCTAATTGAGAATTGGTATTGCCGCGCCGTCTGCAGTAGAATATTACCATAGTACAAGCAAAATGTTGTACGGCGGATAGAGCAAGATATCTTTTTCATTCAAACATTGCTTGAAATGCCCATCTGAAGAAAATCTTCAATGCCTAGGCGTACATGTATCGCCACAACGAAGTTCAGTCTCAGGGACTCACTATTGTACATACGAGATGTTTGGATGCAGTCTTATTAATAGACATGTACAGTATATGTATTACCGTCACTTGACGAATCACACTGTGACGGTCTCCAGACCACGATGACCTTGAATCTCATTCTGCGTTTCTCCTTCCAGTTATCAAGAGCCCGACCACCAAGCGACAATGCGCCAACCAACACCCTCGTCGTGGCTGTTGCTGCCATCCTTCTCGCAAGCGAAAACGCTTTTTCTGCAGCAACTGACGCCGACCAGGCTACCGTTTCGAAGTTTGCGGCAGCGGAGTTCGACACGTTGGTCGATGTCCTCACCACTGAGAGCAAGAGATCCCTTCGGGCCACGGTCGATGACGGCGAAGAGAGGTACAAGCAGTTTAAAATCGATGATTTGAGAAACGGAAAGTGGACTTCATTTTTTAAAAAATGGAGCTCGAAAGGCCGTACTGAGTCCAACATCGAGAAAAAGCTGGCGAAAATTAAAGGGCTGACCGATTATGACAAAAGTAAGATTGTCGATTGGTATGGATTCCACTTGAGAGGTCATTAGATACATGCTCCAGCGGCACGTGCATGGAGACCGTCGGGGAGTTGACACTGTGACAAGTTCTCGAATCGTCTGTACCAGTCCGTCCTTGCAATACACTTGAGAGAAAATGCAGACAATCTTTTCACCTTGAACCCGTGTTTCCTTCATGTCGTTGGATCTTACTTTTTTTTTAGCAGAGTGGAGCAGAAAATCTTGACTATAATAGCCTTCTTGTACGCTCGGAACTTGTAAACGATTCTCTACTGCTACGCAACCCCGTCGTGAAATTTTAGCGGTGCAACCTCGGAGCGGTACCATGCATCATGGGTCCTTATTAGCTTATTTACGTTTGCGGTTACGACGGAGGATAAGGGAGTTCTCATGAATTGAGATAGCTCTTGCTTAGAGCCTGTTCGCGTTGTACTAGAGATGGAGATGGTGCTTGATCTCCACCTACAGCTCGTTCGCTACGTATCCATCTCCAGACAAATTTTAAGCCAATCACAGGACAGATATGGGATGGCTCTCCTCCCCACTTGAGAAAATGCAGTGCGGCCACGCGTGCGGCACATGCCGCTGCTCAAGGCTCGTCGGTTCCTGCGCCCCCCGCACGTCATGACGAAACGCCAGCGTTCGAGCCCCTCGTCTCGCTGACACCATCTGCCGGTGATGAAGGTCTGCTGCTAGAAGGTCCGAGACTGCGTCCACATTTGTTCCGCTACCTCAAGTATCAGTGGCGATGTCTGCTACGCTAGAGCCTACTCCCGCTCCATCTCGCATGCTCAAGCGTCTGCAAGCCTCGGCCGCACCGCAAGCAGCACAGGGCCGAGGCAAGTCTCGTCTGAAAGGAGCTTCTAACGTCAAGCCGTCGTTTGCCTGGACACCGAGAGCGGCCGAAGTGCTGTTGCGGCTTCGCTACGATACCATGAGAGGTTGGTTTCAGGGAACGAGGAGCCCCAAGCAGCTTACTGCGGCATGGAAAATGCTTGCTGCCGAAACATTCCGCCTCGGAGGGCTTGAAGTTGATGCAGAGCAGTGCAAGTCAAAGGTGTGTATGATGACAAACTATTGACAGGAACTTGTTAATGCTAACCGAGTTCACTTCATTTCAATCCTATTGTAGCTGAAGCATATGCACAAGCAGTACACCGCGTACCGTGTTGCTCTGGAGGCTACCGGTAACGCCACCGAGAAGCCGCTGAAGGAGCCCGGGTGCTACGAGGCTATGCGTGACGTGTGGGGGGACTTAGAAGGCATGGATGCGGACGGCTTTTCTCTAGTGATGCAACAAGCACTGAACTGCTGGAGGACGAGACTGCACTGGAGCTCAGCCAGAGCTCTACTGCTGAGCCGCTGCTACAGCATGAAGAGGACATTGATGTAGCTGATCACGAGGGCGGGCAAAATAGCAGTGGATGGAAGCGTTACACTGGCAAAAGAGCCCGCGAAAGGCATTCCACTAATATTCCACTAATACTGGTAATAGAAGAAGAAGAAGAAGTACTATGCAGAAGGAATGCGAGCAATTGGTGCGGGACTGAACAACATTGCTGAGGCGTTCAAAGTCGCTAGAGTCGCTGATACCAGCAATGCCGACATGGTGAGATCGATGAAGGAGCTCATGTAAACCGTGCAGGCACAAACGCAGGCCTTGCAAGGCCTGATTGGCATTTTGGCTGCCAACAAAAACAACGAGTGATCTCGACAACAAGTGAGCAACAAGTGATCAGCATTTAGTCAAACCAACAAGTGATCACCATGGTAAATGGCACCGTCTATTTAGTGACAAATAAGAGTAGCAATAGCATTTCTCTTAGCCTTACCAATTTGGCGCAGGTGCCTTGGAATAATTTCATCCTCGGCAGCTTCCTCCTCGTCGTCTTGCGCCATGTACAGCCTAATTTTCGAGCTGTCTTGAAAAAAAATCATGACGTTGTGCAGCACCATCGTCGCGACCACAAACTCGGCCGCCGTGCGAGGTGTTTCCTGGTTGAGGACCCCTTGAAGCATTCTAAATCGCCCCTTCCAGAGGCCGAAGGTGCTCTCCACCACCATTCGAGTGCTTGAATGCCGGAAGTTGAATTGCTTCTGCTGTGGAGTTAACACTCCTTCTTCACGCCGCCAGTAAGGAACGATGAGGCCAGGTAGCTGGGCATACCCCGCGTCACCGATGAAGTGCATACCAGCGGGGATCACGCTGTGTACGGTCCGACCAATTCTACTGTATTTCCAGCACTTTCGGTCAGACCAAAAACCTGGCCGCACTTCAACGCTCATAAAGGTCCTGTCGGGGCTCCCGATAGCCTGTACATTGAGCGCAGGATAGCACTTGCGGCAGTAGAAGCCGTCATAGTCCTCAGGACGCTCAATAGCAATCAAAGAGCCATCTATAGCACCGGCGACATCTGGATAACCATACGGCGATGCAAAGCCGTCCTCAACAGCAGTCCACCCGTCCCGACTGCGCGGAAAAGAAATCACCGCTGGCGCTACCGCATTTAGCACGCGAACTACCTCCGTAGTGATCTCCATGACGTAGCTTCTAGCCATGCCCATTGCAGCTCCCACCTCGCGATATCCACCCGCTGAGCCCAGGAAATACAGCGCCGCTGCCACCTTCTTTTCGTAGGAATGCTTCTTGACCTTAGCTTGTGCAAAAGCGACCCCATGCTCTTGTAGAAAGCTAGCTATACGGAAGAAGGTGGATCTCGTACAGCGCAGATTGGTCTCGAACCAGCTTGAGTAGGCTGATGATTGAAGCATCGACTCGAAGCGCAGAGTGGTGACGGTAAAACGGTTCTTCTTGCCAGCAGGAGGTCCTAGTTCACAACTGTCTGCATACAAAGCCACAGCCGTGCCACGGCGGAGCACGCAGCGAGGACAATTGCATCTTCGTCTCCCATGTTGTGCCTGGCCCTGTAAATCTCTAGGTAGATCCGCCCCTCTCCACCTCAAAGAGCTGGAGACGAATTCACAGTGCCATCTCTAGTTGTCTTGTTGTGTGCTACCTACTTTTGACCAATCCGGTCACACTTTTGGTTTTCGTCTCCATCTAGCGAACAGGCTCTTAAATATCACTGGGTAGTACGATTAGGATTACAGACAACGACGGATAAAATACGGCAACGCAAAACCCGGCACACATATGTTGTACTTTTTACAATAAGAAATTCAGATAGCCAATCATCTTCGAGATTTACACTTGACATTTGTAATCCATATGGTTTTAAGTACGTTCTCTAAATTTGTGTGTACTTTATGCATCCTTGCGAGAATTATTACCTGAAAGGTTAGCTACAATCTGTGCGAAAAACGTCCAAATTTGTTCTTCTACCCGGTATGGTATACTGAAACACATATTATTCCTTATGCTGTCTGGGACGGTTTAAGCGTTTTAAATGACCTCTCCGCGTCCAACGGGTTAATAGACATGTACAGTATATGTATTACCGTCACTTGACGAATCACACTGTGACGGTCTCCAGACCACGATGACCTTGAATCTCATTCTGCGTTTCTCCTTCCAGTTATCAAGAGCCCGACCACCAAGCGACAATGCGCCTAACCAACACCCTCGTCGTGGCTGTTGCTGCCATCCTTCTCGCAAGCGAAAACGCTTTTTCTGCAGCAACTGATGCCGACCAGGCTACCGTTTCGAAGTTGGCGGCAGCGGAGTTCGACACGTTGGTCGATGTCCTCACCACTGAGAGCAAGAGATCCCTTCGGGCCACGGTCGATGACGGCGAAGAGAGGTACAAGCAGTTTAAAATCGAAGCCTTGAAAAAAGGAAAGTGGACGGATATTTTCAACAAATGGAAGGGTAACGAGCTTAGTCCGGCCGAGGTCCAGAACAAGCTGAAAAACAAGAAATTGAGCGACGATTTGAAAGACGCTATTTTCAGGAATTATAAAGACTGGTAGACTGGTACTTCGGTACATGCTCCAGCGGCACGTACATGAAAATCGTCGGGGAGTTGACACTGTGACAAGTTCTCGAATCGTCTGTACCAGTCCGTCCTTGCAATACACTTGAGAGAAAATGCAGACAATCTTTTCACCTTGAACCCGTGTTTCCTTCATGTCGTTGGATCTTACTTTTTTTTTAGCAGAGTGGAGCAGAAAATCTTGACTATAATAGCCTTCTTGTACGCTCGGAACTTGTAAACGATTCTCTACTGCTACGCAACCCCGTCGTGAAATTTTAGCGGTGCAACCTCGGAGCGGTACCATGCATCATGGGTCCTTATTAGCTTATTTACGTTTGCGGTTACGACGGAGGATAAGGGAGTTCTCATGAATTGAGATAGCTCTTGCTTAGAGCCTGTTCGCGTTGTACTAGAGATGGAGATGGTGCTTGATCTCCACCTACAGCT